ATCTCTTGAAGATCAGAAGAAGTCTCTGACCACTGAGAAAGAGAAGAACGCCGAGAAGTACCGCGAGGCTCAAGCTGAACTTGTAGCCATGAAGTCTCGACAATCTCAACTGGAGCGAGAGGCCGAGGACGCAAAGAGCTTGCTGGAAGCACGTCTGTCGGAGGATGCACAAGCCGATCAGAATCGCCAAGTCCTTGAGTCACAAATAAAGGATCTTAAAGATGAGCTGTACAAGACACAGATGGATCTAAGTCGAGAACGCCAGTCTCGAGATGACGTCCAACTGCTCGGTGAGCACCGCTACCAAGAGCTGAAGGATGAATTCGATCGTCTTAACGAGTCAAAAATCATCATCGAGAAAGAACTATATGCCCAGCAGGATACCTTGCGGAGAACAATGGAGGCTCGGACTACTGCTGAGAAGGAACGTGACGAAGCAAGACAAGAGATTCGCCGCCTTCGAGTGGCGAAGACACAAGCTGAGGAGGCAAGAATGCAAGCCGAGGTCGCTGGCGAGAGACAAGCTTCTAAGGCAGCCCTGGACCGCGAGAACAGTCTTCGAAAAGATCTCGATGCAGCACAGGAACGGCTTCAATGGTTTGAAGGAGAGTGCGCCAAGCTCAACCACCAGATTGAAGACCTCAACAAGTTGATCCTCGAATCAGGCGAATTTGGCTTGAAAAACGATCAAGCCAAAGAAAGACTTGAACGGGAGTTGACCACTGTGAAGAGCCGCCTGACAGCATCAGAGAATGACAATCGTGCTTTGCTGAACAAACTACAGCAGAAAGGGTTGGAGATTGCTCGCTCTAGTTCACGCGCCAGTGAAGCATCTCGAGGTCAGATCATGTCTCTCCAGCGCGAAAAGGCTCGGCTGGAAGAGCAGAACACAAAACTCAACAAGCAGTTGGGTGATTCCCAACTCGCAATTGCATCACTTGAGAAAAGAGCGGAGAAATTGCAGCTCAGCCTGGAAGATCTTAGCCATGAGGTTGCCCGTGAAGTCAAGTCAAGCAGAAATGCCGAAAAGGCGACTTCTACCTTCACAGCGCAGCTGGCTGAAGCAAATAGAACCATTGAGTCAGAGCGGCAATTACGAACTCAGGCTCAGACTACTATTCGTACCCTGCAAACATCTGTGGATACACGAGACAAGGAAGTGAATGAGCTGCGAGCTCAGATGCTAGATGTTCTACGGACTGTTGATCCAGAGGTTCCCATCCCCCCTCAGTCAGATGGAGCTGATGAGAATGTACTCATTCAGAACTTTGATCTTGTGAGAAAGGTTGAGGAGCTTCAGCAAAACCTTCGTGTGCAAACGGCAGCTCGAACAAACGCCGAGAATCAACTTAGTGAAATGCGAGCGTCGAGGAATGACCCTGCTAGCCGACCTAAGCTCGAGGAGATCCAGCTCAATGAGGCGCCATTCCAGGGGTCACCAACTCAGAAGAGGGCAGCTAAGCTTCATGCTCGCAATTACTCCAATACTTCCACACCCACCCGGCGCTTCCAGGAACTCGACCATCTTCAAGATTCAACACGTTCCGATCGAACGATCGACACTCTCAACTTCAACAATCGTATGGATTTGAAAGCCGAAGTCGAGGAACTTCAGAATCAGCTTCAACTTAAGGAAATGCAAAATCGTCACCTGCAGAGCCAGATTGACCGAAGCACGCCTGTACCGGAGAACTACGATGACCAAAGCCCATCTTTGCGTCGCATTCAAAAACTTGAGATGGTCAACACTCGTCTTCATGAAATGCTCGATGACTCTAATAAGAAGGTGTCTGCTTTGGAGCGCACAATTCGATCCGGGCAGCTTTCATTACGGGATGTACAGACACGCACACATGAAGAAATCTTAGAGGTTCTGAACAGCCAAGAAGACTCTCGTCGAGCCTTGGTTCATAGTCACAAGGACGCCGTGGCGGAGTTAACCGATATCAAGGGACACTTTGAGAGACTACGACACGATCGCGCCAAAGCCGAAGTCGAGCTCCGCGATGTCAAGTCTGACCTACAGGAGATGACTCTAGCAAGAGAGCAAGAGGCACAGAATCGAAATCAGCTTCTCCAAGAGTTTGCAGATCTTCAGATTCGTCTTGATGCAGAAACCTCGAAGTTTGCAGATGTCTCTTCTAGTCTTGAAATGTACAAGAGCCGCGCGGACGAATACTTCAGCAAACTCGAACAAGCCGAGATCGCTGTTCTCAAAGCTAGTCGCGCCGAACAGTTTGCCAAGTCCCAAGCAAAGGAAGCCGAAGACACATATGCGGAGGTCATGGCAGAACGTGAGAAGATGGATGCCAGCATTGAGGATCTCCAACGCCAGAACCAACGCCTCGAGGAAAAGGTTGAGGATATTTCGACCGATTTGGCAGCTGCCACTCAGGCTAAGAAGAGACTTCAACACGAACTCGAGGACTACCGTAACCAGAGAGCCATGGAGATCGAGGACAAGGAATCGAGTATGGAGCAGACTCGTAAGAAGTATCAGGCCGAGTTCGCTACATTGACCAACGAGCTTGATCTTGCTCGTGAGGAGAGGCTCTTCAAGCAAGCAGAGATTGCCCGCCTTCGAGAAGAACTTGATGAGTTGAGGTCAAAGTGGGATGATGAAGTCCTCAACAGCTCAACCTGGTCCAAGGAGAAGGCTCGTTTAGAGTCAACGTTGGCAGACGTCGCTTCCTCTCGTGATGAGGCAGTAAATGCTCACAACGAAGCTCAAGGAAAGGTTGTGACATTGCTCTCTCAAGTCCGTACTCTCCGCTCCTCGGTGGACGAGATCACAGCAGAACGAGATCACCTTCTCCGGGAGAAGCGAAATGTCGAGGCTCGCCTCGAGGAAGCGAAATCTGGCCTTGAAGACCTTGTGAAGGGAGACAGTCCCTCTCTGCGCAATGCCGCCAACATGGACAAGGAGATTCTGGAACTAAGGTCACATCTTGCCCAACAAGAGGATATTGCGGCCGCTGCCGTGGAGAAGATGCGCAGAGCAGAAGCCCTAGTGACGGAGGTACAAAAGGATGTCATGGTGGAGCGCGAAAACAGCATTCAGCTGCAACAACAGAAGGCATCTTTGGAAAAAGTTCTAAACGAGGCCCAACTCAAACTTATTGATCTGGAGACCAAGGGTTACTCGAGTGCCAGCCAGGATGTCAAGTTCCTACACAAACGTATTCAGGAGGTGAGTTGTCCCTGTAACACTAGACAACTTTATGGAAGCTAACATGATGCAGCTCGAATCACAGCTCGAAGACCAGGAGACTGAGCGTAGCAAATCTCAGCGCTCCGTTCGAAACGTAGATCGAATCGTGAAGGATATGCAAGGTCAGATCGACCGCAAGGACAAACAAAACACACAGCTCTCAGAGGATGTCTCAAGGATGCGCGACAAGGTCGAGAAGCTTCTGAAGACCATCGAGGAGCTACAGTCATCGGAGTCCCAAAATCAGTTGTCAGCTCGTCGAGCTGAGCGTGAACTCCGAGAAGAAAAAGAGAAAATCGCTCGACTGGAGCGCGAATTGGCAGGATTGAAGAACCTCCGCAACGACAAGGGGTCGGGCAGCGTCATGGGTAGTGTCCGCAGTCGCATGGGCCCCTGGCGGGTCAGCGAAGGAGATGATGCATCCATGGTGGACATTCCCAGGAGGAAGAGTAGCCTTAGTAGGGTTCCCAGCTTCACAAAAGGATTCCTATAAAGGTAGGGGGAGTTGAACAAGGGTGCGGATGTAGGATACACACATAAGCTGGGAGCATGTTGATGAGGCGTTGAAGCATTTGTCCAGGGTCTGGGTACTGTAATGGTTTGCGAGGCATGGGAGGCGGGCATGATGAATGGCAGATGGTGTCTAGGATGGTTTTTGGTTCGCTAGTGCTTTAGGGATTATTTACTTTGCGTATGATTAATGAGGAGCTTACGCTGCATGTGTACTATGTGGGATCCCTCCTTCTGGGGCAAAGTCACTGCATGATAATTCAATACGACTGGTTGAATGACCAATGCTCTCCAGCAGTCGTTTCGTGATTAGAGTATTCCATCTCACATAATATGAATACATCGTATCTTACACACCAAGCTCTGCTCAGCTTTGTAGTATCGAGGAGCGCCTTGGCCGAGCAGACGACACAAGAACGTCATTTCTCATCCTCTTGGGGAATGTCTAAAGGCTTCTGTGGCTTCTCCATTCCCATCTTGCCCATAAGTCCCTCTATCAACTCCTCCATCGCTTTTTCATCTTCAGGGCTCACCATCCCGGGCCTGCGGGTCACAGCCTGCGTCCGCTGCCTTAATTCCTCTATCGAGGAGAGATCAAATGCCCAGGAAATGCCTCCTACCAGCATGACTCCAAAGCTCATGACGTTGAGCGTGGCAAGTCCAAGGGCTTGCACAGCGAGTAAAGATCTGTCACCCGAGTCAAATTTGACTTGGTGTCGGTTGGAAGTGTAAAATTTGGGGAAGGAATTGTGCCGCATTCGTAGCACTGAACGTCTTGACACGGCAACAGATGCAGCAAGGAACCCAGCACCAGTGAGCAGCAGACCGAACTGTCGAATTGAACGGTCCCATGACGGTTGCTGTGCTGCTACTATTGGCGATGCTCTTTGTGGAGCAGCAGAAATAGTTGGTGGAGTTGGTGTTGCTGGTGGGATTGAAACATTCGCAGGTGGTCTTTGCTGGGCTGGTGAAGTTTCTTGGTTTTCCCGGGGGATTGAACCTTTATCAGAGTTGGGTATACCGAGCCATGAGCTTACTAAAGAAGCAAGAATAGGCATTTTTTCGTGATCCGCCAACTTCTATTTGGTGGCAGCGTTTGTGACGGATAACTGTGCTGGGAATAGTAAGGTAAACCGCTGAATGCCTATTACTACCTCTTACCTTAACTTAGTTACTCGATATTACCTTTAGGGATATAGCACCCCGCTCATTGCATACAACTATCGCGAATGTAGTGGATATCTACATAACTCAAGTATCACTGTCTCATGTCATGTCGTGTCAAGTCAAGTCAATAAAGAGCCTCATCAACCTCTCTCCCCCCAGCCCAGCAGCCGCCCAATAAATATTCCCTACTTTCCATTTTGAAAAGTATGCCGAAAATAAAAAATAAAGGGTCCAAGTCAGGCAAAGTGGAAGCCTCAGCGCCGCCGCCACCAGTTCCTCCATCATGGCCAGCTTTCAAGCCTTCTCTGCCGATAGTTGACTTGTCTCCTGAACCTCATCCATTGACTTCCAAGGTTGTTCTTATACCTTCATTTTTCCCGCGATCGCTCTGCCGCGATTATGTGGCCTTTCTAAAAACCCTCCCTCTACAAACAACGCCAGGTCGTCCCAAGCGGGGCGAAGCAGTTCGTGTCAACGACCGGTTTCAGGTTGATAGCTATGATTTTGCAACTCGCTTATGGGAGCAAACTGGTTTGAAAGAGGTCTTGCTAGACGGCGATGTTAACGAGAGGTGGTAAGTCTTGCTTCGTGTCGATTCGCCGTCTACGTCCAACTGCAATGGTCACGATGTCGTAGACAGCAAAGTTAATGTTGCGTAGGGGTGGTGAACCTGTTGGGCTGAATCCTAATATTCGAGTATATCGTTACTCGAAGGGCCAGTTTTTTGACTGCCATTGTACGTGTACAAGTCTCATCTCCACAACTGTTCCATTCAACGACCATCGTAGCGACCTCAATGGCATAACGACACAAACCTCTTGCTCCTGTCCTTCCACAAGCGTTCCATAATTTGCACCCATTTATCTATCTCATGGCTCCCTCTTCTCACTTGACATGCGCACCTTAGCTGACCAACGTCTGTTTCGCCCACCAGATGACGACTCGAATAACCTGACGTTACCTTCGGATCCTCCACTACCAGTGAGAACCACGTGGACCCTGTTGCTCTATTTGACATCCGCTTCTGAGGGCTGTGTTGGGGGCGAGACAGTATTTTACCCAAGAGATCGAAGGTCGTCTCGGGAAGAGATCGTGGTCCCTCTTGAGACTGGGACATTGCTTCTCCACAAGCATGGAGACGATTGTCTACTGGTAAGAAGTTCCCTACACCTCTGTGCCGTCTTTGATTAGACAGACTTCCCGTGCTACATGAATCTTGACCCCAAAGATTTACTAATTACTTTAACTTAGCACGAAGGACGAGAGGTTACTGCAGGTGAAAAATGGGTTTTACGGACGGATCTTTGCATCAGACGATGAATTTGATTATCAGCCTAAGTAACCTGGTAGTCCCAAAACTTTGGTTTGTTGTACTACTGAGTTTACTGTCTACCTTTTCCTTACCAACTGGCTGGCCCCGTTGTCGTCCTTACCGTTACAATGGTCCATTCTTGCACGCGACAATTTCTCCAGCACCAAGATTTTCAATCTTAGGCCAATGCCGTGGTCGTATCGGCAGCTGATCCCAATGCCAATGGTCACTTGGCATCCACCTCACCCATGAGGCTGACCAAGCGATCAATAGCTTCTTCGGCGTCTTCCTCCTCCAATTCATCGCTGTAGATCGAGTCTGTCTCGTCTTCGACGATGTCATCACTCGGAACTTCAACTTCCAGGCCATTCTCTGATGAAAGATCTGGCTGTTCGTCGCTGACCATTTCAAAATCATCTCCAACAGAAGATGATTGCCCTGAACCCGAAATGTCATTAGGAAAGTCGTCATCTCCCTCGGGGACCGCATCGTCTTCCAGAGGGAAAATAGCCAATGGCTGTCCTCGATGAAGGACTGTGCCGTCCGGAAGGTGAGAATGGATCTCAGGCGCCAGCTCAGACACTTCGGGGACCTCTTGTTTTGCAGGCGTGGCATCATTCTTCACTGTTGGCTCAAGGTGCTCGCCAAACCCTGGCATTTCTCCTTGACGATGTCCCGCGGCAAGTGGAGATCTCAGTTCAAGGTTACTAGAGTTTGCCATACGGCACATCTCCTTATGGAAGATCCAGGGGAAACTAATCAGAGGCATTGACTTTGGTTCTAGCTTGCGCGGTTGCAAGAGGGTTCCCGCGTCGTTGATGACTCCTCGGTGGTGCTCGTATAGTGCAATTTTCGTTTCCTCATCGGTTACCTTGTACATGGCTGCGACAAAGGGTTCGAGTTTCTCTGCATTCTTAGAACCTGCAGTATCGATACATAGCTGTCGAAATGCCGCCTTGAGATTATTGTACTCACGACGAAGCTCCTCCTGAACTTTGTAGTCTGAACCAACAGCAGGTTTCGACATGGCAAAGCCAGTCCAAAGCTCAAATTCAGTCTTGAGCGCATGTTGGCTCAGTAGTCGGCGTACAGACGTATCGTATTGTGTCTTGATTTTTCTTGCAGATTTGAGTGTGTCTCGCTTGAGTTCAAACTTTTTGATAATCCGTTGGTCGAACGGACTGTCCCAGATAGGGTCAAACTTGACTTGCTTACCTTTCACTTTGTCAAATATGACACCAAGAGCTTTCCTGGAGGTGTAGCTGTTCTTCTTCTCCATAAAATGGGGCCACTTCCGAGGTTGTTGATCTCGTCTCAATACCGCTGGGTCACCCGTCTTCGGATAGTCCACTGCTTTGGAGTGCAGCTCTGCAAGTTCAAGACCTTAGAACAGGGTTAGCAGAACACATTGATATATGAGCACTACCACGACTCACATTTTGGTGACATTGGGCCAAGGTCGTCTGAAAATGCTAGATGAGATGTCGCAATGAGCGGCAGTTTATCGTTCTTTAGGTACTTGACGAAGAAGTTCCTGAGATCGTCGACCGTGACATCACGATCAAGCTCAATGGGTTTGGGTGCTAAGTAATTCATAGGCGGATAATTCCATCTTCTAGGAATCAGAGTCGGCTCCCATATTACGAAGAAGTCATCGCCGTCAAGGTCACCACCAGAAAGCATATTAGGAACAGGCTGATCGCCAGTGGATGGAAATACAACGACATCCCTCAGGTGATGCAGGGCTGGACAGTCCACTGCTTCAACAACACGAATGTCTCCCGGGTGCAGCGAAGGGTTGCGTCCAATTATGCATACTCCGCTGATGACCTGAGTCTTGTTATAGTGTGTTGCGTCGCTCAGCTGAATGAAGATTTGCGGAAGTCTATCGATAGCTTTATCTTCGGAGCCTTCGGGTTCGGATGAGTGACCTCTGAGGGTGCCAGTTTCATCGACGCAGCCAAGGATGAAAGCACTTTTCTGCACCTGAATCCTTGCTTTCTCCTTGAGTAGCTTTAAGGACCAAGATCTCCAAAGTTTAAGTACGTTAACAACGAAGGGTTCCTGCAGATCATCTGTTTTGAAGCCAGCCCTGAGCAGGTCAGAGATATTGTTCTCGTCAACAAATTTGGTCAACATGTCTATTGCAACATCGTTGTCCTCCATGGCCAGCTCATACGACCGCAACTGGTGGTCAAGCAGGTTAGTGAAGGAAGCGATGGGGACCCCAAGACATTCGAGAATGGTGATTGTTTGTCTATTGAGAGTTGCTGTTGCCATTGCTGCACTGCGGATAATTTCGAGACCTTTGGAATCTGACTCGAACTTCTTCTGGGATTCGCGAATATGGACTTCCATGACTTTGGTGTCGTTGGGCCAAATGGCGAGAACCCCTTTACAGCCACCCATACGAAACTGGAAGGCGGAGGGTCGCGCAATAACATCAAGAATCATGTCTTCGCTGATAAGCTGCGCCAAGAACGACGATATCTTGCCGATGCCGTCGGTGAAGCAGTAGCCGTTCCTCTCAATATCAGGTATCTGTTGAGTTGCCGGCGCCGAAATTGCATGAAGCTCTCGTGTGGTAGAGAAGCATTGGCCGAGGCGAGCAGCATACTTCGCCACAACCTTTATATGGCTAAACTGACCCATCCACCTGCGGATATCGTCGCATGATAGGTGTTCCGTGGGACAAAAGAAGTAAGCGCCGTTGACTCTGAGCTGCGAGTTGCCAAAGGCAAGGAATTCGTAAAAACGATCGCCGATACGGACGCCTTTATACATTGAACGAAGCACTCTTTTGTAGATCTCGTCATTTTGGTCCTTGTTTACCGCAATCTTCCCCTTTTCCATCTCTTCGGTGAATTGGATTTTGAGGAAGCGATCCTCATAATGCTTGTAGCGGCGCATGACGCGGTTGGACATCTCCACTGTAGGTGTTGTATAGCGAATGGTTGTTGGCGTGATGACGGCTTTACGGATGAGACAACAATGAGAAGGAATTCTTGACATTATTATAGAGCCATCAATCTGAGACTCCTCTAAAATAGCCATTGGGTCGATGACAACTTGAGCGTTATCAGCCACGGATTCGAGACAAAGCCTGGCTTTGGCTGGCTTCATGTTCGCAAGTCTCTCCAAGAACTCCCTGCCTATCATGTGTTCGTTGAGATAGCCGCGTGAAATACAAACTTCAAGCTGGTATCTAATTTCGAAAGGCAGATGAACAATCGAGTCCGGGGAGTACTGAAGCATCTGAAGTGCGTTGTGCCCTTCGGTAGGAGCCTGGTGGTCTATGTATTCCCACATCTTTGCTTTTGTTCCATGGACAGTCTTGAAATCATCTTGAACTTTAGTGGTGATGTTGAAGTCGTCCAGGATGCTCACCAACTGTTGATTGACCTGGCTTGCTATTTCAGTTCCCCCATCCAGAACGAACCCAAGAGTGGTCCATCGGCCGATATCAACGAATTCGGGATCTTGGAAATCGTTGTGGAGAGTGACAGGGTACATCATAGGGAGACCAGCTTGTTGAACAATATTTGTTGCACGATTCCAGCTCTCCATAACACTCCAATTCTTGGTTTCATCGGAAAAGGTCGAATGGATGTCAGGTGTCTTCCAATAGTACTGAGGTGGCGTCTTGAGAGGAACAACAAGAGTACAGCAATTATCAACGGCTGCTGTTTGGTAAACATTCTTCATACTCGAAAAGTCAATAACAACTTTGTGTTGTCGTTCAGTTCTGTTTCCCCCCGCAACACTCGGTATGGGGAAGAACACGGTCAGTCTCTGGTATTTCGGGCTGAGCTCGAGTTTAAGACTTCGTCCATTGCCCATCCCAGGGATAGACTTCATGATCTTCATTGATTTCTCCCCTGTCAGGCTCCCGAAATGTATGGCCGCAGGATAGAGTGTCAGTTTGACAGGGCAAGTCCGGTCAGGATGTACCGGGCTTTTCAGAAAGCCTGGAGGTACGTGATTGGAAAGCTTGATAGAAATCTCAATCTGTTTGGGATGTTGTTTTCTGTCGTGATGGCGAACAACATAACTGCCCGTGTACCAAAAGTTTCGCTCTGGCGGTGGTTCGAACCTGATTTTGGCGTTACTGATGTTCGGATTTCTTTGCGTCTCGTAGATATCCATGTATGCGATTTCTCCCTCATGAGAGAACCAGTCCCAGAGATTTGAAGTCGTGACTGAAGTTGGCAATCCCTCAAGATGTATCGTGAGTTCAGGCCATGCTTTCCATTGTCCGTGGAGCTGAGGAGCAAGCCCATCAAGGTTGATTGTATGGTTTCGCCGAACCTTTGGTTGCCCTGGCCTGCATCTCTTCGATCTTCGCTGGTGCTTAGGGTTTTGTTGGGACCCTTTCGAGAGTCCGTCGGGGGGGCGTTTGGAGCTCATGTTCAATTTCTATCCATATAATCTGGAGAGGTTATTAGTCAAAGGGGCTTCCTCAACGACGAGCTCAAATGATAATGATGACTTCAAAAGAATGTACCTTGGTTAATTGAATGATGCCCCAGGAATAATTTTGATGCAGCACACTTCTAGTGTTGATCATGAAGGTTAGAAATCAGTATGGCTGTTGCATCAAAGATCAAGATCAAAGAGTTTTTTTTGGATCGAGGAAGATGAATTTTGTCACTTGGCGTGGTGATGTGCGATGACAAGGCGCGAGTGTTGTGCAGTGATTCAGAGAGCAGGCATCTACTAGAAGCCCGAGATTACAGATGCCTCCTGCTTCAGCAAAGAAGGGAGAAAATCCAACTAGCAGGTCATAAGAAGCAGGTTATCAAGCTAAGCACAGTGTTATCGAAATTCTAGCAGAGGTAAAGGGTTTTGGGCCAGACGAGATTGGACTCTGCTATCAGTTGGTGTTTTTTGTTGTTTGAAAGAGCAATGTAAGAAGCCTAGTGATGGAAGCAAAATTGCTGAGATCAGCAAACAGTTAAGCATTTGGGCGCTTTCCTGAGTACAGACGGCTTTGTAGAAATTTTTCGTTCGCTTGAATCTAATGTACTTCCTGTTTGTTACGGCAGCACAACCTCTCTCTGTCAAGTGTTTCTGTAGAATAAGACACCGTATTGCAGTGTGCCGCAAGTTCGTATTGATGACTGAACAGCTGGCTGCATCATTCACATGGAGATACATAGCTCTCCCAATCTATAGCTGCGGTTTGGGTTTGTCTCACAACGTTTCATCTAACATTAGAGCAATGGCTGCCGTGTTGCAAGCAGGGCAGCAAGCGGTCCCTACAAGCATCATCAATACTGCAAATCTCTACATACAGCGATAATTTGTTACAAACCCACTAGTCTAAGGAGCTATGTAGAAACACAGCAATAATTCCTGTCTTAGACCAAGTCTTTCACCACACGGTTTGGTGTCACCGCGGTATTTGACCCAGGATATAGAGTGTTCTCCCAAGGCACATCCATGATCTTTCCAGGATTCAAGATCCATTCAGGGTCGAAAGCCTTCTTCACAGCTACCATAACTTCCAGAGTCTCTGGTCCAACTTCCCAGAGTAGACTCTCCTTTTTGCCCCAGCCGATGGAATGCTCTCCTGTACATGTACCATCCATGTCGAGCGCTCGCTTCACCATGTTCTTAACGCAAGCTTCGACTTTTTGGCGCTCACCAGGGACGTTCTTGTTATACATGATACTTTCATGAAAATTTCCGTCTCCCACATGTCCCAAGATGCTGGCGAAGAGGCCAAGCTCATCCATCTCTTTCTTGCTGACCTCTATGATGTCAGCTAGCCGGCTGAACGGAACAGCTACATCGGTGCTCCCTGTGTTATCATCAATTAGCGACCGAATTGACAGGTAATATGTTGATGGTGGCACTGTGGTACTCACAAACATCGTCACCATTTTTTCGGAGTGAGAGCATGGACCAAAGGGATTCTTTCCTGGCAGACCAGAGCAATTGTTGCTCAGCAGCATCCCGAGCAAACTCGAAACTTCCACCCTTGTTTGCCGCCGCAATCTTTTTTACCCTATTGATGTTGTCTTTCACGCCGTCTTTTGTACCTGAGAACTTGAAAAACAATGTTGGCAATTCCTTCCAGACCCGCGGTTTCGTAGCACCACCGAGGTTGATGACTCTCATTTGAACTTCATCCATGATCTCCATCGCCGCGACTGGAACGCCGGCCTGCATGACGCCAGCTGCCGCATCGGCGGCATCTCGAATGGTGGGAAATGTAACAACAGCAACCGAATACTGCTCTGGAATGACAGCCAACTTGAGTGTAGCTGTGAGTGTTAGTAAACTTTCGTTTTGCGTGGATCCGCCTTGTTATACCTTCCGTGACAATCCCTAGTGTGCCTTCGGAGCCAACAAACAGCCCGTTCAGGTTATATCCAGCAGATGACTTTCGCGGCCTTCGTCTCGTTTTGATAATACGCCCGTCGGACAGGACAACGGTCAAGTTAATGACCCAATCCTTCATTGTACCATATCTTACAGCATTTGTTCCAGAACAATTCGTTCCGATCATACCTCCTATCTTCGCTGATGGGCCTGAACAAATTCGTCAGTGCTGCGATGTCTCTGGCCCTCCATGCTTGTTGGTCACATACCAGGATCGACAGGAAAGAAAAGACCACTATCCATAGCCAACAACTTTGCGTTTAGATCTTGCCAGCCAATACTGGGCTGGACCACAATATCCATATCATCTTTGTTAAACTGAATGATCTGGTCCATATACGCAAAATCCACACTGATTCCTCCGTAAGGGGCAGAAAAATTGCCTTCCAAGCTTGAGCCTCCGGAATAGGGAATGATAGGAACGCGATGCTCATGGCATATGCGAGCTATCACGGACACTTGCTCAGTTGTTCTAGGATATGCCACAGCTACTGGCAAAGTATCAGGGTTGACCGTAGACCATTCTGAGTAGCCGTGTGCTAGTAGATCCTCGGGGTCCGTCGAAATAAAGCCTTCTATTCCAACCTCGTTCTCGATTCGCTTGATCGCCTGTTTTGAAGATCAGCTTGAGGCATGAGTATATGCAGGTATTTTACCTTCTCCATCTCGGGCAACGTAGCATAATGAGGCGCAACCGATCGACCCCATGTAGAATTTCCAGTGCCTTTAATTTCGTTCAAGCTGGCAAGCCCCCATCCAAGAGCTCCAGCTCCAATGGCTACTGCCAAAACCTTTGGTCGCGACCATCCCGGGTTATTACTTGGTTTTCTCTGACCAGAGTCATGGGCAACACGAGAACGAAGGCCAGAGGAGACTGTAAGGCCTCGTCGAGATTCCGCTCTTTGGGCACAACGGCCCAATAGAGTTCTTGTCGAAGTCCTGCTGGTAAACATTTCGACCCAATGTTAAAGAAACCTATAATTTTATGACTCAGACGGCCCGGTCCACAATTGACCGTGATGTAGAACCAAGATCGATTCAAGACCCGAAGGCTGCTGCTTTTCCTCCAATTAGCAAACTTCAATGAGTCCCTTGCGTTATATGGCTCTTGCGAGCAATGTTTTGATCACGAACAGGAATCTCTGCCGTATCTAAGCGAGTCTTTACCGAGTATCCGCAAGCAAGTGAGAAGGGGAAAGAACGACAAGAATCCTTCAATTCAAGCAACCAAGAGAGATGACCTCGCGAAGGGGAATTCCGGAGCTAGATGTGGCCACGATGGGGCTGACTCTCACTTATAAGTAGTCTCAAGAACATCATCGGCGCACGTGGGGCATATCCAGGAAAGTAGAAATCTAAATTCAAACGGCTTCTCTTGTAAGCATAGTCTCGCTGATGCAATACTGAGCGCCGCGTTGCCGCTGGGTCTTAGCATGGCTTTTCCCATAGCTTGTTGAGCCTAGCGGGTCTAATGGTGAGGGGGCACACGATCCATCTTTCATGGGCGTTGTGCGTGTGCGGTCTTACTGTAACAAGAAATTCAGTCGCATGGATGGTTTGAGGCTCCCCACGCATTACGCCCACATGCACATCACAGGAACAGCGCGCGTGAGACTCGCATTGTCGAATCGCAGCTTCAAGGAGTGCAGCCAACTGCATCATGGCTGAGGAGGATTCGACGGGCGACTGCAGTTACCGTTAGTCATGCATTTTGACCTCATGCGTAATTACGACTCGATACCCTAGATTTACGATGGATTTCCCCGCTCCTAAATGACTCGGTTTGCTCGCCGAACCAGCAGCTTCACAGCATACAGCATGTACCGTGGGAGTGTGGAGAAGGGGGACGAAGCCGAGCCCACTTGGTGCTATTCGCAGTTTGGGGGTTTGAGAGCTTCCTTCAGTGGGATGGAGTAACTAGCTCAATGGAGAAGTTGGGGAATAAATGAAGAAACTCAATTCGAGAGACAAGTCGTTCGCAAACAACCAGCATTCTCGTAAACGTGGGGTGGGTAAGGAATAGGAATTCGCCTACGTCCGAATTCTCACCTCGGTCAGCCAAATTGTAACACAGCCACAACTTTACGCATTAGGAGGTCAACTGACAGTCCGATAACTATGGATGTAACCCATGAGCACTTAGTAAACAGACTGTTTTCCTCATTACCTTGGTCGCAAATTATTGTGTAATGCAGCCCTACCAGTCAGCTTTGTTCCTAACCTTCCTCCTTGACAACCATGATGTTTGAAAGAAACACGAGCTGCGTATATAGGTGCTGGCAGAGTGATGAGATATATTATCATAGTTGTGGGACGTACGGATGGCAGTGACATTTTCGCTGGCGTGCTACAAGATTGAGGGCAACGTCTTCAGTTCACTTCCATCACGGTTCGAGAGAGATATCTGTCAGGAATCGACACTTCTGTTGGGCTCAAATTCATCTTTTATCGTAGCCTCATGGGGCCGGCTATCTCCAGGGTAGTTAAAGCCGCAAAGCAAACGTCAAATCCGAGACTCCATTCCACATGCCATTTTTTACCATTCCAATCGCAAATCCACATTTTAGTGAGAGATGGCGTAAGCACGTCGGCGGTCACGCTCCTCAGCGATGGTGAGCTTGACACCCTTGCCCTTGGGCAGAGAGATCCAGGGCTTGTCCTGGCCGATGACGAAAACGTTGCTCTCACGGGTAGCAAAGCTGTTGTCAATGGCATCCTTGACGTGGACGATGTTGAAACCTCCGTCGTGACGCTCACGGTGAGTAATAACGCCAACACGACCCATGTTACGACCACCAGTGACCATAACGACGGCGCCAGTGTCGAACTTGATGAAGTCTGTGATCTTGCCAGTGGCGAGGTCAATCTTGACAGTGTCGTTGACCTTGATCAGAGGGTCAGGGTAGCGGATACTGTGAGAATTCGTTAGCAATGGGGTATTTGGGGTTTACATACAGCCGTCAAATAAAGCTCCTGTCTTGTCGGGTGACTTGAATCGACCAAAGCTTGATCCAACGGCTGAATGATGTCTGACAGAACTCACGTTCGTGCATCGTGCGTGACCAAGAATGGGATTCCACCGCGACCAAGCTGGACACGCTTGACCTTGCCAAGCTTGTACTCAGCCTCCTCAGCCTGGATTCGGTGGACGGTGAATCGGCCCTTGGTATCGTAGACAAGACGGAAGTTCTCGCCAGTCTTCTCGATGGTGATAACGTCCATGAAACCGGAGGGGTAGGTGGAATCGGTGCGGACCTTGCCGTCGACCTTGACCAGTCGCTGCATCAGGATGGCCTTGGTCTCGCGGTAGTTGAGAGCATACTTGAGGCGGTTTCGGATGAAGACGATCAGGGGCATGCAGTCGCGGAGCTTGTGAGGACCGGCAGAAGGCTTGGGAGCGTAGGTGCCGGACAGCTTGTCAAGCAGCCAGTGCGAGGGGGCGCTGAGGCGCTTCTGGTGCTTCTTGCTATTAAGACGGTCAGACCCTCGTTCTCAAAACGGGACAACAGGAGAGAAGTCCAAATCGCGATTCCTTGTAATCGTATTGGTGATCGTTCTTCTTGGTATTCCACTTACATTCCGCGGGCCATTGTGTCGGTTGGCTGGTTTGTCGGCGGTGATGAGGAGGATGGACGAGGAAACCTACTTCACAGAGAACGGACCGAGTGATGTGTTGGTCGCACTTTCTTTTTTTTAGGGTTTCGTGTTGTGGGTCACGTGACAACATTCCCTGCTAATCGATAGCTCGGACTGTGTCATTCACGTTAAGTGGAGTAGACCGACCATGTGGAGTCAGGTTCTATCGAGATAACCTCAAATACGTCTTTTGACCAAATGGTTTCATTGAATTATTTTATCATTGAAATTATACATGGTGTATCCCGTGCATGTTTGCCCCTGAAGTCGTCTTCAACTAAACCTTTGCCGGTGGCAGTATGACAAGATATCCTTTTTGGATGTCATGAGCGGCTTACAGAATCGACGATGTACAACTTTTGAAACATTCCCATCTTTGCCGGTGAGGCACCCGTGTTTTTCTTTCCTTCCAGCGCCGAAACATACCATCAGATACAAGTAATAAGCGATCGATAACCAGCGCGTGCTGTGTGTTCGTCCAGTTCCAAGTCTCAATCTATATACGCCCAATACCATTGCAAACCAATTTCCCGACTCCTAACTTTCATAACGTTAATGCAGAGCACCGCGACTTATAGATGCTGGCCCGACTGTTGATAACCTACTCGGGTGTTGCATTCCTTCTTTGTTGTGACTTTTCTGTGGGGTATTTGCTGGTGGAGAAAGACCAGGGATGCCCTCAATACCAAATCGTGGAATCGCTGGCGAAAGCTTGGCATCGTCAAGTAATAAGCGCGAGATGTCCATTTCACCGCCCATGAATTGAGGTGGCATAGTTTCACCGAACTCGAAAACATGACCTGCTCCCATAATTTCGCCAGTGTCGATTCTTTGCTGAGCTGGCCATCGAGAAAGATCTTCGCGCGAAGTCGACTGGTTCATTTGTGGCTCTAATGTTGTAGCCTTCCGAGGTTTAAATGAGTTCCCAGCTGGTATTCTCACAGATGGTTCCATAACATCGTTCCCTCGGCTCATGTCCCTGACTTGAAGATTGCTTTTCTCTATTCGTTGATAAACACTGGAATATTTGTTGCGTACTCGATCTCTCAAGTCTGTTGGTTGCCTACTGGAAAGATGGAAGCGCGGATCCCTTTGAATCTTGGTCCAAGCGGGTCCATGGATCTCTAAACCCTGAAGAATTTCCATGTCATCTTGTTCAGTAAAAGGTCGACGTTCGCGGCGATGAGACTTCTTGAAGGGTCCATGAATACCGAGCTCCACAAGATCCTCCATCTTCTTGCGATGTGCTCGACTTTTTTTCTGTTTAGGAGTAGTGTCAACCTCTTGCTGCATCGCTGAGGCCGTGTCTTTTGCTGATGCACCATTTCCATCTATCAATATCCTTTCCAAGTGCACATCTGCCTTGCCCTTCTGCTTCGACCCCCGGTCGAAGCGTGAAGGCGAGTCTAGTTCAAGCGACCGGTTGGACTTGCGGAGCTCCTCGGGGCAGCACGTCCTGAACCGATCCTTAAGATCCCCAGCTGTCCGGTCGTTAAACTTGAAGTCGGCATCTTCAAGTATGCTCGTCCACTTTCCGACCCCATGTCGATTGACGCCCAATAACAAATGGTTTGTCTCCTCTTCAGACCACTTCCGTCTCGGTTTGCTGGTCCGCTTTCGCGTTTTGCTGGCTACCGAAACCGATTCAGCCTCTTGAGACGCTTGAGTGGATGACTGGGCGGAAGGCTGCGTAAAATCGGGCATTATCTTCATATGCGAGCCATCCTTGCTATCAAACGAATCAGACGATATAGGAGGAAACAAAGCGGCGTGAGGTGGAGGTTCGTGAAGTCCGTTGATGATCGGTGGCATTACTGGCGCTTGCTGGGCGGCTTTTTGCTTTTTCAGTGGTTGCGGGAGCTGCATGAAATCATCTTTGACATGAAGGCTGCGCTGTCGCTTTTTGTTCGATACGTCTTCAAGAAGCTCGGGACCGTCGTCTAATAACCGACTTATTGAATTGGTTGGTTCTATAGCATCCGAGTCGCTTGAAGCTACTCGCAGCGGAAATCCTCCAGAAGCCGGTACAATCTTTCCATCCTGAGCATTCCCTTCCTTGCGGGGTTCAGAAGAAATATCATCGTTGGTCAAATTTATTAAATCAACAGCGTTAATAACAGACTGCGTGTCAGCAAGTGGTCTATCACCACGATGATTCGTGTCGGACTCGATTGGGGCCAATGATCGATCTGTGGCAGAAGGGAATGCAAGGGAATGAAGCGGTGGAAGATCGGCATGGTTGAGTTGCGGTCTCGTCGGCTCGTTGAGCAGATGGATTAAGCGTGGCTCGATCGTGGCCATCATGGGCTCTCAAAGGTGGATTGGCACATTGAGCATAAGTTAAAGTCAATGGAGGAAACAAATAGACACGATTGAATGAGATATTAGGCAGGGAAGGGGAGAATATAAAGAGGGGAGGGGAAGCTGCATATGCCGTTGGCAAGAGGCAACAGCTCAGAACACCATGTTGACTACGAGTTTGGGGAGCTGGTTCATAAGAGTTGGGGCCGTGAACGCTTTGATATGGTCTCACTTGGGCTGTATGTCTCTCAGTTGCAGTAGCACGTGAAATCGCCACATGTTGAAGCTTGTCATTGGCAAATTCAACAGGAGGGGGCACAACCGCACTGAAGCTACCACAGGTACCTAGCAAGCCGGCCGCGGACAATGCCGGCGCTTCCCGGTCCAGGTATCCGCCTTTTAACACAATTGAACTGCGTGTCGATACTAGTTGGGCTTTTTCACATGCCAGCATAAATACTGCATTCAATACCTAAGAAGCAGCGATCCTAGTACCAGTATGTAATTTACTTACTCATGAATAAGTAAGTGAACCAATCTAGTAGCTGTACATGACTTGTAAGGATATAATGTTAGCATAACCTAACAAGTGTCATCACATACCTCTATCCCGCATTTCTCTCACACCCGAGGATTTCTCCTCGAGACTCCAATACATCCTGATAAGCAAGGATAAAATAGAACAGGGTGAAGTTTTCACACGCCATTTTCGAGGGTAGTTCAAATTCCATTATTCATATTTTACAATGTTTTATTCGGTTGAATTAAAACCCCATTGACCGTTTGAATAACATCCGAGGTTGTTATTCGTCTAACGTTGAGTGGGACTCTGGTTAAATGATCTATGAGCGCTTTTATAATTTTGATACATGGCATCACGATTTTGTGTTATAGTAATTTTCATCCCTTGTAGGGGCTGGGGCCAACCATAAGCTCGGGCTTGACAAGAGTATCAAACTCCTCCTCAGTCAGAGCCTGGAGCTCGAGAGCACTCTGCTTGAGGGTCAGACCCTTCTTGTGAGCATTCTTGGCGACCTTGCTGGCCATGTCGTAACCGATTTTGGGGTTGAGGCAAGTGACAAGCATGAGCCTATAAATCTGGTCAGTACTTATTTCGAGTCTTTGATGCATAGAAACTTACGACTCCTTCATGATGCTAGCAATCTTCTCCTCGTTAGCGGCGAGACCAGCAACTAGGTTCTTCTCGAAAGAGCGCATGCCATCTGTTAGAAGGCGTGAGCTGTGCAGGAGGTTGCGGATGACCAGAGGTTTGTAAACGTTAAGCTCGAACTGGCCATTCATGCCACCAATAGTGGTCGCAACGTGGTTGCCCATAACCTGGGCACAGACCATAGTCAAAGCCTCACACTGCGTGGGGTTAACTTTTCCAGGCATGATGCTGCTGCCAGGCTCGTTTTCGGGCAGGTTGAGCTCACCAAGGCCACAGCGAGGGCCACTGCCGAGGTATCGAATATCCTGAGCGATCTTGGTCAGAGAGGCAGCAAGGGTGTTAAGAGAGCCGTGGGCCTGGACAATAGCGTCATGGGCAGCCAGGGCCTCAAACTTGTTAGGGGCAGTCTTGAACTCGGTGCCAGTCATGTTGGTGACCTCCTCAGCAATAGCCTCGGCGAAGCCCTGGAAAGTGTTGATGCCCGTGCCAACGGCGGTGCCGCCTTGGGCGAGGAGACGCAAATCAGGGAGAGAGCTCTCTACACGCTTGATGCCAAAGTCGAGTTGAGCGACGTAACCAGAGAACTCTTGGGCGAGAGTTAGAGGCGTAGCGTCCTGGAGATGAGTACGTCCGATCTTGATAATCTTCTTGGCCTCAAACTCATCGACCTTCTTCTGCAGGGCAGCACGGAGGCTGTGGAGGGCAGGCAAGAGCTCGCCCTCGATATCAAGGACGGCAGCAATGTGCATAACAGTAGGGAAGGTGTCGTTGGAAGAGGCGCTACGGTTAACGTGGTCGTTGGGGTGGACAGGCTTCTTGCTACCCATAGTTCCGCCGAGAATCTCGATGGCTCGGTTGGAAATGACCTCGTTTGCGTTCATGTTGGACTGAGTGCCGGAGCCCGTCTGCCAAACGACAAGAGGGAAGTGGTCGAGGAGTTTGCCATCAGCAACCTCCTTGGCGGCCTGCTGGATAGCAGCACCAATCTTGGGGTCTGTGAAAGCAACAATTAGCGTTTCGGCACTCAGAGTAGGCAGTGTCCATCTCCGTTGAGGTTAGACGGTTTGGTGTGCAAGTTCTACCCCGCGAAAAGGTATAAGTCAGGCCCTCAAGCGGAACAGTGTAAAACAAGATTTCACCACCAAACCCTATACGAATTCAATTGCTACTCACCAAGGCCATATCGCATGTTGACAGTGGCGGCAGCACCCTTCAGGATACCAAATGCCTTGACAATGGGTGGGGGCATGCGATCCTGGGGCTGGTTGATGCGAAAGTTCTCGAGAGATCGCTCCGTCTGGGCTCCCCAGTATCGGTCGGCGGGGACCTGAATCTCGCCAAAGGCATCGCTCTCTGTTCGTGTTTGAGACATTCTGACTGAAGTGCTGTGAATAGCTCTGGAGAGTTGAAGACCACCAACCCGAGTCTTGTTCTGAAGTCGCAGTTGCGGGGCAAGCGAGCATGTGGACGCAGCTGCTTGGGAGACCCGAGGCAGAGCTGACTTCATAAGGCCCGAGGCGGCAGCGCGTCCCGTGACGGTTCGAAGCATGATGGACAGATGGCTGGCTGGCGAAACGCTATTCCGAAAGCTGGGGCAAGCCAATTGAATCGACTTGGCTCGACTGAAGGTGGCAGGAGGATTCTTCGGGGGCAAGGGGCCGGAGATGTTGCACAATTGCAAAAAGGTTTTTAAACAGTCGGAGAGAAGGCCAGCTACTTGTCTCGTCGCTCTCGGTTGTTAGATTTTAACGGCTCAACCAACTTTAGACTCCGGAAGCACTGGTCAAACGAAAAAAAGCTCGAAATACTGGCCGGTTATTTGCCGGAGATCCTTCACCGGTCGACGATATCGGCCTCGCTCCGGTCTATCCCGAGCAGTCCCAGGATTCAATGCCATTCAATATGTTGTTCTCATTGGATGGCGGCATCTGAAACCGGAGCTTGATTCTGGAGAAACGAACATCAAACCCCATTACTCAGGCACTCGGTATCTTGTGTACGTACCCTCCTCACTTCTTCAGTTTTGCTTGGCCATATGTTACTGGTCCGTTCAACAATCAATCAATCAATCAATCAATCAATTCATTATCATGGCTTCTTCTCTCCCCACCTTCCCACGAATAGTATTCACTATTATAGAGCCTATCTCTTTGTAAGATTTCATAACAAGGATCTTGCACCCGACTGGTGAATGGCACATCTGCTAACATCAAAAACAGAGTTGCTGGTTTTGCTGGTGCCGTCATTGATCCAGCTTGGTTCATCGGAGAGCAATCTCCCCAGAAGAACGACGGTGATGCTTCTCCCAATAGCATTATTATAGCCTGGCAGCTAGGGAACTTATATTTGCTGCTAGCATTCATTGGGGTCGCGATCCTGTCAACCACGACTGAAAATCGAGTTGTTCGCTCGTATCTCGTTGCTCTTTGGCTCGCAGATATTGGTCACGTTGGCTTCAGCTCTTATGGGATAGGCCAGGACAGATTGCTAAGCCCTCCCCAGTGGAATGCCATGACTTGGGGAAATGTTGGAATGACAGTAAGCCAGGAATAGAATTATATGCTACCATATCATCTCAAGCCTGATGGTTGACGCTGACCTATATCTTAGTTATTCCTTTTTCTCACGCGAACAGCCTATCTCACGGGCTTCTTTGGACCTGATCACGTCGACAAACCCGCCAAGAAGACCGCGTAATAAGACTGACTGGGAAAACTATTTTGAGGCGACATCGGTGACAGAACAGCCCTGGATGATGATTCTCCAACGAGAATTTAGGAGTGAAAGACCTACTTGGAAGACATTGCTAAAAAAAAAAAAAAGTCCGGTGGATTTGTATCCTCTCTTCGTCCTATAGTTTATAGATTTATCAGATAAATCATAAGTTGCGGTGTAATTGTAATACGGATAGAAGAACAGAAGATTATATAGTTACATGCAAAAATGTACCATCTCAGGTAGGGTTGCCTACAGTGGAGGCTAACATCTCCCGTGATTTGGCGTCCGGGGTAGCTCTTTGTGAGGGTGGTCAAAGCTCAAAACACCAAAAGTTTGGCCCAGGGACGCGTTGGATGCCTTCGTGTTACCTTCGTAGGGTTAGGGTTAGCCTCTTATTGGCTGATAACGCGAAGGGTTAACCATCACAACAGCACGCTTAGCGCTAGGCTCAACCTCACGCACGCACTTACATACCTATACGCCTTCACGCAATAATGAATACTCGAAGTGCCGCAGGACGCTCAAAGCGTGCATCTGCTCAGAATGAAAATCGCGAACCGAGACGTAGCAACCGAAGAAACGGCCCAGTTCAGCGTGCAACAAGCCCAACAAAGAATATTATTAACCAGCCCGTACCTGGACCTGGTAGGGTTTTACTGAACGATCCGGTCGCTCGCCGTAACCCGCCTCCTCAGGCTCGAGACGACATCAGTATCCCGTCGAATCCACTAAGGCCTGACGATGAAACCGAATTCTGGGATGAGTATGATCATGCGCAACCAGAAAACTCCGGCGAAGAACTTCAGCTTGGTCTAGAAATCACCACAGCACAGCAAAGGATCCTGGAGCTAAGTGTTCCAGACTTAGCAAGAGCTGCCGATAGCCTGTTTGATTGCTTCCAAGGAAATGAAGCTGACGATGTCTTCAATGGAATCTTGGCCATTAAGCGACGTGCTTTTCACACCATCAGAGGAGAATATGATGCACTTGATCAGTCTAGCACGGCACCATTCATTGATTTCGCGCACTTTGTGGATGACACTCCTACTCAAAACCAAAGCGTTAGGGTGACTCAGATCGCACGCACCAATGTTGTGACAGCTTACGACAAGCTTTACGGGCTTGAGAATGAGGAGGCATCGGCCATCTTTCCATTCCTTGAATGCCTCAACCGGGTTTTGCCTGCATTTTTTACCCCAGCTAATAATATGTTCCAAAACCCTCAGAGCACCTTGCACCTCCGGACCTGGTTGTTTGTCGAAGATCTTTCTCATCGCAAGGACGAAAAGGACTTTCGGGAGCTTCTTGTTTCTTATTTCTGCAAAGACGAAGAGATTTTGAAGGATTTGGACAGATCGGGACACAAGGGCGAAGGAGAGCTTCCTTCATATCCAGAACTTTTTTCTGGGGGTTACTTCAGAGACCTCGGCGGTGTTGAAGGTGTCGATCACGATGTTGATGATCTCTGCTCAGCACGGATTGCTCAGATTAAGAAGATCATCGATGATAACAAGGAGGATGAGGGGATCTCCCAGCTAAGGAAACACTTTCCCCTGCATAATTTGGTGGAAGATCTCTTAAAGTGCTTTGAGAGCTTATACAATGTTTTGGCGTTCGAAGAGAGCGTGAGGGCGGGTACTGAGCCTCCTCAACATGGTCAACAGGAGGCTGCCTACAGCCAAGGCAACGATTATGGTTCGGAGTCGCAATCAATCGTGCGTGTGGGAAGTCAGGAGGCAGAGTAAGTAATATTCTTACCTGGTAACAGAGCTTAAGATTGACCTCCCACCAGGCCCAGTCTATTTGTCGGGCCAAAGTCCATTCAAGCCTTGCGTGGTGGAAGTCGAGCAACCAGTACTGTTCCCGCTTCCAACCAACAGCTTGCAGGTTTCAGATCCGGAGTTCCCCGTGATTATCATGAGGATTCAAATGCCGACCTCCTGGGTGGTAGCCCATTTCCCCCCGCAAGTTCTTATCGTTTAGCTACCAAAGGCGGGAGGGAACGAGAAAGAGGGCAGAAACGACCGCGACTTTCCCAGGATGACGAAGATGGGGAAGATCCATTTGAGACCGACACTCGGCGTGTTGATCCAGCGAGGCGAGATGAGCTGCAACGACAGATGCCGCCACCTCCAAGGCCACAACCTGTCCCACGGCACCCTTCAAGGCATGTTTCTGAGAGTTCCTTCTCTTCAGGGCCCGTACACCCCCTTTCTGTGCAGGAGTCGTCGCAGGATATGGGGTTACGTTCAGTGTCGCAGGCGCCATTGTCGTCCAGGCCTTTCAACGCTATCGCAAAGGCCGCATCACAAATGAAAAAGGAGGTTCGTATGGCAGATCCAGAGCGACAAGGACCACGACAGCGCGTTCCTTGGAGTGAGCACGACTCCCAGGTCCTTTGTGATCTTATTAAGGAATACGGTGTCCGATGGTCGTCCATCGAAACCATGAGTGAGCGTTTTGAATATCCGCGCAATCAACAGGCGTACCGCGACCGTGCTCGAAACCTCAAGACGGAGCTTCTCATGATTGACATGCCATTGCCTCCGAATTTTGACGCAGTAGCTTTGAGCAATAAAGAAATTGCAAAGATCAGAGGAGTTGGGAAGAATCCGTTTCGTAAAGAGGCTGATATTGATGACGAAAACAATCCCATCAATACTGAGCTTGCAGAATCCACGCCATTTTAACATTGGGCGGCACAGATACGGAAGTTTGTAAATTCAACGAGTGGCTATAATCATGTACAATTCTTCATTGGCGTTGTGCTTTACATTATATATCATGGCGGCCATATCGCGTCGCGCCAATTCTAATCCAGCTGCTGTGGTGTACATTTACAAAGTCCTGGTCAAAATCGCATGGCATTTGTGAGTCAATTCATAGTTAAAAGCACGCATTGCGTAATGAATTTCTAGTAAAATAAGCTGACTAAAGAAAGGGCAATCTCCTCCGACACCTTAGAGTCTACAGAGCCAGCTACACATATCATCATTCTTGCCCAAACTCTTTGCAATGGCTGGCGGAATAGCTATTGTGTTCTATACCATAAGAAATGGTGCTGATCAAAGCTCGTCGTGTTCTCAATTAAGACAACAGCAATAAGCGCCGGTATAGTGATGTCAAGAAGGGTGCGATTTATAAGGCGGAGCCGTAAGACGCCCATAAAGACCTCTCGTTTCAAAGCCAATGCCACAAACGCCAGTGTCTGAAAATCATTGTCGAAAGAGAGAGAAAAAAAGAAGTGAAGGACATATCATGAGCAGTTGATAAAACCTTGCGAGGCTAGCTCGTCCGTCGGTCTAAAAGTCAAAAGCCGCGCAGTAGAAACAGTCGGGTGTCTCAATAAATGGGTATCAGCCGTAAAGGCGAGTTGAAGCAATTTTTATCTGTTTAAGACAGTAATCTTCCTCGCGAGTTCAGAAATGTTATAACAAGATGACAAAGGGTATGCTGCAGTTTTCCGGGAAATGGTATAGCGTTAAAGTGGTGTGAGCAAAGAAAGATGGTCGCAGTAAGAGCGTTTGGATCCATGTCGCGTCAAGCGAAGACATGGTTTAGTGACAAAGTGTCTTCTGATCGTATGAAGGGCGTGTCCATCCTGCGTGATAGGTGCTGCCTTCAATAAACAGCATTCATCGATGACGATAGGGGACATCCCTCTGCTTGAGTCGGTTCGTTCTCCATCCCTCGTACCACTGTTCCCGACTAGCTTCACGTAGCTCGGCACGCCATTCGCTGAAAACAGCCTCTTTCAGACGTTGAAAGTCACAGTGTTCTTCATTGTAAGGATCAGCAAAACCCCACGGGAACTGTCGGCCAATGACACCTGGCTCGTACAGATCCGGGCTGATGATGGAAAGTGGCAGGAAAGGGATCTCATCTTCCTTTTCTTTGGCCTCTTCTTGTGCTTTATGTCGTCGAATGGAGCTGGTGGATAGTCTCTTGGAGCTTGGAGACGCCGCTGGGCTTTCTCGATGGCCCTGTAGTGGGAATTCCTGGCTTTCAGGTGTTTGAGCACCACCGCGTTCGTGTCCGGCCTCATCTTCCTCCTCGTCCTCCTCGGCAATCCTTTCGGAAGTGATGCTGCTCTCATCCTCATCATCGAGGCCAAGTGCCTCCAAGGGATCTAGGCCCGATTTCTTGATGCTGTCCCAAACGCTTCGTTTGAGAACATTCATATGCTTGGTGGTAATGGTGTCGGCCTTGGCAATGACTGGGATCACAGTAGTCTTGCCCTGGAGCGTACGCAGAACCTGCAAATCAAGGTCTTCATCCAGGCTCCCCAGCACACGCGCACCAAGGTGTCCGTTTTGCTGACCATTGATAGCTGGGTTCCTCGCTGATGCAATGTTGCGATCCAATCGAGAAGGATCAAGGACAAGGAAAGTCGCATGGATGTGGGTGTCTTGTACACCAGGGGAGCGTACAACCTTCATTTCCTCTGCAAAGGTTTCCTCAAACTTGCTTTCAAGAAATGCGGACATTTCCCTAAGTTGAAGGTCGACTACATTCTTCTCCAGGCCTTCTGAGTCCCAGATGGTGAGGCCAACACGCTCCCCGTCAATCTCGGTTTCAAGGTAGTGTGGAATAAAATTTCCAGAGGGAGTGTTGCGATTCTGCGGCACTTCATCATCGCCCTTCTTGGCTCGTTTCTTGGGTGGAAGAGCGAGCGCTGTTTTGAGAAACTCGAGAAAGGATGTTTTTCCAGAGTTACGAGTACCAATGACTAGAATGCTGGTTTTGGTGTTAGCACACGACTAATAAACAAATGGATTACATTGACTAGAAACTCACTTCAAGGGCGTCGGGTCCTTTCGTCTGCGAACACGACGAGGACTGTTGACCGTGCTAATAGCACTACTAGCATAGCTGTAGCGGCCACGGTTCGTCATGCTTTCTGTTCTGGCATATGGATCAAAACCACCGTTGGGCAACGGCGGAACAGGGACGGCAGCATGCGCAGCAGCGCCATATCCCCGAGGGTATTCTGCTGAAGGCCGAATAGCAGTGTAATCTGCTGATCGAGGAACGTTGGCTGGTGATTCGGGGCGCAACTCGGGGCCAAAGGATTTTGATAATTGTTCAGAATGGTTGGCAAATTCGGGCAGCTTAGGAGCAATGCGCGTCGAGGCCTGGCGCTGTCGTTCAAGCTCAGCCTCCCTAAGGGCCTGCGCCTTACGACCACCTTTGCCTAGATCGCCACTTTTGCTGCGTCGGAGTAACATGCCGAAACTGGTACGGCGAGGCTGCTCGTTGTTCATCCTCTGAGGGATTGATCATGAAAAGGAAAAGAGTCGCGGCCAAGAGACGGCAACCCAGAAGGTTAGGGTATGAGCGGGCGGCGCGAGAAGGAGGGTGCGGAGCACGTGGAAGCAGCGGGGGGGGCCTAAGATGGAAGGATGGGGAGCAAAAACTAAATGGGTGACTTTAAATGAAGTCGAGAACAAATGACAATGGATCGGAGTGGAGGAAACGGGAACGATCGAGACGGAAGGTGGATGGGCGTACGATAGTGGGCGGTCTTGGTTGATAGTTCAAAGTGTCCAAGCGGCTGGGCGGCACAAGGCAGCTGGTTGCAACAACTTCGTAGACGGACAATCAGCAGACGTCAACTGAACGGACGTTGACTGATCTTCACATGCCCTCTGTCAACGACAGTCCTTTCCAAATAACTGTTGAGGAGCAGAAAAGGGGATCTGTACAGTGGAGGGAAGTGATGCGGTTGATGGATACCTACCTAAGGTATAGAGCGCGTGCACCATATGTGGAGAGCACGCCAGTGCCAGTAGTGGGTGTAAGAGATCAGTGGAGAGTGTTTGAGACTTCGAGTCTCTGAATGAAGGTCGAGGCGTTCGTTTAGTTTGCAAAGGGGGAGATGAGCTGGGCGACGTGTCTTGCCTGGTCTTTCCCTACGTTGATTCGTAGCCTTGAGATGAGATGGAAACAGGATTGATGCGCGTCTGCAGAGTCGGGCGCTTTTGGGGAATTATTTACCAGGGGTAGCCCAGGCTCGTTTCGAGTAAGATAAGGCACCTGATTGGCTATGTTAATTAAGTTGTGGAAGGTCAAAAGCGGCACTGATGGAAGTCGAGATTAAAGGCATGGATTCAATAGAGCTTAGACAACGGAATTGTGCCCAAAAGATTACCAGCCAAGGTAGTACCGACTCCAACCCTTATACATGGGCAACCAAGTCTTAATGCCCAGTCGGACTGATTGCTACGTATAGACGCCGGGCATGATCCATACTACCTGACCTGCAGTACGCCTGTCGATGATATGCCCGAGACATAGGTATCATATTGGATCGCTTCAAACACCAGGATACACAAGCCTAGCCCAGACACACTGTGACCCTGTAGGTGTTTACGAATTTCATACGATCCGATGCCAAGCTTTCGGCCAGACAGCATGCTAAGGCTTCTTTTTACTTTCCCCCCTCGTTTCAACTACCATGACATCTACCATATCATTTGAAAGACGTCAGGACTCGCAATCCATCGGCGCATTTGTTCTGAGACAATCCCGGATGCGGACCCTTAAAACTGATTCGCCAACTTTCTGCAGCGCTAGCGATGGTGCAGGGTCCAAGACAATCTGACTGGACGGGGTAAGGGGCATTAGGGGGAAGCCAATTCTGCATGAGGACTTGGCTCCGTTTATAAGAGGCGGTGATTATTTGTCAATTTAAAGCCGCATTCAGTGGCCTGAGCAAGAAAAGGAGCCTGTGTATCACCCACCTACTCTCTTCCTATACCATTGAACATCGACTATGTCTTACAACACAGTCGACGAAGCTCCAGCCCAGCAGCGGTCCTGGGTCTTGGATCCTAGGTCTTAGGTCCTGGTCGCATGGTCCTTATCCTTATGAGCGGGGGTATCATGAGGTGGGGACAGTCCCGCCAATCTAATGCCACAGGCACACGGCTTTGGGCTTAGACTCCAATGTATTAAGTCTGTGTCTTTGTGTCTTAATTACCTGGCTCCTGGTGCGGAGTACTCTGTACGTGCGGCCTTATTGCTTGCATTTTCGGATACAAGCTCGATGATCAGGACCGAATCCCAGTATATTCTTCCGTGTCCTTGTCGGATTCAAGCACAGACGCAAGATATTTCTATGCGCCAACCAAAACCAGAAATCCCAACTTTTAGGCTGTATCGGATCGACCCACTGATGCAGGTACACGGCTTGTCAAGTGTCAACTAAACTGGACTTTAGGAAGAGGTTAGATGCCTCCACCAACTGCATCCGTCGATAACAAGCATAAAGTGTCGTCCTTCTGGGCAACAAGAATCCCTATGAAGAACATATAACGCCAAAACACCGCTGGTTCTTGTAGTTCTCCGTATGTACTTAGGTAAGGTAGTTGTGTGGACAGGGAGGCTAAGTAGATCTTGTAGTGATAAAACACAGTGGCTTTAATTGCAGGGCATCTAATGCATGTAAGCGAAGAAACAAAAGGTTTCTAACGCTAGTTCATTTACCGACAGATCCATACACCTAGTCCTATCCAACCCAATGCCTGTTTTTTGGACACTGTTTTAAAACTATGGCAACTTAAGTATTACTGCCTCGTTACCTTATTTGACTAAATGCTATGCGTTTGAACTTATGAAGAAGTGAACTACAGGCTCCCATACGGATACTACATCCCAGTTCCGGGTTGAGCATATCCTTGAACATCTATCAATCCTATTTCAGTAATCTCCTCCTGCGCTACATCAATCAATGAAAAAGTGCATCTGTAAAACAAATCGTGTCAGACTAACCTCGGTGAGCTAGGACAATAAGGCGTCAGTATGTGGCTATCGCGTGGTAGGACAATTGATCCAGTGATCAAGCCGAAATAATAGGTCAACGGCAACAAGAGGAGGGCATCTACAAAGGGCACACAATATTCGATTTTGTGGTGACTGCGGCGAATGGTCGGGCTTAGTACTCCTCCCCTCAAATGTCTCCTTAGCCAGGATCGACTGTTACAAATCATTCTTCAACTAACATGCCACTATCAGAGGTTCATGTCTGGTGACCTACCTTATAACACGGGCAGTCATGACCAGTCCATGTATCTAGTAGTAAGCATTCATTCCCGGAAAAGTCAATAATAATACGTGACTGCCTCCTGCGTTTACGCGAATCACCGCCTGGACCAAATAATATATAGAAGATAAAGGTAACATGCAACGGGATATTTTTGCATCGCTTCCATACAGTTTCTATACCAATGTATTCGAGTCCAAGGGTCTGAATGCTATCGAACTCGTTTGCTGATCTTGAGAGGGTTCTATCTGTTGACTTAGGCAAGCTCATGATGAAATAAATACCAGGCAGTGCCTATCGTCGTCTATCTATATGAACTGTACATATTCTTGTTACATAAAAGGGGAATTCGTCATAAGTTGTTGTGTACAGAGTAGTGTAGATTTCCACCAGACCTGTTGCGGTGGCACTGGCTCAGCCTTCAAAAACATCATGCTGAAGCTCGATGCCAAAGTCTTGTGCGACATCCTTCATTCTTTTTTCCATTTCATCCTCCATTCCCCCTCCAAGACCCAACCACTGGCGCAGCTTAAAGATGTAGAAGGCCACATCAGAGGCTGCCATGACAGTCTTGAAGATGATATGGCGCCAGCGATTCTGAAGGCGTTGGCTCAGTGGCAACTGGGGGTCCTCGAATAGACTTCGGCTCGCCCACTCGCCCATCATCTTGACGCGGTTGACTGGTGATCCGAGATACTGGTTGTTGCCTTGTACGATCCGCATATTGCGACCGATGAAAATCAGCTCTTGTGGCCACTTATCTTCATCTGTCAGGATCTCTCGAATGCCCTGCTTCATTCGCTTCTGCATCGCGTAATGCCGCTCAGCCGGCGTATTGCCTTCGAGCTCTTTCATTATCCCATTATGCGTGCGCTTATCTCCACCCTCGTACGGCCGCAGTAATGTTGCGCTCGCGAAGAGATCTGCCGCCTTGATCCCCCATGCTTCTGTCACCTGTGATATTGTTTTATTGTCGAATGTCATGAGCGCTTTCCAGAAGGTGGCGTATTCATTTCTGAACTTGGATGACATGTACACATAGAGGCCATGGTCAATAAGCACAAGCTCTGCTCGCCCATTGGGCAAACGTCTGATAAAGATGTTGCCAGGGTGTGGATCACAGTGAACAACACCCCACTTGAAAATCTGTGCGGAAAAGAGGTCCACCATGGTCGTCATGACTTCTCGCGTTGACAGACCAAGTCCCCCACGACCTCGTCGGCCTCGCCATAATTCCTGACGTTCTGGCTTGAGGTTCTCTTGAAATGGCCTTGTCCGAAGCTCAAGACGTGCAGCCTCAAGATCAATTTGCGGGAGTGGGCGACCAGCGCCAGGAGATCCATTGCCATGCCCTCCAAGCCATCTCGATGTTATGGCTTTCTTATCCCAAAGCCTCACACCCTCGATCCACTCGGTCACGAGAACTCGCTTTGTCGTATATTCGGGATAAACTGTAGGAATGTATACCCTCCCTTTCAAGGCTTTCTCTGCATTAACAAGCTCTCGCATTTTTTCTGAATTTTTGGCCTCATTGACGAAATCAGTCTCTAGCTCGAGTCGCTCCGTGATGAAAGGGACTAGTTTATACAGTGGGAGGTCAAACCACTTAGAATAGATCCATGCGACGGTCCTGTTTTGCATCAGTAAGTACGCGGGAGTTAGCTGCATTTTTCGGGCTTACTTGAAGGCCCATAGATCCCATGATATTTGCTTGGCAATCTCCCGTTTCTGTATTTTGATAGCGACTTCGCGACCATCCGCAAGTCTGGCCCAATGGACTTGAGCAACACTTGCACTCGCTCGAGCCTTGCGCTCCATCAATCCCATTCCCTCCTTTCCTGTGAAGCTGACGCCAAAGACCTCTTCGACACTTTTTCCAAAATCTTGTCTTATCACTGCTTCGATGTCACTCCAGTCATCTTGCGGGGCGTCGTCAAACATGCGGCTGAACATCTTTTGGAATTCGGGGGGCAGTACGGCACTCTGCATTGCAATGGCTTGTCCGATCTTGAGATAAAGTCCACCATTGGAACGGAGAAGGTTGAACAGCCGCTCGGCATTCCGATTATGCAAGTCCTGCACCGTCCCGCCAGTAATAGGCTGGGGTCGAAAATTCAGCTTGTAGTCGAAGGCTACGAGCAAGCCGGTTCCGAAAGTATGTAGAGAGCGGCCAAAACCAGATGCGTATATCTGACGATCGCCGAGATAAATAGTACCTCCCAAGACGCATGTCAAGAGCAAGCGCCGCGCCCATCGCCGTCCCCGTCTGTATTCCTTCGCCCGCCGGGGGGCACCAAGCTCCTCTGGCGACGGCGGTCGCATGGCCTGGAAAGGACCACCTGATTGTAATCTTCGCAACGATGGTGCGAGCGTTCTGTGTCGGCAGCGCATGGTGGCGCGCGCTGAGTGGCCTTGCATGGCGTTGCGCAACATGCTGGGGGGGATCGGTGATGATCAACAGTCGAGCACCATGGGCAATGAGTGTGATGTAGCTACAAGTGACTGGATGAGGACATGGAGGGGGGGGGATGAAGGGAAAGGCAAGGGCGAAATGCAATAATCCTCTTGCCCCATCTCCGGAGTCGTTGATGACGTCCGAGATGAAAATTCCCGGATAGCTTATCCCCGGAACGGCTCGGAGAATCGGTGGGCACACGATCGCCTTCCGCAAGTCGGTGCAATTTCTGGCCGATTTCCCGACTCGGCCTGTGTCACGTAATCGACGTATAAACCACATATCGAACAAATGTCTCTACGAGCTACCTACCTACTTTAGTAAGTTAGACGCAGTGCGTACTATAAGTACTTAGGAAGATATCTACTAGGTACAGTGTAGCTTTTCTTGTTCATTGTCTTACCTTTAGATTCACATTGGTAATATTATTGGGACCCAATTCCACCTCGGATTCATGATATTATCTCGGCTCTGGTACCATTGTTATCTTGTGCATGACCCCTGATTTGATATTCTAGATATATAGGGATGGTATGTATCTAATTCAGGCGTTGTTCTGCTACCAGCTCAGATATCATCCGTTATCGACTAGCTACAGGGTAGGCATACCAGAGAGAAGGATCAGAAATGGAAGTTGTAACACTTTATTGAACGGTGTAAGTTAAACATAGAAATCAAAAGAGCACCCGCGAAACCATAAATCATCAAACACGAGTATGAACGTGAAGCAGTTGATCAATACGAGTATCAATGGGGATGACGAATATGAGACTATACCCCAGTTGTCGAAACATGAAGCATTATGCAGTGTGTTTCGTCACTTAGAAAACCATAATGAGGATGGGCTGCAGGTGATTTGAGTCAAGGCAGCCTTTACATATCGAGGACCAAAAATGCGCAAAGCATGGGCATCATCCTTTGTATAGTTTTCTAATCTCTCTTCCCTTTGCTGAGCTGGCTTGGCCGCTGGGTTTGGGTCCGAGAGGAGCATCGGCCCGTTGCATATTGATTGCGGCACTAGAGGGTATGATGACTGCATGGTCGGAAGCTATAGCCTCCAAATCATGCGTCTAGCCCGTCGAGATCTATTGTTCGCAGTACACATCCAAATATATGGTGAATAAGTCGATTGGCTAGACTGGTGACTTATCTATAGTAGTGTTGTGGCTGACCAAGATTCCGTCGCTAGCCTTTATATCAGCACCATCGAGGCAACTGAGACTTCAGACGCGCGTAAGCACGTCGCAGAAAACAATTAAGATCAAATTTCCCACGAAATGCGGAATACTACATGGTACTACCATAGAAAGTTTGCTCCTGAGACTAAGTTAGCCACGTCAGTGCACATTATCGACCTGGGTTGTTGCGATGGGAAGATTGAGTGTTGGGCAAAACGTTGTCTCAGATATAGCAAGGGCCGAGGCCACAGGGAAAGGATTGCTCTCGTTCGAGGAACAAAAAACACAGGTTGTTTACTAGGTACATGTGTCACCCAACCAGAGAAGATCACAAAGTCGGAGGAGTTGTCTTTTTAGCTTCATAGACTGCATAGAGATCGAGCCTAAACTGGCAGCCTAGGACAAGGATATTGAGCCAAGCACAGAAGAGGCGCGATAGAGGGTTCGTACTGTATGACTGTAACCGAAAATGACGCCTACCGTACGACGTGGGATTGGTGGGTATGTTACAACCGTAGAGACCCACATGGGCTAGCCTCCCATTTCCCTCATTCTGTGAAATGGTGTGGTGGTGGTGGGATAAGCAGCATGACATCCATGATTGAGAAATTAAACTTGTGGCTAAGATTGTCTTATTGGCAACCTTAGTGAGTTGGCTGTTGGCGTAAACTTTGAAAATAGAGCCATTGTTTACTACCGGTAAGAGAATCGGTCGCGGATAAAGCATGTGCTAAAGGTACAGTAGACTCGATAAAATAGATCGGCAGATAAGATCAGTCAATGCATGGAATATACAAATTTCTGCGACGTCCTTTGTTCGACTGGTCTCGCGTGTATTCGGCGAGGTCAGACGGCTGGGGCTGGCCCCCTTGTTCCTGGACCAGCGCATCGACATTCCCACTAGACTAGCTAATCTAAGACTAGCGCTCTCTGTTTCCCTAGTACTTTGCTAAGCCACAAAGAGCCAAGTTGGATAGACCAGAGCAAAGCACCTTGTCCGATAACACCCAAAGTCAATCCCCCTCCTCGTTGCTCAATCCCGACCACGACGTTCGTTCCCAACTCATTTCTCGACTGGAGCACGGTGTCGAAACGTATTGACGATAGCATCGGTTGTCGAAGCCCACTGGGGCGTTCTCAGTATAATCAGACGGCTTGGCGACCATTGTTTACTTCTTCAAGTCTACGACTTTATATCGGCAACAGGCGACAACTCAGGTCTCGCGACTGTGCTGCATCTTGCTATATTCACCGATATAGCCTCCAGCTTTCGTACGAAGGATCTCGGCAGCAAACGCAAGGAAAAAAACAAGAAACAGACCAATTCCTCGAAGAGACATATTTGGAATAATTCAGGATTCGACTGCTCAACTATACAGCCCAATATTGTCCTTGTTGCTTCATTTCCCCGATAACTCTCACCCTCCCTTCGCCAATGTTATTCATCAACGTTGCAGCAGAAGGAAATAGTGAAAGAGCTACACGTTGATATATTGCCTTTCCGTCCCCGCGTCTTCACGACGTCGGCCGCTTGCTCTGTCGTCCTCTTGTCGGTCTTGAATCGGGCGCTTAGCGCACAGTTGCCATGTTACGGCCTGGCACACCGTTGACGGTGCTGCTGTTCGCAGCTTTTGCTTTGCTCCTATTAGCTGTTATATCAACCCCAATCATCGAAGCCATTCCACTGAGCGACTTCAGTGGTGTAACATATGGCGTTTTTGGCTACTGTCAACAAGGCAAGGGATGTAGCGGTATCGGGGTTGGATACGACACTGGTCAGTCTACCGTGATGTTGAAACGCGTTCCCTCTTTCGAGTCGTACTGATGTTCTTTTAGCCAAATTAGTTGGGGATGATAGTCAAGCCTTCGACTTACCATCTGGCGTTCGGAATACACTATCTGCCATTCTTATTGTGCATCCAGTCGCGGCACTTATTACCCTTGTCATGACTATCATGGCGGCTGTGTCTCACTTGCACGCTCCCTCGCACTCGACAAGATATCTGCTCATTTTATTTATCTTCCTTCTCATTGACTTCTTGGTTTGCTTGCTAGCCTTTTTGATCGACGTGCTTCTATTTGTACCACACTTAGCATGGGGTTCTTATCTTGTTCTTGCTGCTACTATCCTCGTTGCCATGAGTGGGTTGGTAACTTGTGCGATGCGTCGCACTCTGGTCAGCAGGAAAGATAGGCAGCGACGTATCGCTCAGAATGCTGAAATGAGCGGCGAGAATTATTACAACAGAACTGCTCAAGATAAGACGACTGTGGAGCCTGAAGTTTCTCGACAACCGACTCTACCCACCGTGAGTGGTGGCAATGGTGTCCATGACAATCTTCCGTCCTTCACAACCTTCGAACAGAAGAGCAGAAGCGACCAAGTTAGCGAAGAAGCCATCCCTCTTACCCGCCGGACCACATCAAATCGATCTCCAGCACCCCCTAACGAGGTGGCAAGCGTGGGTGAGGTTGCGGCCTTTAGCAGGAACCCACAGAGGCAAGGTTCTCGCGATCAGTTTGGCAATCCAATCGACACTGCTACCGACCCATATGCGACGCGGAGAGGACCTTCTCCAAGCATGAGTAACCGTGGAACAGGAGCCGGAGGAGGCTACCGCGGTGGAAGAGGGGGTTATAGTCGTGGAGGATATGATAACTACGGAGGACCAGTCCGAGGTCGTGGAGGCTACGGGCCGTCTGGAAGGGCTGGATATGGCCCCAGAGGAGGACGAGGAGGCTATGGACAACCCAACCGAGGAGTCTATGCTGTAAACGGGATGAGGGGAGGTCTAAACGCGCCCCCAGGATACAACAACGGTCCTTACGATCGGAGACCGTCGCCCGCTCAAAACTTTGCTTACGATGTTCAGCCGTCAGAGCCATCTAATGGATATAGCTCGACGAATCCTTCGATGCCGAGTGTGAACACTTACACCGCTTACAGCCCAGAGTCCACATTGCCTCGAGCTGAGTCGCCGCCGCCTTTGCCAGGAACCGAGCCTGCCACTGTTGGGGGTCGCGCAGTAGAAATGGATGCATCTCCGGCAGTTCAGCATCATGACGGAGGAACCTACGGACAGCTCCGGGACAGTGACGCGGATGTTGCAGGTATGGTTGGACTCCAGCAGGGGCAGATCCCTCAGCGACATGATACGTACATGAGCGAGGGAAGTAAATATAGCACTGACGAGTATGGTTCCCGCTCATGATTTCTCCACGATGCTGACCAGATGACCAGGCAATATGTTCCGCCGCGCTCAGCGTGGACACAGGGCGATGGCAGAAATTCACCCCGAGCCCCGTCACCTCTGGTAACTGGTCAACCAAAAGCTGAACTCACTGAAAGAAGGACGCCTCCTGTTGTCCAACAGCCTGTGGCCACCGGGAATAGCAACTATTATGAAGATGTTGATCCCCGTTTCGCCTCCGATGCACCACCAGCAAGTAACAACCTTCAGCCGCCCCCTATTGAGCCTATATACGAGGATATCCATGCCAATAATGCGGGGACTCGAAGCCCTGCTGAGTCCGAGCATTCAACATTTACTTCCATATCCCAGCGTGGGATCAACCCGCGTTGGAACCCCAACCCCCCACCGCTACCGTACCAACAAGGACCCCCCCATCGCCGACCAGCACATCAACAACAGCAGCGCCAAGACATGCTATTAGATACCCCCGACTTTCAATTGCCTAGTTCGCGGACTGGCCGAGGCCCTGGAATGGTACCTGGAAGCGCATACCCACCTGGCGGTTTCTAGTGAATCTGCCTAGTGAGCTTCTATGATAGTATCATGATCACCAGACTGGGTTATTTCTAATATATCCTGACCCTTCTCCTGTTGTTCGGGTGTTCATATCTCTCAATTCTTCTCTTTATTACGGCCATATGCCTAAAGACACAGTTGTCCCTCAGACTAATGTAGTGTCTTATTGTAGGTTAACGGTAACAACTGTGTTGGTTTACCATTCTTCATCCTTTGTGTATTACATTCCTTGAAACGTACATTTTGTTTCTTTTACTTCGATGCCATGGAGATCACGCACAGTTTTGTCCTATGCCTGACACATTCTTGTACCCTTATTATTGTTGTTTTGTCTTTAGCTATAGCGCAGGACGCTGTGATTCCTTACTTGGCAGTTATCGCATGACAAGCCACGCCTGATGTCAACGGAATCCACATCGTCTTGAAGAGAGAGCGTGCTGCTAGCAATGTTGTTGATTTGATTGATTGATTGATTGATGGAAAGAGAGAAGGAAAGGAAACACGACGTGACCATGAGCCTCTGCAGGTAAAAGTGGTCCCTGAGGGTACATCGATTGAGATGAATGAGACGAGGGATTAGATACAAGTAGACATCTTCTTTAAGAGGAAGAATAATGACGTATCAATCGAACTGGGCTCTTTTATGCATAAGTACCTAGTGGATCCTCATCTGAAGTTGGGCAATCCTCTTTGTTTGCATTCGAGAACTGTATGGCAAACCGCGACTTGTTGCTGCCACTTGCGCATGCAATCGCTACCTATCTGGCCAGCTAACGTAGGTATTTACAGTCATGCAAATTGAATCTATCAACCCGCGTAGGTCCATTCACCGCCGAGACCATTCAGAGCACACCCTAGAGTCGAGTATGTGACTCGAGCTGAAAGAGCAACTGGGTCAGAGCCTTTCCCTAAGGTTGGCAGACAGACCCAGACCCCAGTTTGTAATGCCAAACTACCTACCTGCCACTCTATATTGGACGGCCCTCGTGCTTTTGTTTATTAGCCTCGCCTTCCATACAGCGCTTGCATCGCGGTGATGCATCCTGACACTGACAGTCACTGTTAGTCTTGGCAATGAATGACACAAGGCGTCAGAGAATTCGAGTGCCTCTGCAGCCACCACAAGCTCATTACAAATTAGATGAAGCAATTTATTTCCCTCTGCTTACCTACTCATGAAACGGAGTGAAGAAGAAAATTGTTACCTCCCGCCAAAAAGAAGCCTTACCACCAGACCTACAAAGCCGGGCAATTAAGTAACCTTCATCCTAACTTATACATATCTTCAACTTTTGGATCTCGTGGCCAAGTGTCTCGCCAGCATTTCTTTATGTGTTCCTCCATTTACATCCAGTTTTGGTCTATAGCACCTTCCTGCTCTTGCGAGTTGCGTAGCGTGGGCTGGAGTTAAGAAGGAAGGCGCATACCCTCAGTCTTCTTCCCCGGAGTGGCTTCCTGCCAACACCACAACCGACACACTTCTTTCTCTCTCTCTTCAATCCCGTCTTCCTACCCTCAACCTTCGCTTTTATTTCTCCAGTCTGGTTCTCTCCACAAGGTTGGTCATTTGTGTCAAAACGATGGCAAAGGTGTGAAAGCCCACTTGTTCTTTAAACTATCTTATACTGCACTGCGCATATTGGCCACCTCTGCATTTCTACAGCCCTTCTCACACTTTTGCAGAAGCATCATTCCGCTAGATATCCCCACGACCTCATCTGCGCCCACACTCAGACAGATTCGGACCATCTAGCAAACTCAATCTAACAGGCACCTTCCTTGAATCTCAGAGATATTGATCGTCCTTACCACCTCCGGCGAACAAGATATAACAAGCTGAGCCAGCATGGAGGACCTGTCTTCCCCCATCAGCATCGCTTCATCTACCCCAACTGCTCCAACTTCGGCTTCAAAAGTCACTTACACCACTGCTGGCACTCCATACAATCCTAGCACTTCTCAGCCACTGCAACCGCCTGCCCGACGAGGTCGCTCTCTCAAGTGGCCTGCCGGTCTCCCTGCGGCTGGGCTATCTCTGCTTCCCAAATCTGTCCTTGCCACTCTGCCCCTTAAAGCTGGATCACGGTCCTCGCCTCTCCAACAGTACAGCCCTCAGACACCCTACGACAGAGCATCCAGCCCCTTGAATGATACAGACCACAGATGTATCAACATGTCCGCCCAAGTACCCCGGCTCGTGTCTTCTGCGACTCCGTCGCCGCTTATGTCCCTCTTCTCCGAAGCTGAACAAGACACGTTTACCGACGTTGACCCAAGTGAGGAAAGCGATGAAGAGTGCGAACTCGGCATGGACCCGTTGATGAATATGACAGTAAAGTCTCTTCACAACCTGGCTTCTTACCCAAACCCCAATCAGAAGCGAGCTCAGAAAGCCCTTCTTCGGGGGCTCAAACCAGCCCTTGGCCTGAAGACGACAACCCGTGTTGACGAGCCTTTGGCTCCCATCACTCATTCCTTTGGACTCCCAGATGCGTCCAACAACAACAACAACGACCTGTCAAGTGTGTTACAGCCGCCACAGGCAGAGAAACCTACCCTCGGAAGATCTTTCGATGACGCATTCTGGAATTCCCATGTCAATAAGTCGCCCAGCATCCCCCTTGGCACATCCCGGAGTTTCAATCGCGCAGTTGGCAGCAATACCTCCCGTGCTGCTGGTACTATTGCTCCTGGTGCCGGCGCTCCACGGCCTTTAACTGCCGGCCCCCCTGGTCAACGCCAATATCGACCATCGACCTTCGAGTCAACTTTCAAAGCACTCCACACAAACATACCAAGCCAAGATGTCAAGCAAGATGAGGACGAAGATGTTCTTATCATTACTCGACAGACTCTACGTCAAGTAGGCATCAGTAACAACAGCCTAGCACAGAATATACCGTCGTTTGAAGCAACTGCTTCACTGGCTTCACAAACCGCAGAGGATTTGGAGGGGTTGTCTGCCAATTCCAAAACCACCCGGCCAAGTGCACCCACAACCGCCGCGACGCGAGGCTCCCAGTATCCTGCGAGAGGAACGTCATCCTGGGGCTTAGGCACTGCTACGACATCTGTATGCTGGACATCATCGCCCGAGCTCAGCCAATCTCGATACACATCGGGACCTAGATTCAGAGCACCAAAGGAACTCCAGGCCTACAACAATAAGATCAATCACGCCTGGTACTACGGAGCCGATTTCCTAGTAGCTACACCAAGCGAGATTGCTTTGCAGGTTCAGCCCCCCAAGGGAAAGGGGCAGTTCGGTGCAATTGGGGATGGGCGCCCATCAAAGAAAGGTGAATTCCATCGCCGAATGGAAATTGAAGACGCCAATCGCATGTCAGTGACAGACCATGCTCGTCCACTGTTCAATATGGCACATGCAAACGTGCAGCAGTTCATTGAAGGCGAGTGGAACAAGAGCCAGGGACGCCGTGCTACGGTAATACAGGCAACCAAGTAGAGGCTATTAATCAGGAAGGAGGTGATTGGCGATGAGTATGAAATATTTTTCATACGGTGCCCTATACACGACAGCATGGAATAGTTTCTGAGAAAAAGTATGTAGATGATGACGGCCTTGCGCGACTGTTGCAGGGCAGGAAGGTTGGATGCTTTTTGGGATGGGCTCTAACGGAAGCCAGTCATGATGTGAGCGGCGATGTTATACTTACACGAAAACAACGGCCAAGCAAATGTATTTCGGCCGATCCATAACGATGGCAGTATAGGAAGAACGGGTAACTTAGTAGTCCTTAGCCGACATGCGAAAACGGAATATGATGAGCAATTATCATACTTGCAAAGTGAGCGTTGACACTCCTGTGACTGGTGTGCAGCTGGTTAAGTGCAGTATGACCCATAGTTTTGCGTCTACTTATTAGCCAAGCTTTTTTTCTCAAAAGGATTACGAGAGTTGGGAACAGAAGTATGTTGATATACACAGACATAGTAGTCAGAAACTTTGATCTTACTATATGTCGTGTAAAGGGCATCATTGAAAGCGAGCTCGCGATCAGGAAAAATCGATAGTCTAATCCGTGATGGCATATCCCGTCCTATGGTATCCATTGATGCTATGTAGCTCTCGAGTTGTCATGGGGTGTTGAAATATACTTGGCGCATGGCCGTGATGGCACATGTCAGAAAGTGACAGTGACCAACATTGTTCTTGGTTAATTTGCCTTTTCAAGCTAGCACCAGCTTTGGTTTTGAAGAGAAGATGAGGACAATTTGAAGGAGAGTGTGAGTGGGTCTCATGACGTTGGTAAGGGGCCTTGTTTTTTTCGTCCCTTTTTTTGGGAATCTTATCTAGATAGACTACATAATTTCCTTTCCGCAGATAACTAGTAATGGGACTTAAGAGTTGACAAAAGTTGAAGTTGCAATTGCGGAGACATGTTCTTCATGTCATTTCGAAATATACTGTATTTCGGGTACTCTGACTCGAGACTTTGTGCCGGATAGTGTCTGCTCCCTCCCTCCTTGGGTAGGTACCTTAGCTATAGATCGCGTTGGTGTTTCTTTGATCCACTTTTTTTTAACTGCTGGCCTCTTTTCCCTTCTTTCCTTTACCAAGTTCAAGTCTCTTGATTACATCTTCTTCCCTTCTTTCTGGGTATCGATCCTGAACTGCAACCATCGCTTGCTGCGTACTTTCTGGCTCTTCGTTACCACGAGAATCCGTCTTTCTGCGCGCGTTACTGCACGATTCAACAAGCGAGAGGATACAAGTGCAAAGCGGGAATCGGACGAGAAACCTAGACTTTACCCACTCCAACAAGAAAAGGCCACAATACCAATCGATCGCTCTGCAGGCCAACCGGAGCACAGAACTGAGAACACACAACTTTCGCGAAAAAGCCAAACAAACGAGATACAATACAACGATGGTCTACGTACGGCAAAAGGAGCTCCCCGCGCTCCGTGAGTACAAATACTCTGGTGTCGACCATTCACTGCTTTCCAAATATGTTCTAAAGCCCTTCTACACGAAATTCGTCATCAAGTGCTTCCCTATGAGCATGGCACCGAATCTGATCACTCTGACCGGGTTTTCATTCGTCGTTGCAAACTTCTTGACACTGCTGTGGTATACTCCCACTCTTGACCAAGATTGCCCCTCCTGGGTGTATTATTCTTGGGCACTGGGCTTGTTCCTATATCAAACGTTCGATGCTGTGGACGGAACTCAAGCGTAAGCTAATTACAATCGCATTTGCCATGTATTGAATTTGTGCTGACTGAACGGCCAGGCGCCGAACTCGGCAATCCGGACCTCTGGGCGAACTCTTCGATCATGGGGTAGATGCTTGTAATACCTCGCTTGAGGTCCTTCTTTTTGCTGCTTCTCAGAATATGGGACAGAGCTGGCAGACTGTGGCAGTCTTGTTCGCATGTGAGTCAACACTGGCGGTTCTGTTGGGATGCGCGATGCTAACTTGATAGCCCTCTTGACCTTTTATGTTCAGACGTGGGAGACTTATCACACCAAAACTCTCACTCTTGGTATCGTCAACGGACCGGTCGAGGGCGTTCTTGCGATCGTCCTGGTCTTCGTTTTCACTGGCTACGTTGGGGGTGCTCATTTCTGGCAACAGAGCATGTTCCATACCATCGGTGTGCCTTCCACCATTGGTATCCCGTCTTTCATCTACAATCTCACCTTTACCGAGTGGTATCTTATTCAGGGCAGTATTGTTCTTGTCTTCAACACCGTCGAGTCTTCACTCAACGTCATCCGCGCTCGACGTGCCCGTGGTGACCGTTCTCGAGGTGCGCTCCTTGGCCTAGTGCCTTTCTTCAGCATCTGGTCTATGGTGGTTGCCTACCTTTATCTCCAACCTAAGATCCGCGAATGCCATCTCATCCCGTTTGCCCTCTTCGCCGGCCTTGTCAATGCCTATAGCGTTGGGCAGATGATCACTGCTCATCTTGTTCACCTGCGCTTCCCCTACTGGAACGTGCTAGGCCTGCCTCTTGCCTTTGGTGTCATCGATTCATTGGGTCCCATCTTCCAGCGCTACTTAGGATTTGGTTGGCCCAGCGCTCTTGGCGATAGTGTCTACCAAGTGGCTTTCATGTTCATGATGCTCGGAACCGCCGTCGGTGTCTACGGAAGTTTTGTCGTTGACGTAATCGTTACCATCTGCGATTACCTCGACATCTGGTGCCTCACCATTAAGCACCCTTATGTTGAAAACGAAGGCGCTCAGACCAATGGTACAAAGAAGGACTAAATGACTGATATAGACCCATGTCAATGGGTTCATGGCAGCGCGGGGGCTCAATCCCCCGAATAGAAGAGTCGCGTAACAAGACTAACAATCGGACTCAAAATTAGAGACGTCGGTAGTTCCAGGTTCGAACGGAGTAATGGAAACGCTTCATGCAGGGATGCCAAGGGATTGGGAATGAGTCAAGATATCTAAAGAGGGTTTAAAAGAGGGCTATCGCGATTATTACATATATCAGGTTCTGGCATGTCTTTGATTATTACGGTTTTCGTGTAGAAGTTTTGTATGATTTGTATGAGGAACGGTTTTGGTTCTTTCTTTTTGGAGTTCTGCAGCGTGCTTTTGTATAACGTTACTGTAGCTTATAGATGCTATTTCTATGTCCGCTGTCAAATTTGACATTATATCAATCTTCTGCGAACCTACTTATGTTTATGACCATATAGAGCCAACACCATCATACGCCAGGCTTTCAGGATCGTGCCGGTCGAATGGGGCTAGGAGACCTTGAACAGAAAATATTTCATCATTTTTGCAACTCAATATACTTGACTTTCCAAGATCCTATAGCATGGTCGTGCATATGGCAGACATTTGCTGCGTGTCTTTGAAAACCAGTCCAAAATTTCTCGGGAGACATACGTAAAAACCTTGAATACAAAACGCCACGCCAAAAAGCCCCGACGGGCGGGGTATCATCTTCCACTTAGTCTCTTAGCGTAATATACGTCAATCATAATGAAGCCATTCATGTATCCTTTCTTCCAAATTGGCCCTTTTGCGCCTTGTCGCTCACTTAGAGAAGATCATCAGTGCCGCTCGCGACACTTTGTTCAATAGCATTGGTGATTGAACGCTCCGAGAAAACAGGACCCTGGCCATCACATCTAGCGCAGTTCTTCAGGCGCTCGCTGACATCGGCAATATCAACCAGGCCTTTCTTGAACAATTCGTGAGATATGATAAAGTCCCATGTTGCACCGGCAGCTAGGAGACGTTCGCCATCATCTGAAGTAACAATGCGGTGTGAGGGCGACTTATTTGTGTGATTTTGCAAGACGTTGGAGTAGAAGTCGGTAGGTTTGAAGCGCAGAGGCCCGGTTGCAGGCTCTGGTGAGATGGAACCATGGCTCATGTGGGATGTCGCGCGAAGGATTTCGTTCTCGGTAGATATTTTCTGGAGATCTCGCTTTAAACGTTCGTTTTCGAGGGATGATTGTTGCTGGGCGGCCTCGAGTCCGGCAAGCTTCGCCTCAAGGTCTTTAACATGCTTTTCTTTCCTCTCGCGGAAGGCACGCTGCCTGTACAGCCACATGTTAGTTAAGAACAAAATCGTCGTCATCGATCGCATTTCGAAGTCACGGTTATGTTGTGTGCCGTGAGGTCTTCTCGCAAAATAAAAAGACCAAGGCAGGAGAAGAGTGAGACGTACGCAGCGCGATTCTGTGCTTTCCTCCGAGACTGAGCAGGAGTTAGGTTCTCGTCCTCCTCGCTGCCCCCACGGGCAACGGACTGCTCGTCAGGGGAGCCATTCCTCAATGAGCCTCCTTGCTGTTGATGGGCTTGGGCTTGAGAAGTATAGCCGGGAGGTGTCGGGGGGCCCGGAAAACCAGAGGCAGGCTGATGGGGGTTTGCATTGAAGCCTTGGGCGGTGGTATAATCGAAAGACTGGAACTGGTCATTTTGACTGGCAGAGAGGCCGTCGTAGTTTTCCTGTACGTGCCAAAGCAATATGTCAGCTAAGATGCGCTAATGCTATAAGATAGACGAGCTGCAGGTACAACGTTGAAGATGCCGAGAAGGTCGTGCTTGTAAGGCTCAACATTGCTAGAGTAATGCTCAGGTAAGGAAACGCTAAGGCAGGGCTGCACCGGGGGAGTGGGGGAGATCGCGGAGAAGGGGTCGTTTACTGACAGGCGGGGATGCATTGAAGTCATCGGAGCCGGCGGAATGCGAGTGTGACGGCGTCAGAGGAGGAATCGGCATGAACTGGTGATAGGGCTGAGGGTTGGCAAAGTTGTATTGCCCGGTGAAATCCATCGTGAACCTTCAGAGGCGGTGGTTGAGGTCGAGTGAAGGTTAAACGAAGCAGGTGGAGTAGAGCAGAATCGAATCGAGTAGTTCGATGCGAGTGACTGTGGCCACACAAAATGGACGAGGAGCCCGAGATGAATGAGGTTGAGCGCAAATGAATAAAGATGTGATGACTCAATGCCGGGTTGAAGAGGCAGAAGCGCTTCTTGGTTAAAATAGTAGAGAAGAAGTTGAGCTTGTATGGGGGCTTGGCTCTAGGTTGGTGGATGAATTAACTAGGTACGAGGCGGGTGACGCGGGTGGGTGAAGAAGAGAGGTGGAGGTGGAGGGGGATGGGGAGCACAGGTGCAGACCGATTGACCAAGGTGAGCGAGCCCCAAAAGCACAGAGCACAGAGCACAGAGCACGGGCAGGGCAGGGCAGCAGGCGGTTAGGAGGTGGTAGGGAGGTGGTAGTAAAAGGTAACAAGGTGCCTTAATGAAGCATAACGTGGAATGCGTTTCACGAACGGGGGGACGGGAAAGGTTGGGCCTGGGCCCTTTTAAGAAATGGCTGAGACTCTGCGATCTAGGCCGAGCTAAGCGGTATATGGCAAAGCTAGGTGCCAATCACGACTGACACGGCATTTGCCTTTGACGTGCATATTGGCCGTTGTGTATTAGTCGTGCCAAGCCAGGGTCGGATATCAACATCGTGAGCTTCCTAACTCGAGCATTGCAACGAACTTCCAAATGAGAAACATTCTGGATGATCAAAGGCCTCACAGAGGCTGTCCAGTATTACGGAAAGGGTTCCATGCCGCGTTCGAAGCTAAAGTGTCGCCTAGGAGGAGTTTCGATGGGGGAGCTGCAGCAAGGCGGCCGACGTTACTGGGCATTTAATTCGTCCCTTATTTCCTTGCCTTTACCCGCCAGCTCAGCGCTGTTCAGTTATCTCCCTGGAGCCCGACGGTTGTGCAGACGTTAAGGGCAAGTCGTGAATTAGTCCACGAGCTTGAGGCTAGAAAAATGCGACTCCTGCACATGCAGGCAGGGCTACCTTGAACAGCAACGTTGACGCAGTAGTGGGAGTGGTGCACACTGATCAGGCATTAGCTACCTATGTTCCCCCTTGACACATTGTTCTTATCAGCCGGTATCTCGATTCCACTTCGTGAACCACCACTCTGAACTGCAAAACACAGTGGTTTCCCGAGTTTCTGAAGTCTGTGCTAGCGCCAAGTTGACATGTTAGTCAGACAACTCTGGGTTCAGATATATGACGGCCTCAGAACATGGAACAAACAACGGACCTAACAAACCGACTCCACTGACCAGCGTGGTTCTAGCGAGCTTCAAAGGTTCCGTCTAATGCACAATGGTAAAAATAACTGTTGCCTGATCCCCATCGCTCTTCTTTTTCCTCCTTCTGTCCCGAGACCTGGTGGGTCGTTGGCGTGTAGGTAAGCAGGGTCGTCTTTCACATGGGGGTTCAAGAGGATCTGCGCTTTACATATCAAGATCTATCTCCCTCTAGACGCTCCGGATTTGTTCAGGATTTAATTGACTATGTGCAGTCCTGGCACATTGGTTTCCCTTGCCTAATTCGGCAATATCGTGCGCCAAACAGTATACCCATCCCATCGATGGACAACGACCTACCTCAATAACGCCATGAATGCATCTCGCAAACCTCTTTACGACCCTCACTCCCAGCCTTACAAGGACAACTGCTGAAGCTTCTTCGGCCCTATTTGAACACGCAGCCCCGTATTTTGATCTAGTATGTTCAGCCTGGTCCAGCGCACTCGATACAAAAGACAACAACTTCATCAAGCGAAGCCACATCTGCATCCGACTCTGCTTAGTCGGCCGCCCGCCCGCATTGGCCGCCCGCTTAAGCAAGAGACCCTCAAGAGACCCCCGATTGATCCCGTAACACAATGAAGAGCTTGAGCACTAGATTTTTTTGAGCGGTCTCTGCTCGCTTGCACGTGGTTCGGCAGGAGTTCTGTGCTCTCTTGGCAACTTCTCCCAACCTTCGCCGGGTTTGTTTGGGGAAGATATACACAAACCCCGGCCCATAGAATCCGCACATGAGAGTAAGAGATTAGGGTTGGAGGGGGAGTGCTACGGCGCAGCTGTCGAATTGGTGTGTTGTTGATAATCGCCTCGCCCTCCAGAATCATTAGGACTGTGAGTAAGGTAGTTTGGCTCCTGTACGCAAATGATATGTCGAGTAGTCAGCAACCGCACCCACAGCCTAGAGACATTTGCTCCGTTTAGGTGCTCACTGACTTATCATCGCTAGCACATGGAAGTCTGCGTAACCAATAATACAGTACCCGGGCGCAGCTTCGCGCATCCCCTGCTGGACCCGTCTGGTCTCTCTGTCTCCAGGGTTTGTCTTGGAATGGTCAATTCCTTGGGTAGTTAGGTTGTATCCTAAGACCCTTGGTACATGATATATGCAGTCGAAGCTCGCAATGCCCTTCCCCATGGAATAGGATACCGACGCCTCTCTCCGGGAAATCGGACTCATATGTTGCACCCACGATATGATAACCTAGGGTACCCATCTGGCGGGCGCAGCTTTGTGTAGGTGCATACGAATGCAACTTCTAAGTTGTCGAACGTGGGGAACGATTAACTTAGATCTTACGCACCCTCCGGAGCAAAACCCGTACATAGATCCCGCACTCGCTCACCTAAAGCCTCAAGCAGGTGGGTGGGTGCTGCCCGCCAACCCCTTCACCATTCCGACTTTTATCACGCCTTGGATACTTCCCCAGGGTAACATTGAGCTGAGGGATTGGTATTTAGGTATATACGTGTTGTCACCACACAATACCAATGGTCGGGTACCTTAGCCACTGTGCCTAGAATGTGATGCACGGATTGTTCTTGTTGCCGTTATTCCCGACTTGCACAATCATCATACTCACGTATGTGATATTGATCCACGAAGCTAATGTAAGTCAGACGGCGAGGTGACTGACTGACTCTTGAGGTTTAAGCGAGCCCAACTTAGCACTGCTGAAACTCAATTGATCCATTTGCGGAGTTGCTTCTTTTCAGCAGACCAACCCAGCCTATCTCATACCTGGAACACTTTAATCTCCACGAGTCTTTGATGTTGACGTTCTGGCTATGTTTGTTTCTTCTAACTCACAACTTCACTCGTTACATTGTGTTTAATACAAACGAGTCATCACCAGCTTACAATACAATTCCGTTTTGACCTGGTTTACACAAACGGGGAACTTCTTGGCTGGAATATTCAAATCTTGTTTTTGTCATAATCCCCGGAACTGTCTGTAGTCTTGTCTCTTGTTCTCCAGTTTCCCTTTCTCATCTGTATTTTAGTAGTTCTCACATTCTAGAAATCCTACAACTTCTAGGTCCTTTTAACCTCTTCTTAAGGCAAGAGTCTCTTGGGTGTACGAGGATAATAGCTTGCCAAGTGCACGCTTGGAAGGTTCAAATACCACGCAACCACACGGTCCAAGCCAATACCACCGCCGCCGTGAGGGGGAACACCGGCACTGCGGAAAATGTCGACATACTCCTTGATGCCTTGGCTTTTAGGGTCGATACCCTTTGTACGAATTCGTGCTTCCAGAGTCTCCGGAACGTGAATACGTTGACCACCCTGTTGAACAAGTTAGTGACGACTAGACAAACGATATAGGAGAGGGTGCCATACAGATAGAATTTCTTGTCCACGCATAAAGAAATCGAAGGCATTAGTAACCTTGGGATTCTCGGGGTCCTCCAGGGCATAGAAAGGTCGAGCACCCTCGGGGAACTTGTCAAGGACGTAGAAGTCGGTGCTGTACTTTTCCCGGATAAGAGCGCCTAGTGCCTTCTCTTGCGGTGTGCTCATGTCCTCTTCATCAGAGACGTTGCGGTACTCCTCCGGACCCTCAGCTCTAAGGAGTGCCTGACCCTCAGCGAATGTAAGGCGAACCTCCTTACCGGGCTTGGGCAAAAGAAAGTCCTCAGAAGGGTAAACTGTTCGAACAAGAGCAATCTGCTCGGCACATCGCTCCTGAAGCCCTCGGAAGATATGAAGAAGAACCCCCTCGAGCATGTCGCGGACCTCGTGGTAATGGTCCTCGATTTCCATCTCAAGATCAAGACCGGTGAACTATTGATGCAGGTCAGTGCTATCCTCTGTGTAAACGAGCGAGTCTGGTAGGGCAAATAGGGATGTTTACTTCTGTCATGTGTCTAGGGGTGTTAGAGTTCTCAGCTCGAAATACAGGTCCGATGCACAGAACACGCTTCCGGCCACCAGCAATCTCGTATTGCTTGTAGAATTGGGGAGATTGGGCCAAGTAAGCCTGCTTGTCAAAGTAGGGCATGCCGAACACGTTGGATCCTCCTTCAGAGGCAGCTCCAATGAGGCAAGGCGCCTCAAATTGGACAAAGTCGCGAGCTTCAAGGTACTCGACAAACAGCTTGCGAACGGCCAGTCGTACATCGGCTATGGCTTGCTGAACAGGAGCTCGCTTGTGCATAACGGGGTTGTTCAAATGAGTTGCCATGCTGGCACCAGGGACGTTCTCAAGGCTTAAATTGTCAACGCCTTCCTTGACCTCCTCGACAGGGCCACCAGCGTCCTCATCGTCAAAGTTGGTAACAGGCCGGTTAGCAACAGCAAGACCCATGCCAAGAACTTGAGGGCCAGGGCTGATAACGTAGCACTTAGAGATATGTAGCTCGTAATTGGAGACCTTCACGCTCTTGACTGGCTCTTGGGGCTTCACAACCTTAGCTTCGACAAGAATGTAGCCTTCTAGATTTAGACTACCGATCCACTTGACCATCTGCTTAGAGACAGGTGTGCCTTCACTGCTGGCCGCGACGACGCCCTGGATAGCCCAGTCACGCTCCTCGCGAAGCTCAACAAAGGCCATCTTAGCACCTTGCATGCGCGCATTCTGGATCCACGCACGAAGCTTGATGGTCTTGCCGAGATGCTCATCGCTCAGGTTTCGGAGCTTGACTCGCTCCGCATCGATCTTGGTAAGATGAGTGGAATCTCCATAGTTGTCTTTAGCGAGGTCTTCGGTACTTCCAGCAGCAGCCTTTGCAGCAGACTGTCGGGCTTCGTGTTCAGCAGCTCGGCGTGCCTTCTCAGCTTCCTTCTTAGCCTTCGCCTCAGCCTTCTTCAATGCCTTCTTTGAGGGGCCAGCCTCTCCGCCCTCGACGGCTTCACCACTAACGGCGGGAGCCTGTTCGGCGGGAGGGGGGGCAGCAGCTTGCTCAGCAGGGGCGTCAGCCATGTTGAAGTTACTCGAATATGTATTTCGTAGGCGTTGGGTTTCGTTCTCGCGCAATCACTCGTGTCGGTTGACGAGGGAGGGTTGATATAGAAACACGCGATTGGAGGTGTTTCGATATGACCAAAGTTAGGGGAGGCTCAGAACGAGATCGGACTAGAATCAGGAGATAGTAACGATGGTGACTGTGTCGGTGACTAGGTGGGAGAGAATAAGGTGACGCATAAAAATATGAAGTGGTGGTTGCCCATCAGTCAGGGCGCGCGCAGCGGGGTTCCTGCCCCGCCATGCCATTCCATTTCAACTGCGGCGTCATGGTGGGGTTATCAAGCACCGAACTAATAGTAAAACACCCGACCTTATTAACCCCAGCATTTTGATCCAAAGAAAATGCCATCTAAACGGTTGCTTTTCTTTTTAGTGTCCATATACGCAAAGACCACAAGCCCCAGGCTCAAATTAGCAATTCATATTAAGGTTTATCATACATCTCTCCAATGTCCCGTCCTATATTCTAACGAAACCATTTCCGCCCAACGTCGCGGAATTTGGCGACGCCGACGAGATGTTTCCGTTGTGGAAAGAGATTCGCTTCGTCCTGAGCCTCCATCGCCTCGCTTGTCTTGCCTACTCCTAAACGCCAGCATCGAAAGAAATCCTGGATGATATGATATGCAACCTATACAGCTAACGTTACCACCCGTTTGAACCCCACATCCGTATCCCCTGAATGACACCCTTCCTCCATGGTCCGGGCAATCAATACATCCCGTCTCATTTGTCCTCTCCTATGTATTGCTATAAGCGGAACCTGCCGCCCCAAGGACGCTAGCTTGGGTGCAGAGACTCCGATTTCTCGCAAGTGAACAAGTTGATATGTTGATCACCTCGAGCAGCACATCCAAGAATTGGTCGATGAGGGTGGAATGCAGTGGCCGATATAGGCGAGCTGCGGTTCTGTTGCAGAAAGCTTGAATAGGGCTCAACATTCGAAAGCTCATGCCCATCAAGATTAAAGACCTTCACTGCGTGGGCCGATGTACCCCTGTCAATCGAGTTAGTTCCAGTCCCTGTGATTCATGATCCTTGCGCTGAATTAATACTTACACTGCAAAGACTGGTAGATGTTCATGAGTGCTGGCTGTTCTAAGTGTGTCTCGTGTTGTTTGGAATGAGTGCAGCGGCTTATCCATGCGGATATCCCAGATTTTGACTTTGCCATTCCTGCTTGCACTCAGGAGCTCGCGTTGTCCGCCGCGCTGCATATGTACGCTCTTGATCCATTGTCGATCTGACTCATCCTTCCATTTGCGCACCATGGACTCTTGAGGTCGATTTCTGGTGTCAAAGACTCGAACGGCACCGTCTCCGAAGCCGGCAACAAACATGTTACCCGTCATTTGATCCGAGGTGAGCGAAGTCACGCAGGAGCCCGAGCGTGCTGGGATATCCATGACACACGTCTCGTAAGCGGCATACCACACTCGAATTACTCGGACATCGCCAGCAACAAGGACTCGACCAGTGACTTGTTGCCAGTCGAACACCATGCCAGAGTTGACGTTACTGGGTACCATGTGTGTTAAGGCACGCCAGGATGATGCAAGTTCAATGGCTCTATCCGATTCGTAGTTGCGATAAACTCTGATCACACCGTCAGATGATCCTGTCAGTAGCATCGCCTGGTCGTCTTCGTTGATGAACTTCATGTCGCTGATCTTGGAGCCTTCTGGATTACCGTTACTGAAACGACTCAATCGTCCTTGCTTCTTCCAGTCCCATACGTAAACAGTGTTACCGTCGTCCGCTACAGCAAGATGATCTTCAAATTGATGGAAGGTCATCTTAGCAGGTTGAGCACCATTGTTGATGATCCCAAGTTGATTATTCCATTTGTGACTTCCCGCTTGTTGCTTCAATGGCTGAGTTTCTCTGAAAATGGTTTCATTCCGAGCTCTTCGCCAAAGACGCTCATTGTATTCGGTACTTCCAGGTTCATCTGCCTCACTCGGCTTCATCTGTGGTTCACGGAAATACTCAATTGACCATTCCAGGAATTTGCTCTTGAGAGGCAGTGCAGGAGGCTTCATCAGATCCCGCTCTTTGTATGCGCCTGAATAGGGTTCATGCGCAACATTGTATTGAGCCAGCGATGATGGTCGATCGTTTTGCTCTGCAGGCACCGGTATTTGATTCGGCGTGAGTTTTAGGGATGGTGATCGGGGCAAAGTCGGGGTTGTCGGTCTTGATTTGTCCTCATTGGTGACCAGTGATGGAAAAAGCAAGCTCGCAGTTCGACGAAGGAGTCCTGGGGAGGGTAAAGGCTGCGAGTTAGAAGTGCCAGGAGCATTATTTCGCTGGCTTGCACTCGGAGTATGCTTATGTGCTGTCCTTGCCGTACGCTTTCGAATCTCTGCCATGACTAGCTGCGTCTGAACTCCGACTTTTGAGCTGAGCAGCGCGTTGTGAACAAAGTCTACAACGATAGTCGCTTCGCGTTGTACCTCAGGATGAGGATCCACACTGAGAACGAGAGCCAGCTTCCACAACGCCATATATACTGTGTTATGAGATAGACCATGGGCCATTGGCTTGATGGTACCATCCTTGTTGCGATTATCCGGCCTTGCGTAATGCAAGCCCATCTTGTGTTCCTGGCCGTCATCTTGGGGAGGGAATATGAGATACTCCTTCTCCTCAACCAGTTGTTCGTAAGCTGCAACTAAAAACTTGCTCTCGAAGCGAATAGCAAAATGAGAAAGAAACACAATGAACTCCTTGCGGACCATTGGGCTTCCATCATTACCCATGTCAAGTATCGTCCATGCAATAGACTCCTCAATACGGGCCACTTCCTCTGTCAGATCAGGAATACCCAGAAATGTAGTCATGGCATGGATCATCGCTGCCCGTACCTCGCAACAAGGATCCCTCACGAGATAAGCGAGCTTGACGTATGCATTCTCCCTGATTCCACGCCACTTGGCCTCTGGAAGGTCTTGCCAAAGCTGGCTTATACAGAGACATGCCCACTGGCGCAGAAGAGGGTTCTCCTCATTTTGAAGATGAGTTAAACAATATGACATAATCTCTGTCTGGTTACAGACCATTTGACCATTTTTGTAATCCTTGCATAGCATAGCGAGAATAAAAGCGCACATTGCCTTGTGTTCGTCGCTGTCAACAACAGGCAATCCTTCGGAGGGTTTCAGAATCTGTGCGAAGTAGCTATAGCCGCTATCTTTGATGAGGTCCTGCTGACAAGAAAGGTCCACTGCAATGAGACGAGCCCAGATGAAGACCATAACTGGCTTCAACTCGGCCGCAGCCGACTGTAAGAGTTTGAGGACATATGGGAAAATGCCAATACTGAGAGCGAGCTGAACAGACCACGGGCCCAGGTCGAGAAACCGGCCGAGTAAGATAAGAGCACGAACCCGGTGTTGTTGGCTGAGCAGTACCTGGAGCACAACCGGTAACTGGTCGGGTGACTTTTGGGCCATTGCATCGCCCCTAGTAAGATAAACATCGAAAGCAGTAAGCTGTTCTGTGAAGAATGTCGAGTTTTGATATTCATAATCAAAGCCTTCGCTCTCTTTCTTTTCAAGCATAGGGAGCTGAGCCAATGCCATGTCAACGGCTAGATCCCAGGTCTCCCACAATGGGTGCTGGTGGGTGTCGGGTAGCTTAGGATAGGACTGAGGGTGGCATCCATAGACCGTCATGACGCGTTGGGCAAGAAGAAAATTGCGGAACAGCGCTGCCACCATCAGGTCTTGTCGAAAGAATTTCCGGAAGAGATCACGAGGCAGTGTTGTCCACGCAATGCTGTCTGTGATAGCAGTGAAGATCCAATTAAGTTCCCCCAGTGGTGTTCGCCGCTCCTGGAGGCGACCGGGTAGTTTTTTTGCCCGCTCTGGGCTGATATTGGTCTTGAGGGGGTTCTGCAGAACGAAGAACCACAGAGCCATCTCAATGGGAGTGGTGAGGCAAGCTGTGAACAGATCAGCAGGCAGAAGAGGGTTTGTCGGGAGATTCTCTTTGACAGCGCAGGCAGCCAGATGGATATAAGGCCTGAAATTAGTTTTCGTGTAGTTTGGGTCGCGCTCTGCGGCCTCCTCCTCCTCTTCTTCATGCTTCTCAACAAATCGATGGTAGTTGTTGAGAATGTTGCCGGCTTCAGAACAATCCCAGACAAAGATGGTGGGAGCTTGAAGCCAATGTTGCAGGTCGTACAGTGATACAGGGATGTATTGTGTGTAGTTCTTATTAAAAACCCAAATCTCGCCTGATGCGGTTGGCTTGGGCACGCCGTGACCGTTATAGTGAAGCAAAACACGTTCATCCTTGGCATTTCTGCGTAACGAGATGCAGAATTTCTTTGTCTCCTCGACGGAGGGATCGAGGTATTGTTTGTATCGCGCTCTTATCGCAAGCGTTTCGTACTGCGCCTGAAGTGACTTGCCAATGTTTTCGAGGGCTTTCTGGATGGGAGGTATTGTAGGATCTGTCCAGGCCTCGAGCTTCGCACCTGGGTTGGTCTTGAGCTGGTCAGGGGGTTCAACTCCTATATTCAAACACACCGCGAGAGCTGCAGACACTGTTTTTAACCTGTCTCTCTGCCGCCAATCTTGAAGTTCATATTGTAGTGGTTTAGGTTTGCCTGTCGTCTCATGTCGTTTATCGGTAAAATACATATACCAGTTCTGAGGGCATAATTAGCTAGGTAAACCCAGGGCAACATGAATATCGTGCATGAATGGTCCCCGAGTCAGAGCAATGGATCTATTCCTCTAGGGCTGATGCAGAAGACATCTAACAGGTGATCAAGTTGCCGGGAGGCTCGAGGCTGATGCCAGAGGTGCTTGTTTCCACGTGCCACGGCATACTACAACCAGGTCTTCTTTATCTTGCATCTGTCGAGCATGATACAGAGGCTGGGTGTATCCAAGATGACTGACCGGCAAATTGACATGATTGAGAGGGGAAACTCACGTTAGCCAGCTGAGATATGATGTCCTCCGATTGATAATGATCCTCAAAACCATGTCTAGCACCCCATTCAGGTATGTCATCTTCTGTTGGCTCAGGCTCTTCCATCGGCCGGGGCGCGTAGTCGCTCTTCGACCGGAGGAGTATTGGCTTGGAAGGCCGCGTTTTCTGGTGATGCTCGATGTCGTCTCTTGTCTCGAGCGCTATGCTTCCGTTGCGCCGGTTTGGTGCGCTCAACGGTCGTTGATCATCGTCGTCGCTCCTGGTAGCATCGTTCGAGGTTGAACGGCCGTTCATCCTGGGTCGCGCTGCCGAGGCAGCTCCGTTAGGCTCAGCGGTAGGCGCAGTGGTGCCGTTCACGTCGGATCGCAGCGCCATGACGCCCGAATAACCGTAAAAGTATCGCGATCGACGCAGGTAGTTGGTTGTGGCCGAGATGCGCGGGTTGTCGTGACGGGCGCGGGTTGATAAGTCTAGCGTTGGTGGAGGAGCTTGCAGTGAAGCGGGTTTCGCTGGCTTAGTAGGTGTAAAGATGTGGAGGAAGTGACGTCTATTGGAACGACACAGCTGTCATGGCTCTCTGTGTAGCTCAAGCCGGCATTGCGGATGATAGCCCTTTTTTTGAGCCTGTTTCACTATGGGTTGGTCACTGCGCTTAGGTGTAGAATACCCAAAAGCAGTTGAGAGACTTTCGACAGTGGTCGAGAGAAGCAAATGATGAGGTCTAGTGTTCGTTGGCAGCTGACCAGCATAAAGGCAGAAATTAATAATTCCTAGTACACCATCTGGTTACGTTAGTGCTGGCGTATTCACTTGCACATAAAGGCAGCACGCATATAGTAAGGCAAATATAAATCGTAGTTTGATTATGATTGAAAATCTCTAAATCTTCAAATGAGGTTTTGCTTACGTGCAACAGCACTATTGCTGGTCATTCAAATGCTTGAACGCTGAGCAATGTAAGGTTTGGTATGGACATAGGGTAATGTTCTTGTTACTTACCGACCTCACCTAATGTGATGAGTCTTACTGGATTGATTGTTTTTGCCCCCGCTCCAATAGAAACAAACCCTGGCTGGCCAGCCCTCAGGGCGTAAGAAAACTTCCGATCTCGAAGCAAGGTGCCCAACGCACCTAAACTAGGTAGTATAATGTTCAATAAATACCATATATACTGAGCCAACCCAAGTCTCTCTATCACTTAGGATAGAGGTCCAATGTTCTCTTACCTTCTCTGGCCAGCCCATTAGCATGAGGTGGGCTGAAGTAGCAAGCCACAAGACACTGGAGAATATGGCTGCACGTGATCTGCATGTGGCTTGTTAGTCCCTCGAGCTCGCTGAGGTTTCTGTCTCTCCTAGCTCATGAATTTGATACCGCCCCGACTGTACAATGCAGAGGGTATGATGTATGGTTATCTAACTGACACTCATGTGTGAATATTGTGTCAATTTCAATTGTAATGGCTCCATGGACTTACCATTGGTAAAACCAAAATGGATAATCAATGCGTTTATAACGCAGACCAAATATTGATTGGAATCTAAGAACCCCCAATAGCTGAGCAGCAGGGTATGTTTCTTTAAATTGTGCTAGCACAACAAAATCAGCATCCAGGACATCGACTGTTTGCCGTCACGAGGAATGAGCCCGCGAGTATGGGGCAAATAAGCTGGTTCACCGGTATGATGCGAGTCATCCCAAGAGCCGAGTACGGCCTTGCAGCAAAAGCCAGAATGATCGATCCAAGTGTCCTTTCGAATCTATCATAAAGTACTGGGTTTGAGGACTGGAACTTGTGAGATCTGCTGACCACTACGGAGTGAAGCTGTCGGGTATCTACTATAGAAAGTTGCGGAGTGCGGGTTTCGCTGGACTATTCTGGCTTGCGAGAAACACCTATATCGATACTGTGCAACCCATATATAGGTACCTAGTAAGTGCTCCATGTTAACCTGAACAAGCTGCTACTATTAACGGGGTGCCGGATTTCCACCCCTTTATTTTTAATTACATTGTTCCTTCAAGAGGGAGTTCGGTGGGGCTAAGCCAGAGGGAAGAAGTAGTAGGTAATTTACCTTGGCGTGCGTAGGCCGTTGGGTTTGACGATGTTAGCGCCCGAGAAACATGAAACCACATCCTGGCTACCCAATAGGGATAAGGTATCCTACGTTAGTGGGCAGGCTTCATGATTCCAATTCTACAGAGACGAGGAAACGAAGCTCTAAAACTTCCTAGTCGGTACGTGTGCCGTCAGGGGAATTGAAGCCTGATTGGCGAATATGAGAGTATGGAGCAAGGTCGCCGTACGGAGTACTTGGTATTGCTTCCATCTGAAAGCCAACGTTGGATGCTGGCCATTTCTTTGGTGAGAGGCGAGTGATGTGATATAGGTACAGTATGTGAGTAAGGAATAAGTTCGCGACATACCTACTAAGGTACCTACCTTAAGGTTAGCACCATGGTTAGTACCTACCATTACCACTGAGAGCCTACTAATTAAAGGGACCAACCATAAATAAGGGCAGTATTAGGTCTATGTAGATAAAAGTCTATAAAAAAAGTCATAAAGTTGGAGAAGTTCGAGTAGGTATGGGGTCTTCATGTGCCAGGCCGTTTCATAACCTTTTTACATTTAACAAGAACTAAAAAGGTTGTATGGAACTTGTGTTTGGCGGTACATTTCATAACCAACACCCTGCTCTGGCTTCAAAATATGCGTAACTTGAAATCTGTATCATACTGCATGTGCAATGCTCAGATCTTGAATAGGTCAAGTGCACCTTACTGCCAGGCACAATGTACGAAAGGGGCACAAAGTATAAGCTGATTGGGCGAATATCTTCAGCTTCCTGTTCCCAGTCCCCAGGGTGTCTCCACCTTCAAGATGCAAGGAACAAAGAGACCCTGGCTAAAAGTTGAATGCACAAGTCGCGATACTGTCTTGTCATCAATTATAAGGCAAGGTATTTAGACAATAGCCCTGGCGGTGGACAGTAATTTGTTTCCCCTTTGTGGCGTGGAACAAGAGCTTCGATCAGCAATGACGATGTTGTGTTGCCTGTAGGTAGCCCTCGGCAGGATGTGCAACAACACATGAAGGATAGCACTGTAGAATGGACTCGAGACACTATAAATGTCCAAGTTTGGCAGTTGGCACTTGCAAGGCACATGGAAGAACTTTCTTGAGCCAAGTGGCCCGAGTCGAGTTCTAAAAAAAAAAAAACATTTTCCTTACTATAGCCACTGCAAGACTGTGCTCAATGACACTGTACATTGACTGGTTTGCGTGGAACCCCTAAATATCGTCGGGTCTTAACTGACGCCGGTCTTCAACCGTCCAGGGGCGCAGTGGAATCTATGATAATTGGTTGGGACCACCAGGGTATAGAAGTGAAAGGACTGGCCTTTAAAAGACAGCCAGCTAGCAACAGGAGGCGAAAGGTCGTCGAGGCCACCATAGGAGGTTGACAAGGACCAAGTAAGTCAAGCCCCATCCGTCTTTGCGCTGTCAGGTTCCATTCCGCTACAGCTGTCGCAGGCTTTTGTTGGCTACCTTACTCATTTCGTACCTGACCATCACCACTTTCTTTTCATCTCACATCTTTTCCTACGCCAACCTGACAGGGGCTCTTTATTTGCGCATCGTCACCATTTGCCTTCTTTAGCGTCTGAATTTCTGAATCTGCTTCAAACGACCGTTACCCGCGCCGACGAAGATCGATCTAGAAAGCATTTGCTCCTTTACGGCGTGCAGCAGCGCATCGGCTGCCTCGAAGCCAGCCAGCCCCCTCTCTCGAAGACCGGAATTCGGGAGGCTGACCACGTCCCTGGAATTCCCAAAGAACAATCCGCAGTTCTATCGACAAGCCTACCAATGCTGGCCCAGCCACTTCGAAATTCGAATATCGATTCTTGCTACTATCCTTGTGGCTGGAACTCACTTGTCGGGGTATTTGCATCGTCTCCTAACGATCCCTGACCCACGCGACGACTGCATCACGACAACGCACTATCTTCGCGACCTTCTATCGCATTGCTCTCGCGAATTGTTACATACTGCTTTCGAATCGATTTCTAGCCGCTCGGCGGCTGCTTGCGATAAGTCATGGCCTTCCTATTCAAATCAAAAAAGCATCCAGAGAGGTCGCAGCCTGCGAGTCGCGACGCAGGATCTGGTTCTCAAGGGTCGATCCAAAGTGCCAGCGCCCGTACAGCTGAGAAGAATTCTCTGCAACATCGCGCAACTCCAACTGGGAGCTTGAACTCAATCGATAACGAAGGCAGTAACGGTAGTCCCGATCATAGCCATGGCCATGGCCATGGACATGGACGCCGTGGTGGGAGTGCTGACCAACCAATCCAACAAAGCAGCGATACATCAGTGAGTTTTCTACCCGCTCTTGCATCCAATTCTGTCAGGATATCCTAACCACTGGGTTCTTTTTAGGTACGAAATGGCACCCCCATGAACGGTCCCAATGCATCTCTATACCCTTGGTCACAACGCCGATTGACGTATACCTCGACGCACCCCTCTCCCTTCCCTCGATATGGCGCTGCAGTGAACTCCGTGTCGTCCAAAGAAGGAGACGTGTACCTCATGGGTGGTCTGATCAACGGGTCAACAGTCAAAGGCGATCTCTGGATGATCGAGGCTGGAGGTAACATGGCATGCTACCCGTTGGCAACCACGGCTGAAGGACCTGGCCCAAGGGTTGGACACTCAAGCCTGCTTGTCGGCAATGCGTTCATCGTATACGGAGGCGACACTAAGATCGACGAGGCTGACGTTCTTGACGAGACACTCTATCTTTTAAACACCTGTAAGCTTGCCCATTTATAGAAGTTTCTATTCTCTAACCTTAACCCAGCAACAAGACAATGGTCCCGCGCTCTACCAGCTGGGCCGCGACCCTCAGGTCGCTATGGCCATTCACTCAACATCTTAGGCTCTAAAATCTACGTCTTCGGCGGCCAAGTTGAGGGGTTGTTTATGAATGATCTTTCGGCATTCGATCTCAACCAGCTTCAGATGCCAAATAATCGCTGGGAAATCTTGGTCCAAGGCGAGACAAGCCCCAAGATGCCCGCGGCCCGTACCAATCACACTATGATCACATTTAACGACAAGATGTATCTGTAAGTATCAATGTCGAGCTGTGTCGAATGAAACTGACACACTGGTAGTTTTGGCGGTACGAATGGTTTCCAATGGTTCAATGATGTTTGGTGTTACGATCCAGCTATTAACAAGTGGTCTCAATTTGACTGCATTGGCTATATTCCAGCGCCACGCGAGGGGCACGCTGCTGCTCTTGTAGACGATGTGATGTACGTCTTCGGAGGACGAACAGAAGAAGGGACAGATCTTGGCGACCTCGCAGCTTTTAGGATATCGTCAAGACGGTGGTACACATTTCAGAACATGGGGCCTTCCCCATCTCCCCGTTCTGGACATAGTATGACAACCGTTGGCAAATCGATTGTGGTCCTCGGCGGAGAGCCAAGTTCAGCAACTACATCTGTTAGCGATTTGGGCCTTCTCTATGTTTTGGATACCTCAAAGATCCGATATCCGAACGATGCGCAGCAGCCGGCTCAGCAACGAGCTCACGGTTCACGTAGGCCAAGTGCGAGCGAAGGCAGCCGGCCACATCCTGCACGAGACGGATCCAACGGGCCAACGGATTCAAGGAAGTTGATTGTAGGAGGTGCTTCTGCTCCAGCAAATGGGCAACGATCGCCACCCAATAACGGTGACGCAGAAAACCCCCAATCTGCAACCGCCAGCACAAAACTTCCCAGAGCTTCAGCTATGCCTCCGTCTGGCCCTCCCCCTCAGGGACCGATGCCCGCTAGGCCTACGGTTGACGTGTCTGCAGTTGCACGAGTTAGAGGACAGTCCGCCGAACGCAGTGGAGCCTCGGGTTCTCCAAGGACAATGCACTCCGGGTCGCCTATCACACGAGAGGTGATCAATGAAACAGAAAGCCCTATATCGAACGGTCGACGAACGCCAGTCCAACAAAATGCGCGCTCTGGCTCAAGGCAGGATCAAGTGAATGGAGACTCATCTAAGGCGAAGCCAGCTCAACAAACCCGTCCTCAAGGAGCAGGTGATGCCCCTCCAGATGTTGCTCCCAAGCCGGCAATGACACCCCGCCCAGCATCGCCGCCAGTCCCCGTGAGACAGCCAAGCAATCCTCTTTCCAGGCGGTCTTCTGGTAGAAACTCGCAAACAGTTGTTCTTCTAAAGGAACTGGACTCGGCCCGAAACAGGAACGCATGGTATGCTTCGGAGTTAGAGCTCGCGCGCAAGGCCGGCTATGTGCCCAATACTTCATACAGCCCTCTGCTCGATAACAAGGCCACCGAAACCTTTGACGATGAAGACCGACCGCTTATCGAGGCTTTACTGGCAATGCGATCTGAACTAGCAAATGTTCAGACCGCAGTAGACAAGCAAGCCGTAATTGCAGCGAAGCAAATCGCCGAGGCCGAAAAGCAGCGCGATGCCGCCATTCAAGAAGCTGTTTATTCTAAAGCTAAGCTAGCTGCCCATCTAGGAGCAAGCTCAGCAAGCACACCACAGCTTGATGGCCCAAGAGACGATTTTGAAGGAAGGTCTAGTGAGTTGAGCAGAAAGCTTGCAACTGCACTACACATCCAGAAAGATCTTCAGTCTCGACTCGATTCTGCGAAAAGCGAACTTGATTCCGAGAAGAAGGCACGACAGTTGGCAGACGACACCTCGAATGCAGCCCAAAAGCGCATGGCAGAATTGGAAAGTTATAAACAACAAACCTCAACAGAGGTTGAACGTCTCAAGGCTGAGCTGCATCTTGCCCAGCACGAAGCACGAGAGCATTCAGTTGCGCATGCTGAAGTTGCCGCTGCTGTTGAACTTCTCCGCATTGAGAAGAATGACGTGCAACAGAAGTATGAAGAAGCCATTGGAAGCTCAAAGGACCACAGTGAAACTTTTGATTCCCTCCGAGCTGCAATTTTAGCATCAGAAGATTCGACAGGCCTTCTGGAATCGAAGCTCGCTGAAGAACGATCTCAGAGAGAGAAGATTGAAGCACAACTCAATAAGCTTAAGTTTGAGCATGAAGCTCGTACTGCGGAACTAGTAGCTACCACCCAGCGTCTACGCGATGCGGAAGAGCTTTCAGAAAAACACGCGGCTGAGGCTAGAACGAATCGTCAAGCTGTTCTTGCTGGCCTTGACAAAATTTCTGCTCGAGATGTTTCTGGATCAAGCAAGGCAGATGCCGAGCGCATTGCTGCTTTACAGAATCAGCTCACCACCTCAAACGAATTGGTCAAGAAATCTCAACAGGAGCTTGAGGCTGCAGTTCACAAGTTACGTGGCGCAGAAGAACGTATTGCTGGTCTTGAGCAATACCAAGAACAATCAAGCCGGGAGGGAGTCACCATTCGAAGGCAACTTCAATCTGCGCTGCGTGATACACAAAGCTTACAGGCAGCCAACACCGATCTTAAGAATCAATTGGCCGCTCAACAACTTGAAACAAACGCGATGACAGTCCAGCACAACGCACTAAAAGACATCCTCAGTGAACGTGGCATAAGCCCAACGGCTTCTATTCGTGCTCGGAATCTTCCCAACCCACGAACGAACTCGCCTGATTTGAACCGTGTCAGAGATCTTGAATCTCAGCTCGCCACCTCGTCGGCCGCTCATGAAGAGACCAAGCAAGCATTTGCAATCCAAATTCAGGAATCCGAGGCGGCTTGGCGTGAGAAACTCTCGCAACTTGAAAGCGATTATCAGTCGGCTGTGCACTATGTCAAAGGCACTGAGAAGATGCTCAAGCAGCTCAAGGATCAATTATCCCGATATAAGACAGAGAATGGCCGTCTGAAGACAGAGATTGAGGAGCTGGAAGACCGTGTTCAAAGTAGCACAACCTCTACTTCGCCTCATTGGGAGAATGAAAAAGCCGAACTTGAGGCGCGCATTCGAAGCCTCGAGACAGAGCTTCAAGAGTCTTCTGCTCAAATGGAGAAGCGACTCCTTGGTCTTCAAACAGAACTCCAAGAAACCAATCATCACCGCGAAACAGCTTTAAAGAACAGCGAAGAGGTTACACAGAAGTTGAACAACCATCGTAAGGATCTCGAACAGCTACAATCAGAGAATGCGCTACTGGAGCAACGCGCGAGCGATGCTGAACAGAAAGTGGCCCTTCTACTAGACCAAGTCGAGCACTCTGTCGATAATTACCGCCGACGCAGTCGTCAAGTGCCAAGCTTGAACTCCGAGATGGCTGCAAGTGCCAATGGGTTGGGACTGGGGCATTCAAGGCAAGAAAGTTCCGAAGGCGAGAGTATTTACGGAGGCACCAGTGGGAATGGTGGTCTGGAAGCTAGAAACAGTGCTGCCTTGGACAGCCTTGCCAACGAACTCGAGACCCTTCGGAGTCAATGGGAAGCAACAAACAAGAACTATCGACTGAGCACCAACTTTGATTTCGATACTACCTCTGCTGCCAAGAAGGACAACGATACCGCTACAGGTGTTGGCCTCAGCGAGAGCCTTGCGGATTGGCGCAAAAGACTTGATACTGAGGAACACCACAGTGATGGCGAAAAGCCCCGACATCCCTAATTCGAAGCACTTCCTGGCTACCGATACGCTTTCATGACTCGAATATACCCACCGTCTTCGTTTTGATTTATCCGGGCCAATGGTCAGTGTCTGTACTTCCTGATCTTCGCAAAGGTGGAAATGGAGTTTATTGTCTCAGTTAACAGACAACCCTATTTTTTGTTTTCATATTCGGGATTTCTTTCTGTTTCATTTTGCACTTTTCAGCTTGGTTGATTCCCTGAAATTTAATGCATTTCGAAGAGTGGCTGGTAATCTATTGATCCCCTTTTCCACTTCTCTTATCGACGAGTTGGGTTGGCGGATTTTTGTTCTAGTTGTTCTTCTACATGTTTGAAGAACACCACATGTAAAATAAGAGACTTTTTTCTATTCATCGGTTCTGTGGTAGCAAGGGAAAGAAGATAGGCATGGACGGTGTCTTTGCCTTTTACAGGAAGATCCTACTTTATAGCACGAGGCAACGTACGGTTGGAAGAAGCGTCAATGAATAAATGAAGTATTGTCTAGTTTAAATTTGAAGTATTCGCCTTCCTCCCTCTTTGACACCCATGCCTATTGAGCGCCTGGACATACTTTTTCGATCAAGTCGTTTCAAAGGGGGGCAAATCAGGAATAGAGGCAAGAAACGGCGGTTGGAAATCCCGGAACACCATACCTCCCTCTAGTGTATATTAATGCTATAAAACCATCATATGTCCTCGTGGACTTTCAATCCTTTTCGCCTAGTCTCCTATCCATGCCCCGCAGAACGATGCAAACCGGCTTTGACCCACTACTTATTGTCATTATGAGAAAGAAGCAACGCCTGAGCTCACGCCTCAAGCAGAAGCGGCCGTAAGACCCTTCTGAATATTCAAGCATCGTTTAAAATCAAGTTTACGCCCCTCACGAGGCATGTGCTCGCCACTCGCAATACAAAGCACGCGCATCTTGGGGTCATATCGCAGACCTGTCAAGAGTTTCGGAGTAATGAGGAAATATTGACTTGAGTGCTCACGGCATGCGATCTCGACCATTCGTTCGTGTACCATACGCTCGTTGCGAGGGTCCATGCCCTGGTTGATCTCATCCACAACACGGAACGGTGACTGGGCTAGAGATTGAAGAGCCATAAGGAAGAAGATGGTGGAGACAGCTCGCTCGCCACCGGATTGGCGATGTGCTGTCAGCTGTTGAAGGGTTTCATTTTCGCTGGAAGTCGCTGGTTAGAATCGGGCAAAGATAAGTCAGGAAAGGAAGAGTAAGACATACCGAAAACGAACCATGATGTCTAAAGCCCAGGCGTCAAAATCCTCCGGCTTGTGAACACGAACCTCGCCAGCACAACTTATTTGCTCAAAGTTGTATGCAAAAGCGTCGTTGATCTTTGAAACTAATTCATCAAGTCGTGGTTCCCATCTGGATTTCAACCCGTCGATTTCTTGGCTCAGCCCCTGCAGCTGATCGTTGGATCCAGCTATCTTTCGTGTCAAACGGTCGATTTCCTCAGCGCGTTTTTCGAACTCCCGTAATATATTAGGATTGGCGACGTGTACCATTTCAAGTTTCGCCTCTTCTCCTCCAATTTCGTCTTGAATATCTTGGCAAGACTTATTTTCGCAGAGTTGTGAAAACAGATCGCGCTTCTCTGGCTCATTTTCAAGGACTTGCTGGACCTCGTCGGAGAGACGGTTGCCCTCATCGCGCGCTCGACTGGCGTCATCGGTGGCCTGTTGCAATATCTCCTTTTCAGCATCAAGACGCTGCATGATGTGTGCATTTCGTCCTTTGAGACCTTCAACATCAGAGTAAGCTTCGATGCCGCGGATTTCGGCTTCGAGGAGTGCCTGATGTGCTCTTCGTATGTTTTCAATCGCTTCCTTGTGGCGAAGAACAATCTCAGCCCGACGAAGCACCGCTTCGTCCCAGTCGTAACGAATCTCGACCATTCGTTTGCGTGCATCTTGCATGGATTGTTCATGAGCTATCTTGGAGCGCTCCTCGGATTCTAGTCAAAGGTATCAGTAAATTTGCGGCATAGCATCATTCAGTGGTTCTCACCGATCTTCTCAGGCAGAGACTGCCATTTTTGGTATTCTTTTTGCAGGGCATTCTTTTCTGACTTGAGTCGAGTCTAGATCTCATTAGCATCAAAGCAGATGAAATCAATCCGCAGCCTTGACTTACAATATTATCATGAGTGCTGGTCCGTCGGTCCTCGATGGCTTGGATTTTGTCTTGCAACTCATGGTATTGCTGTTTCAAGATGTCTCTTTCACCATTCAACTCAACCAATCGCTTGTTCATTTCTTGCTTTTCTTGGGCGTCGATGGGCTGTGAGGTCCAGAACCTCCCGGGTGGAATATTCTTGGTGACGGCGGTCATGGCCTGGGGTCCATATTCTTTGCGTCTCCTGACGATAAAAGACTGGGTACCGGCTGCCCAGGAGTTAACTCTGCCGCTTCTGACCAGACGATCGTATTGAGCATCGTTGTGATCCCGGAGAGAGACTCCTGACTGGTGAAGCCTCTTTTCAGCACAGAGCATTGCTAGAACGGGTTCGGGTCCCTCAAGAAAGTCGATGGCAAAACCGTCAAGACCCAGGTCACTTGCCTCATCCATACTGACGGGTCTTGAGAAGGCATTGAGAGGCTGAGCACAAGATCGAATAACAACAGACAAGCTTTGAACACGGTAGAGCTCGTCTGACAGCTTCTTGTAATCATTTTTCGTTTGTGCTGTAAAGCATGTAAAGTCATCTCCTTGAAGAAGGGATTGCACCTGATCCGAATATCGTTCATCCTTGATGGAACAGCTGATCATGGGTGGGCCAAAAACCTCCTTTTCAAAGTCTCCTTGATGCTCTTGGATCCAGGTCCATGCCGTTGCTAGCTCGGGGAAGTTTTTCCGCATGAAGTTGAGCTGTTGACCTTGCTGGGTTTCCAATGACTGGATATTATTCTCCACTTGTCGGATCTCATTGTTGATCGTTTTGCCCTTGTTCTTTACTTCCTCGCGTTGGCTAGACACTTCGCGTATCTCTCCTTCTAATTCTCTGAGGTTGTGTTCTTCTCCTCGCTGCAGACAAGTAGTTAGCGAATATCAACAATCGCGCGGGTAGGTTTCCAACAATTTTTTGATTAAACTCGGAAGGATTAAACTCTTCTGGCTGGTTTCTAATATCAGCCTGGAGAGCGGTTATTCTTGACTTGGACTGGGCCAATTCCTTTCGCTTGACGTCAAATCCTTTGCGTTCCGCTTCAAGGCTATTCTCGAACTCTTTGAGGTTTTCGGAAGCGGTGCTTGCATCACGCGCCAGTTTTTTCGCAGCGTCTTCTGCGTTCTTCAATGATGTTTTTCTTGCTAAGGTCGCTTCATCAATTTGCTGGGCATAGAGCTGCTTTTCGTTCACGGCCTGTAATGAGGGGCCGGCGTCGTGTTCGAGGCGTCTTAGAGACCTCTCTGCGAGCTTCCTCCGCTCTTTGGCATCTTTGTGTCTTGTACGAGCCTCCGAGTACTTGGCAAAAACCAAGGCTGACTTGAGATTTTTCACCTGATCTATGATTTCCTCCCGTTCCCGGATCCTGTCCACGTCTGTTTGGAGACCTTGTTGTCGATTCTCCAGGTTTCTCAGAGTCTCTGCGTCGACATGTGTAGCCTGTTCTAATTCTTTCTTATCTTTGTCCAATTCTTGAAGTTGCTTCTGCCAGATTAGCATTTCTTCTGGGGCGGCTGCGCGAAGAGTTTCCCGCAGAAGGTCCACAGGTGTGCAGGCAGCGAACTCGACAACCCTGTCCTGCGGAAGGAATTGGCACAGGTTATCTACCTGAATCTTCAACTTGCGTATCAACCGTTGCACTTCCTTGTGGCTGGTTTCTTTACCATTGAGCCACCATTTCTGATTGTTCTGTTCTCGACGAATTTGAACCTTGACGACGTAGTTCTTGCGATGATTCGGTCGCCTGTAGAGTTCGATCTCAATTGTGGCCGTATCCTTTCCGTGTTTAACAAACTCCTTGACTGAGCCAGCACGACCAAGGTGTTTCGGGCTGTAGCCTAGGCCCAGACAGATAGCGCAGACCAAAGAGCTCTTTCCAGTGCCATTTGGACCAACCACCATGTTGAGATGAGGCCCAGGCAGAAATTCTGCCTTTTCGTACGTGACAAAGTTTTGCACGCTGACTCTAACGATGGCGCCTGGTTGAAAGCCATCATCCATATTATTTCCGTTCGATGCACCGTTCACTTTCCCGTGATGGGGCTGCTCGGGGGTTGCGTTATGGTCACCATCTTGGTCAAGCCTAGGGCGCTTAGAAGAGCCAATATCGTCGGCATACGAGCGGTGTCCGTAGTGGGTTTCGTCATCGTCGTCGTCGGTATTGTCTGTATCAGATCGGCGGCGGCGACGTGATGATGCCGGGGCCATCTCGTCTATCGGGCGAGACACGCCACCTATATTGGCATAAGAGGTAATATAGGAACCAAGAGAATGGTGTTGACTTATTGGGTGATAAGTTCTCAGAATGGCAATGCACGCACGACAAGGAAGGTGATGCCGATGTATAATGGATGCGGCACGCGTTGAATCGCGTCAGTGCGCGCCTGTAGATGTGGCGCCGATTTAAAGTGGTGGGGTAAGATTGTGGAAAGAGCCAAATCGGCCTACGGGACAAATACCTGAGCTACAGAAAACCCTCGTGACTTAACTGCCTACATACAAAGCGAGTATGGTTGAGCTGTTTCGGACTAATTATCATGTTCTTTATCCGATTGGGGATGCAAAACTTTTGTTATGGATATTTATGTTACTTTAAAGCTCGCGTATTAGGTAGGTTGGTTCCATGTAAGCTGAAAAGGTGCCCTTTATCTTCTTTTCGAGTGCCGGTTTGAACTGGAGGACATTTTCGGTAGTGAACTGAGTTCGAAACAGTGTCTCTTTAGCCACAGGATGAACTGACCAGTTGTCAAACAACCCACATTATTTTTAGTAGGCTACCAGATCGTTTTATACATCCATTACCTCTACCTACTACCTCAGGTCCTTTGAAGCTTAGTCATCCTCTGCCAAGAAACCCCTTGAAAGGAGGGTCAGACAACTTCATCCCTTTGGATTCCAGTTACTACCGGGGTGACTTCATCACTTCATCTCAAAAGTACCACCAGCTTGGTCATGCTTGTGAAGGCGGAATACTGCCTTCTTTTCCCCTACGGATCAAAGACAACATACACCCAACCCAAGTTTGGCACGGCACCTGTTTTCCATCTCACCAACACCAGCTTCAGTGATAATTTGACCCTGATATCGCCATTGACCTCTGACTCAAGAAGTCTTGAGCACAGAACGGGAGCTTAATGACAGGCATTCTTCTATATGGACTATTGAGCGGACCTAGCCTAGTGCAAGTTCTCCCTCTGCCCCTGAATGATCAGTATTCCTTTGCGATGTGGTATAGTTACCAGTATTTTCGATCTCTTCTCGATCACCTCAAACAAAGATGTCTGCCTGCCATCTTATTGAATGAGGGCTTTCTCATGTCGAGCTGACTGCTGATGCGACATTTTGACTTGGATTGTTCATTGTGCTTTTTAACCTCTCCCTGCGTAAGAAGGACTGTGGTGGTATTCAAAAGGTCTTATCATTGGCCATAAACTCGAACTGCATGAAGAACTGGAATGCATCGCGATGCCTGGATGCAAGAGAAGGCCCTCAATTTCAGCTTGTGCCAGCTGTTGTTGACCAGAATTCCCCACCATATCATACCTAACCGTGCGTGGTGCGATACTGGCATATTGGCAGGTGTATGCAGGTGGCAGATGCCAGTCGAATGCCAACCGGTTACAACTATTATATTCCAGCCTTTTCTCCCTTGGTATCGCCCACACCAGCCTTGCCAAACATATCTGCCGGTGTAAACATTGCATTCCATACTCGAAAATTCCCCTCCCGTCGCTCCGAACTGACTTTGTTTCTTGTCTCTTGTGTCGTTCATTTCTTTCTTTCTCTTTCCTATGGCTCCTGGATCTCTGATCTTTAGCCAACCTCACTCGTTTCCGCTCACTCAACGCCTTCGTTTCTCCCCCTCTACTTTACAACTCCTCTCCTGCTCCTCCAACCATCGCAACACCTTGTGCTTTGTTTGTCAATACCAACCTACTTAGGTCACTTAGGCCAAGTTCATCATAATTGTTGTGACATCCACGAGCAAACCTTGTTTTTATTTCTCCAGCATTTGGGCAAGGCGTGCGACTTTGTGGCTGCAATATTATGTGCTGATCCACCACACTCAGGGCGATTACAATGGCCGATACTATGGTGTCAACCGTTCGTTCACCACTCTCCGAAGCATCAAATCGAATCAACTCAAATTATCCTACTCAAGAAGGTCAGCGCCACAAGCCGCGGTACGACCGCCCTAACTCATCTATTGTCAACAACACCGCACGCACAAACTATGGGCACCCGACTGCATACTTTTCTGGCCGACCTCCTACTCAACAACAGCCTACAGTTTCAACACCTCAAGAGCAAGCCACTTTAAAGCCTCCCAGTGAGATGGATGATGAACGTCGACATTCGGCGGCATCTTACGATTCTTCAGGAAGTGGCCGCAGTAAGAAGAACTACAAGACGCATATAGGGCCGTGGCAGTTAGGCAGGACCCTTGGCAAAGGCTCATCTGCGCGCGTAAGACTATGTCGCCACACAGGTACAAATCAGCTGGCTGCCGTCAAGATTGTCAACAGGCGGATGGCGTATCTTGTACAAGATAGTAGTTTGGCTGCTCTTAGCAAGTGGGACAATAATCTCCCAGAACAGATCGATGGCGAGATGCGTGTCCCCATGGCTATTGAGCGAGAAGTGGCAATCTTGAAGCTCATCGAACATCCGAACATCATGAAATTATACGATATCTGGGAGAACCGCTCAGAGGTGTAAGTGCTCCACGCAAGGATTTTTGCGAGAGGAAACTGACAATTTAGCTACTTGATACTTGAATATATCGACCAAGGTGACTTGTTTACCTTTATCAACATGAAGGGCCGCCTGAGTGAGGAAGTTTCTATCTTCTTCTTCCGACAAATCATCAGCGCCATCTCATACTGCCATTCCTTCAACATCTGCCATCGAGACCTAAAGCCTGAGAACATCTTAATCAGTGCCGACCTCCAGATCAAAATCGCTGACTTTGGCATGGCTGCTCTCCATCAAACAGACACACACCAGCTTGCTACAGCTTGTGGCAGTCCTCACTATGCAGCACCTGAGCTCCTCAAGAACAGACAATACAGGGGCGACAGAGCAGATATTTGGAGCATGGGTGTTATCCTATTCGCAATGCTTTCAGCCACTCTTCCATTCGATGACCCTGATCTTCGTGTGATGATGGCTAGAACGAAGAAGGGACAATACGAGATGCCAAGTTTCCTCAGCCTAGAAGCTGAGGACCTGATCAGGCGAATGTTACAGGTCAACCCCGATAGACGCATCACCCTCAAGGACATATGGCGTCATCCTCTGATTCGGAAGTATGCATATCTGGATAACCTTAGTGACATCAACAGTCAGCCGCCTGATATACGCAAAGGTTTTCAGTATACCCCAGTACCTACAAAGGATGTTGATCCGCAATTAGTTCGACAATTGCGATCTATGTGGCACATGTTTAGTGAGAATGATTTAAAGCTCAAGCTTACATGTGACGAGTAAGTATTTTGTTCCTCTTCTGACTTTTGGAGTTGCAACTGTTGACATTTGCAGACCCAATGATCAAAAGGCTTTCTACTGGTTGTTATACCACTACCGCGAGCAACAACTGGAAGATTTTAAGCCTGAGCTCGCCCACTCCACAAGTGACTATCACCACATGAAGCCCGGCACATGGAAGAAACGCGTATCGACATGCGAATTTGCACAGCCGAGCGGCAACGGTCACGGGCGTTCCATATCACGGTTCACTGTGATTTCGAATGCCACTGAACCAGAGCCAGCACTAAACCAGGAACCATTCCAAACAGAACGTGCGATACATTCTCGTGATTCCCAAAAAGGACAGTCATTAGTCAGTGTCCACCGTTACTCTTACGCAGAGAATGGTTCCTATACTGGGCAGCCCAAAAGGCTTCGAAGCGGCTCAGGAGCACGTCGCGGACGCGGGACCTCAACCCGCAATTCAACCACAGGGCGCCTTCAATCTTCTCGAGGATCGCTCTCTTCGATGCACAGCAGTCGGCAAGGTACACCTCATGCGCGGAGTTTGCGACACAAGCGTGGAGTTGACTTCACACATGTCCGGAAGAGATCGACATCATCTTCCAATCGCAATAGGAGTGGTTCAATGCCTCCTTATGTTACGGAGCAAGGTTCTACATATCAGATCGAAATGATTCGATCTCACACGCCAGAACTCCCAAGCCTACCTAGTGGCGTGCTTCCAAAATTGGCGGATGGACAGGAGCCTCAACAACGCTCCTCGGGGCAAGCGTTGCGAATAGCGCTTGGGTCCCGATATGCCTCCGAAATCTTCAAGGAGGAACTCCGCCACTTTAGCAGCAATATTGCCAAGGACTGTGACGAAGCATTCAAAAGCTCATTGATAGAAGAGGACTCCATCGCTGGCTCACTGACTGAACCAGACCACACCCAGTACGAATCCACACCGTTTTCCTTCACCATCGACGCACCCGAGGACTCGGCCCCAGATGTTCTCGAGCTTTCGAATAAGTCTTTCAGCAACCGGCCTCTTCCACCTCTCCCGACTCCGACGCCAAGCTACAATGGTAATTCGTTGGCACCAACGCCCACTGGTTCCAGACCAGTGACTGGGGAATCTTATTCGGAAGAGTTGCGCGCAGAGCAGATTAAGGTGGCCCAGCCAGTTGTGCTTACGAGACACACTGAGCGCCGGGTTGTCTCAGCTCCGACTTATACTCAAAAGCACAAAAGAAGTGCTGCTCTGCCATCCATTAACGAAGCTGGAGCAGCGGCCAGCGACAAGGCTCGTATCGTGTCAGCGCCTCCTCATACGCCAACAAAGAAAGGGGTTGATAGAATCCGTGGCATCGAATACTTAAGTCAAGTCGAAAACAGTATTCGTGTGGTCCATTCACCGGGTGACGAGAGCCCCGTGAAGATTCCCGAGCCACTCAACGTACGGAAGAAGGTCCCTGAACCAGAACAACGGAACTCGGCCCCGGCTGCACAACTTCGAGAGCCGGACTCAGCGTCGCAACGCAGTGTGGATGGTGGTACCACGGCCACAACACTTTCGCTGGAGCCCCCTTCCCATGATGCTCAGGCGGTGACAAAGAAAAAAAAGATGTCTTGGTTCAAACGATCTTCAAAAGTTGAGTCGGAGCCCAGCCGGGAGTCCGTTGAGTGGCAAGATTGCACTTCGTACTTGACTTCTAGTGATGGGAAGCGAAGCGATTCAACTTCAACAGAGGCTCCGACTAAGAAGAAGACTTTCCACTTTTCTTTCTGGAAGAGCAACAAACAAAGAGACTCTATTATGTCAATCGCCAGTGAGTTATTCCATCAGTCCGTAAGCAGAGCCGTACGTGGTGATCTAATATTGTTAATAGGACCTGATCAGAAAGAAGAGCGGCCTTCACTGGAGTTCAACACCATGGGTAAGACACATGTTTCCGCGAAGGTATCTCAGTCCAAATGGCACGAGTCTGGCTCCGGCCCGGTGCGCAACATTGAGGTTAAACAAAACTGGCTCGCACGCCTGTTCAGAGTCAAACCAGCAACAGACCACATTTGCATGACGATTTCGAGGAGACGAGCACGTCAGGAGGTTACCATCCTCCTACGGGAATGGCGCAAGTATGGCATCCGAGACATTCAAGTGGACAAACAAAGGAACATTGTCTTTGCGAGGATTGCAGCTAAGAACTGTGAGTGGTATCTTGACATGATTGCGGCACCAGAACTGACAGAGACCTTAGTTTTGAATCTAAAAGAAGTATCCTTTGCCGCAGAGGTCATTACAGTGATTGAGCATGGTAAGAAACAGCCACTCAGCATCATTCGATTCACGCAGGAGCGAGGAGCAGCCAGCAGCTTCCACAGAGTAGTCGACACAATGAATATGATCTTCGACGCAAGAGCTTTGGTAGTAGCCGACAGGAACAAGCGAAAGATGATGATCAAGACGCTCAACTCGTAATGTCGGTGTTTGAATCAGCTCCACGCTGGTTCCTTCGATATGTACTTGTCGAAATATGATGCAAGCTGGCCATTGGCACAGCGTCAGCGGCCTTGCGGGTTGGATCACGGGGTTATGCGAAGAGTTATGTGCATGGTATTGGTTGTAAGGAGTTGGATGTATGAGCCTTTGCTTTCCGTTTTGTTCTGCTTTTGGGTCGGGGTGAAAGGCATGATTTCTTTTTATCTTAAACATGGACGGGCGAATATGCGGAGGACTGGAGGGAATAGTTGTAGGCTAGAGATAGCGATTGAGTCGTCCCTTAACTAGATAGTCCCTTTATCATCCTATATCGTGACTTTTCTCTTGGAAACCTGGTCATTTAAAAACAAAACTAGTAAGGCAAGATGAACACACGGCTTGCACCCAGAAGGTGAGCCCACGTGTCGGTTAAATGTCTGAAGTATGTTTTTGTGTCTTGGAGCTGATTTCAGCAAAGAGCTGTCCAAGAGCTGAAACTCATGGTGGTCTTGCCTAGTCCATGCCCCAAACTTCATCTTTGTGTAACCATCATAAACTGTAGACTTAGAATACTAATTTAATCAATGGAGCTCAAGTTACAGAAACTGTTGAGACTGCTTCTTCCTTGCACTGTTTAGATCCTCTGACTTACATAGCAATGCGTTTTCTGCAACCCTTCTGTCGAATAGAGCGGGTCTGCGGGAAGTAATCAGACATTAATCATCTGAATTGCCTTGGTTTGAGAAAAATGACTTCATAGTTATGTGTATGCTTCGACCTTGGGTTTGGGTTACGTCTTATACTGCTCCATAGATTCGAGCAAATCTTTTGAGAAGTTGTACTGGGGCGCCCATCACTACCTTGGCAGACAAACAGCCAAAACTCAGGAACCCTTTGCTAAGGCAAGGTCTCCTATGGTTTATGGCTGACTTATAGTCGGCCCAGGGGTATGATATAGTCATCTTTCACTCTGAGTCCTGATGCGTTGTAGTTTCAGCAGGTATAGCCAGTTTGGTAAACCACGCCATTGCTTATCTGGACCAGTCATAGTAATTCAGATAGTATGAAGACCAAAATATCTATAGATGCTCATCAATCAAGTAATAGATTATTCAGGGGAACAATTAACTCTCCACCACAAATCAAACGAGTGTTTGACTTACTATCACCTCCATTTCAAACTAATCCGCCTGTAGTCTTGAATCTCTTGATATGCTGGCACAGATACATAATCTTAATGCCTGATACTAACAAATCAACACATGTAACTCGATTTGAGCCTGTGTTTAGCTAGAGAGAGCGCTGCTATGTCTCATCAGTCTATTTGTCAATATGGTTGTCGAGAGCAACAGCAAACAAGCTTACGTTTACTTCGAGACGCTTGATAAGTCTTCTTTTTCATAGAGCTTACCTTGTTCAGGCAAGTGATACGGTGAGTAGAGAGTACCCTCAGACTGTCCCATAACACCATTGAGTGACCCGTGGGCGAAATGGTAGCTACCATAGCAATGAGTTTGGTTGTCGGAGGTCAAGTCCGAATCGATCAACATATGTGGAGAAGTTCGGTAGTTTCCCCGAGATATGGATGGATCCCTTCACCTGCCTCGGCTGTTCGGTCGGGAGATCGGATCCATGATTTCGATAGCGAGATGTGCTTCTTCACCGAGACCACATTATATACACTTCTCAAGCTTACTAAATAATAAAAGGTAATAGGTCTTGGAATTGTGTTCTCTTGCTGGTGGCCTGGCAGTAAAAACCAAAACCTCTCGGAGGTCAAGACCGAAGTACGGTGTCATTGATCACGGTAGGTACAGTTGATAAATAAGTCAATAGTTCCAAGAGTGTAGTAGTCACTGCAACCGAGGTTCAATAAGAATGGCTTGATTCGCATCGAGAGGCTTAGAACGATGGCAAGCGAATGTAAGTTCTCGGTCGAAGACCGAGCAATAAACAAGGTGGTGGTTAACAAAGCCATTGAATAGGTCCAGTAATTCTGAGATGGAGGATAGAGTATGGAATGGGTACCTGGTGTCTCATGTATACAAAGATTCCTGTAAAGGCATACAAGATGTTGCCCACGGCCCCTAGCAAATTTGGTGGCAGCTTGTCCACTTGGATGTACAGATTTTAGCTGTCCAAGTACCCTTTCGGCTAAGTTCCCCGGACCGTCAAGGCAGTTAGCCACCATCTTTCCGTCTCCACATGCTGTTCTGTTCACCTTGACCTTTTAGCGTCAGATCTTGCCTGCTTTGATGCTGCTTTTAACCTGTGAACCTTCACTCCATCCACCCGAGCCAGGCCGATGGCTACCGAGCTCAACACGGACGATGGCCGTTGTTTGGTCATCGAATGGAAAAGCACGGTGATTGAAATCCCAAGATCCCAGTATCGACAAGCTTACTGTCGCGGCAAGCTTGTGAAGACAGCTGCCCGCGCAACAAACGATCTGTCCCTGTAGCGCCTTGCTATGAGGGAACGGGAGTAACGAAAGCCAACTTGACCAAGGTAGGTAGGTAGGTGCCTGACTTGATTAAATATGAGAGCTGTGAACTCTTTCACAGGTGCACTTAAACAATCGTCGGACTTCGATGTACGGGCTGGTCTCGGCGCACGTAGTACGTTGGCAAAGTACAGTGCGGTGTTGCATTTGACATTCATTTGCAGGGATATCTTCATCTTCCCCAGGCCCGGTGCCGTCACTGACGCGGAGGCGCCCCTCGGCCCTCGTCCGAGGCACGTTACGCCTTCAGGAATTTGATGTGCGGAGCACCAGCTGCTTCAGTGTTAACATCTATATAACTGCCTTGTCCCAATCATTCTGCCCTTCAATACTAGCTCTCCCAATAATTTACTCTCACCTATCAAGATCGAGCTTTTTCCCGAACCCTACACTTGTCTCATTCAAACTTTGCGCAAAGCATCAGAGTTACTTGCAAGCGCCGTCACTGGCACCTCATTACCGGAGACATCGTCGACACGTGAAAGTGCTGGCGGCAGTACATAATACCCATTAACCTTTCACCTCTCCTCATCCTCCATCAGTCAAACCAAGAACTGTTCTCCATTTGCGATCACAATGGCCTCCGTCGATTCTGTCCTTCAGGGTGTCTCCGTCTCCGGCAAGGTTGACGACATCCACCGCAAGATCCTCACGCCCGAGGCTCTCGCCTTTCTTGCACTGCTGCACCGTTCCTTCAATGAGCGACGCAAGAATCTCCTTGAGCGCCGCAAGGCTCGCCAGGCCGAGCTTGATCGAGGAGTTCTCCCTGACTTTCTTCCTGAGACTAAGCATATTCGCGAGAACCCTACGTGGAAGGGTGCCCCTCCTGCCCCGGGCCTGGTGGACCGTCGTGTTGAGATCACCGGCCCCACAGACCGGAAGATGGTTGTCAACGCACTAAACGCCAACGTCTACACTTACATGGCTGACTTTGAGGGTGAGTCGCTATTCTTACTGCATCTTGAATTGTTTCCTCCATGGACTGGAAAATGGCCGTCTATGGCTTCAATGGATGTATGATCTAGAGATGATCCAGTCTGCTAACCCTGTAATAGACTCCAGTGCCCCAACTTGGGATAATATGATTAATGGACAGGTCAACCTGTACGATGCCAACCGCCGTCAGGTCGACTTCAAGCAGGGACAGAAGGAATATAAGCTTCGTACCGACCGCAAGCTACCTACTCTCATTGTCCGCCCTCGTGGCTGGCACCTCGAGGAGAAGCATGTCACAGTTGATGGCGAGCCTATCTCTGGTTCCCTCTTCGACTTTGGTCTTTACTTCTTCCACAATGCCTTTGAGACGCAGCGTCAGGGCTTCGGTCCTTACTTTTACCTTCCAAAGATGGAGAGCCATCTTGAGGCTCGCCTTTGGAACGACGCCTTCAACCTTGCTCAAGACTACATCGGTATGCCCAGAGGCACCATCCGAGGTACTGTTCTGATTGAGACCATCCTTGCCGCTTTCGAGATGGACGAGATCATTTATGAGCTTCGCGACCATAGCTCTGGTCTCAACTGCGGTCGATGGGACTACATCTTCAGCGTTATCAAGAAGTTCCGCAACAACCCGAATTTTGTCCTGCCAGACCGTTCCGCGGTCACCATGACTGTTCCCTTCATGGAATCATATGTGAAACTTCTGATCCAGACATGCCATAAGCGTGGTGTTCACGCCATGGGTGGTATGGCTGCACAGATCCCTATCAAGAATGATACTGCTGCCAACGACAAGGCTATGGAGGGTGTCCGCGCTGACAAGCTCCGTGAAGTCCGTGCTGGACACGACGGCACTTGGGTTGCCCACCCTGCTCTTGCAAGCATCGCTACCGAGATCTTTGACAAGCATATGCCAACTCCCAACCAGCTGTTTGTGAGAAGAGAGGATGTTACCATTGGCCAGAACGATCTGCTCAACATGAACGTCCCCGGTACCATCACGGAAGAGGGAATCAAGAAGAACCTCAACATTGGTCTTGGTTATATGGAGGCATGGATTCGCGGAGTGGGTTGTGTCCCCATCAACTACCTCATGGAGGATGCTGCCACCGCCGAAGTCTCTCGAAGTCAACTTTGGCAATGGGTCAAACATGGCGTTAACACTGCTGAAGGCAAGCGTGTTGATAAGTCGTATGCTTTGAAGCTGCTCAAGGAGAGTGCTGATCAGCTTGCTGCGTCTGCCCCCAAGGGTAACAGATACCACCTTGCTGCTCAATACTTCTCTAGTCAGGTCACTGGAGAGGATTATGCCGACTTCCTCACAACGTAAGTTCATCCAACCCCCACAGTCGATCTGGGTTCAGAGTACTAACTACTGCGTAGTCTTCTCTACAACGAGATTACTCAGGCCGGACCTCCCAGCCCTGCTTCTAAGCTATAAATAAATTTGTATTCCAAAAAGGGGGGATCAAAATAGGCATAATGGATCTATCGAGCGTTTCATGAGTGTATGCATAATTCAGACTTTTTCCAATATGTTGTGGTTTTGGGTCATGATATCATTTGTTATTTACACAGCCAAGGACTGGCATTCATCTACGACAAAAAGAGGTCATTCTTTTAATAATTCAAAATCTGTGACCAGTAAATCACCAGTATCAAGTCTCATTGTGAATCTTATCGGTCTGTAGTATGGATGACTTCCTTGCAGCCACCAAATACTTACTCACCCACCTCGCTCAGCACAAATATCCAACAAATAGAGAGCCAGATTTCCTCAGAAAGCTTTTTATAGCTAGTCGGGTCATTCTACATCGTTGGAAGAGGGTTGATCCCGTGCAAATATGTTGGTGAATAACCTTCAACTGTGTATTTGCAAGTTTTCAGAATCCACAACTCTAGCTATAGTTAATAATGTACTTAGCAAGGCGTGGTATGTTAGAAAGCAAGCCACGGAGCTCGGTGGACCTTTTTGTATCAATGACTGTATTTGTTTGAAGTTTGGAGCCACGCAGGGTAATATATCGCTGAGTGTCGCTGCGTCCCTTCACTCGTGCGTCTCATGGCAAGTCATCGAAACATGACTCCTAGTTTAAGCTTACACTTGAGGCAAGAAGCATATGTGTTCCTACTAGTTAATTGGCTGGTGTATCCAAAAGAAGAAACAAAAACCCCAAGCATAGTCATTTTGCCCCATGGCTGTGGTAAGGACATTGGTGACCTGCGTATCAAAAGCGTTCAATATGATGGTGCTTTGCCATATCTGTACAGTCGCACCGTAGCTACCTAAATACCTACGTTAGTTATTCAAACTTCTAGCAAGGTCTAAGTTAATCAAAGAATAGATGTTGATATCTGAAGACTACGTATCCAGCGACAATACCTTCAGGAGCGTTGCATGAGAGCAAAGCATGCCTACAGAAGAGCCTACATGGATAGACAACTTCCATACTTTGATTCAATATATTTTGATACTCATTTAGAGCCATGGGAGCTTCTGGTTCAGGACTGGGACCATTGAAAGTTCCAGCAACCAATTTGTGCGTTTCCTGTGTCCTCTGGCATGACCCCAGCAGCGAATCGTCATGGCCAAGAATACAAGTATACATATGGAAACTGAGAGTGATACAGACTTCTCTAATTATTTCATTAATTCTTTTTTCTTTCTTTTTTTCACGAAGCATCCTCCATCTCATGAAGCCATGCTTGGTCAGTGATGGTTGCACTAGTGGTGAAGTTGTTGGTATCATATATGAGATAATACCGAAGAAACAAGCATAAACACATATAATGCCTAGGAAGATCCTTGTGGTGTCCCTGACTATTACCAGTAAAATAAAAGCTACCGGACTTGGCTACACCCCCTTAGATGTCTCCTCCCGTGAACTCGACTCTCAGGTTACACAACTATCCGCCATCATTGCCAGTTCCCGCAACACTCAGCGAAGGATTTATTTCCTGCCGACCACACCATCCGGGTAGTTTCAAGTCGGGAGAGTGCATGGAGCTCATCATGTATCCCGAGGTCTGAGTCTGATGTAGTATCACACCGGGAGGCTGCAGACGGGAGGGCTCGGTCTGGGCCGTGAGCTGTTTTGAGGATGCACTTTGAGTCGAGGCAAAAGTTAGAACTCTTGTCTTCAAGAGGCACCTCTATTGATACACGCGCAGATTAGCACAGCAAAAGGGCACCTCTTGCCGATATTTGAGTGAGCTTCTTCATCTGCCCTGTCACGAGTAGGGTTGAAGTATGAGGCCAGTTCATAGAGTTTCTAATTCGTGAATCGGCCAATATGCGGTTTATCACAGCCTTGTATTGATACGGCAACTTCAATATCACAGATTTCTCGAAAAATAAAAATAAAAATAAACTATTATAGCTGCATTGCCATCTACTCGTTCCAACACGGCCAGCGGGGCCATGGGTGAATGATTGTCTTCGACGCAAGTGAAGATACACAATCAAATCAGCATGGGGAGAACAACAGCCTATCAATGATCCAATCGGAATAAATCGAATCAAGTCATTGGGTGTCGCACTCTTCCTATTACGACGCTGGCGAGGGCATTCGTTGAATGTTGCAGATCACCGATATACGAAACGCTACGATGGAAGCTTGTCAAGCCCAGGTTGAGGATACACAATACCAGTATGCAAAGCCGATACGAGAATAAGATGCAAACTTGTTGAGAGGACACGCATTCTTGTTTAGTATGGTTGAGATGCAAGCAGCGTCTCGTATGCGCAAACTTCCGCTGCCCAACTGATCAGCACCCACGGGGGGAGTCCCTCGTCCCAGACATTTCGGGGAAAACAAGTCCTGTTGTGAAGATGACACAAACTATTACTGGACATAAACCGAAAGAAGAGAGAGGGGAGTGAAAGAAATATCTAAGTGATCGCCATCACTAGAACAGGCGAGGTACCTTTCAAATGCATGAGCTGCTGTGGCCAGCCAGCAAGGATAGCTCCGTGCATAACGTCGTCCACTCTCCTGCGCACATTTATTTCTCACGGACACAAGAACGTCACTGACTGATAATGAGGTACAGCTCAGTCTCGGCCAGAGGTAGTTCGCCATCGTGCAAACCCCCCTTTGGCTCAGTTCACATCTGAAGTCTGCATTTGGCCATGAACAAAGGTTAGCCCTGTTAAATCTTGGGTCCGTGCTATGAAACAATACCATGAATAGCGATGGTTTGGCCAGGTTTGTTTCAAGCCAACTCTTCGCTGCTCGAGCATTGTCTATTTTCTCATTGGCGCTGATGTCCGGCGTAAACCCTGTCGAAGAACATGTGTGCACATACATACCGTACCTGTGCGAAGCCGAATATCACATCTCCGTACTCGGGCCTTCAGCCTCGACGCCATGTCAGATCCGTGGCTGGCTGTCTAGAACCACATCACCCCATTTTCGACCGTGATCCCACTCTGTAGTGGTCGGACCACGCCCTGGCTTACAAGCTTGAGCACAATGTCTCGATCTAAAAGACAACGGAAAAAGCCGCAATGTACACTTCACTTTCACGAACCATCCACTCCCGTTCCCATACACCTCATCGCCTCCCAGATCGACTGGATTTGCCTCTCCGCTACTCGCCCTTCTTCACTAGCTCTCTGCGCGCCGTTCCAGAATCTAGTGCAGGTCTTGTGCGCCCTCCTTAGCAACCCACCCTACACTTGTGCAGTTCCCCGTACACTCAAACGCCCCAGCATAGACTCCTGTAGTGAGTTTATCTCATAGATGCTTGGGTACAGTCAGGTGCCGGACAGGGTCGAAAAAGGCAGTAATGGCTTGAGTTAACCTCTTTTCGACAGTCGGTGGCGAGAGGTTAGTTTACCAGTCTTCCCTTGGAGCCAGGCGCTCTGCAGCGCCTTGCGCCTGACCCGACAAGCATGTTTGACATTTCAACCTCATCTGACGATTTCATTCAGGGCCTTCTGAGGCTAGATGCTCATGTTCCGGGTGGGCTGCGACAAGCGTTATTTAGCGTCCTAATGGAGGCGACGAGAGCCATCGGAAATGAGGGTATTCACAGTTTATCGAAATTTTGAAGTCACCACCAAAGGCTAAGCAAAAGGTCTTAGACAGAAAGCTTGATTATTCTTCGCTCCAGCCCACGTTGCAATCATCCATGGACAAGCTCTCCTCTTACAATCCCGCGTCTCATTCCTCGACAAAATCACGCCTTTTCAGCACAGAATTTCATTACAAGACGTTTCCAGTAGCATACCACAGCTAAAAACACCTATTTTGGCATAGAAAGTACATAGATAGTTGTGCTAGGGAGAAGCCATCGTCTAGATTCCGGGCGTTTACTTGGTGGACAGAATCACGTTTGACCTTTCACTGCCACGGGCATCTGGAGAAGCTTACCACGATCATTCTACAGGACCCTATCCTTTCTTTCTGAGACATAAAAAGAGTTCAACCCAGGTATTCGTTGAGACAACGTCCCGAGGACTGAAGGGTATCAACACACCTCACCAGAGACCTGGTTCTGTCCTGTCCTCACTCGCCATCAAGCGTTTGGTCCAGCTTCTTGACTAGGAATGATTATTTGAGCACACCACCCAAATGGGACATCCCCTATCAGAACTCACGAACTTCCAACACCAAAAAGCAAAAGCTTGCGTCAGAAGATTGAATAGCTCCATTGTGAAGGCCCGAGATGGGTTGTACTTCTATCTCCATCGTTGTGTGCGGAGGACGGGGTATGGCAACATGGAAGGGAAGGGAAGGGAATACAAATCATATGGATCTTCGTATCGTGCAAACCATGATGATCAATTGGCTCTAAAACGTTAGGCCGGGGACGGTGGTCTCGGTCACTCCCCTTCCTCGCCATAGATCTCGCCAGAGGCAATCTCTGCAATGCAACTTCAGATTGCGAACTCAATTGGACTTTCAGTTGGATATTGGATCCCCAAGATCTGCGTGATAGATCTGCATGTCATTGCATCTAGACCCATCTGGCGCCCTCATGCCTCCTTTCATTCACTGTTGGGCCGTCTATGCTTAGACTTCTTACTGGACATGAGTCCGGCTGCTCGACCGTTTCCTTCACATCAGGACCTCCCGAACTTGGATTCCAGTGCTGCTAGTCCTCAGGCATAATGGTAGTTTACTGTGGCTGGCTGACCAAATCTTCATGCCGAGCGTTACTCCAGTGTTTGTGCAGGCCATTCCTACTCCGGAACCCATATTCGATAGCTTCGATAACTGAAACCAGATAAAGACCGCTAGCCAATCGCCGAGAGAGCTCACATCGATAGTCTCGTACACTGGCAAATCAAGAAGTCCCTCTTTGTTCGCACAGAAGACTGATCCATCACTCCCTGCTTGCCAGGTTACCCACCATCGTGGTGCTTCGCTTTTTTGCACGATCATATGAAGACACCACAGTTCGCATCAAATGTCTCAGAGAAGCTCTTCATGATGTACGTGTTGAATCAGAAACAGTTGTTCTACGCATCCCATCAAGAGACCGCCCTGTCAAGGGCATAACGCCATTTGGCCCAAATATATACACATGCTTCGCACAACCGTCATACCGATACACGTTTCCATCCTCTTGAAAGCCTAATTCCGTTGTCCTGGTAAAAGTCCCGTCCCAAGCCCGCCTTGTTAATGCCATATTTTGTCGTATAAACACACCAATGAAGACCCGTCGATAAAATCTGCCTTCACCTGAGCTCCATTCCGCATGCCTTGACGCCGATATTCCAATCTTTCCAGACCCTGCAGCGCCTATTTTCCCATGACAAACCTGGCAGACATTATATGATAAATATTATATGGGAATTTGTTCAAATGCCAGAACGAATGATAGAGATATGTGCCTCGAAACAGGCGTCCAGGATAGTCGTCTGTCTTTATGATACCCAGATTGTTGCTCTCTTGAAACCAGATGGTGAAGTTGTCGTCGTCTCGAAACATGGGTATCGCGCATTAAAACAATAACTCCTTGCGATACGGTTTCACTGTTCCCTCTTGACTTCGGGGCTATCGTTCTCCTCTCCACTGCGATCTGCTCCGTTACCATCACCGGGGTTCTCGTTGGCCTTGCTTTCGCAACCCTTGACAAGCCGGTGTCTCTATAGCAGAGTTAGCATGTGCCATGAATGTCATGATGAAGTCAGGGCCGTATTGACAGCACGGCCAAATCACTTACCTTCAGAGCATCCTTTCTGGAAAAGCTTTTACTACAGTAAGTACAAGGAAAAGGCTTGACTGCCAGATGAATCCGCTTGTGTCTCTTGAGATCGTGGTTTCGACTGAACGACTGAACGCATTGGTCGCACTTGAAAGGCCGCTCTGACTGTGTTGGTGGGGGCTGGCCTTGACCTCCGTATAGCATGGGATGCCCATATGCAGTTACGGGCATACCTGGGATCATTGACATTTGGCTTCCAGGCTGGTGAATATTCGACAAGACTGATCCCCCCATGGTAGGGAGGGTTTGATAAGGGGCATATGATCGATAGGGACCAGGGGGTGCCATGCCAGCACCATGCGGCTGGCCTGAGATCGATCCAAGGCCCCTAGGTACAGGGCCGCCGTTAGAAGAGGAATGCTGGGTCGGCGAAGGCTGGTGGCCATATGGTGGATAGCTAGACGGCTGAGATGCAGATGATGTATAGTAGTTCGGTGTGCTGGGGGGCCTCGAGTGCGTATATGAATCGACGTGTGCCGACACGCTCGAAGGAGTAGGAGGTTGCGTTGCTACCGAGCTTTGCGAAGTCAAAATTGCACCCTGGGTCTGCTGCGATGTCGAGAGGCCTGGTGGAGTGGTCTGGCCACCTCCGCCAGAGACCGCAGTCTGGAAAGGCTGATGCACTTGATCGTAAGGGGGTGCTGGGAGTCCGTCACCTCCAGTAGCCGGCGACTGAGAACTTCGAGGGTGATTATATTGATGCATTCCGGGACCTTGGTTGTAGATGGAGTGGTTTCGTCCAGCGAAGTGCTGTTGGCCAAGGGCTGGCTGAGCCTGGGTCGCGGAGCTGACGGTGTACGAAGAATTGCTTGGTGTAGCCCATGCCGCGGGAAGTTGTGCATATTGATACATGTTGCCTGGTGCTTGAGAACCTTGGGAACTCCCGGTATTGACGCTAGAAAGACTGGGGCTCAGGCCATCACTGGCTCCTGGCGAAGGGGTCAGAATACTGGGCGAAGACGAAATGCGGCGATCTGGAAAGGGACCAGGAAGGGGAGAGTAAGATGGCGGATATGGATACCCAACCGACTCGCCCTCCCGGGAGCACTGAAAGGACTCTGACGAGTTACCTGTGAAAGAAGGGTAGAAGGGGTATTTGGCCATACTTGGAACATCTGCTGTCGGTGGCGGCAGAGTCATGGCAGGCAGGGCGCCTGCGGCGGGACGCCGTGAAGAGAAACTAGCACCCTCCATTGACATAATCTGGAGTGGATGCAAGAGTTTAACAACGCTTTGTTCGTTGCCAGAGGTAAAAGTGGCCACGCAGCAGCACAAAGGCTATCCAAGGGGATTTATAGCCGGGCACCACGAGAAATAGAGAGAGGGATTAGGGTTGTTCGCGTAATCTCTCTGCGTTGAGGAGGATAGTTGATGATGGGCTGAAGAGTTCCCGAAAAGTTACTTTTTATACAAGAGGGGAACTTGAGCGGCTCTTGCCCTATGTCGAGGCCGGAGCCGAGTTTGTGCTGGCAGAATGACTCTTGGAAAGATTTCTCGTCACAACAAAGAGGAGTCGTGTTCCGCCACTGCTCTATCACTGACGTTGCGAGGGAGGTTGTGAGTTTTTCGTGCGTAAGTTGTAGATACGTGGTGTATAGTATAGCTCGGTGGAATACAAAGAAAGGTATGGCCGTGTGAAGTTATCTTGATCTCATAGACGAACTTTAAACGACATTGACAAAACGCAAAGGACAGTGGCAGGCAGTGTAAGGCCAAATATGAGTGGAAGCACACTTGGAAAGCTTGGATTTAAAAAAAGAAAGAAGGAGGGGAAAAGGAAAGCTGAAAAATGGAGGAGGATCAAGGTAGATGAATGCCTCTGGGTTAGCTGAAAGTAGTCACGATGTTCTCGAGATTCGGATCGGGATGATGGGGTTGACTGGGGTTTTTGGGGTGTCGTCAATGAAAAGTCCACAGACATTCAATAAGGTTTCCTTACCCAGGGTGGCGCTTTGGCGTTCTCTGGTGTAATATGTATATCTGGTCAGGGCTTCTGCCTCGATGCAAGAAGCATTTACTAATGCCACGGAGGTGCGAGAGCTGAGCAGGGGAACGAGATGAAAGTGAACGAGCGCAGGGGCCAGCTCTGAGCCAGGACCAACAAAAACAAGCCTGGCCTTAGCTAAAACAGAGTGAGACTAGCGAGACTAGAGCACTAGCAGGGGCCCTCAATTGCCCAGGCCGTAGCTTCTCGCCTTGGCGTCCTTCTGGGTTTAGTATGAGCATCCATCCCTGCTAGGTCCTCACTGAGACGGGATCTCTGAGGACAGACAACTGGCACTAAAACCGACTAGCGCGGGAGGGCTGAAAGAATCATGGGCCTAGGCGTTGGTCCAAGACCGACCTGAGGAAGCTGAAGTACCTCCTGTACCTACTGCCAAGTACCTGCTCAAGTACTTCCTACAGCTTGCAAGACCAGAAGACATCATCATATTTGGCTGCTGCCATCTGCGGGCAAATGAGGGGAACATAGAGTTAAAGTTCGTAAACAGACGAAAGCGTGCATTCAACTCAGAGGCAAGGTTGGTTGTGATAGCAACGAGGGCTTTATCACGGCCACCATACAGGCATTACGTTCATCCATTAGTGGTTTCCATCACATCTCTAGACGAGGATGCCCACCACCTTGGGCATTGGCAGCTGGATGACTGGACTGCCTGCTGGTACCACCACCACCACCACCACCACCACCAGTAGGCCGGAGCTGGAGCCGGAAAGAAGAACAGGGGTGAGACCTGGAATGGCATGGGTGGAAACTCTGCAGGTGTGGGTACAACCAAGGACGAGACATTCATTGAAGGCACAAACATCAACTTGGGAAGCAATTGTGCGAGTTATGCTCAACTGGGGGAGACAAGAGGCAACGAGACAAGCGCAGGCTCCCCTCAACCATTGTCAAGTACTCAAGTACCTGCGTAAGCTGCAAAAGCAAATGCTCTCCGACCAACCTGAGGACGGAGTGAGAAAGAGGAGAGTCGGAAACTATGCACCACGAAAATCCTGCAATGCCCTACACGACAAAGTACATTTCCAGCGGTTCAGCTCATTAACAGTCTGTTGTAACCATGATTTGCGATTTGCTGCGGTCGCAAGTAATCGAGATGGAGCTCCATCGAAGCAAGATGGTTCGCCGGTGTAGAAGTCTGTCTGTATCAAGCCTCAATGACAGTTCAAATGACAAAAACTATAGATCGAGCTCTTCTTGACATCCGGTCTAGTTAGAAGTTTGGCTCTGTTGATCATCGTCCACTGTGTTCTGGCACACGGGATCTCCATCCCCGTCCCTACTTTTTACTGCGTGGCTTGGGCGAGATCGGGTACCAGGGGGGTGGGAAAGCGGCTGATGGTTGCTTTGAGTGGATGGCACGCACATCCCTCCCGTAAAATACCTACCTATGATGGATTACAACTTTCACTTTGACGTTTGTCCTCTTGTTAATAAGGTACTCTTGGGTTTACTCCCATCAACAGCTCGCGGTTCTCCTTGTGGCTCTTGGTCTCCTGGGTCATCATTTGTTGGGACACTCCATCACACTACCACCTCATTCTCTTTTCTGTGAATACCAACCTCGTCTTCCAGACCCGGGGATGGCTAGACCGCCAAACTCCTGGGCTTTCGGCCAACAGCTTATGCTTCTCAAACATATAACAGTGATTTTCTAAAGGAACAGGCTGACGGCCGCTTTTGGCTTCTGCTTTAGCTTGTCATGGCTGTCTTTTGGAGAAGCCATCTGTAACCCTGGTATCCCGGCTGTGGCAGTGGCGGGATCCGACCAGCTGGACTCTGTTTCTCTTGTAACCCCTGAAGGCGTCGAACGCACAACGGGGACGGCGTCCGGAAGGCGTCCCTGGTGGCCCAAAGGTGAAGGGTAGATGCTGCTTGACATTGATGATGATGGTTGTCGTAATGGGGGTGTTTAAGGTGCTGTGATCCTGGTAGTTCCCAGGCAAGAACGTTTATTTAGAGAGTCACGCAGGGGAGAAGTGCGTCTACTAGGAGTGTGAGTGGACGCATACAACGTGGCAGGTGAACACTTTCCAACTGCCCTCACAATCAGTCAGTCGGCTTCTGCAGACCCTCACCAGGCGTCCAGGTACACACGGACCTTGAAAATCTTAGCCCAGGCATACCAAGAAGAAAAATGGCTGTGGTGGTCTTGTGGTCGAAGTTGGACCCTGAAGTTGTCTTTTTCGGCCATAGCGAAGTTGAAGCTGGCCTGTCTCCTGCAATTCGGCGACTACCAGCAAATGGGTCCGCGTTAGACACCAAATCAACAAGTTCACGGAGACGAGCCGGCATGGGAATGGTCATTTGTGAGTCGAGACTCCAGTTGCCAGAGCCTAGAACTTTACCTCTATTTTAGAGCGCGATGGTTGCAACACCAGCGCCCAGTAGTCACGGAATGCAGAATTCGTCTCATCCCTAAGGGGCTGGGTTTTCGGGTCGTGTTTCGTTTGGGATGGATTTTCACATACTCCTTGCTTTACCTCATCCTCCGAAAAGAATAGCTCTCATAAGAGATTGAGAAAACCTGCCTGGACTAAGCCGGGCGATGGGCGGCTGGAAGCAACCGATTTTATTTTAGCGTCATATCGAAGAACTTGTTGTTTAGCAACTTCCAGTCTTGGAACGCCGATAGTTCAGCAAACAGTTCATCTTTCAAGGGATGCTTGCAATCTTCTCTGTCTGAGAGAATTGGACATCAATGAACGAGCCTCAACAGCCATGTCCCATATCTCCCCTGCCAAGATTTCATGTGTTGGCCGCGCTCTAGCCTGAGAGACCCTGCTTCAACGGTATGACTGATCTGAAATACATTCGTCGTCATGATACATATACCAGAGACATCCGGACGTTGTAGAGGGAAGCATTTGCATACTCCAAACCATCGGACTTCCGTAAGATTCTTAGATCAAGACCTATGTTCCAGGTCAATTATTACATGAACGACAGTACTTTCCCATTACCCTTGACTTCATGGTTTAGCATTTTGTATAATACATATCCATGGCAATGACAATACCAATCACTAATATCCGTATCTCTGTACCGCTGAACGCCTTGTCTCCGTGCACATTCGGAACCCCAGGGTCCCCTGCTGCACTCCCGCATCTACGGTTCAAGATGCAGTGCAGATCAATATTGGGCGTTTCTTTTTTTTAATGATGTGGATCCTGTGAGAGTGATCCGCGAGCCCTCAATGAGGATGCCCAAGTTGTGATAACGGGGCTTGCATTGATTGTTTTCAATAACTATTTATACGGCCAGCAGTATATCTCTCGGTGGTGAGGTGCATGGCACAGCGATAATTCTATCCAATAAACCTTTAGTTGTGATACCTGATGCTTTTCATGTACTGTAGGTTTGCTCCGATACCCCTGTCGATTACGCTGCACTGTGACCCATTAGTAAGGTTCTTGAGTCCTTGACTGTCTGTGCCTTCTTCGGACCATAGACCCCTTGAGCATTCCCCAGGTTTAATTGTTTGATACTGCAGCATAGAATTAATGGAACTTTGGGCATAGTCGGTTGCAGGTAAGCGGAAGAGTAAGCGGCGATCTTGAGATAACGATGGAATGGTTCTGTTGAATCTCTTTTCCTCTTTTTCTTCTATACGTAGCAAAATCTCCTGCTTCTGTTGATTTCAGCTGGAAGGAAGCTGTACTGTTTTCCTTTTTCTCCAAGAGCTAACTTTCTTTAGATGCACTAACCATTAAATAAAAAGGTTGAGCTTCTCCCACCGGATCGAAGCCCCATGTCCCCTGGCCCGAGTCCTCCTAGACCCCTGCTCTCTGATGCACACCCCTTCCCCTGACACTCGCACAAGGGCCCCTCGTCAAACGACCGGGGAGAATGCTTAGCTCCTGCGACCATCGTGGATCCTGGCTGCAACATCTTGTCCCCTCACTCAACTCTGCCTTTCCGCCGCCATCAACGGATAGGCTCAGCCATGCTAACCAAGCTCCTGGGAACGCAACAAGAAAAGAGGCGCTCAACTCCCGCCAGCGAACGACGCAAGTCATCAGTCGTAAAAGTTTGGCAACAGTAGCTCTTCCCCAACATGTTCCACTTTTGGCCCCCGGCCTTTCGGCGCTGCCATCCTTACCTCTGATCTGTCTGCACGATCAAGCCCTTCGGGTAAGGCGGCCAAGCCATCTTCACCTCCTGGTCAGTAGGTGAACCAAGTGGCTGGAATGGATATGGGTTGGAATGTCAAATTTGCGATTGACGTAGATTCTGTGAGCTTATTAGAATAGCTCATGTATCAGAACGGCCTACTATGGATGCAGGACAGGATTATGTCATATGTGATGGATGGTAAAAGGGAGCATCAATGGATCGGTACCATAAGTGTTGTGTTTGTGCGTGTTACTTTTCACATCGAGAGCATTCATTCGTCAAAGGTTATCTCTGAATGCAACAAAAATCCATCAATATTGCTAGAGTTTGACTATCAACTGCAGAGCGTCATGTCACCTTGGAACGCCGAGTTCCAAGGTCTGGGTGGTCTGGGTTTTTGTCGAGGGGATCTTCATAATCGACGATCATAGCCCGATACGTATAAGAGCTTGCTTGTGTAACAACACCAACCCACTTTCTCATAAGAAATAACAATAGCTCGGGCCTAGCGACCAGTTGTACGAAGCTCCGCTGCATGTTTCTGAATTATACCATCAGAATGAAGACGTGTTCTCCTGGGTCAGACATTGATCTGGGCTGCTTGCTTCGGACAATTCTGTATACTTTTGAAGGCTCTGATTAACGCTGCACTTGCTGACTTGACACTAGAAGTCTTGGCTGAGATCGAAATGGCATTTTGCAGGAAATAAGGATGTCTACCAAATATGAGACTAAATTTAATGAAGACTAGCTGCACTCTCCCCTCACTTCTGCCCTCATACCGATGCGACTCTATGTTTGCTTTTGCGGCCGACTGATGGAACAGCATGGACAGTTTCTCAAGATCTGTGGTGGGTTGGTCTAAGACCTATCCGTAGCTGTTGGGACTACGGATACAAGCCCCGGAAATGCTAGTGAGCTGTCTCAGACATCGATCGATACTAAGGTGTCCGTAGATTAGGACCAACGTGCAAGCATCGAGAAGTAAACCTTGTCGGGTAAATATCTGCAGCATTACTAGCTTAGGAAATGGCATCGTGGTTTCTCAACGTGTCTTGCAATATGTTTATCAGCGGTTCAAATATCCTGAGAATTGGAGGGCTTATGCAACTTCCATTCAAGGCATCGCACAATGAACAAGTTGATCAAACTGACCAGCTCCAGAGCTATTTGTAATGACTCTCAGACAACGAGAGCAGCAAGCAAGACGATTCTAATAAACAGCACAAAGCTTTCACCAAACAAGGTGCACAAGCATGATGCAAGACCAGTCGTTATCCACTCTTTCCGGGGCCTCATTTTGTGCAAGATGCAAGACGCAAGACAATTATCCACGCTTTGATCCCTTGAGAAGATAGCATATTTCCGGACATCTATCGTGTGTTCATTATGAATGCTTGGAACGCAAATCCCTTTTGATTCTGTCTTCTTTCAGCAAATATCGTCGAGCAGCTTGACAAGGGACGCGCGTTGATCAGTTCTCATAATACAATGCTTCGCATGCCCCGTCGCTTGGTACGTACACAGCAACGATGAGCCCCCATCGATGCCAAGAAACTCTTTCAGCTTTGTCCTTCTTTGTTCACTTCCCCTGTTATACCGGTATCCTGAGTCGCTGTGTGCTGGATCGGGGCTGTTCAACACGGACGTACAGGCTGATGACAACATTAATCAACACTGCATGGCAAAGTGGTAGAACCTGATCCAGACTCAGCTGAGGTGCTTGGACCACTGAGGTGCTTGGACCATTGAGGAACAAGGAGAATGGTCGACAGTCCTGGCTAAGCCTAACAGCTGCGATCATGGTTGGTCTTCTGGGAACACCCTAAGGATGTCATGAATGAGTATTGCCAATATCAGAGGGTGTGCCATGAGTGTGCATTGGTTTCCTGACCATGTTCCACATATCACACCGCATCCCTTTGCAATAGGATGTACAGTACAAAAGGGAAAGGTAGAATGAGAAATCTGCCAAGCGTAAATGGAAATATGACAGTTCTCATGGTCGCGTCCTCAACCACTATTGCGATTATTTGGGGCAAAACACTGTGGATGCTGAAATCATGATGGAATGTGTACCTAACTCACTGTACCTCAAAACTTGGCTTGTTCTTGACAGTCGTCTACCTTCCAGCCTAAGGTACCTGGAGTACCTGTGTAAAACGAAGTGAGATGAAATTATGATCAGAGTGCCCACGACGAAACCGCTGCTCGTTCGGGACGTATCTGTGTGGTAATGCAATTCGGACTCAATCACATGGTTGTATTCGTCTAACATCACTTGATATAGATAAGGTGAAGAGGTTGGGGTCTTGACGTTAATCTGCTTTTTGACTAGTTTATGCGGGAGATGAGGCTCTAGGGTATTGGTTTTTCGCTCTGTTCGCGAATGGTAAGGAGACATGAAACTAGGCTGCCCCAGCGCGGAATGCGAAGGGAAATCCCGATTCAAGTACAAACTTAACTCATGAACCACAAGATGTAGGTGAGGCCTATCACCAAAATCTATCTACTCAATGTATGAGAGTTGCGTGATGAATCAAGATCCAGTGTATCTGTAGAAACACAGACACAGTTTTAACAAAGTTCAGTCGCAGAACGTTTAAAGAACCTCAATACGCGCCACGCCTCAATCAGGTACATGCGTGATTGCGAACAACCTGTAAATACCTGGTGGAGATACGGTGTGATAACCTTGAAGAGATACCGTATGCTTTTCGAATGGTCCAACTTAGCCTGGCTTATTCACGACTTCATCAACAAGCAGGTTCTCGCATCCACGGCACATTGCCCGGTCACGCTGGTCAGCATTCATTTTCCTGCGGTTCTTGGCACGGTTGCAACCTGCTCCAGTCAAGTTATCCGAAGAGCAACATCGGGCAAATAGATCGGTTGTGACCCATAAGAAGTCCCTGCTCTTGGTTTTGGCTTGAGTATTAGGGTTAGGCCTTCTGAAGAGTCCCACTGCAGGAAAGCTTCTTTGCAATGGCGAGACAGTCTGCCTGGCACTATGGAGGATATGGCATCCGTGCCCCAGTTAGGATCATCTGCAGGATAGCTGATGCCACACTAACTGGGCTTCGAGATACAGGGTGTGCGGGGTAGAGTAACCTAAGTCGGGGAGGATGAGCTGGTCTCAAGATACGCATCATTGTTTGCTTGGACATTCGGTCATGATGAATCAAGTCACCGGGAACCACAATCATGCGGCGTTATGGTTGTTTAAGCATTGTTAGACGAGAGCAGGCCGTCAACCGCTGAGTGGAATAAGAGGGGAACAATCGCTCCGCTGCAGGCTACGGAGACAAAATCGACTGCTCAACCTCGATGAAGGGCTTCTAAGCACATCTCCGGCGTGTCCCACCAAGCATATTTAGATCCATGATTCCATCAGTTCTGTCATGATAGGCGATTTTCGATGCATCTTTAACATATCCAGATGCTTACACAGGGATGCGATGACTAAGGCATGGTCGTTGCCAAGATGTCTGTCACATTGATGGGTTGCTCTCCGGACGATGCCCCTTGTCAAAGAGGCTGCGGAATCCTGCCGCCACAGTCGAAGCCAAAACCACTCCACTTGCAAGAACCCCTTTCTGAGGCGTGCGGGGATACGACGCCGTGACACAGTTGGCTACGGCTACCTAACCACTACTGCACCTAAGCTAGGCAGGGAGTTAGCTTGGTGCATCGTAGAGCCGAAGAGAATCGATAGCTTTGGTTCAAACATTACCCATCAACAATAGGAAGCTTGTTAACTAGCTATCTCGCATGAGAAACACTTCTGCATCATGGTCAATATCATTCTTGCAAGGGCCTTGGTCCTCCCGACTTTGCATGCAATCGTAAGACAAATGCTAACGGAACATGCCTTTTCATAGCCGCGACCAGGTTGCCTTGGAGTATGACGAGTTGGACCACCCAGTAAAACACAACCTACCCAAGAAATGGTTCCTATTTTGACACACTGGTAACAAAGGCACGAAGGTTCAACGTGGACACCTCCATGAAGGCATAGCAATTCATTGCATCGTGACGGACGCTGCTTGTCAACATCCGTGCCGTGAAAGCGAACTTGGTGCCATGCGCCAGAGGATAATCCTCGACAGCCAGGGGCACCCGACATCGACAGACAAGACAGACTACACCAAGCCATCCGTGTGCCAAATTAACTTGGTGGGCTGCAACTTGATGGTGTCTGCCGCTGGTGGAACCCTGCAACGCTACGCTAGCCTGACACCTCTATGGATGTACTATGTATTTTGGAGCGACGATAAGGCTAGCTTAAACGTCACGCCAGTGTAAGCTCCGTTCGTTAGCAGCCTAGCCTGAGCATTGACGAGGCGGGAATCGTGCCATAAGGCGGAGCAATTGAAGATCGAGACCATTCGAACATGGTCATCTCTGCGGTCTATCAGGGCTGAATTCCTCGCTCATCCCGGTGGTACAGGACGTGATGGGTCCCATTCCTCCTTGTTGCACAGGTGCAGAGGCCTTCGTTACACCATACCCGAGGTTACTGTAGATTTGATCTCAGCAGAAGACTCAAAATCGCCGACTTGTTACGTATCACAATCACCTCCCGCGGTTGGTGGGTCAAACCACCATCAGCCCAATACTCTGGCCACGCTACGCTACCTGCGTCTGGGGACACGCGAAAGATAGTTACCGAGCCGAGACAAGCCAGTTTGGCCCCGGTAATCGCGACAAGCGAACTTCAGACGGCAGGACTATCTCAATAATCCTATGTGACGATATGGCCATCATCCTGGTCTATGCAAGGCTTCAAGCAGAAGGGATTGTGCTGGACATAGCTGAGCTGCCCATTCTTTGAAAAGACGTCGTGTAGCTGTGACGCGGCCAGGAGGTTTACGTAGGACGCACATAGTGATAAAACCTGTTCGGATATTGACACGATCCGCAACGTCGGAACCTCTGGAACTACATGAATTATTCCATTTGTAACGTAACTTGATTACTACAATGTGCCCGTGTCCCTTTGGAAAGGACAAGCCTCCATCGATAACAGACGCTATTGTTGGTCGTCCTGCCGGCAACTAACGTGTACATGGAAGAACCGTTCGGCACGTGTGATCCACATCTTGGCCGCTCAGCCGTCAAAGAATTCGTTAGTGTCTGGGAGTTGCCATTCTATCTTGCTAATCTCCGTTCACAGACGGGGGGACAGCCCGGCAGAGGGGCATTCATCATCAGGGGCAGAACTTCGATCTTCTCCAATGGCTTATCACAACATACGTCAGATTCGAAAGGGGTCCGCAGCCGTGTCCTAGGTAATCTGTTTACAACGGCGGAGCAATCTCTTCCAACACCAAGCAGCCGCAAATGGCACAGATCTGCATAGAGAATGAATCCCTGCGCAGATCGTTCCTGGTGGCGTTTCATCTCCAAGCCTTTCCCTCAGGCTAAGTTACCCAAAACTCTTTAGTCGTTTATCAAGACGTTGGAGTGGCTTTCGTATGATATCAAATTGCCATAGACTCAACCTGCTCTTGTCAAAAGCCTACCGGAGGTGAGCACGACCTTTTGACGGAGTTCGGAAGTGTTGCAAGACATCAATTTGGTAAGGAGACACCAGATGGATATGATAACCAATGCACACCCCTCGTCAGGGGCGGCCGCTCATGATTGGTTATCCAAGTTTTACTCCCTGTCGAGACATCCATATTTGCGGACTTTCTTTTTTTTCACGGCACCGGTAAACGAAAGCAGTCTGGCACCTTGCAGTCGGCGCTGGAGTACGAGCTGACATCCAACTTTCGGGGTCCACATGCAGCCATACACTGAGGCGTCGTCCAAATATTCAATTCATTTAGATTTAGCATAACACTTAATATCTTGGATCTGTATGCTGATTCACGTTAATAATAAAAGCGTGGGGGAATTAGATTTCGAGACGTTTAGCTAATTCGTATCATCCTTAGCGAGAACATTGGTTTGTAAAACTCCCTGTTAATGTCACAGCCGGCGATAGCGATGCCCACTGCCGTGAAACCTTCAGCTCGTAATGGCAACCCGCCTCTGTCCCGAGCGCCTACGGAGTGTGGGCTGTGAGAATGGTTGGAGGACGAGGTTAGCATAACTATTTGATACTCCTTGTCGCTTACTTGGTAGATCCAAACTTACCGATTCCAATAATCGCAGGGTTTATTATGCATGTAGACTTGTTTGTCCACAAGCCTTTTGGTCGCTCCCGGTCATCGTTGCTGAGGGGAGCACCCACCAGTTCCGGTCCCGGTTCCATTGTCGTAAATGGCGGCTTAAACGGCTCAAGATGATTTTCTCAACAAGTCAGAATGCATACCATTCGAAGAATAAATTTATCTCAGTTAGATCGGTGCACAAGAACCGTTCTTCCCAAATTATTGGTGCAGGGTTCTCAGGAAGACTTGGTCAACTTGCGTTATGTCAGGCGAAGAACGGCTTCCAGTGAACCCAATATGCTCCCTTTCTTATTGAACAGCCGAAAGGATTCAGGTCAAACGACAAGCGCTGGCTTAAGACGTGGGCATGGACGTTCGCTTGCTTGGCCTTGCATGCTTAAGCCACATCTCAACGAGATTGTGCGGAGCTGTGATCCAACAGGCATATTCCACGTGTGGGATACTTACTATCATGCTTCTGGGTAGTCCTTGCTGTGATGCGTTCAAGCGTGATGGTTTGAGAGCTTGTTCTGTTTGAACGGTTTAGCTGAGATAATATAGAATCTTGCGAGCAGCCCAAAGACAGATCCGGTCTCGGATCTCGACTGGCATGTTGATTCACCCAATACATGTGGATTTGTTAGAGCAAAGCTGTAATGTTTAATCAAACATGTCTTTGACTGCTTTTTTTCTTTCATTTAATACTTCCGTGACAGCTTCCTCATACGATGCATGCCTGCCTTCTGTATGAGCCCAGCTCCGTGAGAAACTTTGAACGACGGCACAACGACCATCCTTGACTAAGTGTTTGGATACCACACATAACACGTTAATATATCACACGCTCATCAATAGGCTTACACATGGCATAATGGCTCCCTTATGTCTTCATAGTACCAGTCGGAAGTTATGCCCTACCTCTTGTCTCCCCAAACGCCTCATGTGGGCCAGTGAAATACATTCACGAACATGACAGGCCATTACACCAGCAATGGGACCCAATATGAGCGAAATCCTGGCGACTACCTACTATTTTCAAGAATGTGAGATCTCGGACTCATTGCTGTCTGGATAATGCATATAATGCTCCGGAGCCGCGAAGACTCTCAAATTCTGAGGTCTGACTTTGACACACTTTGACACACACTTTGATAATGCCATCCAATGTATTTCACTTCATTGCCCCACGGTGACCTGGAGTTTGCTTGTTGTCAGGCACATTGGATGGCGACAGAGCAACGCAATCAGTCCTCCAGGTGAACCTTGACAGGGCAAAGGGAAGGGCCATTTATCCATACTTAGATTAATAATTTACGAGCAAAAGCAATTCTGTAGGTGAGTCTTGCTATGCAAAAGGAACTAAGCTAGCTACTCTCGATTTCTTTTGATGTAGTGAGAAGTCCTAAAAGATAATTGAGACAGTGTATTCTTGCATTGTCTAATTCTGCATATCAAGGATTGCCATATGATACCTTTGGAAGCTCCCTTTCGGTATCATGATTGTTAAGAAAGTCGATACAGATAACTGAAGCTTCTGAGATATTCTAATGCCCTTGACTTCTCATGTGGAATGATTCCTGAGTATCACTGACCTGACGGAACCTGCGCCTATCGCAGCTTTCAATATGTGTGTCCTGATACGATAGCAATGGCAAGTGAAGAAACGCGCAGACTAATCAAAGTTTCTTATCTCATAGAAAATATACAATACGAGGTTTTGCGACCTAGCTACTTTTGAAGAGATCATAGCCGATGCTAAGAGAAGTTGGTTGTGGTGAACATTTCAAGGCGTTTTCGATATCACTCCTTTGTTATTACCTGCCATTCAGCCAAAGTAAGATTACGGCTATTCATACATAATAGTTCTATACAACAGTACTCAGAAAATCACGAGAGTTCAGGAGGTTTGTCTTGGCAACTTTGCCCTCTTATGCTTTAGGGTAAGTTGACTTACATTCATGTGAAAAGCATCTGTTTGTGTGAGTTTGGTGGAAGTCATCCATGCACGCATGAACTTTGAAGTAAAGTCAAAGAACGGTTGAACAATAACGAGATAATGAGAATGAGTCAAATTTTCCATTTCTATGAGGCTACATACAAATAAAGGCCATTAGTAACTGAATCCTTTGAGTCAATGTGTTCCTTCCACGCAGGTAACCACCAATTCTAACTCTCAGTTCTCGTGACTGAGTTGGAGCCGACTCACACAACCTTTGCATTGATTGAACTCAGTCACAGCATCTGAGAAGACATCTCATTATTTGGAACTACTGAGAGGGGATTGCAGAGGTATATAGAAGACTGTTATCGCACAGGCGAATGTGCGTAGTCAATGAAACTGTTGTCTAGCCTTGACCTTCAGCTTTGCCAGCCAACAGGTATATCATAACCTCCACTGCTGCCATACTGAGCATATTGGCTAAAGTCCAGTATCATATTTCTGGTGGAGGGTTAGAAGCTGGAGGATTTGACCAGAGAGGCGATCGCGAGATGTATGACATGAGTAACGGTGTCACTAATTCATTGTTATGTCCTGGGGATTATTCTAGAGACTGGGCGACTTCTAGACATTGGCGTCTGCTTCCTTCTGGTAGTTTACGTCCCCTATGTGACTGCCAAGCACTTTCGCCTCATAAAGCCATACAGGCAAGCCCGGCGGTTCTGTAGCAACTACGGACATGGAGAGATATGAACATGTCGAGGAAATATGAATAGAATTTCCCAAACTTAAGTACATTTCATAACCGCAGAACTTATGAACTAGCCTTAGACAGTGACGGTTGTTGAAAATGATGCTGTCAGGCCAAGAAGCGAGACGATGAACTCCCCGGAATGGAGGCATCTTCCAAGGAGCCTCTTTCGTAGAGATCTCGCATACGTGATTACCTACCTATATTAACGGAATTTGCAGCACGCCACTGTGACTATCTTCATGTATTTTACCGGGAAGTGATGAGTTACTAGATGGTATCCCGTAGCCGCTTAGGCGAACGGCGATCTTTTGAGATCTTAGAGAACAGACGCCATTGCATTTTCTCTGAGAATTTAATATTATACTTTTAACATAAATTCGCCCTTGTAAAGGCCTGCTAGCATGTATACAGGCTCTGATCGACCGTCATCTAGGTCTGTGATGCGGAGTGTACACTTATGATAGGGTGCTATTGGAATATTGGCTCCATAAATGATCGGTAATGAGCTAATATCATCGGGCTCGAAGTCACTGCCTGGTCATGAAGCACAACAGTCTCAAGTCAAGCAAAGAGTAAAAGCCGGATTTAGGGATGTGAGCGAGCGAGCGCGTATCCTTGTATAAGAGCAACGCTACCATAGAAGTATCACCGTGAATCAGTACCAGCTCGGAAAATATTTTGCAGGGGAGAAAGACAACGGGGCATAAGCATTCGAACTTGATACCGAGCTGTTACAATCGGACTTTCTTTTGAATCATCCGGCACAATCAATATCCTTCGGGATAGTATGAGCCCGGATCGAGGCTGTTTCAGGTTGCTTTGTATCGTGGAAATCTCAAATGGCAGCATTAAGAATCGTCACTGCAACAGACGTATTGCTCAGTTGCGAGAATGTTGCTGATGTTCTGACTTTGAGAAAGTACTGGGCTTCTTTATCACCTGATAAAGATGTAATTATACAACATGACTGGTCAATGTCTGGTCAAAGGATGAAATTAATGCAATTTTGAAGAACTTCAAATCGACTTGTAGTTGACTGGTGTTGTTCAACTTGACGGGAATGGAACTCTCAAGCGGGGCAGTCAGCGGTACATTCGCCAAGTACAGGTACATCTATTAATGCGTCGGTTAATACACCCTGGTACACAGAAATGAGTTTATTTGAGCAAGAAAGTATAACATCATCCCTTCGCCCTCAAAAAGCAGTCCTTGAACATGTAATTTAACAGATTAATGGCAGCTGGCTTCCTCGGATCGTTTCTGTGATTATCTGTCTCTTTATCGATATACCTGCCGCAACTTAAATCCCTCTCTCTTTCACAGACCATTTATTTATTCTTCTCTCACCAAAGTCAGCACAATATACTGGAAATTCCACGAACTTGAGCCTTGTGCTTTGTTTTCTATCGATACAATATCCAGAAACCGACCGCTGGGACTTGGAGCCGTCGGGCATCCCAAATTATCGATCCATCCATAATCTGCAAACAGTAGGGCTGTGTGCGAACCGTCCCTCCGTTACTACGACTGCTACCAACATGAACTTTCCAAGACATGATATGCCAGGCATGGATACGGGCGGCGACTCATCCGGCTCCTCGTCATCCTCCCACGGGTCAAGCATCATGACCATGGTCTTCCAAACCGAAACCCGCACGCCGCTCTACGCCAACTCGTGGACACCAAATAACGCAGGTTCCTACGCAGGAACATGTATTTTCCTCGCTGTGCTTGCCATTATTGCGCGGGCCCTTGTCGCTTTCAAAGCTGTCCAGGAAGCTCGCTGGCTTGATCGCGAAGCTGCACGCCGTTACGTGGCTGTCAATGGCAAGATCCCCTTGTCGGAGCAGATAGCTTCTAGCCCCGACGCGCGCCGCATGACCCTCTCGGAGAACGGTCTCGAGGAAACCGTCGTCGTTGTGGAAAGGAAACGAGCAGCGACGAGGCCGTGGAGGTTCAGTGTTGATCCGGTTCGGGCATGTCTTGATACCATGATCGTCGGGATTGGATATCTCCTGTATGTCATGCGCATGGCTCCGAGAGCTTGATTATGCCTGGACTATATGCTAATCGTGTCTTACAGCATGCTGGCCGTTATGACGATGAATGTCGGCTACTTCCTCTCCGTCCTGGCTGGTGTCTTTGTTGGCAGCCTAGCAGTCGGTCGATACATACCAACAGTCGAGCATTAGAGACATACTCAGAGCTTCGGCAGCAAATGATATTAGATGAAGTCGGGAGCGCCACTAGGCGGTAATTCTCGCAATGGAATGGGCGGCGTTCAGGTTTTCGATCGAAATCAGCATGACACGAGCACGCGACCAAGTTTATATGACAGCATTCAATAAAGGTCACCAGGTGTTTCCGTCTCTCGTTTATATTGATGTTCTTCTCTATGCTTTCAGTCGCCTGCGTTAGTACTCCAGTTGTCGCCTGGGTGTAAAGTCGCATGTCACTTTTGTACCAGTACGTCAGCGGGGTATGAAAGCCGAAAACCTTCTCAAATCTGCTCACCATCAACAAACACGACCATGACAAAGCGGTACTAGGGGCGCATGATCACTTCTAACATAAATCAAGGTGCCAAAAATATTTAGTCCAAGGCCTACTAAGTCTACACTAAGTTTACCTAAGACTTTTATCACTTAGGATAGAGGTCCCAAGTTTTGTTGCCTCCCCTTGCATAACTACCTATTCATAGGAAGAGAATACTCTCGTACATACACGGGAGTTTCACGAGGGGCAGATGCACATTGTGAACTACTCCCGCAACTACCGGAATGGCTAATTACATCGCGTCCAAGACTAATTCGCTGTACCCAAACATCATGATTGATGTCCCAGAGGTCCGAGAAATCCAAATCGGCACATCATACGCGAACTTAGGAACTGCGCGGCTTGCAGTATCGCTGGCCATCCAGATTTACCGAGAGGGAGGCAAGCATCTTAAATGCCCCCCAGGGAGTCATAAAACCTCAGACTGTGGAGGAGGTTGCCAAAATAAACCCATTAAAGAGAGTTAAGAGATCCCCAAGTTTAGATTAACTTACCTAAATCTTACCTAAATATTTTTATTATCCAGAATTTAGGTCTCGGATTTTATTGCCTCCCCTAGATAATAAAGATGCAGATGAACTTCAACGTGGCCAAGTCGTCAAGGTTAGACGTGGATCTATCTTTATCATTACTATATATGCTGTCCAGAAACGAGACATTGAGTTGCTACTTAAAAAGTAAATGGCCATAGAACTCCTACCTGGCTTGGTTAAGGTGAGAACCGTCGACGGATCGCTCTCCCATTCCGAGGCTGTTATCATCGCGGGTATCGTTCGGATGGGCCGACGAGGATTTATTGATGATCCCCGTCGAGTAGCCGTGCTGAATTGTCCACTATCCTCATCGGCAGAGAAAGATCTATTCAAGAAAAAGCCCGTATCGGCAACGCTTCGGCCTCACAAGGCGTTTTCTTAAGGTGTATGATGGCTCACGACTAAGCTTGTTGCCTGACAGGAGGAGGCAAGAAAACGGATCTCTTTTCTAAGTGATAAAAAGATTTAGGTAAGTTTAGTATATATTAGTATATCGTAGTATATTTTAGTAAACTCCTAGACCAGTTTATTTTGGCACCCTGATCTAACGTCAGAAGTTTTCTTGTTCTCTGAGGCTCCAACCACGACTAACTACTCATCACCAGGGGCTTCACCACCTCCACCGCCGTCTTGCTGAGCGCTGGACTGTAACGCTTTTGCAGCTTGTTTGTACTCGTTCTTGATCTCAGTCTTGACACTGGCAGGAGGCTTTCGTGTCGCATGCTCCTGGCCACGGAATGCAACTCGCTTGCCACCACTCTTCGGGGACTCCGCGTGAAGCAAAGGCATTACAGCTAACTCCGTCGTCCGCAGTAATCTGGTCTTCTGCATATAGTGAAATGGCATTCTCATCGGCTCGTGGGCAATAATGCGTTTCATGCGTTTCGTTGCAAGTCGTGCGGCGAACAGTGTGCTTGCAATGGTGAGCTACATGTCCTGGCTGAAGACACCGAGAGCACCACTCAGTCCATTAGGATCTAGAATTTGCCCTACTCAGTGAGTAGACGGCATCTCTTTCCCTCAGGAACTGGACGGCTGTACTTCATCGACTAACGGACCTTGAGAGCCAATTTGGACGAGCTCGGGAAGGCAAACTCAGCTTTCATGTCCATGTTTTTATGGTTACAACGGGCAGAAATGTGACATTGAATGGCAAGTTGAAGCGCAGCTACCTATCCGTAGTCTAGCTAGCTAAATAAATGACATCAAGATACTCTTTTATACTGTCAGAAGAAAAGAGGGCACAAACACAGGCACAAACACGCAACAGGCCATTGGCAGTGACCATACTATGAGAAACTAAACAAAAGAGCGACAAGGAAGAAATCGTAGTTTTATTGGCTTTTTCTTCTTCTTTTTTAATTTGCCCCTCTTGGATGAGCTGGATAGTTGGTAATGTTGCACCTCGAAGCACCTGTCTATAGACAATGCTTGTATGAGTATACTCAGATCATATTCTACTACGGTACCAACCGAGTCTAGGTATATCTATCGACTTGGGACTATCTCATATTTCCTCCAAACATATCCAGAAAAGCTCATAGTTCAAAGGACCCTATATGGTTCCTGATATGCAAATTATGTTCCTCTGGGAATTGGCTACTTGATGAATAGAACTAAACAACACACCCTTGATGGCATGTAGTTATGTTATATTGTTATGTCCTGTACTCCATGGTGGCCCTCGTTCCGTCACCTTCCACTCTTATCCACTACCTGATGTAAAAGCTTGAGCTCCCCTGGCCTCAAACTTTGACAACACCCAACCTACCACGATTGAAGAACACCGGAACTTTGGCGAGTTTGTGTAGGAAGTGGTCTAGCCATACCGTTTGCGAAGTGTAAGTGTTCATACAACTGTATCAAGGCTGACTATGGCTAGCATGCGTGGGAATGGAAGGTTATGCTTATCCTTCTAACGTTAGACTGCCTGTACACCTCCCACTCTTTATAGAAATTATATTACTCAAGCGAACTATACCGTGACTATATATTCCAGTGAAGTGCCGATTGATGTAGGGTCACAGGGTTCATGTAGAGTTCTTAGGTTCCCTAGCACAGGGGAACAGGAACCTCACTGACCGCAAGAAATACCAGCAGCCTCAGCGCGGGTCTGTTCCCAACACAGTACTGATTTGCTCTCTGCCTCAAGACCTCATTGCCAACTTTCACTCACTCACACCTCCAACTCTGACTTGATCTATCAACTCATCCCAACTAAGCCAAGATGATCCTTCATCCCCACCTCACCACCAAAGTGGAAAAGGCCGACCCCAAACCGCTTCTGTCGTAGGTACTCTTTTCCCTCATGTAACGTCATCTCATCTTGTTTCAATCCACGCGCACGCGCTGAAAGAAGAAAAGAAATTATGACAAAAATAGTAAAGTTTCCCCATAGGCGCAGCCGCACACGATCATACCGGCCGAGAGAACCTCCCAATCATATGCCGCCAACTCTCCAAATGCGGTAAGAGATCCATTTCAATAACATTTACATCTAGCAAGCCTGAACCTTCCTCCGTCCTTTCAAGGTTTGAACCAGGATCCTAGAGTTGAGCAAAAAAGATGATTCGCCAAATTTGGAGTTAAGATTCTGCCTTATGTGGAATCCAGTCTGCACTAGATAAGGTGCAGCAGATTTCGAAAATACCGTACCTGCAAATCTGGGGTGAAGTAACTTTTTGATGATGGAATGTCCATCTTGGGAAAGTCCGATTTTGACTTATACATTGGGCCAAACTCCAACAACCCACTTGCAACATCTCGCCTGAGCGCAGAGATGTTGGTCTCACTAATTCAATACATATTTACATTCGACATTCAATGCGAAAAGAGGAACAGTTTGGTAAGCCCACGTTGAAAGCATCCTTCCTTCGTCTCTTTTCGCCCATGATAGACGTCAAATCTGCATGAAGTACCCATTCCGTAAACATTCGTGCCTTCATCCCATCCATTCCCTGCCATCCCAAACACTCTGATGTAATTCACAAGCCAAACGCGCCTCTTCGTGCTCTTCAATGACAACACCTCTTCACTCCAACATGCATCCACCACACGCAAATGTCCTATGGCGTAAAGACACCAGCTTCCACGGAGCCTTTGATCACAAGAAAACATGGTGGTACTGCTGACCATGAAGGGTTCCCCCAGCATTGGCCGCATACTGTTGGTCTCGAAAACGACACGTGTAGTTATTCGTGGCCGCGAGGGTGGGATTTTACAGCCCGTAAACCCACTGCTCCCAGATGCGATTATTATATTTCCGCTCAAAGGCTCGTCAGACTTCGCTGGGGCCTGAAAGCCTTGATGTAATTTCAAGAAACTTAAAAACAAAAATCAAAGAGAAATGCAGATGGCAAATCAACACCAACCAACGCCTTTTCACCGGGACCTCACAAGACAGCTCTGATGTCAAGGAGGGGCGTGCAAGGTCGAGAGGCGGTGTCTCGAGAAAGCATTGAGCGCCGGGTATCATTGACCGAAGACCGATCTTTGGAGTCGGACGTCATTATGACTGGTGATGGCTGTTAGCAGGCATACCTGGTTGAGGAGGTATGCCAGAGCCATAAGCCTGATTCCGTTGTACGTAGCTCTGGTAAGCCAGAGCCTGCTGAGGATCCATGGGCATGTTGGGCATGTAGTTGTTGGGCATGTGAGGGTTTTGAGGCATGCCAGGTCGGTTGCCCTGAGGAGGGAGGTGCTGGTTAGGGGGTTCTTCTGGAGACTCGACTTGGTCGCCGCCATCGACGCCATTCTCATTGCCTGGAGTGGGCTCAGGAGCATTAAGACAAGCCTGGTCATGATCAGTCCATGGTCTGTAGAGGGACAGAATCTGCCATGTCAGGTAGACAAATAGTTACGTACCTGGATCAAGTTCTTGCCCTCAGACTTGGTAACGAGGGGCTGCAGCTTGGGTGTGGTGAAGGTGTAAACGAGACCGGTTTCTGAAACCACGAGAAGTAGAACCTGAGTGCCTGTGAGGACAGAGAGTTCGTAGGCCTGATGAATGAATGTAAATTAGCTCTCCGTGCAACAAGAAATTGGTTTGCGCCAAGTTTTGGCGCAGAAGAGCAAACGCGGGAGCTTGTTTTGACGCGACGGGAATCTAAACAGCAACCAAAATGTGTCGAAGAGATCAATGAATGCTGAATTTTGGTGTAGCGGAAACGTTGAAGTTTGCGCGTCCAAATTTCACGCGCTTTCAGTCTTAAGATCAAGCATCATGGCTCCCATGGCAAACCTGGTGTTGTTGGGATTGTAGAGGTTGAATCATACCTTCTTCATGATTCCAGCCTTGCGCTTGGAGAACGTAATGTGTCGGCGAGATTTGTCGCTGATAAACTTGATCTCAATCTTGCGACGCTCGCGACTGCCCTTCTCGTCGTCATCGTCGTCGTCGTCGCCAGCTGAAGGACGCTGGCGCTTGATGCCGCGAGACTCAGTGGCGTTGCCATTGCCAACGTTCTGTGAGTCGTCGAGGTCAGTAGGAGAGGTCTGGTCGTGCTGATCTGTGATGTCGGCCATGGTGTCTGCGAGTCGATATTCGTCTCAAATTGGCTTGGATTCGATTATCTCAAAAGAGGAAGAGCTCTTGTTTGTATTACCACGAACGAACCGCGACAGGAAGAACAAAAAAAGGTGGTGGAGATACTGCTTTGAGCGTGGTGCCGATGGATCTATACTGTATCTGGAGTGGGAGCGGAGAGAAATTGAGGGAGCTGCGGTGCTCTGCGTTTATTGTCGCAGAAACCTGGTTGGGCACGCTCTTGCTTGTTTGCTGCTTCGAGTCTGGTCTGGGTGTGTCTGGGTTTGGGTCGGGGGGGCCTTTCCTTTTTCTGGGTGCGGACTGTGGAGAGCGTGGGTGGCGCGGACGGGAAAGAGGCGAGGCCAGGCGAGACAAGTGCAAGTGCGCGTGTTGGAAAGCCCAGTGAAAGAGTGCAGGGGATGAAGGAGAGATGGCAGGGTTAAACTATTGCTCTAAGCAGACAAGACGAGGGAATTTACCTTAAGCAAAAGAGACATTGGTGCTCATTGGCAGAGATGATTGCGGCCGCTGAGCACCACAGGTACTTGACGAGACGCTTGACCGGAAGCGGAGATGACAGGGTGTGGGTCGGATTGTAGAGACAAGAGTCCAGCCAACCTTAGGCCTCACAACTGCCAGGGATCAGGCCGATGGGCGGATGGGGGAGGGAGCATGGAGCGGGGGAACAAGAGCAAATGGGTCCTTTTCTCCCACTGTGCGCGTTGACCCTGTGCGGGTAAGGGATAAATTAGATAAAGCAGCAGGGTATTTCGGGTCTTCTACTAAGTATCCGATGAATAAATTACATCTGTCTAGGTAGGGAACCGGGGTGAGGCTTGCTGTGCTTTGCTAATTTACGAGGGGCATCCGGTATGCGACGTGCTAAGGTAGCTAGAGCAGCAGCAACCTTTGGCTGCTGCAGCGGGACGGGCTCCCAGTCTCCATCCACGAGTGGAATGAGCACAAGATGAGCGAGGGTGGAAAGGATGCAAGGTCAAGCTTTGACCAACCATAGTCTTTGAATTAGCCTGTCTGTTGCTGAGTTAGGGAGTCAGCGATTCAAGCCGTCTGGTGGGTTGCTACGTGCAGCGCGCCATTGCTGGTGCGACTGGGATTGCATGAGTGGACTGTGGCACGCGTGTGGTGGGTATTCGTGAGAGGATGTGTGAGAATCAACATGATGGGATGGGCCTTGAGCTTTTACACATGCTACAGAGCTCAATGTGGTGTGTAAGAACGGATGCAATTGTGGACTTTGAGTAATTGAAGTGCTCGAATCATCGGAATGAAGTTGGAGTGAAAGAGTGAACGAATTGATCTGGACTGCACAGGTGTTGAATGCGAATTCATTGGAAATTACAGATGCGTCAATGGTGATCGCCGTAGTATCGTTCACCAAGCTTTATTGTTTCTGCAAACGATTGCGTGCATTTGCCCTTTTAGAACAATTTTTGTTTATGGATAATTGGTTCATAACAGCCTATCGTATCTGGGGATACCGTTCCTACGTCCGATCAACAACGTCATCAAGATCCGACAATTGAAACGAGGATAGTGATGTTGTAGCCGTCCTGCACACGGACTATCCTGTAGACAATGAAAGATCGTCACACCTTGCCAGAAACCCTTACTGATGTGGTTGTCTTCGTCAATCGATGCATTCATCACTGATCGAATGGAGCCGTTTGCAAATCGCTGTTATCAACAGGGTTCTTCTGTTTCGATCTTCTTGCGGAGTTAAAATCACCAAATTTCAACGTTCACATTCGTCGTCTTGACCAAATTCACACCGGCCAACCTCCATCTCAGGCAGAAGAGCCTTCGTCGATGGCAACAAAGACAGGGTGGGACGTCAGTGATGACGGACGGCGTGTCCTGTGCCTGACGGTGCCTTGTTTCGGCTTCTCGACCGTTGCTTGATGTATCCTCGTGAAGGCTATGGAGAGGGTATGAAAGCGAGGGCCGTTACAGGTTTGTGTGCAAGGCGTTATCGGCTTCCCTTTCTGGACTGCCATTTCGATGCTCAGTTACTACGTAGGAGAGCACGATATTCAAACAGCCCTTGAAAGTAACGGACAGAGTTTGGCTGAATGTGGATGCAGTGGTCCACGACTCGGTCCATCAGGCAAAGAGCTCCACTGGGATCCCGCTCCGCCCGGTCATCTTCCAAGCGAGTGACACAGTGTTGCCCTACCGTAAAGTTGGCACCTCTCATTACATGCTTCCAGTATGTACATACCTGTCAAAGACCCTCGGTCCTATCCTGGATATCTTGAACCGTTGAATCAGTGGGCCTCTCTGCGCCGCACGCATGCCGCCGCGTGACGAACCATAGCGTGGCTGCAACTGCAGAAGGGCTTTCACATCTCCAACATGAGCACTCCGTATCAAGGTCAGTGCAGTATGTTTGAACCTGAGTTTTTACACAAAGATCTTGATCAACATGCCCCATAGGTTTTAGTGACCACGCGAAAAAAGAACAAACCGCCAGGGCAAAAGTCTGATTGCTTACCCGAGCTCCAGCCTCCCTTTTACAATCAAATCTCGACTAGCGCAGATCTGTCGCACAGTGTCTCCATCTCAACATCCTGGGGATCAAACTGAACACGAAAAGCTCAAATTGTCGGTCTTTGATGGACACATGGTGCTACTCCCCTGTCGCGCGTGCATCTGTATCTGGGCCTCGACCTGTCGCATCATCCACTTTAGCAAGCGGGGCCAACTGGTGCTTGATCAGTGATGAATTGAGTGAGCACGAAGAAACTGTTCTTTGTATTGGGTATCCAGGAGCTTATTGCTACATAGGTATCTAGGGAATTGAGAAGTGTCGAAAATGTCATCAAACACATGTTGATCTTCTTCGTATCGCTGCCCAAAGTCTCAACCAAGACTAATACGTTTGTTTGACATCTCTCGCTCGGAATAACTATGCAATTCAACATATAAATGAAAATGTTTTTATATCGACTTATCCGTAGTCGCTGATTAATCACAGAGATGGAAATCGCAGGATAGGCGGGCCTAATCCCTCGGCTCAGACTCCCCTGGCTACCAGGGATGGATGTTCAAACTGATCTAGACCATCCTGCAAATATGCCGCAACGGAGTATAGACATGATTGGCGGGAGCTCGCTCAAACTCGTGCTTCATCGATTTCCAACAGAAAAGACGAAATCACGAGTATGGACGTCCACTTTGGATCTGATGTATAATGGATTCAGGCAGTAATGGTACCACACAGGCTGACGGGCTCGAGAACAAACACCGTCCTGTCGTCTTGTTGTCTCGAACAGCATAAGATCTTGTGGAGCGTTCGTGTCAACCAAATAGATAGCGCGTTCACTGATCATCACCACTTGAAGCGGGGGGCACAACAAGTACATGGGGATGCAAGAAAGCTTAAGGGCCACTATTTTAGATGACAAAAAGACTTGGGTAAACTCAGTGTAATTTAATGGGCTTTAGATTAGATATTTTTGGCACCTAGGCTTAGAGCAGAGGTTTTCTGCTGTACAGCGCAAACCCGGGGATTGGTGGACAAAACCTCGGCTCCGTCGGAGGGTGGCGGGGAACGGCTTCATAGTTTGTTTGTTCCGCGATAAGGGGCGACTTGAGTGCGGAACAAAGTCCTATGTTGACATGATGAGATGCCGTAAAGTCACTTGTAGCAAGTTGCGTCAAGTTCGGGCGCGACCGAAAGTTAGGTGGTTGGGAGCCGTATCAGTGAGCAATGGATATTGACAATAGTATCCAGAGTTGGATAGGATTCTTTATTTCGAGTCTTGACGTCCTGAGACTGACTGATCCTTCGATCTCACATGTAAGAGTTCAATCTTGCATTTAAGGCTGGAGGCACAGACGGAACAAGAATGGATTCATCCCACAGGAGGAAAGGTGCCGCAAAGCAATTCACGAATGACCATCAACCTGATGGCCAAGATGGGACAGTCAGAGAGGCTGCCTTCCTCTCAACTTGCAACTCAGCGCACGGTCCATGTGTACATCGAGCGGGGAAAACTATGTACAAGGTGCTCGGAGCCGGCCTTGCCAATGACAAGCAACGGCGAGCGTTAGCCATTCATTCAGGCCAAAGCTCAGGCTAGTTGCTAAGGTTCTGAACGGCCCCTCCACCTCCATAACCCAAGCTTAGCTCGAACAGGAAGCTCCCCAAGAATGGCACAGTGTCAGCGTGGCACTTGGTGCTGCAAACCATGTTTGCTGTGAACGTGGTCAGCCAGATCATCTTTCGATATGCCAGTGAGAATGGTATCGTAGCATTGCGTGGCGTCAGTAACATAGCTGGATGAATACTTGATCTAGATTGTTCTTTATAAATATCCACTAAAATAGAGAAATGTTCATTCCTTAAAAGATAGGCCTGACGATGACCTCGAGCATGCTCAAAAGCATATCGTTCTACCGAGCCACGAAAGTTCCCCCGATAGTTACCTAAGAAAAAACAAGAGCTCGCCGATGTGGGGTTGGCGCTTGGACTGTTGGCTGGCACTGGTTTGCCAACGGGCAAGAGCTTCAGAAGGTCCTCCCTCTGATCTCAGGGATTGTTCAAGACTTGATCGCTTCCATTCTCATGTGCAGCATAATAATGGCAGCAAGGTTTTATGCGGCTCACATTACGGATATCCGCCAACTTGACCCTTACGAGACTTCCTCGCCTTTTGCCCTGCGAGCATATCACTATTAATACGCACAGATCTATGATAGGTTATCCTTTTAATACTGCATTGCTCAACGTTAAATTTGCAAATATGAACCCAGTTGTGAAATTCGGTTCGTCTGATACTCCCACTAAGTCCAGTATCGATATCTTTCCAAAACACGTCCGTGATCGCATTAGTAGAGATGGGTGACAGTAACATGGTCATCAGATTGATTGAGAACGGAATGCCACGGCATCACCAAGGATGACGACTGAGATAGAAAGAATCGTTGCGTGAACAATCTCGGGTCCAAGTGCGAGATAGTGATGGAATATTTAGTTTTTATACGAAATTCTTTGTCAGGATACCAATCGCTGACATGTGGTTGTTCGGCTAACACAACACCATCCCTCAAGGGGTATTCATCGACGTCTTTGGACGATTAAGCTCATAAGAGCTACCGGCAGGCTGGGGTTTGCACCCGCAGACGTTGCAGCAGTTAAGGCACCCCTTGGTGGACCTTTCCTCATATCCCCTAGCTTCAGGCAATCGCATTTCTCAACTACCGGAGGGATTGATGTTCTGGAAACCTCTTGACAAGCGAGTATGCGTCAGAACGTAGATCCTGCAAGCAAAAGAAACAAGATCACGCCAGAAATCAGATCAGAATGATAACTTGGCGGCTCCTGCTACAAGTTTGAACAGGTTTCCAGGCATTTCGGCTCCCCTTTTGTGGTTTTACGATCATCCTAAGCCACTGTCGTTGGCCTCTAGGCTTTTACCGAGTCTCAAGTTTCTTGGCTCCAGAGACAGTTGTCCCAAAGGGGGCATTCAACCACACTTTTGAAGCCTATGATTGGCCACCGCCTCTTCGTGGCACCACCATCAAGGGGGTCCGTTGACAATTCTGCGGCAAAAACCCATCTCCTGAAACAGCATTGGCAGCGGAACTCGTCAATAATCAGGTGTTTTCCGAGACGTTTGAATCGAGCTCTCGTTTCATTGTTGGTCTCGGTGTCGTTTGGTTTTTCCGTGACTCGTTGTTCATGGGCTGGTCGGTTGTCATGTTCTTCTCGTAGGCTCAGGGAGCCATCGTAGTCTTTCACCTCTCTTTAATACTATACTACACATTCTCTTCAACGGATCTTCCGTGCTCGCTTCGGCGCCTGCTGTTTTATCAGTTCTTTCTCTCTTTCTTTTGAATATATTTGCAGTTCTCAAGGGTTGATCTCTCGAGAACGCTCTCTTCATTCATTTCAACCTCTCGACGAGGCTCAATATACCAGGCGCTGGACGTCTTACCAACCATATCTCCTAGCGAATCTACTCGAAAAATATCCGATATAGGGATCAAACCTCGAATTAAACAAGATACAAAGCTTTCTTACCGGTTCCTTACTACATATCGTCTGCAACATCGCCAATATGGTCGACAAGATCTTCCTCTCGACGGTCGCCGCCGACGCTCTCTTCCTGAGTTCGGGTGTCATGGAGCTGGTTTTTTCGCTGGTCGTACAGAGCAAGATGAAGGATATGCCTACTGATGGCGAGGATGTTACAAGGAACTTGCTGTACCAAAGATTTCCCCTGACCGCGGGTATCGTCAATGCCATTTTCATTCTCGTCACGTTTGCGGTCACCCTGCCCGGACTCGTCATGCCCGCTCGAAGCTTTCTCAAGGTTTCGGGATATATGGTGACGGTGTGCGCGATATTCACTATGTGCGTGGCTGTGTTCCTCTGGGTTATGACGTTGAGGATGAGTGAGCAATTTTTCAATATCTACATCGAGCAAGAACCAGACGTACAGAGCTTGATCCAGGACTCGGTACGTTTGACTGAAATCGGACACCATGAGACGTATTAACTTGAATCCTTACAGTTTCAGTGTTGTGGTTATTTCAATAGCACAACACCGGCTTTTGTGATGGATTCGACTTGCAGCAGTCCTGCAAGTGCAGCGCTGCTACGTGGCTGTGCAACATCAATCTCAAGTTTTGCAAACCTACATATCGACGGCATTTTTACTGTTCTGTTTGGAATCGTCGGTGAGTCTAGGCTTACATTTCTTGCCCAATTGCACGCCAAGACATCGCAAGTAACTAATATCCCATATAGGTATCGATGCTATCTTTATCTTGTGCATCGCATGTCTGCTCAAGGATCGCAAAGAGCGCGAACGCTACCGACATATCGATGAGAAGGCCGGCTACCGACAAATTTAATGCACAACACTTTACAATGTTACCCGTGATTGGTGGGCTGGACCGCGCATTCTTCTAGAAGTCACTACACTGGCATCCTTTTTTTCTTCCTCTTTCAGACGGATATGTGACAAATTCAAGCGAGTGGTTTTAATATTAATACTTTATTCCTGTTATCGATCGTCAAGTGGATGGGCGCGGCATACTACCTAGGCCATCCAGATCACATCACAATTCCCGATATTGAAGTCGTTTTTGATGGGCCATGTGGCAAGCGATATATCTAATTCCCATGTCGTTTTGTCATGACCGGTTACGCTATCAAATGATTCCAAACGTTGTGACACCTCCTGTGCGGTTCTTCTCTCTTCGAATCTCAACCTCTTCGAACTCAAGACCTTCGCCATCCTCCATAATTGTTTCTCGATGCCATGGCCCGACAAACATGCCCTGAGGGTCAGCATCATTGCGTATGGCCCGGAACGATTCAAGTTGCTTGCCATAGAACGCTTCAATCTCAGGCCTAGTGGTTCTAAAATTCTTGGCCCAGTGCGGTCGACCTCCAAGGTCTTTCATCAGCCACTCAAAAGCCTCATAGTATCGTTCGTGGCAAGGAGGATCCATTAGATAGGGGCGATATAGTGTCGCATTGAGGTACAACGTAGGTCCGTTCTCAACAGTAATATCAAGGTATGGCCGTACGTTCGAGGTGAGAGTGGTGTCGCTTACGCGCACTTCGACGGGTGCGTGGACGTAAAGACCGTCAGCAGAGAAGGGGATGTTGTGAGGAACGTAATCAGGATCATCAGGAGTCAAGTGGTTTAGCCAAGAGCTCAGTCTCCGGAGGGCCTCGGGGCCCTTATGAAGAGGGATAGCCCACTCGTTGACAAACTGGGAATATAGGCAGTTCATGAGCAGTGCTTTGCGACTTGGTTGAACAGCTGATGAAGTGGTTCCATTCCGAAAGCCATACTGCATACCGAAGACAAACCACTCAACCCATGGCAGGATTCGTGGAACGCGTTGGGCAAGATAGAGAAGATTATGATAGACATAGTAGCCGATTGAGCCATCATACCCACTCTGAGGAGGGTCGCGGTGTTCCTCATCGGTTTGCTCTGCCTGCCACACCACTGCACGTCTTGTGTATGGGAACCACCAGACCCTGACAAATTCACTCTGCGTCCATAGGTTTCGATTCCAAGACTCAAACATCTTGTGGTCTGTGTCAATGCTCTGTTCCCACTTCAAGGTAAAGGCTGGAACTGCCTGGAAGGAAACTTCGGTAATGATACCAATAGCGCCGAGAGAAAGGAGGGCAGCTCTAAAAAGGTCCGTCTTGATATCTTTGGAGCAGTACACTGTGGTTCCATCTGCCATTGTGACCTTAAGGGAAAGGATGTCTTCGGACATCAGTCCATGGCGTAGACTGCTTCCGTGGGTACCTGTTGAAATAGCGCCACTAATAGACTGCTCATTGATGCTTCCAAGATTTGGCATCGTGAGTCCATGCTTCTCGAGCTCTTCACAGAGGGCGTACAGCCTGATTCCACCCTCCATGGTAACAACACCTGTATCTTTGTTCACCGAGAGTACCCTGTTGAAGTTGTCCAGGTTGACGAGCCAGCTGGATGTACAAGTGATATTGGAGGGTGAATGGCCACAGCCAGTCGTCACTAGACGCCGACGGCATCTTCGTGCCAGATTCACAACTTTCTCAACTTCAGGCAGAGACTCGGGTTGGATAAAAAGCTCTGGGAGGGACGAAAATGTGCGCGCCCAAGTGTGGTGGACATGTTGTGGCCGAGCACGAAATGCCACGCTATCGTCGAACTTTGCCAGTTCTGCGGCCACGAGAGGGTCCATGGCTCTGCTCGATTCACAGACGGTAGAAAATGAACCCAAGGAATAGAAACAAGACTGTATCAAGGGGATGCCAGGTTCAAGCTAGCATATCAGAGGATGAGTGGGATATGAATTGCTTGATGCCGAAGTGGGTGTAGTCGGATTTGGTCGCTGGCAGGTGGGTCGGTATCGGAATCACAAGTCTGCCGGCACAGTAACAAGGCCAGTTATATTAAGCTCATTCTTCGTTTTGTGTCATTTTGGCTTCCATATGCATACATGGAGAGGCAAATACATCATTTTGACAATTTCTGGGGGCAAAGACGCGAATTTTGTAAGTCGAAGGCAACTAAAAGCACGCAGAAAAACAACCGAAAGCAAAAAAAAAATGGCCGATCATCAGAGGTCCCTGGATCGTTATGACAGGGTACTGGCGATCGCGTTTCCGACTCTGATTGGCTCCGATGTAATTCAAGACGTCAACGATATTCACCGGCTCAGGCCGAGATGGTTATGCTTTCTAAGCGACGACAGGGATGTTAAATGGTGTCATCGAGAGTCTCGGCGCACATGTGCAGGCAGCTACCCTACGATCTTGTTCATGACTTGAGACATTTCTTGATCGGTTTGTCTCGCGCCCCGAGCAATCAGTGCAAATTAGTTGAAATATGGATTGGCATAGTCATTTGACTTTTGTCACTATGGTTGAGTCAGGCGTATGGATCTTTGTTAATAAGTTATTGTATAATGATTGATTTACTCTTGGGTATGTGGTTTTGGAGAAACCAAAATCTAAGGCCAACCCTGGTTGATGAGATGCAGCATTGGTGCAGAAGGGGTTCTCAAGGTATTTATATACTTCACCAACACGTCGGACCCTGGTCTATTCTCCATCAGTCACAACAAGTAGCAGTTGGTTTAATCGTCAGTACTAGGGGATAGGGCATGATAAAGTAAGCATATGATTATACAAACCAGTGAATGAATACGTTGATTCGATTACAGGATGAGCCTGCGATCGATACAATAAAAGTCTATGACAGTGTAGCATTGTCGCATCGATTAAGTACATCGTCTTCCAGATAGCGATCAACTCCGGGTCTCTTTATAATCTGCTAACACACTGCTGACAAATTAAGTTCAAAATCAGCTCAAGAATTAACAGTCTTGAATATGGGCTTATAGAGAAAGAGGACAACTGGCCATGAGCCCCCTGAGTCATTTACCTTCATATTAATACCACATGAGTACCCGAACCTAAAACTTATAGTATACACTGACACATAATACTCGTTTAGCCAGTGATGTTTTGTGACGGCCTGACAGCAGAATATCTAGGCTGGAACTGATCGAGTTTACTAGAGCCAAGTATCATGAGGCTGCTCGACGGAACTGAGAGCTTCCCTCGCCGTCAATACTTCTCTTTGTATCATCTACTATCCCTTCTTCGAATATCTTCGCCCACACGGCTGCTAGTGAGGCAGTATTCCAGCCACCAAGTCGCGCGATACCATCTTTCATTGCTAATTCGGCGGCGACAGAGGTGACAAGCTTACCTTCAAGGCCGCAAGGAACAAAACGAGCCCAAGGATTAACAACGTCGGGACCATCTACCGAGACGTCGATGTTGATAGCAATACCAAGGGCTGTGACGTGTCTCCGATGATGAACTCCGATTGCTGCAATTTTACGTTCTGGTTGACCGGCGGGGGTACGAACCCAGACTCCAGGTTCATCTCGGGTTGTATAAGTTTCCAAACCGAACAAACATGCCAGTAGACGACGTGTGGTCGCTTCGAGATGGTTCGCATACGACATGACTGAGTAATGCGCATATAGGGGAGAGTGCATGTCTAGCACAGGCCACAAGACAAGCTGCCCAGGACCATGGTAGGTTGTCAAACCACCACGGCTTGTCTGTTTGACCTCGGGAATGAAGCTCTGCTCATTGACAGGGTTACGCCGATGAGGAAGACTAACGTAGAGGGGAGACTTGAAGTAGGAGGTTTGCTCGGAGGTGAGGGGGCGCTGTCGACGCCCAAGCGTGAGAGTTGGTGTTGGTTCAAAAGAAAGAAGATGAGGGCGGGGTATGTGGCCTCTGTGCTGTTGTTGTTCCTCGCTCAGACTCTTCCACTCGAGAAACAACGAGCGGATTTCTTCCTGCTCATTGTTGGCAGTGTCATAGGGTACGAAAGCATCAGGACCCGATCCTGTGAGATGTCGATGAACGAGAAGCTTGAGTGAAGGTAGTTCTGACGTCGGAGCGGTGTAAGTGGATGACCATCGGTTGACCAAGACATGACCGGCCGATGTCCCAGCTCCGATACGGAATGAAGTGGATTTTACGGCGGAGGACGGAATGGCCTTCAGCCGCAAGCCGGGCGGCATTGTGATCCGGCTTCCAGGCAGATTCCGTGGCGAAGAAGCCGATTACAGAGCTCGCAGAGTAGCTACGATCAATTGGGGTCGATGTGGCTTGTAATCCTGTATGTCCAAGATCACAAACCGAGGTAACCTCCGTACAAACTCTGGCGTAGGCATGCGCGATATGCCTTGGTGAGAAGTGAGTTTCTGGTGGACGATCCCGTGGGGCAAAGAAAGCCGGCGGTGGTGACGTCGGTAGCTCAGGGCCGAAGATCAACGGACGGAGGCCGCCGAGAGTCTAATTTCGAAATTGACCTTTGCATGTGAAGGCTAGTTTTAATTGATATTCGATATGAAAGAGAAAACCTTGTGCGTACGTTAAAGTGTTTGAGCTTCACGATTGTGGCTTAGCAGTTGAAAAATTCAAAAGTAACTACTCACAGCAGGCTGTCAAATGATAGGTAGGCAGTATGTAAGACTGGAGCAGGTAGAACTTGTACACAATGCGAGCTGAAACTAAGAAACTGACTACCTTAGCTTAGTTGTCTGAGACCCATACCTGGAGAGCCGAGAGCTGAAGGGTGAGAAGAGCTGGGTAGATAAGGTACTGTACTGTTCATCGGAGCTCTGAAACTGCTGGTAATACAGATAAAAACAATTCAATCAACTCGACGAAGACCATGTCTCAACACCAAGGTAGCTCAGAAAACGTAGCACAAGCGAATGCCAAGCTCTCGATCTTGGTAGCTTGGCGAGCATTGGCAGTCTCAAAAGCTATCGCCCCATCCATCACCGACAATCACTGCCTTTTCGCAGACGTCGCTGTCGCATCATTCACTTGTGTCCCATGACATCAGGGAAGTGGTGCGCTAAACCCCAAGAGAGACAAAATGGTTGCTACAGCTTTGCTCCATTGGGTAAGATGTTGTGGTGCACCTCTTCTCCATCGTTGCCCACTGTCGTCATCACTGAGCTGTCGTGCACTCGGAACTTTTCTCTACCTTAGATGCACTAGTCCAGCAAGTTCCTCTCGCTTCGGGCATCGAAGGCTGCAGGCTGGACCCGTAGGAATAAGGTGGAAGCATCATCTACTGCCCACCAGAGCATTCAATGTCTCCGCTGGGATTTACTTTAGTGTGATTCAGAGTGCTGCAGCCGGGATCAATGTGCGCTGGGCGAGCACCCGTGAAGGGTGGTAGCCTACGGGGACCTACGTAACGCCTCGATGGTGGTGAGTTCATCTGGGTTGCGGTCCTTTCTCAAGTGATAAGTCGTATGCTCCCCTCGTGCATTTGGCTACGATCCCCTCCTCTCCTCTGCGAAGCCATTCATGTACCTATCTCACTGGGAACTCCGTGTCTTTCCTCAGCCGAAGGGAGAAGAAACATACTAATCACCGTCGTACAATTCGACTAAGACACACATCTCCCGGTCTCCACACCGACAAGCCAGTCCGTCTCCCGAGCATCACATCACCCCTAGACGCTAAGGAAAAGGCTCCAGAAACAAAAACAAGAAACCCCCCCAGAGCTAATAAACAAGGTTCATAAGGATCGTCAATCTCCTCAGCCCAGGCCTTAATTCTCTTCCGGCTCCCTCTTCCTACTTTTATAAGATCTATCGCCATCGCCCGACAGTTCCAGACGCCTGTTCTCTACAGCACAAGCAAACTCTGGACCCTTGTCGAGAGACACGAAATAAGACGCAAGATTTCATTAGCGGTCTTTTTAGCTGCAGCCTTTTCCTTGACGGTGATCCTGGCAGCGTGACGACATCCAACCCCCGGGGCTCCATCGCAGTAAATTAATCCTTTCGAGTTCGATTTTTTGGGCAGAAGTGCTTGCAGCAGCGCTTGATTTTGATTGCGGCCAGATACTGTTCAGCTGGAGAATAGTATACTTTCCAACGGGATATAGCCATGGCGAAGAGTAAGTTCTCTCCTGACTCAGTTGTATGGCTTTACCAACAGATAACTGACCTGTCGCAGATGCTCCTCTTGGCCTCGCTGGCCTGGTCCTCCTCGCTGTTTCCCTCCTCTTCCTCTGGTTCATCATCCTCTCAGGCTTGACCTCTACCACGCCATTCGACAAGACGTATTTCCTCCGCGCCGACACAGGCGGTATCTCGGGTGCTCGCGAAGTCACACAATGGAACTTCTTCTACATTTGCGGTGCCGGCAACAATGACTGCGATGGCGCCCGCGCTGCCCCCGTCATCGGTCGCGCCTGGGACTCAAACCCACGTAATGCGCCCAGCTCGCTTGTCGGTAGTCGTGCCGGCGACACCACATCGAACAAACAGTTCTTCTTGTGGCGGTTTGGCTGGGTCTTCATTCTGATCACTCTGTTCTTCGAGACCCTCGCCTTCTTTACTGGCTTCATTGCCTGCTGTGGCCGTCTTGGTGCTGGAATCTCTGGCATCATGTCCATGTTCGCCCTGTTCTGCTCCTCAGTTGCAATGTCCCTAATGACGTACGTATCTCTGGCCCCTGTATGATGGTATAGCTGTTTACTAACATCCCTTCTTAGTGCTACCTGGGTTCTCGCTCGCAATGCCTTTCACCATGACGGTCGATCGGCCTCCATTGGCCGCTATGCCTTCGGTTTTGCGTGGGCCTCATGGGCCACTTTGTTCATTGCCACCATTCTCTTCTGCCTAGGCATGCGTGGTGACAAGTCGTCAAGCGGAGGTTACAGCGGCCGCTCATGGCGCCGTAGACGAAGTGTCCGCAGCAGCCATGGCGGAGGCTATGAGGGGCGCCGTGTTAAGGATGACTATTCCTAAACTGTTACCTGGCAGCTGTCTGTTAGGCCACATCCCAGTGACTCTCCAATGTCGGCAGAGCTCGATTAGGGATGAGCATGAACAGCCGCAGTGATCGCATCCACGACAGCCTCAATGGTTGTTCGCGTGCTACGCTATAATTTTGTTCCGTCTATATTTGATTCACCAACCATGATCTGTTCTACTGAGCAGGTTTGTGTTCATGATATGTTTGGCGAGGAGAATGGGCTTTCTCTGAACGTAATGTTGAAGTTATGGGCGAGATCTACAAGAAGCTTGCTTTCATCAACTGTCTAATAGTTATTATGAATGTATGATATTACAACAATTTAAGTATTTTCAAATCTCGATATTCTAGCCTCTGTTTCTCGATATTGCCACTTGGCATCGTGTGGACATTGCGAGCTAACAACCCCGAGCTTCATGGCGTCACACAAATGATCACTCTTCAGTAGTTACTACTACAGCGAGGATAGGTCATGTTGCCGTTGTATAGTCCACGAGGTACCTAATACCATAAAGTTCAAATCATTATGCATGTTCCATATTGACGTTATTCGTCCATTCGCCAAACCATGAAATGCATATCACCCCCCTACCCTAACTCTCGTTAAGCGATTGAAGCCCGAAGTCACCTCCAAAGCCCTCTCTTTTATCCTGTGTTGTTCGCCGCTGTCCCTTTCCTTCAAGTACATGAAATGAAAAAAAAAACCAACATGCTATCCTGGTTCGTTTTCCAACTTGGTGCCATTCGCCCAATTTTGTTCTTCCGAAAAACAAATGCCAAAATCCGGCCCGAATTTGTCTAAACCCATCCTAAAGCGTGTACAGGAGTGTCCTCCGAAAAAATGCAGAAAAAGAAGGTCAAAATGATTCAAGTAACACATGCTGATGCCTGGGGACTTTGTGTTGTGTTACTGCTGATGATAAAAGGTCGACACATTGGAAATAGCCGTCGCATCAGTTGAGCAGATGCTTGTTATCCATAGTCCTGTAGCCAACTAGATACCTGCTCCGTTGGCATGCTTCCTAGATGGCCGAGTCTTTCCCCCGGAGAGGTAGGATTGGGCCGCACCGGCTTTACAAACTTTCATGCATCCTTTGGGCTTGACATAGGACTGACGCTATCAAGCGGTGCATTGTGTAGTGCTGGTTTCAAGGGCCCGTCCTCCTTCAGGCCATCTTTCTCTCGTTGTAGAACGCCATTGACCCAATCTGCCACTTCAGTATCTGCAGTTGATGAGCTCAAATCAATTTTACCAACAGCTTCCGCGACCGTATCAACTCCATCACCCTCCTCAGCTTCTTCCGTGATTGTTTGAGGCTTTGTAAATTCGACGAGCCACGGATGTTTCAATAGCATGGCGTAGGTTGGCCGCTTCATAGGAATCTTGTGAAGACAGCTTTTCACAAAATCCTTGGCCATGTCCGAGTAAGTGTCCTCTGGCATAGCAGGTGGTTCACCTTCAACAATAGCCTGTAGCATGTTAGTAATCCATGACTGGCTTAACTCAAAAGAAGGAGCGCTTACACTCAGTTGGCTGAAAATAGTAGAAGAGACCTCTGGTGGGTAAGGATAAGCGCCCTTAGCACACTCGATGATGGTCAGGCCCAAACTCCAGACATCGCTCTGAACGCTGTATGAGCCATCGGAATTACCGGCTTGTGCGAATCCACCGCCAGAGATTCTCTCGGGGGCCATATAGCTCTGACAGCCGATGTTGGTTCGCGCTATACTAGCTACCAGATTACCACTGACACCAAAATCGCAAATCTTGACCTGGCCTCGTGTATTGACCAAGATGTTTGTTGGTTTGACATCGCGATGAATAATGCTATGCTCCTCCTTCAGTGATTTGAGACCCATCACGGTAGAGTATGTGATTTTTCGAAGAACATTCTCCGGGATGCCACCATTATACAGCTTATCGATAGATCCGCCATCCATATACTCAATACACATGTAAACAGCACCTTCCTGGAAGAAGGCGCCGTAAAAGTCGATGATATACGGAGAAACACACTCGTGTAAGATGACGAGCTCCTTCAGAATGGTTGTGAATTTGGCGTCGTCGAGCTCCAGGCGCATTTCTTTCATCGCCATTACTGTGCCCGTTGTACCGTCGGTCGTGTCTGGCAAGCCCTCGGCGGAGTCTTCCGCAGATCCAATGGGAGAAGGGTCCGATTGCGAATACTGAACAGGAAGGGGCTTTCTCGAGAGGCCTTGTCCGAAGCGAGGGACTCTTCGCTTGGCATGCTTGACCTTGTAGACTGTTCCGTAGTTTCCTTTACCCAGCTCGGTCAAGACTTCAACTTCATCAAGAGATATGCTGAAGGTTTGGCCATTGGCAAAGTTGACACCTGTCCGTGTGATTGTGGCAGCGCCATCAAAGGTCACCCATCCCTTCTCTGTGTCGATGTATTTCTTGAAATCGTCCATTTTTGACCCCTGACCACCCCCTGTTCCGTTGGATTGTTGACTACCTGGCGCATCACCTGTGATATCAGAAAGCTTTCCAGGAGGCCCCCGTTTCTTCCCAGTGGCGGTGACAGGGCTGGGTCTACCCATATCAGACAGCTTCATGCCCATGCCGCCGCCCATGGCCCTTCTCTCGCTCAGCGAGGGCTTCGTTATCGCAGGAGCTGAATTTACATGTGGTGCGTGCGGTCGTTGCATATTGGGCGGCAATCCCAGATTGGTAGGGAATCCGTTAGCAACGCTGGCCGTAGGTGATGACCCCGAGGGTGTTCCGGGGTTTCCAGCGGGAGACATGCCCTTCTGCATGCGTTGTTGATGTAATGCTCGGGCTTTGGCCATTATACTGTTTTCCACCGAGGCACTACTACTTCCAGCAAAACTCGAGGATGTTTGTACAGGGCGTCTGGCCATGCCTAAAACACCCATAGCAGTTGAGTTCGGATTCATGTTGCGAGGATCGGAAACGGAGCGCAGAGATGGTACTCGTCGAGGAGGCTCACTGGGGCTATCATGACCGGGAGATTCGAGCGGCGTACTGGGTTCTGACGAATCTTCAGAGCCTGGGGATGCAGGTGTCGACAGATCCTTCCAGTCCTCCGGCGTGGCCGGGATCGAGTCGGAGGCAGACATTGGATATGAGGTGCGTTGATGGAATCAGAATACAGAAAGGCTGATTCTTCTGGTTATGTCGTTGAATAGGTTCGACAAGAGTGGTGGGAAGGAAAATTCTGGTCAGAAAATTCAGAGCAGAGTGGAAATAACGGCGAATATCCTAACAATACCGCGGGGAGCTATCGATCGGGAGACGGGACGCGATCGATTAGAGATGGGTACAAGAAGGAGCGATGGAGGGGAAATAGATGGTGCGATTCTTTCGGAGCTAAATGGAGTCGAGTAGTGGGCGGTCTAGGCCTTTGAGACTCCTAGTACGGCTCAACGACTAGGGCCTCTTGTAGTTGGGAAAGAAGGGCTACAAAAGCCTGGGGGTAACGAATGAGCCAGAATCAACGCAAGTTCTGATAACGTTGTTGCGGGATTGATCTTTGAAAGGGGCTTGTCTTGCGCTATTTTGCAACGATATGTGGCCACAGTGAGTGAATCTTGTATGGGAGTACAGTATGGCAACCTGGAAAGCTTCACGTTGAAGTTCTTTCAGGTATACTTAGGCACTCAGATTCGCTGAATGGAGTTAGTAAATATGAAAGCTCGTAGGTCCCATACGAAATATTGGAAGTTTAATAGATAACTGAGACAAAAGTTGTTAGAATAAGAAATGTGCTTCTCAGAGCTTGTTGTGGCGTGTGCAAGGTACTCTAGGATATGAGGATAATTTCAAGGCTGTATACATACCGGAGGAAGCGTCTGGCTGGGATCAAGAAAAAGTGACGAAGTGTTTCAGTCCTTGAGTACCTTAAGTACTAAGGTACCAATGTAGTATGATGGGCAATGGCTGGATGCGGGGTCAAAGGCTCTGCAGACAAGCAGAAAAGCAACGAGACGGAGGAGGAAAGGTGCTAATGAATTGTATAAATCGACAGATCAACCCGGCATGAGCATCCTGCGAGACAGTAATTTGACAAGGTAGGCGCAAGAGGTATTTGTGATAAATGGGGGGCGAAGGCGAGGCTGAGGATGTTGGTGATATGGAGTTTAGGACAGAACATGGAACGACTATGGTGTGGCGGTTTTGAACAAGCAAAGCCAGGCCGTGGCACACAACAGAGTGCTCTAGCTTGGATACAGTGCTACTGCAAATCCCGTCTTCAGGGGCCAACCCGGCAGCCATTCATGCCCGGGATCAGACCCAACTAATGGATCATATTAGGAGATATTGCCCAGCAATTGAGAGTTTCCCGTGGCGGGCGCTACAAGGACCCATCGTACAGGGCATAAATATGCACTAACATCACCTCACCCGAAATTTTGTACCAAAATTCTATATATCATAAGTGATAATGGAATTCCATCAAGATAAAATCTAAGAAGCCTACTGGCGTCATGATGACAGCATTTTATATATCACTGTGAATACTAAGGCCTCTTTCAATATTTTACCTCAAATAGAAACAATATGCAATATTGAAAATGATAATTAATTTCAAGGTTCTGTGCACAAGTTGTCCTTGATTTTTGCAATTTGCGACGCCATCGTCGATGGAGAACTGTCACCGATGACGTTTCTGTGGTCAATGTCAGACCTTGATTTGAGGTGGAGACTCGCATCTGTACTACAAAGCAAAGCGTCAAAGACGACAATAATACCCAAACATATGAATATCTTATCCAACATTTATATGCAAGATATATGCCGTCGGAGGCCTTGTGGTCGTGTGCATCCTCTTTATCAAACAGCTTAAATTAACAGCAACCTACTAGGTGAGTACCTATGGGTATTTATATACCTGAAAGCACATTGAAAGGATGAAGTCATCATTTATAGACCTTTGCGTTATCCATGGTTGAGATAATTACTATACCTATCTACCTACCTTGCCTAAGAGTTGCAGAATATGAATATCTCATCTTTACCTGTACGTGTGGACGCCAGATACGTGTCTTCGACAAAGCTTCAAACGCCAAGATGCTGAGGTTGAGCCAACACCTTTTGTTAGTCCTACCAGTATCGACAGAAGCATCGTTATCTGTACTAGTTGCGGCTTTTAACTGGCTTGAGACGGTATGCAAGACAAAATGACAAGTACGTCACAAACTTGATCGATAACTTAGGCTCCTACTTAGGTAGATTCCTACCCGATAACCAGTAGACAGGTGTCGGTTCAGAGAGGTTGAGGTTGTTACCGGAAATTTGGCTGATTACGACACGAAAAGTCGGTAGGGATTCACCGAACAGCGTCCAGAGTGCACTCATGTAACATGGGCTTCACCGATACTATGCATGCGCACGTATCTCAGGGAGGATGGGAACAGAAGCGATGCTGTAGGTAGGTAGGCGATCAACAAGGCAAACTTGTAGCACTTGTCGCCAATATTTCATGAACCAAACCTTACTTTCCACGTGGCACATACTCTTCAGCAGGATGGAAGGCTCCTATAGTCTACATCAAGCTACACGATGGGGTAATTTGAGTCCACCTAATATACGAAGTAGTTATCATTCGTCTTCTTCCATATCTGAAATAGTTACGAGCTGAGAGACTCTGACCTCAAAATGCAGATAAGAACATCAGAACCTGAAAACTTCCGAGGATTACCATGTCCAAACTTGAATCAGACTCAAGATTCTGGGGAAGGAAAACGTCGACGATGTTTCGAGTTGCGATTGTGCCCAACTTACATTCGCATGATTTGAAACACGGGCGATTCATGCAGGTCATACCATAGTATTAAACTCTAAATTTGCAACGTAAACAAAGGGTCGTTGGAACAGCTGCTCGAAACCTTTATGATACAGGCCCTTTTAAAGTCACCAGCAACCCCGGATCATTGCAACTCTGCAATGTACCAACAGAAGAACGCTAATAAAACACTAGCTGCTGTAAGATTTCCCCTGAAATAAAAATAGCGATGATTGATATCCATTATATAGTCAAAATTGAATATGAAACCCTCTTTGAAATACGCAAACGTTTTCGAGATACGGAGTACATATGTGAGCTGACTGGAGATGCTAGGCCGTTTTGCTATGGATATATTCTGAGGTAGCCAAAGGGAGTACCTAAACTCTGGAAACATCCATAGCAAAAGCCGAATTGTCCTGACAAACTTCCACAAATCCAGCACGGTAGTTGCTTGCTCCCGATAATCTTCGCTGCATAACGTCAGGTTTGATCTCATAAACCCTCGCGTGACTGACTACGCAATCGATAGACTTTGCCTCTGATATCAGTGTACATACCATTCAACCGTGACGATGCGATCGCCAGTAACACAGCCTTGTTGCAGTTACCTATGTCAACAACGAGACGTGATGGGCTGCAATTTTGCTCCATGCCTTTCTTGGCCTGACCCTCCAGCCTCTCAGCGTGGAGGGACAGGCAACGTGCCTGATAACACCATGACGAAAGATTGGCGCCAGGCTTAATACAATCGTGCGTCGCGCCCGTCTGAAGATCACTCCCACCAACAACCCCTGTAAGCGGGATCGTTTCCTACTCGGTAGTGGAGCCACGGAGGCTTAAACAATTTTGAGACGTCTGACGATGGGATCTGCGCATTTGAGAATCGCTTGTTGTTGTTTGTTTCGTGCTCCTGGCTATCACACAACAAGGGCAATTCATTTGTTTGCTCGATGATACCCAGGAGGCACTATTTGTGGCACCGCAGCAGAAATCGTTTCTGGATGGGTGCAAAGGGAGCCTGTATCGACGAAGAATTTGCCTCTTACGCCTCCCATGCCGCGTGGCATTGTTAACCAAGTCCCGTTCCTAGCTGGAGGTGAGATTCTACTAAACCCTGGCTTTGGACTGGCCCCAGCGCCACAGCACACACATGGGCGGGTTTCAATGGCCAGCATCGTCTCCAAGGCATGGGCCTGGATGGTAGGTTGGGTTACCTCAATCAAGGTGCTGGCACAAGGTGCTAAAGTGGTTGTACCACGCCAGCGACAGCGTTGCAGGTGAATCGCGATGAGACAGAGATTTCCTCAAGGAGCTGAAGCCCCATATTGAGGTAGCCAGAGTGAGAGGTTTAGATGTAGATGGAGCCTAAACAAGGCAGTTTAATGGGGCTTTTGCCATAGCTTATATCTAGCTCGAGTTATCAATCGATGATGGAGGAGGTCTCAACGTGCATCGTCCACTAAACTTGCTCTAACTTACCTCCAAACGGCACCGCCGCCTCGCCCCAAAACGAACCCACTCGCACTGGGTTCTCTTTCATTAGATTTCGCCATCACTACCTGGGCATCTTTTAACTTTCTTCTCCTTTTAACATCCCACGACACAATCAACTAAGACAATTAAAAGTCATTGCCTTTGCAAATACCAACGGAACCTTCCAGACGAATTTTTTGCGCCTCAGCTTTTGTGCAATTCCTACAGAACCTTATCAATCCTCTCATATCTACGTGCGCGCGCCGAGAGAAGCAGCATCAAGGAACTCCCCGATTCGCGCCGATCCTTAATTCTACCCCAAAAACAACGACAACAGCTGCATTGCTGATATTTGATGGCTTCTTGGAAATCGTTCTCGGTCCCGTCGTTTCGGCTGACGCAGCTCGCCCAAGATGCATATGAACTGCCCCTACAAACCCTCGCCAACACTCATGAATCGCACCCATCCATCGGGCATCTTTGTCTTCTCGTGTTCGAGGCTGTCCTTGAAGTAGTATGTGTCAGTCTACCTGGCTACATCGTTGCGCGACTTGGCCACTTCGATGCCGAGAAGCAGAAATTCTTGGCTAATCTAAATGTGATGCTATTCACACCATGCTTGAGTATGTTCTCGTTTCGCATTGAACCAGTACTGTCTACTAATATCGCCACAGTCTTCACCAAGCTCGCCTCCCAGCTTAACGCTGAGAAGCTATCCGATCTCGCTATCATACCGGTCATCTTCGTCGTCCAAACGTTTGTATCATGGGCTGTATCATATGTCGTCGCAAAGTTGTTCCGATTCAACAGGCGGGCATCCAACTTCGTTACGGCAATGGGTGTTTTCGGAAACTCCAACTCGTTACCCATCTCCCTTGTTTTGTCACTCTCTCAAACGCTGAAAGGTCTGCATTGGGACAAAGTTCCGGGCGATAACGATGACGAAGTTGGCGCGCGTGGTATCCTTTACCTCCTTATCTTCCAGCAGCTTGGTCAGCTCGTTCGCTGGAGTTGGGGTTACCATGTCCTTCTTGCCCCTAAGGATAAATACCCCGAGTACCGCGAAGAAATTGCCGAGGAAGGCCAGCGTTATCACGATGATGAGAATCATGATGACTACCAGAATGCGGCTCTGATCGATGGCCTTGACGGAGAAACAGAGGACGAGGGAGACAGCCACAGTATCGACTCGCAAAATTACGATCCGGCTGGCCGTACCCCTGTGGCAAATGCCTCCCGAGTTTCACTGGCAGTCTCTAGCGATGACGAATATTTGCCCAAAAAGCCGCATTTCAAGAATAACCAAGAGCAAACGGACGTTGTTGCTCCCCTTAATGGAAATGAAGGTAGCATGGATTCCTTCCCCCGTGTCCCGGCATTGGAGGATCAGGAAGAGCCCACTGGCATCGCGGACCGGACTAAATCTGCTATTAAATCGCCCTTCATCCGTCTTGGAAAGGCAACATCCCAAACCCTCAGCAACTGGTACCAGAAGTCTCCAGCTCCTGTTAAATCTTGTTTGAAATTTACGAAGCGTGTGGCTGGGAAATTCAACAACTTTATCTGGGAATTCATGAACCCCCCTCTCTGGGCTATGTTGATTGCCATCCTCGTCGCCTCTATTCCGGCTCTTCAACGACTCTTCTTCGAGGAGGGCTCTTTCGTCCAGAACAGTGTGACCAACGCCGTTCGCTCCAGTGGAGATGTCGCTGTCCCACTGATCCTCGTTGTTCTCGGCGCCAATCTTGCTCGTAATACCATGGCTAAGGATGAGGCTTTAGACCCCGAGGAAGAGCGCATCGGCAACAAACTTCTCATTGCCTCCCTTCTTTGCCGTATGGTTCTACCAACTGCCATCATGGCTCCTATGCTTGCGCTCATGGCCAAATATGTGCCCGTTAGCATTCTTGACGATCCAATTTTTGTTATCATTTGTTTCTTGCTCACGGGAGCTCCCAGCGCCCTCCAGCTCGCTCAAATTTGCCAGATTAACAGTGTATTTGAGAAGACAATGGGCAGAATTCTGTTCCAGAGCTATGTCATCTGGTAAGTCATGACATCTGATGCTCGGTGTGATCTATCCCGAATTGCGCTAACATATGCAGGATCCTTCCCTCTACTCTTATTTTGGTAATGATGGCCCTCGAGGTTGTTGAGTGGGCTCGATGATGCGCCTGTCTAAATACACTAGACAGAGAAGTGAAATGATCATGTCTTTCATGCGTCAAATGCTATTTGTTGAGTTTGTTTGGTCTGTCTTTACAGTTGTTTGTCTGCAACGGCGTTGGGTAGCTGGAATTGATTGGGAATTGGGAAAATTTATACTGGCGTGGCCTTGCGGCAATCCGAGGGTTCACAAAGCTTGACCTGGTGGAAGAGCGATATGGATCCGAGCGTTTTTTGCCTGCTTTTGCTTCGTTGTGTAAAAAAGGCACTGGTTTTGAGGAGTTGATCTACATAGTACTCTGTCTGGAATGCCTGTGTCTTGCGAATGATCGAAATATACAATATTCTCACATTGGATTGTTTAAACCAGCAATGCACCTTGTACTGCATCTTGAAAACCGATTGCTAAAGTACACTAATGAGGCTCTAGCCAAGGATGTGGAGGCTGCAATATGATCATTCTTGCTGGGTTCCGTTGACCAGGTTACCTTCTGGCACGATCGCCCAGTCTCTTACAGTGCCCTTCCAATCGCTGATGCGTACGTCCTTGATATCGACCGAAACAACTCTTACTTCCTCACCGGCTACAAAGCAGTTGCGGCCTCCATCCTCGACAGGTCCATTGTCCCGCTGGAAAGGCTGGGCTGCGGACTCATCGAAAGTATTGTTCTCCAGATGCTGCTCGCGGTAGTATTTTTCCTCCTCTGTTCCGCTAGGCACTAGACGAGCGGCACCTCCTATGGTTGCACTGATGCTAGAGAGTGCTGAGGTGTTGAGGTTCAAGAGGAGTGAGGCGAGACTCGATCGGTGCTCTGGGCCAGGAGAGCCACCAGACGGTCGGCGGCCGTGAGTAGGTGGTCGATGGGAGACCCCTGAAAATATTTTCAGTATGTTTAGCTTTCACCAGTTTGGAACATGAAGATGCGACTTACAATCGTGGACAAGAAGGGATACATTGGGGTTGGCGACCAAGTTGGTGGTCTTCCGTGATGCCGGGTTCGTAGTCATGATGATGACGGGGTAGTTAGAGTAAGGTGACGAGGGAAGATATGTATAGTTCATTAGAGAGACGTGCGGTACGTTATCTGTGCATGTTGCCAAGTGAAGCTATATTGACTATCAGCCTTCGATCTGTGATGGGATTGTTGGTGGTGCGGGGAAGGTCTACAAATCGAGCATTGTCGAGGCATTGAACAACATCTGGCGGAAGCGTCGACGTCGTTTGCTTGTGGGTATCGCCCTGAGAAGCTTCGGAGTTGAGAGGTATTTGATCCATGATATATTGGCTGAACGATGATTGATGATGCTGAGATCCAATACCTTGAGGTAGTGGAGGGGCTCGACTACCTTGCTGCACGGTACGTTCCGCAAATCCCGGTCACAGCATCTGCTGAGTCACCCATAATCGCGAGAATATGACGTAATGACACTGGGCGTGCTTTCCCCAGAGTTCATTCGAGCTAAGCTTAGGTTGTCTGGGGAAGGTACCTAGGTACCGGTTACTTGCGGCTCCTCACGGTCACGTCTGTCCTTGCCGACTTGAACCTTCAAAGCCGACGGCATAGCACATTCACGGCATTAGGGACGGCTCATCACCCGGGACGGAGATTTACAGTCGGTTTCCCTCCTTATTTATGTCAGTGAGAATCATTTTGAACTTCTGTCAAGTTGCATACTGCTCCTTGATTTTATACTGGGCGCTTCATTAACCCTATCGCTCATCATGCGTTCCACACTTCGCGCAAACCGTCGACTTCCTTTGAAGCCCCTCCCTCGTTTCCTCTCAACATCTGCTTCAAGTGCTTCTGTTTCTTCAGTGGCTTCTTCATCATCTGCACCAAAGCACACACCTATCAATTCTGTCCTTATCGCCAACCGTGGTGAGATCGCCATCCGTATCAACCGGACTGCTGAGCGCCTTGGCATTCGGGCTACAACCGTTTATACAGATGTTGACGCTGGTTCATGGCATGCTTCTTCGGGGTTCCAGTCTTTGGCGCTAGGTCCTGCAAACGCCTATCTTGACGGTGAGAAAATCATTGCTCTAGCGAAGCAAAATGGCATCCAGGCACTCCACCCCGGCTATGGCTTCTTGTCCGAAAACTCCAAGTTCGCAGAGCGTTGCGAAGAGGAAGGCATCGTGTTTGTTGGACCACCCGCTACTGCCATGGCCGACATGGGACATAAAGCCCGCAGTAAAGAAATTATGACAGCTGCAAATGTTCCCTGTGTGCCAGGGTATCATGGAGCAGACCAGGGCGAACAGGAACTCTTGGAGCATGCCAAAAACATCACTTTTCCGGTGCTCCTCAAGAGTGTACGAGGAGGTGGAGGCAAGGGAATGCGAATCGTCCTGACTGAGGAGGAGTTCTTGACGCAACTCAGAAGTGCCCGTGCCGAAGCCAAGGCCTCATTTGGTGAAGGAGGCGAGGTCATGCTAGTGGAGAAGTACATCATTCGACCAAGGCACGTCGAAGTGCAAGTCTTTGCCGACAAATGGGGCAATACCGTCGCGCTAGGTGAGCGAGACTGCAGTGTTCAGCGTCGGCATCAAAAGATCCTCGAAGAATCCCCAGCTCCAGATCTAGATCTGGCAACTCGACACGATCTCTGGGATAAGGCGAGAAAAGCAGCCTCGGCAGTTGGTTATGTCGGCGCTGGCACTGTTGAGTTTATCCTCGACAAGGATACCAACAAATTCTATTTCATGGAAATGAACACTCGACTACAAGTGGAGCATCCTGTCACGGAGATGGTGACTGGCCTGGATCTAGTCGAATGGCAATTCCGAGTTGCTGCAGGCGAAAAGCTTCCACTCTCCCAGGAAGAAGTGGAAGCACAGATGAACGAGAGGGGCGCCGCCATTGAAGCACGAATTTATGCCGAAAATCCTGAGAAGGGCTTTATTCCCGACTCCGGCAAATTAGTGAGAGCTTATCTCCCTACCGAATTGCAGAACGAGGATGTTCGCCTGGATTGGGGATTCCGATCTGGTAATACTATCTCTGAAGCATACGACGGCATGATCGCCAAACTTATCGTGCGAGGCGATACGAGAGAACGTGCTATCGCCAAATTGGAGAGCGTTCTACGATCATACGAAATTGTTGGTGTTGCTACAAATATCGAATTCCTCAAGCGGCTTTGTGAGACTGATGCCTTTGTGGCCGGAGATGTGGAAACGGGCTTCATCGACAAGTGGGGAGAGGAGCTTTTCAAACCCCGACCTATCAAGAATGAAGTTGTCGCCCAAGCAGCCCTCGGGATGATCAACTTTGAACATCGAAATTCTGGACCCCATGGTTTGACACTTGGCTTTGGCGAGACTAACAACATCGGGGAACGAAAGCTGAACTTTAAAATCCTGGATGGGTATAGCAAGGAAGAGGGCGAGGTCGTCGAGGCCAGCGTGACACAGACAGGTCATAACCTTTACAACGTTGCTGTCCACCGAAAAGGTGACGAGACACCCCAAGTGTTCACAAATATTGCCTGCCAGCCCGAGCCAGAAGGTGAAGTGATGAAACTCGAGTCATACTTCCCCCTTGAGCGCATTCAATCCTCCGTCGTCCCTCAACACACAGACAATGACACAAAGGTTACTGTTTTCCAGCATGGCGTGAAAACAGATCTTGTCCTTCTACCGCCCAAGTGGTACGAGAAGGCTCTTGGGCTCAAGGAGTCAAGCGCCTCAGTTGCAGCGCCGATGCCCTGCAAGATATTGAAGAACGAGGTAGTGGAGGGTCAAACTGTGCAAAAGGGAGCACCACTTGTGGTGTAAGTTGACCATTTCGATATGCAGAATAAGCTAACAAACTCTCAGAATTGAGTCAATGAAGATGGAAACTATTATCCGGTCGCCGCAGGATGGCATAATTAAGAAGCTTGCACATAAAGAAGGGGTAAGTTCCTAGGGCATTCCTCTCTGATATCTCATCTAACGTCATGCAGGATATTTGCAAGGCTGGCACGGTACTGGTACTATTTGAAGAGGGCGAAACAAAGGATGGAGAGTCATGAATGATATTGGATACCATGATGAATGAATTTGGCGTTATTTAAAGGAGATTGAATGATACGCTACGTATTAACTAGAAATGCACTTGATCCCCTCATGGTCCCCTCCCAGTCGTTGGGCCTGTTCCACTTCATCAAATATGTAAAGAATTAATCTCCAATGTCAAAACATGCATACGCCTAGACACCAATAGCTCCATTAACTGAAATCATGAATCATGCTGTGCCCAAAACTGTATCCCATAGTAAGCCAAAGAACATATACCCTGAACCCAAGGTCGGTATGAGGTCGGGTCTGTCGTCGTCCTGGCAGAAATGTCATGCCATATGGTTATCTTGTGTGCATCTTTATGTACTCCAAGGGTAGATATCGAGAAAGTTTTGATTGCTTAGCCGCTTGACGTATCCGTTTCCACCAGTCTTCGAGACGTGCCTGGAATTTTGGGTCGTCGGGCGAAGTATACGTAGTAAGCTTGTTGAGAAGATCCTGAAAGAGATGTCAACAGAGCGTTTGAGCATAGCACCTCATTCAAGTGACTTACCTCCTCCAGGGCCAGTGTGATGAATCCCATGACGAATGCCACCCAAGCAAGAGTCCCCTTCGTACTTAAGAATTGGTTGCCCCCCCGGAATTCAACCGTGCCAGTACATTTCCCTGTCTTGGGGTTTGGGAAAATGTTCTGGAAGTTCCATAGCACGTATCGGTTCCCCTGCATATAGTAGCACAAATCCACTTCGGATGTCGTTGACTTGATTTCTGATGCGACTTGGAGAAGTGAGCCCTTGCTCTTACCGAATCGTATCAGCGTTTCACGCAACCCAGAACCCATGCTTTGACTGTTTGGCCGACAGTACTGATTTTCTCGGCGGGCTTTGGGGAGGACAGCTGCCACAAATTCTTCATAAACAGCAGATGCAAACGCAATCTTCTTGAGGCCACGTAGGGAGAACTTGTTCTGACCAGAGACGGGAGTGACATGGACGTGGCCGCCGCAGGAGATATCGCGTTGGGGACTGAAGTGTACACGCATCGCTTCCCAAAAGTCGCCAAGTATGCCGCTGACATGTTGCTTGGTATCTAGACGAGGGGAAACGACTTCCATGCAGACTAGGATCCCCTGTTAGTGAACAAACTAAACAGTTCGCTGGTTTCACGGTGAAGAGAATGACATACCCATGGGACGCTCTCTCTTCAAAGATCCATCTCTAGTGACGAACCATTTACCACCGTAGTACTCCGGATGCTTGCTGTATTTTGAACAGTCATCGTGCACAGCTTCGATGTTGCGGTTCCGTAGCTTCTGTGCTAATTGTCGATACCAGTCGACATTGGTAAAGCTATCAGCACCACCGTAAGGCTTTACCACAGCCTCGATCTCCACGCCGAAGTTGTAATGCCTGAGCTTTGAAACCGTCATGATCGACGAGATGTAAGAAGTGTTTAGGGACTCGAAAAAGAAAGAATGGTAGAATTGGCTGGGGTCGGGTTGAAGGTGGCGGATTTGGCCATGCAGCTTGTATAAGACAACCACCTTGGTTTTTGAATAATCACCTTGCTGCAGACAGGGAGTCGTACTACATGAAGGTGATCACCCGTTTCCTGATGCGCTTGTGCCTTGTTCAAAACGTTTGGATACGGCCGCGTGCTTTACCCAAACACAACCACAGAATCGTCAGCTGTTGGCTCTCAACTTTTTGTCAGTAACACGCTCGCTCGCCTAACCTGAGCTGTCATCGTCACATCTCAAAATTGTCGCCTCGCTTTCAGGTTAAGTACAGCAAAAACCTTTCTGGCCTCGAATGGCGGTGCGGATGCATGGTTTGGCGGGAGCTGTCGTTGTGGATCTGGCCGGGGGCTCCGGGGAGAAATGCCGGAAGACCGGGGGCACGGTGCGGAGCCCAACAAGGAAATGGAGGCGGGCTGGGCCGTCTCATAGCGTCTGAATATTCTGAGGCTATCAAACGAGGCCTGTTTTTGCCTGTCATTGTAAAGGCCCAGACAGTCGGTATTCACGAAAATGTAACCGCGTCTACCCTGCAAAGTTCGCTTGCCAGGTACCTTGCGAGTCTTCCCAACGTGGGACGTAACAATTGGCCATGAGTTGGCGTCTCCTCTTGTGAAAATCTGACTCATTTGCTGCCCAATGTGACAATAAGGCCCAGTCGGTGACTTGCACAACCTAGCCCACTCCGCCCATTGAGCGCTGCTGGCGCTGAGCACAGCTACTGTACGTAAGTTAGTTTATGCTTTAGTCAGGTCGACGTGGACGTTGCTTGCTTGATCGATATTGTTTTTCTCATGTGAGGGAGCCGATTCACATCACATCTTAATCGCCGTTAGCTCACTATCACATTCTCCTACCACAACGAAAACGTAACGCAACACACACACAAACATACACACTTTTTCCCCCTGCACCTCGCCATCGGATACACGGAGCTTGCTGCCCCCGACAAATCTCCAGCATGAATTTGTCTGCAGATGAGGCTCAGGCCGACACTGGCCAGCCGCTCACCAAATACTACTTTGCCTATGGTAGTAATCTTCATCTACAGCAGATGAAACGAAGATGTCCTGGAAGCAAATTCATCGGCTCTGGGAAGCTGGCAGATCATCGTTGGCAGATCAACGAGCGTGGATACGCCAATGTTATCGAGTCGCAAGGTCATTGGGTTGAAGGCCTTGTTTATGAGATCAACCCCCGCGATGAGGCTCGTCTTGATATCAATGAAGGTGTTTCCAAGGACGCATACCAAAAGAAGTACATGGCTGTTACGCTACGGCGTGCCGAAGCCGCCTTGTATCGCCGACCTGTGTCTTGGATTGTCAACAATGGTGGCCCAGACCACGCACGAGTCCTTGCCCGGCAAGGGGAAGGGCAGAGGAAGGCCATCAACCACAAGCCGCATTTGGAACAGAACATCTTGGTATACATAAGTCCAAGATACATTGTCGATAGCGAGCCAAAGGAGGAGTATATCAACAGAATCAATTCAGGCATTGTTGATGCCACATCCTTAGGGGTCACCAATGATTATATCAGCAACTGTGTTCGACCTTTCATTCCAGCACCGACTGGCCAGACCTCAGGAGACAAAGAGGCAACTGGGCCTGCGAAAGCTACCGCACCGCCGAAGCCAAAAGTTGTGAGAAAAGTTCCGAATCCCGCAAAGAAGGTGAAGCAAGCTGCCCGCGAGGTCAAGCGAGCAACTCCTCCCAGAGGGAGAGAATTATCACCGCCAAACAACAGGACACCTGGCCAAAGACCCCTGCACCTTCAACCTCAGGTGGTTCAAGGTCAGCGCTTGACCAGGAACGCCGCATCGAATGTGCCTGAGAGGCTCGGGCGGCCTTCACAGTCACGGTCATCAGCACCACCACTTCCCCCAAGGCCACTCGCGCCACATTACCCCGGAAACACTCTACAGGTTCCTGTTTCTGGTCGGCGGCGACCTGCATCAGAAGTTGGCGCCCCACCACCGCCTCTACCTCCTCGGCCAACCCGCCGAGTTCGCAGTATACCGGTAATCGTTACTCATCAGGAAGGTTATGGTGGTTATTGGTATCGATAAAAGCATTTCTAGCCCAGTTTCCTTAAAATACCCAAATATGATATCCTTCAGACAATAAAAGTAGCATACGTGCGTTTTATTCTTCTCCAGTTATCGTTTTATCTTTTTAATGCTGTTGTCTCTGTTTGCTGACTTCTACGCCTTACAAGAACACAATTTCATAAAACAAGGACTAATATCTTTGTCTGCTTGATGCCGATATGACAGATCCAGCTGGCCCTAAGACATGTCAGAGCTTAAAAGGGTGTGGAGAATACCTGTACTCACTCCTTGAACTTGATGCTCTTGATGAGCTTCGACTGGTTCCTTGAGAAGTTGGCGTATTATTCCATAGGAAACTCATTATTGTTGGGCCCTGGAGCACATCCCCACCAGAGTTGGTGACGAGAACTGTGGGTTTAACAATTGCTTTCAGCCCGAGCTTTCTACCACCCTCGACTCTCTCGACGAAAAGCCCGGGAGCTATATCAAAGAGATATATGACACCGCGGCGTGCTTGAGAAGCTGCCTTTGTTCCACTCAAGTCAAGAATTGCTCCTCCATTCGCTAGATTCAAGCATTGGTAAACCTCCAACCTCGTCGCAGCTGTGCGAGCAGGCCACTTCAATGAAAATACACTGGGCGCCAGGTGAAGCTGATGAGCGAGATCTGCTGCAGGTTCTACAATGCTTCGACGAACAGAACTATGCAGTTCAGCGGGAGGACTTTTCGGGGCAATGATTGAGAGTAAAGTTGTCAGATCGTCAACAACAAAATTCAGAAATCTTTGCCGGCGCGTTCTGAAAGATGGTTGGTGAGTTAAGGCAGTCAGCGTCTCGCTTCTCCATTCCCTACAATGAGCTGTATCTTGTGAGATGTCAGCAGCTTGGTATATATATCACGCCCTGGGATTAAGACAAACCTCTTGGCAGTCGGGACATAGTATTCTCGAGATCATCAACCCATCTCGACGTTCCGTCACCTTCCGTATCATCGAGAGGACAATAAAAGGACTTTGAGAACAGAGTAACGTGGAGATAGTTCATGATGACCCCAGTGATGTGAAATTCGTCAGACTGCGTAACATTCAAGCATCGTCTTGACTGTTCCCTGAGAAGAGAAACGAGTCGCAGCCCTTCTGGAGAGGATGCTCTGGCAGCAAGGCGGCTAATTTCCAGATCCTCAATAGCATATGCAGCACGGTTTTCAACCCAGCGCTGGACATTCCCAACTAGGATCTTGTAGGCTTCTCTAGCCTCTGCTTCTGTGATATCTCTTCTCCTAGGCTGTAGACGAAAGATCTGATCCTGAGCCTCTGCGAGCTGCCGCTGGGTGACCGCAAGTTGTCTTCTGAGAGTTTCCGCCTCTACTGCAAGCTGGCCCTTTTCTGATTCCCGATTCTCAATCTCCTGTTGCCTGGAGTCCAATACATTCTCCGTGAAGCGGCGCAAATGGGTCTCGCTGGCCAGTTTGTCCTTAAGTGCGGGAGTCTGTGGGGATCCTTGTTTCGTCGTATGGTCTTCCGCTTGCTTCTGGCTATTTTCATGACGAGCCGTCTCCGGATCCATGATGACGGATTGCTGTGTTCAGAGTTATTGTGTATAACAGCCCAATGATGAAGATGAGTCTGTCAGTGTCGCACGTGCAAATCGTTAAGCGACAGAGGTTGACCAGTAATCCGCTAGATTGGTTCTATCCGTCTGGTAAGTCGAATCAAAGGCAACACATCAAGGTCATCTTACAGGGTACCACCAATCGGCGTCAAGACTCCTTGGAAAAGAACTCAATACTCGCAGCCTCACATTGCGGTTGGACCCAAGCATGGTTTCGTTTAGGCGCCAGGTGATGGGTACCTAATGCATTCGGAAGTCTTCCAGCTGTACGACATCAAAAGTCGGTCTCGTCTTAGGCCGCTTAGGCGGCCATTGCATGCTCCACTGCCTGGATTTACCAGGGTTACAGTCATTCGTAGCTGCGCCGAGTTTCTGTTCAAGGCCAAGTCTGCAGTGCCCAAACCCCATCCACCCACTTGATTGAAAGCCCTGACGAGGCCGAAGTTGGTGGTCAAAGTGGTGGTCATTGCTCCATAACTGGTCGGTGAGGATGAGCGAGGCCCAAAGAACCCCAGGCCCACACAACAAATGAGGCCTGAAGAGTCAGATTGAATGGTTGACCATGTCCAGAATCACAGACAGATCCTCGGGTGCTGGCGAAGAATGTTCCGTCGCCCTGCTGGTTTCTATCGTAACCAATTGGGAGTCGACATGAGTGAATTCTGGGGCAAGTCCCATTTTCACGAATGAGCTTTTGGGCAGAGTAGTTCCATATCTCGTACATCACTAGATCATGCCTGACTGTTCCACCACAAATAGTTGACAATGAAACAATCATAGGAAGCCTTTAGGAAGTAGTTTGGTCATGAGCAATCGCAGAATCGTTGTATCCATAGATTTTGGAACGACATACTCAGGTGTCGCTTGGGCTGACACAACTCGGGTAAGCGTTGTCCTAACATCTCTCGGGGTGAGCTTGCTAACCCTTGCAGCCTGATGTTCAACATGTCTTGACAGAATGGCCCTCAGCCGGCTCGTCCAAGAGCAGTCCCAAAGTACCAACTGAGCTCCGAAGAGTGGCGACTGGGTGGCAGTGGGGATTTCAGATTCCCGAGTCTGCGAAGAGGATCAGGTATTTCAAGCTGTTCGTTGTGCTGTGCCTTCAGTCCGTTTGCCGTGTTTGACCAGACCTTATAGAAAGCTGGATGATCCAGCCCAGATCACCAAGGATGGAGAATCAGCAAAAGACCTGACCAAGGTCTATCTATCATGCCTCCATGAGCATTTCGTCAGTCTACTTGAAAAGAGACTATCGTCGAGCGTGGTAAAATCAACACCCATGGACTTTGTCGTCACAGTCCCCGCTATCTGGTCACCAAAAGCAAAGCAATCGACGGAGCAGGCCGCAGCCATGGCAGGATTTTGTGGTAATCAGAGGATCCAGCTCATATCAGAACCAGTGGGTTGGATTTCGAGTCGCAGAGGAAAGTGTGTTGCTAACAAATGACAAGGAGGCAGCCGCTTTATACACCCTCAAGACCCTTAGCCCCTCTACATTACAAGTAGGTCGAAAATTTGTTGTTTGCGATGCGGGAGGCGGTACCGTTGACTTGATCTCCTATCAAGTAACCAAAATAGGCAGAGTTGAAGTAAAAGAAGTCACCGAGGGTACAGGCGGGAAGTGCGGTTCGTCCATGCTGAATATGCGCTTTCGTCGGCATCTGAAACAAACTCATGGAGACAAGTACTGGACTGATGAGAGACTCGTAACAGCTTTGAGTGAGTTCGAGTCGGTAAGATTTCCAAGGTTTTATTTTCAAGCCAGTTCGCTCAGAGGGATACAGTTCAAGAAGACCTTTTCTCCGAAGGGCGAACCTTTGACTCTCAAAGTCGATCCCAGTCTTGGTTTACGACGGAACCGATACACTATGACACAAGACGACATGAAAACCAAAATCTTTGAGCCCATAATGAAAGATGTCGTGTGTCTTATCAAGGAACAGATCAAGATGGCGGGAGATGGCGTCGCCGCTGTGATTATGGTTGGAGGATTCGGGCAAAGTCGATATTTGAAGTCACGCGTACGTGATGCAATATCTAGCCGAACAGATGTTCTTCAACCAGAAAGTGGCTGGACGGCGGTGGTAAAAGGTGCCGCAATGCATGGGCTCAGTCGATATCAGCCCGCAGGCACCCGGGTGGAAGTTGCATCTCGAATTGCAAGACGATCGTACGGTACATGCTTGATGACGAAATACGATATGATGAAACACAACCCCAAAGAAGCGTTCGTATGAATTCTTTCTGACAAATGTGGTTGCTGACGGGTTATAGGTTCTGGTCGGAAAAGGAGCAAGAAACAGTCGTCTCAGAAATGTGTTGGTTTATTCAGAAGGTATTTTGATTCCTCTCCAAACTTCGTATTGATTGCCACTAACTTTGGAAGGGTGAGTCCTACCCAGAAGGCAAACCGTCGCGGATAGAATACCAATGCGATCTCCCGGTAATGCTTGGCCATGTGCCACAAACCGAGATCGATATTTACAGCAACAATAATGACGGGAAAGCTCCCGTCCATCTCGATGAAACTACGCAGCACATCGGAACGCTCTCACTTGACCTAAGAAAGATCCCAGAAGCAGTCAAAAGAACCGCGAAGATCAGACGTATGGGTTGGCATCGGTACTATTGTTTGAAAGGGGCTATCGAAGCCGTGTACGGGTCAGCGGAGATCACGTACACAGTCAAACTTGGAGGTAAGAAATTCCGTAGTGTTTCTGATGTACCAAATGCTAAGCCGCGCTCGTCTAGGAATAACACATGACATGATCAGTGTTCGCTATGAACGTTAAGCTCGAAAGACAAGTTCCGAAGTCAGACAAGAGTAAAGGGGAGGAGATGAGTGTGTGAGATCATATATCGATACCACTATAGAGCCTTTGCCGTTGTATGTCAACCATCGTAATGAAATGTCGTTTGATATGGATCTGAGACTACCAGAAAGCTACCTCCTAGATGGTTCTTATTGGTCACGTGATTTCGTGTTGCCCCACCGTGACCAGTCGCGTCCTCCACATTGAAGGTGCCTTGGCTAGGTAGGTATCTAACCTACTTTACTACTACCTTAACCTTAGAGCGCCAACCTTGATCATCCATCTGTGAAGCAACAAGATCCAGCCGCACCCAACGATGCTGCATGCATCATGGCGGCCAATCTGCATTTAAGGGCGGCTGTACCGGATCATGGGCAACCGGCCGGTAAATTTGCCGCTGGCCCTCCTCCATCAACCTTAGCTGCGCAGCTTGTGGAGAATATTTCAGCATCCACGAAATCCTCCAAATCAGATGAGAACAGCGAACTCAAAGGCTTCTTTGCTATTATTCAACGCGTCAAAGATGACCCGACTCTTCTCAAGACGCCAGAGGACCGAGTTGAGCATAATCATATGCTTATTTACGTTTACTCGAGAGCTGTTCTTGAAGGAATTCGATTAGATGACCCATTTCTTGACCGGACACAAGTACGGACAGAAGGCCTCAAGGCCATCAGTTTTCTCAGGTTCTCTATCAAAGAAACGCCGGCAGTTCTGAAACATAGAGTGGGTGAGCAAGAGTATATGTTCCGAGGGCGGGAGCCATTATGGGTTTGGCTTCTTCCTCAGCTGCTTAGACTTCTTGGCCATTCCCAGTGCCTTGAACTCACAGAAGCAATTGAAGGCTTCCTCCAGTATACAATGCTAATAATAGCACAAAACTGGACTCTGTGGGATATGGCGCCATCATTCTTATTCTATCTGCGTACCATCACATCTCGTAAGTAGTTAGCTCGACTTTGACAATAAAGCAACTCACAATTAATTGACAGATACCCTTCAACAGCTTCAAGACCCTCTAGTAGTTCCATCTGTGGAAGAAAGTTTCAAGTCACTTTCTCTACCTCCTCAAATTGCTCTCAGCCAATTCGTCGACAAGCAGTCGCCCTTCACAAGCCAGCTTACATATTCTGTTGACCGAATGTCGCAAGCGCTGCAACAACTGATCAGCTTTTGCAAAGTGGCGGCCTATCCTCTGACAGCTTCAGATGATGCCTTTAATAACGTTACCTCCTTCTCAGAGACTGCGGTATGGTTGATTGATGTCCTAGGGGACATGCGGGTTATCCAGACCCGGTACGGTAGCAACTTTCCTGCCTCTTCGCTTCATGTTCTCCAACTGGCTCAAGAAATCGAGCGAGCACTACGGAGAAGAAAAGGCATCAGCGCTTCTGTTCACAAGAAGGCCATCACTCTCATGATATTGCTTTGTGGTGAGATTGCGACAAGCCTCAATCCCATGCCGATGCTAGACATTGATGAGGAAACGCGGCATACATACTGTATGGCTCTAGCTATAATAACAGCAGCATCTACTGAAAATACGTCAATTGGCCGGTTAGCGGTTTCCGGCATTGTAGATGAGTCTTCAATGTTTTATACATCCCTGCCTGAAGGAACAGACCTGTGGGTGGGTTGCATCCTCCATAATTCCTCCGTCAGCAACTAATTCTCAAGAAGAGAGTGATACAGACTTTAAGACAGATCAATTTCGATCCCAGGCCAAAGCTGCTCTCCTCAAACCTACATCCACTGAGTTTTGAGGATTCTGCAGTGCAAGAGATAATCGAGACCTTGGCGCTGAGCTACGAGCCTCCCGAAACAAGTTCACAAGACCGTCTTAAACGCCGAAAAATAGCACAGGCAGACTCTAGCCCCACGGCGGTCCTCATGAGACTTTTGGGTGACGTTCTAGGGCTTGCAGATGTGGACGATGATTTTCTTAATCTTGAGAATCAAGTATTGTCAGTGGTTTCATTGATTTGATCTTCAAATGCTTACTGAAGTAGGGGAGCCTTTCCAAAGGCTGACACATCACGTCAATGTCTCATACTTGATTTGCTATCGCGGATATCTTGCGTGGCGGATGGTGGCAACGAGACAATCAATGATACAAAAGCAGCAGTGACAGAAACAGCCTGCTCCATTTGTGAACATAATGCACCTCCAGTTCGATCAAACCTTCATGGAGCAACCGTGCATAAATCCCGAATCGAGGCACTCTTTACCAAACTGATCCGACTCCCCGCCCTTGCTGAATCTCGGCGTCCAAGGATTGCTGCCATGTTGGCTATAAGGAGAGTGATTCTCCATTGTGAGGATACCGAATTACTTAATCTGGAAACGTCTGGGATGGGCCAGTGGTGTCTTCAGTCCTTAAACAGCTCTGTGAGGGAGCTGCGGATAGCTGCCGGGCGTGTTCTAGCCACCTTCTCTTTGGCTAGGCCAGAGCCAATTCTTTCCAACATGGTTCTTCCGGCTCGACCAGCAGAAGCCAATGGTGCTAGGAACCCACGAGTGAATCAGGCTCAAGCGGCCTCCACAGATGGCAAATTCCAGACAAATGCATCAAATGGATCTTCTCCCATGAAAACGCAAGATTTGATCTCGCGCAATAGAAAAAACTCGATTGCTTTCCTGAAATCAATCTCAGATAAGAACCAGCCTAATTTAACTGAAACGTTTATTATGGCATGGGGTCAATTGGGAACGGTTGTCTGGGAACACGAACTCAACTTGGTTCTCATCAAGCTTTTGGAGTACTTGGGAAGCAACAACAATATCGTGTCAGCTTGCGCCTTCAATGAGCTATTGAATCTAGCTGATGCTCGTCGAGTAACCCCACGTAGGCTTTTCGAGCCTTTTTGGCCAAACCTAGCATACATGACCACCAAGGACATGGTCCAACGCCCTCAAATGAGCCGGACAATTGCTGAATTGCTACAAGTGTCTGTCAACGAGTTACTCCTCCTGATTCAAACGCACGCACTGCCGTGGCTTGTGCTTGACAAGCAAAAAGACGTTATCCAAAAGATTGCGGAGGCACGGCAGGAGTCCGAGGTTTGGCTACCATTAATCGACCCTGCGAACCTAGCCGCAACCCTGGCCTTGCTCTTGGTTCAAGATACAGACGATATCGCTAGTTTCGCAAAATCTCGCCTCGATGAGTTATCGACACATTTTCAAACAGAGCCCCTCGTCAACCTGCTTCAAGTGGAACCAGTGCTCACCGTCATAGAGTTACTTAAAGCTGCCGGCGACGCAGATGAAACAAAAAAGGCACCAGTAAGTCAAACCTCAATGCATCTTTGGCGTAAGCTTATGCATCTTCAGGTCCGCAAAGCTTTAGACACTATGGCGAAAATGATGATCCCAGCAAACAAAGAAACCCGAGCTAAGAAGTCGGACCACACTGCTCGGTTTATTCATTCACAACTTCTTGGCCTCATGGCATGTCTCTTCGATGTCATCAATGACCAGAGCCTTCCTGACCCAGAGCGTCGGCGCTACATTCGGGCCATGGAGGAAATGATCAGGGTGTCGAGGGGCTATGCAAGCACAGCCAGACCGCAAGTATGTGCCATATGTTTCCGGCCCTGAATGGCAATACTGACTGTATTTCTAGATGTCTGCTTGTTTGCTCTCGACACTGGCACAAGATGCGCTGAGAGAAGCAAGTTTCTCATGTTGGGCATCGATGCTCACACACCTTGAGGAGACAGATGTTGAGGCATTATTAGAAACAACATTTTTCGTCGTTACCCGTTACTGGCCCTTCTTGAGCGAGTCAACGGCTCTTCTAGCGCAGCAAATGCTCAAGTCTCTCGTCGATGAATTTGATCCCCTTGTTGCGAAGTACATCGTCAAGCTCCCTTCGCTCAGACACATTCCAGAGTTGAGGGACATCGAGACAAAGCTGGATCAGCATAGACCAGCAACACTCGCGGTTGAAGAGGTTTTGGAAGCTTTCGCCGAGAGAATCTGCCATGAAAACTCCGGTGTTGCCCTTCAAGCATTGACAGAATTGATACCATACCTTCAGGAAAACCAAGCGCTGCTTCATACATCTGAGATTAGTCTACAGTCAGATATTGGCGTTGTCGCACTTATGCGGTCGCTTCTGGATTGCGCAAGTAAATACAGCGGCTTTCCAGGAGATATAGCGCGCCTATGCACAGAAGCAATGGGCTTGATAGGCTGCCTGGATCCCAGTAAGATCGAGACTGTTAGAGAACAACGATCAATAGTCATATTGAACAATTTTGCGACGAATGAAGAAACTACGGACTTCGTTCTGTTTCTTCTGGAAGAGGCCCTGGTGCCAGCATTCTTATCTACGACTGATGTTAAGTTCCAGGGATTCTTGTCTTTTGCTATGCAGGAACTCATGGGCAGGTGCGACATCAAAGCTGCATGTGCCATGGAAAACTCGGGGATGAAAGGTGGAAACGACATCTATCGAAAATGGGTTGCAATGCCAGAAACTGTTCGGGAAGTGGTGGCACCTTTTCTGGCCTCCCGGTATGTCGTTGCTCCAATGCCACACACCGAGATCGAGTATCCGCTCTTTCGTCCTGGCAGACCTTATCCGAGTTGGCTGAGAGTTTACGTTCTGGACCTTCTACGTAAGGGGCAGACGCCATTTGCCGACTTGATATTCGAGCCTCTGGCGCGTGTCATTCGCGTTAAAGATCTCTCTATTGCAGAGTTCATCCTTCCCTATATAGTCCTGCATACTCTTTTAGGGTCTCGGACTACACAGCAAGAAAGGGACGATATTCTCGGGGAACTTCTTGCTATCTTGCAATATCAGCCTGCTGAGACGGCATCGTATCAGGAGAAGGAGGATATGCGGCGATACTGTCATGTAGGCTTCAAAATACCTTGGTCTTGTGACAAAAACTAACTGGTCATTAGCTTGTATTTCGCGTTGTAGACTATGCAATGAGATGGATGCAAACAAGGCGAGCAGCTGGTCGCCTCACTGAAACTGATAGGGAGAGGCTAGCTCAAGTGCAGGAGGCTCTCGATCTGATTCCAGCCGAACTCATAGCACAAAGGGCTGTCGATTGTAATGAATACGCACGTGCTCTTTTTCATTTAGAGCAACATGCCCACAAAATGGAACAGAGGAAGAAAGAACCAGGGGAGCGTACCCGTCTCTTACAAAAACTTCAAGATATCTATGCCAATGTCGATGAGCCTGATGGCCTTGATGGAATTTCAGCTCATTTACAAGTTCTTGACATCAACCAACAGATTCTGAGTCATCGCAAAGCAGGCAGGTGGACTGCTGTTCAGAACTGGTACGAGATGCAACTCGCTGAGAACCCTGTCAACACAGATATCCAGATCGACTTGCTTCATTGCCTGAAGCAGGCTGGTCAGCACGGTAGGTTCCTTCAGTCTTTTGTCCCGACACGAGCTAATTATTGACAGAGGGGTTATTGAATCACATCGAGGGTATGCACACAGATGCATCTACGGACAACAAGATCATGCCTTATGCAGTAGAGGCGGCATGGGTTACAGGAAGGTGGGAGAGCCTTACCAAATTCACTCAACGATTTCGCGGCGACCCTATTGAAGACTTCAACATCTCGATCGCGACCCTTTTCGAAAAGCTGAGGGCTAAAGACAAGCCTAAAGAGCTCATTAAGATAATGAAGGATATAAGAGTCAAAATTTCATCATCGATGAACGCTGCATCCACCTCATCGCTACAAGCCTGTCATGACCTCCTTCTTAAGTCACATGTTCTTACGGACGTGGAAATCATAATAGGAACAAAAGCGGGTGACGAAGTCGCCCGCCAAAAGACAGCAGCCCTGCTAGAAAGGAGACTCGAAATTATAGGTGCATACATGAACGACAAGCAATATCTTCTTGGTATTCGCCGTGCCACCATGGAGTTGACTAGGTAAGATACATTGCACAGGAGCTATCGACAGCCCATATACTTACCAATACAGACCTACATTCACTGACCTAGACATTTCTGGACTATGGCTCTCGAGTTCACGCCTTGCACGGAAGTCGAACTCGCTTCATCAGTCCTTTAACGCTATTCTACACGCTTCGAAGCTGGGCGATGATGCGGCTACTATTGAGAATGCCAAGCTTCTTTGGAGAGAAGATCAGCACCGAAAGGCAATACAGGTTTTGCAGGGAGCAATTAAGAGCAACAAGTTCATGACACAAACAGGGACAGCAACCAGCACAAGTTCAAGCAAGTTGAGCCCACAACAGAAGCTCTTGACGGCTAGGGCGCAGCTGCTGCTTGCCAAATGGCTTGATAGCGCTGGGCAGACGCACGCCGGTGCATTGCGTGAAAAATATCAGCAGCCACCCAAGACCTTGTCGACTTGGGAAAAGGGACATTATTACCTTGGCCGTCACTACAAGAAGATCCTCGAAGCTGAAAAGCCGCTCAAAGCCGATGACCAGAGCGACAACTACATCACCGGTGAAGTCGCTAGACTCGTCATCGAGAACTATGTCCGTTCACTTAACTCGGGCACCAAATATCTTTACCAGACTCTCCCACGAATTTTGACTCTCTGGCTTGACCTTGGTGCCCAAGTAGACAGAGCACCAGAAGGGAAAGCATCGCTATCTCGCGAGCTCCACCGAAGACGTGTTGAGCAGCTCAATCTTTTGCACTCTTTTCTTGACAAATACATCCATAGGCTGCCGGCGTACATCTTTTATACAGCTTTGCCACAGATTGTTGCACGCATCGCCCACCCCAACTCGAACGTTTTCGACCGGCTGACACATATCATTGCCAAGGTCGTGGAAGCTCATCCTCGGCAAGCGCTTTGGAGCCTTATTGGCATCATGACAACAAGACAAGTGTCGGAAAGAAAGGCACGAGGCACTCAGATCCTTCAGACTCTCAGGAATATATCGAAGAAGGTTGAGGGCTCTACGACCGATTTCAAACACCTGCTCAGGATGGGAGAGAAATTAGCCGAACAGCTGCTTCTTGCATGCCAAAACGGAGACTTCCGGGGCAACAAGACTGTTCATGCCAGCCTGGGTAGAGATCTTCGATTCAATCATAAATGTACTCCATGTCCGTTGGTCGTGCCTGTCGAGAGCTCTTTGACGGCAACGTTACCGGCTGTATCAGAGTATGTTAAAAAACACAAGGCATTTTCTAGAGATGTTGTTACGATTGACTCCTTTCTGGATGATGTGCTCGTGCTGAGCTCGCTGGCTAAGCCAAGACGACTCACAACACGAGGGAGTGATGGCAAAAGCTACATGCTTCTCATCAAACCCAAGGACGACTTGCGAACTGACCAGCGTCTTATGGAATTCAATGGATTGATCAATCGGTCGTTGAAACGAGATGCGGAATCCAGCCGGAGACAGCTTTACATTCGAACATATGCTGTAACGCCACTCAATGAGGAGTGCGGAATCATTGAATGGGTTCCAGGAATCAAAACTATGCGAGACATTCTCATCAATCTTTATGCGTCCCGAAAGATTTACCCCGACTACACCGTTCTGAAGCAACTCATGGATGAAGCATGTTTATCAGACGGCAAAACCAGGATATTTACTGATGAGGTCCTGGGGAGATTTCCTCCGGTACTTCAGTTGTGGTTCACGCAACAGTTCCCTAGTCCGTCAGCGTGGTTTGCTGCGCGTTTAAAATACACACGGTCGTGTGCTGTCATGTCTATGGTAGGCACCATCCTAGGCCTTGGCGATAGACATGGTGAGAACGTGAATTTGGAGGAGGGCAATGGTGGAGTATTTCACGTCGATTTCAATTGTCTCTTTGACAAAGGTCTGACATTTGCCAAACCTGAAAGAGTGCCGTTCCGACTTACCCACAACATGGTGGCTGCGATGGGTATATACGGTTACGAAGGACCATTTCGCAAGTCTTGCGAGCTGACTCTGAGCATTCTTCGTCAGCAAGAGGAGACTCTGATGACAATTCTAGAGGCTTTCATCTACGACCCAACGTTGGATCTACAAAAGGAGAAACGAGCACATCGGCGAGGAGATGTGGGCGTCAAGCTGCAGCCTCAAAGCGTTGTAGACAGTATCAAGCGCAAAGTCAGGGGTTTGCTTCCAACTGAAAGCATTCCTTTGGGCGTTGAAGGCCAGGTGGAGGAATTGATCAAACAAGCGGTTGATCCAAGAAATTTGGCTGCAATGTATATAGGCTGGTGTCCGTTCCTGTAAACCAGAACAAAGAGAGAAATACGTCAAGAGGCACGTTGCAGGTGAAAAGAGGAAGAAAAGCTTAGAATTGTTCGCGCTTATAACAATCAGAGTCATTCACAAGATAAAAAAGTAAAAATCCCAGGTCATTCTATTTGCTATTCCTTTTTTTCATTTTCTTTCTTTATTTAGCAACGTTCGTAACTCCCTTATTGGTTGTAACCTTCCACATGTAGGTATCGTTCCAGGCGGAAATCTGGGGAAGAAGGAGCCATGCCACCACTCCTGCATGCTGGGGACGCGTTGGTCGCGCGCACCGCACCGCACCGTACTTCCCCAACGCTGAGCTGGCAGCACTTCCCACCTTCACTCACTCATCTCACCTTATCGCACTTTTTCTGCTTTGTTTTTATTCGCAGAGCATCAGAAGGAGCTCAGGTATATAATCTCTCGTTCCTTTTACGAAAAAGATATTTCTTCTAGTATCAGTCGTTCCAACAGCCATTTTCTTTTCCCCACTTCCTTGCGAACGCGCAACAAGCTATCCAGAGCCAAAGCATTACTTGCATTCTTCGTTTTTCTCACTCTACCACTCTATTCGACGCTCGAATTTTCGTAGCATACCTTCTACTACCGCCAAGATGGGTGAATATCGTATTGGTAAGGCCCCAAAAATATCCCCGTTCCTCATGATCGCGTTACGATGCAGCACCTCTGTTGTCTGCTCTGCTGAGCAGTTCGCTCACATTGTATTAGAGTTATCCCCCAACAACCGCGCCACGTGCAAGGACTCTGAGTGCAAGAAGAACGGCGAGAAAGTCACCAAGGGCACTCTGCGTTTTGGTAGCTATGTCGTCATCAAAGAACATGGGAGCTGGTCATGGAAACATTGGTAAGTATCTGTAATTCATCAGCTATGCTGATAGTAGATCGCTGATACTAAGGTGCCTATCAGGGGATGTGTCTCTGGTCAACAGCTAGAGAATGTCCGTGAACTGTGCCAGCAAGGTGATGGCTCCTTCGATTGTGACCTCATCGACGGTTACGATGAGCTTGGGTGAGTTTTGGCCTCCTTTTTATATCCGTGTTATCCTGACATAGATAGCGAACACCCTGACGTGCAAGAGAAGGTCCGCCGCTGTGTCAACCAGGGCTTCATTGACCCTGAGGATTTCAAAGGGGTATGTATAGAGTTCTGTATCAACGGTTGCAGTGATTGACATCATTCAGGACCCAGAGAAGAACAAGCTTGGTGAGAAGGGCATTCACTTGACTGAAGCACAGAAGAAGAAGAAGGCCGCCGCTGAGGCTGTGAGTCCTGAGCATGTATACACACTGTTGATGATTCTAACACCTTTCAGGCCGCCACAGGAGATGAAGAGAAGCCCAAGGCCAAAGGCAAGCGTGGACGCAAGAAGGCTGCCGATGATGAGGACGATGAGGACGAGCCGCAGCCCAAGAAGGCTCGAACATCCAAGACTGTCAAGGCGGATGAGGAGGAGGAGCCTGCTGCTAAGCCGGCCCGTGGCCGCAAAGCTGCAAAGGTCAAGGATGAGAGTGAGGATGAGACTGCTGCCTCTGCTCCTGCTCCTGCTCCTGCCAAGAGAGGACGCAGAGCTTCAGCTCAGAAAGCAAAGGACGAATCCGATGCTGAGGAGAAACCTGTTCCTGTCAAAAAGGGACGAAAGGCGGCCACTAAAAAGGTAAAGAATGAAAGCGATGATGAAGTTCTCGCTCCTGCTCCTGCCCCTGCTAAGCGAGGGCGAAAGGCTGCTACCAAGAAGGCGGCTACCCCTGAGGAGGAAGATGTTGCGGTTGAGGAAGAGGAGCAAGAGAAGACCGCGCCAAGGACCAGAGCTCGCCGCAGCCGTTCCAGCAAAGCTTGATTGACGCTTTCGTTTCCGACAGCGGGTACGGCATGAGTACCTAAACTGTGTAGATCGCAGGAAAGATTATGATATTTTCATTTGTTGTCATTGTTGAGATCTTGGGATTGGGTCACTGAAGGATGTGTTACACCTTGTTTCAGAACTCTTTGCGATTACTACGACTAGTGGGCAAGGGTCATTTCGTGGAAGTGGATGGTTTAGCTGCGCATACATGATAATCAGGGCAAGCAATAATTGAGTCGTTCTATCACTGAGGGTCCGTGACGTGTGCGGCTCTGACAAGGCGTGGTCCCAATGCCCAGGTAGGTTCTCTTGAGCCAATCATGGAGTCTGGAACTCAACAGAATTGGTGGCAGAAGTCAGCAGACATACATGAGGTACCGGTAGTGTATTTAGTAGATTCAGCTCCGCCAAGTTCATATTTACATCAAACTAAAATAGCAACTGTGGATGGGCCATGATGCTGCCCAGGTGTCAGGTGTCAGGTGCCAGGCTTCTTTGACTCAAATCCACAATGGAAACAGTCGACTATTTTGGCAGCCCAGTGGATAATCTCATGCAGGTCCCATCAAGGAGCATTTGCTCAGCTGCCGTCAGGATAAGACATGGGCTGGCTGGGCTGGCTTGTGTTTGTTCCCCACAGACGGCGTGTTGCCGCTACGGAGAGCGAGGGGCATAACAGCATCCATTGCATCCATCGGGATGACGTTGCTCAGAATGACGTCGTCGATTCGTCACACATCACGATGCTGAATCAGTGTCGACTACGGCGGGGTTCACAACACGATGGAATATAAATAAACTTCTCTGCACTCAACAGAGTCTCGCCCTCTTCATCTTCAAGCATCAGCCACAGCTAACCTCCAAGACACCTCAAACACTTCAACACCACAAACAAACCACCACAAAGACATCACAATGCCTCGCAACGGAGACGGTTCTTCTGACAACGGCCCTTTCGAGGCTGTCGACCACAACATCGCCCACGGTGTTGGCAAGCCTGACGTAAGTTTGTTCCTCCAAATCATCACATCGTTGATTTTGTTTAGCTGACTAACCTCCTCACTTCAGTCTGACCGTGTCGACCGCGCTGACAAGACCGCTGACCTCCCCGAGGGCAAGGACGAGCATGGCCAGGGTCTCCAGGATGCTCCCGCCAGCGGAGGCCAGAGCCAGGGCATCAAGCAGGGCAAGGATGTCGGACAGGGCAACTAGAAGCACAGATCTTGACGTCTGGGAGGGAATGAGAGAACAGAGGATGAAAGATACCTAATGACTGCATGGGAAAGTGAGTCAACGGCGACCACAACGAAGTGAATATAAAGAAATGAACCACAACACATGTTTGCGAGTTCCATGCTATTGATGCTGTGATTGATGTGGGCGGATACGTGAACTCGCTGAGTCTGTAAGTCGTCCCCCGCGCTGGTGCTTCTGCAGATGCAAACTAAGTCTGGTCCAGGATGAAAGCTCATAACCAAGGGTCAGTGTGACCAATTGGTGCCGATGTGGACCTTGCAAGTTCATCTCGGGTGTAAACAAACTTGACAATTACACTTCAACAATTCCAATGGGTCGATCGTCCAAGTTTTTGTTACGCCAGCCAGGGCCATTCGGGATCATAGCAATGCTCTCGGCCAATTGAGTTTCGGGTGGAGGAACCGTACTCCCAGAAGAGTCTAACCCAACATTGATCTGCAAGACATCGAGATCGAAGAGATACCCGGCGGGGAAATTCATTTTCGACCACAAACACAAGATATATTCTACAACAGTAGACCAGCCTGCAACAATAACACATGAGTGGATCTTCAGGTCCTGTTCATCGGTCTGGTGGTCTAGTGGTATGATTCTCGCTTAGGGAAAACCCTACAGCATAGCTTGCGAGAGGTCCCGGGTTCAATCCCCGGCCAGACCCTTAACTTTTGGTGTTTTGTCCCTGGTGGATTTCGCTTTTGTGTCGCCATGTTCTTCTTTCTTCTTCGTTGTTGCTGCTGGTACGGTGGCCATCTTCTTTTCAATACAACAGGTCTTGAGAACTGGGCATAGTGGTCTAGGCTTTATGTTTAAGTCTCTGCTTATGCTTTAATATCAGTCAGCCTTGAACTATATCATACATAACCTCATATATCCCTTTTTTTTCAAGGCCGTCAATGCTCCAGGAGCAGGTTACATATTTGGGATACTTACCTATCTTATCTTGAATCTGTCGCGTGATAAATTACCTATAACTGGTGGTGAAGTTGACCGTTCCCGTTACGGATTAGAGTGGCTGCTCAGGGTGTGATTCGTTGAGCTTAAATCAGCCTTATTTCATAATTCCAGTGCAGGTGAACGATGCCATGTGTTAGACTACGGAAATGAAGGGATATATCAGATAATTACCAAAGAGAAGTTCTTGTGCGTTGACTACCATGGAGCTCAAACTCAGTCTACCTCTTATCCTCACGACACAAGTAACAACAGTCCATAATGGTTACCTCCTCGCGTCTTGATTCACGACCACCCCTCGTTGCTATCAGTCTCCTCAGTGGGATCGTCGCGTGAACGTGTCTCTCTTGTTTCTTTTGCCCGCATCCCCCTTGGTCTTCTCTTTCTTCTTGTCTTTGTGTACACCTTGTTTTTTGTCTTCTTTATTGTTGTTCCTGGTGCATCTCTTCGACATGCGGTGTGTTGAGGATGAGGTCTTGCTGTTGCCAACGAGTTCAGGCATGAGTCGTATCCAATCTTGAATTCTTCTCTGAGCATCATTATTGTACCGCTGCTCTTTGGCGCTATGGTAGATCATATCCTCAACTGACAAGACCTCTTGTTTGCCATACAAGACACCTGGTTCTCTCATATGACTGTGATAGGTGTTGGGTTGATAATGAGCGTAGAAAGGGCCTGGCAGTCCTTGACCTACCCCGCGGCTCTGTAAGTATGTGCCGTCAGGCTATATACACGATCAGTAAGTGATCTCAAGGTATCGACTACTCGACTGTCTACTTACAACATTGACATTATCCTGGGATTTGCAGAAATATCCAACCGGCTGCGTGTTGACCCTCGGAGCAGGCTGGCAATCACAGTCGCAGGTACAGCATGGACCGCCTGGATCACAACTCCAATCAGATAAGGATTTCAAACTTCTAGTCTCCCAACAGACATCAGGTCTGTTAAAAATATGGCAGGTTCTGAATGCTTGTTCCTGGTAGTTTTCGTAAAACTGGTTTTGTGCTGTGCCAATAAGATAAGGCATTTTGACCCAATCGTCGATGTCTGCAATTCCCTGGACCATGTTGAGATGGATGATCTCTTCAGTACAGTACAGCATGTAGCGGAAGAGATAGACGAAGAAAGGAAAGCTAACTTAATAAAAGCATATATAGAAGTGATTTAAATTTGGCATCATGCTCTAAGTACATATCCTCTATACTTCCAACACAATATTAAGCACAAGCACATATGCTGTACAACGATAAACATCTTTCTTAGATCAAAGAGCAGCTTGCCAAAAACCCCATTGGCATAGAATCGCATAAAGAGTACTACGACAGACTGCAAGAAACTTGCTGCGCTTGATGTGTAGCTACCCTTATGTGTTTCAATACAGCTTCCCGATCTCTAAACAAAGAAGCAAAATGCTTATCCGCCGCTGATACTCTCTGTAGAACAATGCCCCATGCCCTCAAGCGAAAGGAAAACGATAGCCAACCCGAATATGTACCAAACGCCTGAGATATTGCGCCATAAAATGCTGCCTGTGCAAGGTGATACAACCACATTTGCTTGTTGCTCGACAAGTCGACCTAACGCAACTTCAAGTCAACTTCCGATAGTTTTAAGCCTTTAAGTGTTTGCTGAATTAGAAATCCCTGACATGGTTTGACTTCCTGGTGCGCTCGTTGAAATTTATGATGTACTGGAGTTGGGTGCCCCTTCGCGGAGATTCCTCCGTAACTCAGCAATGTCATCCATGCCCTCAAGGCTTCCTTTGCGGCCCCAGTTCTTGGGCTTCCTTTTAAGGAATGCGCCAACTGCTCCCAGATAACCCTCATGACGGAGGAAATAAGCCTGCTTCTCCCCCTTACTCCAGAACTTGATGGCATAGCTTAGTGTGTTAATGGTCTGACGATGGCCTCTGATGAAGGAACCACCAAAATAAATATTGGACAGATTGTGAATTTGGGACTGCAGGTAGGCGATCTGGCCAATATTGTTTGAGATGGCATAAAGGAGAGAACGCGAAACGTCTGCGCTGTTGAAGGATGCGTCTTCCGGCGTGGTAGATCTGCCATCTTCGGCTGCTGATTCAGCCTCTCTCTTCATACGAAAAACTTTACCAAAGGACGAAGCGATTGTTGTGCTCTTGAGTCCTATCTTGCCATAGTCTGTTCCATAGATGTCGCCAACTAGCATATCGACGTTGGCGTTGTCACCGTGAGCGGCTTGTTCAAGCATCTCGTCAAAAGTCCGCGCGCCAGTGAGCAGAGACAAGAGACCCCAGAGAGTACCACCACCAAGCGATGTACCTCCGACTCGCTGATATGATCGTGGCCCAGTAACTTTCAGGAACGAGACACCTGAGCCGATATTTACAAGCAGATAAGGATATATATTATCCTGTGGCACGACGAAGTGCATGGGGTCTGTTTCGGAATAGGTAAAGACCTCACGGGGGATCTCGGTTATAAAAAAGTCGAGTCCTAGAAGAACTGTCAATTAAAACGTCCTTGATAGCGAGCAGAACCGCTCACCAATGATGAGACATTCCATCTCATCCTCTTGCGACACATCCACTTCGAGTGCGGCTCGAATTTTGTCATAATACTTGTATGCGCCACCACCAGTCGCCATTACACACAACTCTCCCGGTTGTGAGCCATTGACAAGTTGGTTATCACGCAGATGTCGCATGAACTCCACACAGTCATCAATGCGATCTGTTTCGAAGCTTTGAAAGTTCAGTCGGCCGCCGGGATCCGTAGAGTCAACTTCGCGCGAGAAGTAAACGAGCTTTATAAGCGATCCGCCAATCTGCAACGACACTCACCGCGTCAGCCATCGCTTCCCTTCTTGTGATTCAGAACGGATATACGTACGTCAATCGCAATATGGCTCACGATCGCAGTGTGGTATGGTAACCGGATGTCGCTCGTTTCGGGGTGCGTCGGGCTCACTCGGCCGTTATGTGATGTGGCACCGCCCGCGCTTGCGCCAGAGGCAGAGGCTGGCGTCGCCGTATCGGGGTCGACGATGAAAGCGCCTTTGACATTGATTCTGACACTGCCAGGGCGGATAATGGTGCTGTCTATTTCATCGGTCGACGTCATGGTACGGCGGCGCTTGTGGTCCAAAGGATGCGCCGGAGCTTGGAGTTCTTGCGCAATCGCATCTTCGTGTTCCGAAGCGGGAGTCATAGCGTGGTTATGTCTCTCGTGCCACGCTCGATGGACGTTCGAGAGGATAGAGGGGGTAAATAAGGTAGATAGTGGAGATGGTTCGAGTTGAACGGCCGGGGAGCAGATTGCCAATACCCGCGCAGAGTTATTGCATAGCCTGGTTTATGATGATATATACGGGGACGGCAACAGACTTGAACGTATATTCGAAATATGAAATGGGGAGAACAAGGAATGGGGGAGATGGGCAAGGAGGTCAGAGCTACCTTAACATATAATAAATCGCTATGGAGGGGCTCTAATAATCGGATGGGGAAACTTGAATATTACAATGGGGTCGACCCTTTATCGATAGTGGTCGTTCATCATTTTAGTCCTCCAAAAGCCGGTGGGCCGAGGCTCCGGATTGCCTGGGGAAAGCTCCCCAGAAAATACGGATACAGGGAGTCAAAATGTACGTATTCGCTCAACAAAGATACATGCGAAATTGGCTCCTTTCCTCCGATTCCTCGTCAATTGTACTCTGTTGAGAAGATCTACAATTGAAGGGCATCGCATTGGCCTCTTATGCGCATTCTTATTCGGAGGTTTTTTTTTTTTTCTGCTCACGGTGAGACGCAATGCAAGTGTTCTTACTCCCGCATCATAATGCACGAGTTTGACAGTCCCGATGGCCCGGCTATGGAGGGGTCATGACTTGATGCCGAGCTTGGCTACCTGAATTGCCGTCGGCTTTAATAAACGGAACGGAGCGGCATTCAAGGATACAGTCTTCAAGAGCGGTCGTTTTTCATCTCTTATCAACTATGGTGTCAATTATAAGCAATGTCGATACTGTTTTAGACAAAATTGCCCGCAGCAAAATGTACCCGAGAATCTCCTAGACACTCCCCTCAAACGCCCACATCCACAAACAAGTAGGGTATCCGCAGCTGAGATCATAGCAAAGGCCAATACAAGAAATTTAAAGGAGGCTGTTAAAATATTGCCATGGGGCAGTGTAGCCCTTTTGTCACGGCAGGAACAGAACGAAGCTCTCTGGGCGATCAAAAGAAATGGCCTCCGGGAACAGCAACAAAGATAGCTGTGACGATGCCGCCCAGGAGAACTGAAGCGAGTATTGCCTGGACAAAGATGGTGTCTTGAATCTGTCGCAGTGCTGGCTCCTGAATCCAGACCTCGCGGTCGAACACTTTGCGGACAACATTGCGCTTTTCGTACTTGACGACCCAGGGTTCATCCTCGTAGCTGTTTTGAGATCCGAACGAGTCAAAACTCTGCTTCTGCGCATCTTCCATGTTCTCGCTGTCCACAAACAGTTCCCACGGCCTGACATGGCGGTGATGCATCCCATGCAGAACAACACACATGCCCTTATAGGCCGCAACAAGTGTGCTTATGCCAAGAACAAGGGCTATGGCTGCCAATGCCCGGTATCCTCGGCCAGCGTTGCTCAGCGTGAGAATGAGCCCAACAACGATGCCTGCGGCAATCAGTCCAACGCCCAGCGATCGAGCGAAGAACACGCGGGCAGGGTTTCCATTGCAGATAGACCATCGGATGAAGTTGGGATGAGCTTGGTGCCGAAGGCTTGAATCAACAGTCTTGAAGACGCTTCGAAAAGCGCTAGGGTGAGTTGTCTTGGAGAGCGCTACAATGACCGCCTTCTGTTCAGAGGAGGATAGGTTCAGTTGCCGAGGTGCACCTTCCATTATATATGTTGAGATCACTCTGTTGATCTCTTCTCGAAATGGCTGGATCGTGACTGGTAAGGGGTCAGCGATTCAGAAGTCGTTCCAGGAGCGGGATAATTGACTTACAAGGCTGTTGCGCTCCAGCCATCTTGAAGGCGTCAGATGCTTGGCTCTGATGACTCATTGCATTGAGTGACTTCATTGTGCAAGAGGCTGTATAAATCGAGGAATCGTCCCCTTTGCTGCTTTGAGGGGGTGTTGCGAAGGGGTCAACAGCGCTCATGTTCCGGTCCTGGCTGCCGGCCTTCTTCTCAAAGTCGCTACCTTTAAAGATGGCCGCTGCCTCAGGCTCTTTTCGCATCTTATCTGATTGTTCCTTTCTAATCTTGATAACAGCTTCGTCCTGCATGGCCCTAGTCCACTCGGGAGCGAGCTTGACATCTGTTGTTGGATTCGCATTAAAGCGCTTTTCATAGTCCTGGAACCAGAGATAGAACTGGAGATTCTCGGCAGCATGCTCCACGTAGATAAGGTAGGTCATGAAATCACGGACAGTCATAGGCTTAATGTCCAGTTAGTAGGCTGATGAATGGTGAATTCAAGAAAAGTGCTCTTTACTAACCGGGCATGTGCCACCACCAATGATCCTGTCAAAAGACAGCGAGTCTGGTATTCCAGTGGAGGAACGAGAGGAGCTGGAATTATCCGTAGCATCGGATTTTTCCGCGTCGGACAGCGAGTCGCTGCTCGAAGTGTTGCGGAATGGTTGATGGCTTACATACTTTGGGCGCGTGTAAGAGAGCGAAAGAAGACCCATGCTGAATGAGATAATATGAGAACTAGTGTGAGATTCAATGATTGATGAGAAGGGGAAAAAAGGACTTGACGACTGCAAATGGCCTATAAGTCGCACAGGTCAACCAAAAGTGAGGGGATAGTGTGTGGTTTAAATAACTTCATGAGCGAGAATGACATCCCAGTGTAGAAGAAGCCTCTTGGTCGTCATGGATAGCCTGTGGCGGACTAAGAAGCAAACACAAGTGACAAATCGTCCAGGGGGTTGCCAGGAAATCGGGGCACCACGATACCCAAATACGTTAGATTTGTAGACAAGCCGTATCAACGTCGAAGTTCGCCTGCCAGTAAGAGCAGCCCAGAGCATCCTGTAAGAGGAAGCATAGCTGGGCGATCCTAGAAAGCCGTCGGCAACGAACTATGCGCCCATAAACTTAATCCTTTTATGGGATGGCCATGGCCTGCGATTTCGTGGCCTCCCCAGGAACACGGACGGTAAGCACCACAACCGCTGGGAATCAGGGAAGATCGTAGGCGGCTGAATGGGTTGCACAACGTCTTTGGCTTGTTCAGCTCGCCCACCTTTCGCACTGACCTTCAACTTATCGATTCACCATCACACCAACATGTTTGGCTGAAACGTGGTCGCCCACCTACATTGTAGGCATGATCGCAAGAGTCGCATAAACAGCTAATTAAAAAGGCTCATCCAGCTGAAGTTCTCTTCTTGGTAGGTAGTCGTGTAAGTAGATCGGATGAACTTCCGAAGCAAGGATGAGCCTGGCACTTGATTTTCGGTTAGTAGATCTTAGTGGGCGTCTGGACTTGATCCATGATCCAGAAGATCTTGCTGGCGGCGGAGGATCAGAACCAAAACGACATGGTCGACGGTCTGAAGTTACACCTAGGTTAGGTGTGGCTTCGCACAAATACTGGGCCTGAGCCCGCCCAGATTGCTGGGAGAAGAAGCGGATTGTTCTCGGCTTGTATCCTTCTCAGGTAAGGTAATTTAGGTAACCATGCCTTTGTCCGCCACAAAGGGCATAGAGTGAGCGGCAGGTATCCTTGCCGCCTCTCTGGTCACTGAAGTGAGGAATGTGTAGCTGAAGTCTCTTGCTTGCGGCTGGCGCTAGATTCACGATCGTCGGGCAACCCGTGAAAACGGTCCATGCCATTGACATCGACATCGAGGGCTGATTTTTGCTTTGGTGAAGCACATCTGAGCAGGAACAGCTTGAACAAGGTCAAGGGCTAGTCCTGAGCTAGCCAAAGCCAACGGAATTGGATAGCTTTAGTGGCCCACTTACGAGACGCGCGACGAAATTTGACAAGTCAATTCCCCAGTGGAAGATCGCTGCTAAATGACGGACAGATACCTGTGTAGTGTCCCGTCCCCTGCCCCTGCCCCTGGACCTTGTCGCCGAGTCTTCGGTAATCTGGGCAAACATAACCTAAACGAGCGTTTCTCCGAGACAGCAGCAATTGATTATTCAATGCATGCGAGGATAATGTCTTGGAATGTAATGAGGCATACTTCTTGTTGAAGACTCCGGCCTTTTTGCTCAATCGAAACTCGAGTCCATCAATCCCGTTTTTCAAAATCACGCCTCGTTTGAAGATGTCAAGTTTGCAACAAGCTAATCTTCCTAATTGACTACTGTGAATTCATCCCTTGCTGTAATAATGACGTACAGGAAACAGAGTGTTGATATAATGGAGGGTGCTTTGGGCCAACTGTGGCTGGCTCGCATTGAGGTGCGTGCATGGATTTATTGATACCGTGACCTTGCCAGCCATTGTCCTGGAAGTGATAGGTCATGCAATTGCTTTTCTCACTCATGACTCTATTCTTGAAGAAGAATCATATGCGGTACAGACTGCCTAGTCAGTCTCACATTGCTCGGGTGGCATTTGTCGTACCTTGTACGATACAACCCTGTTCGGTGCTATATTCACACCGGAAAGAAGCTGTTTGCAGCTCCAGCTGAACCATTCGACGTGTGTTGTTTAAATTATACGGTATGCGTGTTTCGCCCTAAGCTAACATCGTTGGAAAACACTTCCGTAACAATGGAGTCTCAAATGACTGGGATTCAAAGGTTGTGCCGGATACAATTTGCTCCTATTTCTTGTGGAGTACGTGAACAAGTCAGGATGCTTTCATCAGCATCCGTATCCCAGCCACTAAAATTTATCAACGAAAGAAAATTCAACAACTGATAAATGTAAAAATCATGGAACTGATTTCCGAGCTATCCATAGTATGCATCATGGGCCTTTGTCATCTCTTCAGATAGCCCTCCCTGCTGGGCATGTTCTCCCCTCAAGTGTTGTCGACCCTGCCAAAACCTCTCCCTATCCCCCAGTATTTCATTTGCCCATGCCTTTCCAGCTTCAGTTCGTAACTTCCGGGCAACTCCCATGAACTCGCCCAGATCTTTTTCTTTCTTACTCTCCCTTTCGTACTCCACTGCTTGTAAAAGGAGCTCGATTTTGTCAATGTCCTGGGCAAACTGAGCCTCCGGAGTTTCACCAGCTTCGAATTCATGCCAAAGCTTTTCAATCTCGGCAGTGTATGGTCCAGACCATCGATTAGAAATGTACGCGATGGTTGAGGCCTCTCTTCTACCCTTTTCAGTCCTGGAGACGCCACTGAAAGGGGTAATATCGCCCACGACAGATTCCGCAATGTCGTGAACAAGGCACATCTTCATGCACTTGGCTTGGTCAAGTTCCTGGGGTGCAAACATTGCTACCATGCCCATTCGATAAGAATGATCTGCAACCGACTCGGGACTGTTAACTTGTGAGCCCATCGGTAAACGATACTCAGAAATAGCGTGCAACCTACTTGATTCCGTGTCTCTTCCAGCCTTCGCGCTTTGTTGTCTTGAGGGCGCCAAGAAGATGGAAAAAGGAGATAGGGGAATCTGATATATTAACTAGGTCATTGTGACTCAAGGCTTTCTCGACCGTCCATGATTCGCCGTTCTCTGAACATTGGTCGTCAGTACCACTTCGTAAGGTACTTGGGAAAGATATATATACCTGAGCCGGCAATTGGCTTCTCTAAACTTTCTCTAGACATTTGGTTGGTGTTTGATGATATTCAGGGCTTGTTTCTAGCAGGATGAATTCAAATATCGACGTTGTTGGTTCCCCCGCTCCGGGATGCTTCGGTCCGTGTGCCAATCAATGTTGAAACCTGGCAAGCATCTTACCATGTCGTTGGCTGGCAATTGACCAGCAGACAGGGTATACTTTTCATTCATTGGGCATCTATGAATGGCAAAAGCAAGTGATCTAACAATGGCAGATTTCCATGACTGATGCAACTCAGAGCAGATATTCCGTCACTATTGCACATATTATTCAGTAGTTTATGCCAGTCAACGCATTATCCCTCAAGCTCACCATGCGATCCGGCAATATTCTACGTAACCACAGGAGGAGGAAAGCAAAGTAGAATGGGATTGATTACTTTCATAAGTTACCCATTTGACTCAGAGGATAAAAGGTAACAAAAACAAGTGCTCAGGCCCAGGGTGATAGGTAAAACCAACACCTGAGATAGGTTTACAAGCCCGCTTACAACCGTTATGGCAGCCGTTCGGAATGTTTTGAGTATTGAACTTAATAACAATGTCCAATTAGCAGTTTGTCGACGAAGGAGTCAAGAATCTGCGTCTTGATATATTTCAGGGTGGTTCAATTCATCGACTGTCGTGGTTCTGTTCTGGAAATGGTCCAGCGGCTGCTGCCAATTCAATGACCCTTTTCCATCAGCAAAAACAGCAGTACTCATGTGATACTGGCTTGATATAACAGTTTGACTGGAAGTTAATTGCTCCCATTCCCAGATATTATGCTACGTGTGGCTCTGCGCCTCCCCATTGACTTGTATGGGCTGAGATGCTTGATGTAGTTGAGTAAATTATACATAGTGATTCATTGAATATTCTTAGAAAACTCTATACATGGCTCACACCAGACAAGACTGGCGATTTCGCCATCAAAGAAGTCAACTGATGTCGTGGCTACGAGTTTGACGATCTCGCACATAGCTATACTTTAATGACACAGGTATACATCCACGGATATGAACCTTAACCACACCGGGGACTCTCATGGTTTGACAGTTGGGTGACTTTATTTGTGACACAAAAGCAACTGTTCCGCAACACAAAGGGAAGCACACGCATTGACTTGTTAGTCTGGTTGTCATCAGTAATCATAGTATCGTTTAAACTCATCACTGCTGTGTGACCGTTTGGAATCATAATATGCAACCACCTGAACTTCCTGTAAATCATCGTGTTCCCTGAGGTTAATAATCTTATCAGATTCTGAATTGGATGACAAATGTTGCGCCGACTGGCATCTCGCTTGCCGAAGCTGGCGCCGAGCCTCATTTGGACATCATCGTGAAAGTGGACATCTGGAGGATGCGTCATAGTTAGAGAACTAAACATGTGATGAGGATCTCATCTTATTAATAGAGCACCGACTTTTTTTCTAACATGATTCCAAATGGACCCTAGGAAAAAACTGGTCTCTATCATCAAGGTGCTGCGTATCTCAATACCATTGCGGCTTGAGTGGCCGATAGCGGTTCCACCGTGGCCGTGTCGAACGCGCCGACCGCTTTCCGAGGATCCCCACAGGTCTTCACTGACCTCATCAGGACCCTCTTCACGCCAATGCCGTTTGATTCTCCGATTGACCTCCGAAAGACTGAGAAGCGGCGGGGTACCTAGCGAGTCGTAGGCTGCCTAAGGGAAAGAGCGGCACTGTCTACATGCGGAAGGCAAGGACGATATAACTTCTACAGATTCCCTCGAAATTGGGCGTGATTCAGTCTCTCTTCCTCATACTTCGATACACGTCTTCTTCTGCTCTTGCCCAACTTACACTTACACACACAAAAACTTCTTAGCTAAAGCCAAAATGTCTGAGCTTAAGGCCGGTGATAGCTTCCCGGAGGGTGTCTGGTTCAGCTACATCCCCCCCTCGCCTGAAACCTCTGAGTTCACTACTTGTGGTACACCTGTCCCTTTCAACGCCAGCCAAGGTATGTGATCTCACATTCATGTCTCGTCTAGAATTCGAGCATGCTGACGTCGCTCAATACAGAATTCAAGAACAAGAAGGTCGTTCTTGTCTCTATCCCAGGTGCTTTCACACCTACTTGCTCCGGCTCTCACATTCCTTCCTACTTGGAACACGTCGACAAGATCAAGGCCAAGGGCGTTGATCAGGTCATTGTCATTGCTGTCAATGACCCCTTTGTCATGAGCGGCTGGGCCAAGGCCAACGGTATTACCGACGACAAGATCGTGAGTTTCTCTTTAATTCAACAAGCCAGCATCACAATATTAACTTGACCAGCTCTTCATGTCCGACAAGGATGCTAAGTTCTCCCAAACCATCGGCTGGAATATCGGTGAGCGAACTGGACGCTTTGCGATTATTGTCGACCAAGGCAAGGTCGTGTACGCTGCAAGGGATGAGGAGCCTGGGAGCATCGAGAAGTCCGGTGCCCTGGGTGTACTGGCCCAGCTGTAATTGAAGTTGCATTGCAATCCACCAAAGGAATAGAATATAGACATGAAACATGAAGGATGATGATAGATCGACGCGCGTTCACTTCGAAGCATCCGAAAATGACCTTGGTCTGAAACGTTTTTTTCTTTCTTTTTCTTTGCGAAGCCTGTTCTCGTATCATAAGGCATTTTGTCGTTAAATCTACCAAAACATGTTGCTAGTACCCTGATCGACGCCATGACTTATTTACCTAGCCACCATACGATTGGACAGCCCGTGTTCATCACGGCACAAAAAAGATGCGGTTTTTGTTTGACCATTTTGCATTGCTCAGCTATCAATGCACCCTATTGGCAATCCATGCACCCGAGATTGTAGAAGAACCGGCCGGACAAAGACACAAGAACCACGGACTCCACTCTCCCATTTTCATCCTCCCTCAAAGTCCATTCCTAACTTAACGGGTCTTGGCCTGAACCTTGGGGGCAGAGCCCTTGGCACCCTGCTTGCTGACTTGTCGGACAGCCTGGCCCTTGGAGGCCTGGGCAGCGAGCTTAGCCTTCTCGGACTTCTTGGCAGCAGCGTCGGCCTGCTTCTTCTCCTTGCTCTCCTTGATGGCCTGGGCTCGGGCAGCGGAACGGGCCTCGGGTCGGATGTTGCGCTTCTCCTTGATCACGTCGAGAGAAGCACCAACGATGCCTCGCTGGGACTTCACGGTGCGGCGGGTTCGCTTCTTGGCAACCTCCTGTAGAATATGTCAGCTCCGTTGAATAGTGACAATCGACAACACACCAGCAGTGATTGCTGCTGTGAATGCTGCTCAAGTTTGGTAGATTCATACCTCAGAGATACCCTTGCGGTGCTGTCGGCGGTAGAGGACGGTCCATGCGATACGGCGGGGGTTCTTCCTTTGCAGGAAGAGAGACTCCGACTTGCCGTTCTGGAATCGGAAGATCTTGCTGTCGCCACGGACGTAGAGCTTACCCTGTGAAGCGATACCCGTTAGCCTTTTGATGTCCTGATTTAAATCACACCGAGTGCTCGTCCTGCGATCCGTCATCGCCATCATCCCCCTCCAGCGACCAGGGAGTTTCGCATTTCGATAATCGACCGGATCGCATCAACGAGACGGATGGGGATAACGGCTAAAAGAGCGTACCTTGCCAGGGTAGATTCTCGCGCCGGAGAAGGTGTCCTCGTAGGTTCGCATCTTGCCGCTGGTTGTGCGTTGAAGGCGACAAGGTGTTGTGTAGTTGACCGTGGATTGGCAATGGCAAATCGAAAGTTGAGGGTCGTGACTGCAGTCAATTTCTCGAATTGTGTGCAAACTGACTAATCTAGGGTTAGTTTGGTTGGTGGCGAAAAGCCATCACGTGCAGGTGCGCACCCACCCTGACGGGACCGGAGAATCATTGGTCACTTATGTAGGCACCTTAGGTTCCCTATAATGAGCCTCGCGACTTACACCAGCATTATACTGAGACACGATAAAAAGTCTTAAGTCTTCAGTCTTGGCCCGTGGTTTTTGTATCAGCCTTTTGGATAGACTGGATATGGCTAGATGACGTCCCAGGCGGATCTGGTGGCACAAGCAGTATTGCAACAATTCTACAAATTACCTTCGAAGCGAAAACCTGCTGTTCGTGACAATGGCGTTCATGAATGGGTTCCGCTGAGTGGCATCGTTGCTGAGAAAGATGGCATTCTAACATGTCTAGCCCTGGCGTAAGCGCATTCGATTCCCGTTTCCTTGTCTGCGTATCCTAAAACTTTTCATCGTAGAACTGGCATGAAATGCCTACCGGCGTCAAAAATATCACAATCCAATGGCGTGGGCATCCATGACTGGCATGCGGAGGTCCTGGCTATGCGAACCTTTAACCGTTTCTTGCTTGATGAATGCGAGAATATCCTCGAGAAAGATGACGAGTCGAGTATCATTCAGAGGAAGATGAGCACTTCAAATCTTAATGGCACCCCTTTGCAGTTATTCGAAATCAAAGATGGCGTCAAGCTGCACATGTATTGCTCAGAAGCACCATGTAAGTAATTTCAAACGAAAACACTACCTTTACTGAACAAGCAGGCGGTGATGCTAGTATGGAGCTCACAATGGCTTCCCAGGAAGATGATTCAGCATGGGAAACCCCAACTCCTGCAGATGCAAAGCCTGGAGGTGATGCACAAATCTCTTTACTAGGAAGGGCTTGCTTCTCTAGGACTGGAATTGTTCGACGAAAACCTGCTCGAGGAGATGCGCCTCCAACACTATCCAAGTCTTGCTCTGACAAACTTGCGTTGAAACAATGCGCTTCACTTCTCTCAGCCATCACATCAATATTCATCGATCCTACCAACGCATACATTAGTAGCATCATCTTGCCAAGATCCCAATACTCTGATCTTGCATGTCGACGTGCCTTTTCAGCAGAAGGCAGGATGAACCTCATGGCTGGTAAAAAGTGGCTAGGAGGCTATTCATTCAGGGAGTTCTCAGTTGCGACGACCGGCCTGGAATTCGAGTTTTCGAAATGGTCTGTACAGACGAGAGCTGACAAGATTTCGGCGAGCAACCTAGCAGCAACATGGTCACGATCGGGTTTCGAAGAGAACATCATTGGGGGAGTTATTCAAGGCCGGAAGGCTTTCAAGACAGACGGAGCAAGTCAAGTTTCCAAGCGTTGTATGTGGAAGGCAGCAAACGATCTTGCTAGTAGAATAGGTGGCGCTTCCTCTTCCACAGCAATTTGTCCTGGTGGTGAGACGTATCGCCACTTGAAACAAGGACAGTTGATGGCTCACCGACGGCAAGTTAAGGACGAGGCCCGTGAGATGGCACTGTCAGGGTGGATCAGAAATGACGGAGGGTCAGATTTCCAACTAGAAAAACGTAGCAATCATTGACATCATTAGAGATTGGTATTTCTCCCGATGTAAGTCGTATTTTGTTTGTTCGTACAGATCAATCAACCTCAGCCAGCATAAGGTCGCCATTCCACCATGACATTCCCAAGCTGTGACCTTTTGCGTACCCATACCTACTCCTCTGCTACTCAACATAGAGAGCGGGGGAGTGACTGTTACGACTGCCCAATACCAGGGGGAAACATAAAACCCGCCTCGTAGGAGAAACTAGCCAGCATCTTGGCCGAACAGACCTACGATTTCACTACCCCTTCGCCCTTGACCGTGTAGAGGAACTTTACTCGACCTTGGGCTCGTTCTCGAAGTTCTCGCCCTCGACCAAGTCGGGGATCTCGTCATCGTCCTCACCCTTCTCCTTCTGGAGGTTCTGGTAGCTCTCGGCGAGCTTGCGCAGAGAAGCAAGGGAGTCGGGGCCGAGCTGGTTAAGGATACCGGGGACAAGCTCGGTGAGCTCCTTGTCCTCACCGTTACCATAGATGGCAAAGGTGTTGGAAGGAACAGCAGCGTGAACTGTTGGAGTGGAAAGAGAATGTCAATATATACCAAACCCCACGAACCATGCCAGAATAGGATGACTAACCCTTGGGAGCAGCGAAGTGAATGACGTTTCCGTCCTGCTTGAACATGTTGACCTCCTCGATGGCCTGGATGGGCTGAGTGTTCAGCTTCTTAAGGGCGAGCTGAAGCTTCTTGTCGTCAGCGCCGGAGCGGGCGGGCGCACGCTTGACCTTTCGTCGGGGGGTACCCTTTCCACTGAGTCGTTCCGTTAGCAGCGACAACTAATGGTGACGACCTAAAAGCATCGTAATGCGTAAACGTACCCTAAATGACAGATCAGTTTACTGCTCTCATCTCGAATTTGATTGTGAAAGTGCGCAAAAGTCACGTACCAGTTCGGGCGCTCAGGCCGAGCTTCTTGAGGCGTTCTTGGACTTCGGCGGACGACATGATGGGCGAAATTCGATTGCGGGGGATCGGGGGACTCGATCGAAACTGGGACAAAATTCGTCAGTCGGGGCGGTTTCGGACGGGATAAATCGATTGTTGGAAGAAATGTTGCTCGGAAATTCGTGCATGCGTGGGTTCAGCAACGTACCAGTAAGTTAGGCTTGGGTAATTAGCTGTTTGTCGCCGTCGGCTTCGAATCGGTGGTGATAAGTCAAAGTAGATTTTGTGCGTGTCAAGAGTTTTCGCCTGTGGAACTACCATTTCGCCGAGGGAGAGGAGGGGCTCTGGTGGTGCTCCGCCCTTCACTGGCCTGGCACCACATTCATCGCCCGTGACGTTGTAGCCGCCTCCAGCCAGGCTCGTGGGGTAACCCAAGAAGATCGTCCACACATAGAAGCCATGACATTTGGTGTCGAGCTCTTGAGATGCTCTATGTAGGTAGTTCCTGGAATGGATTGTCTGTGACGACCGCATGTACTGTTCAATGGCACCTAAACAAGGGCTCTGTCGGGTAAAGTTACTACTACCTACTCGGTGTGATCACATTCATTTAGTCGTTCCTCAATTGTTTCAAGAAAATTGATGATTCGGATAACCACTCGATTGGAGATATCGATGGTCGTGCCAGGGCAGTTTAGGCAATGAAAGATGATCTCATCTTGGTTTTCGAATGAAAGCAGTTGAATGTTGATTCCAAGAACTCCAAAGAATTTACTCACCCCTGCAACTAGGTACCAAGTTTCCTATGTGATTCAGCTGTTATACATGAGCCGTCCTTCATCACACCATATGATCTTACAAGCATAAAAGGCATTCAGTTTAGGTTCCCATCAACGGCTCTATTTTGCGTCAAGGCCTGCCTCTCTCCTCATCTCTTCTCGTCGAGTATCTGCATCCTTCTGAGACGCTTTCGCGGCAGCGGCGGCGGCCTTGCGCTTTCGCTCCTCTTCCTCTTTCACAACAATCCAGACTAGCTCAGGTTAGCAATTGATATTTCGAAGACGAGACAAACACACTTGGTTTATCCGACTTGGAGTATTCCTTCAGTCGAGTCACAAAGTCGTCAAACTCTTGTTGTCGCTCCTCACGGTTCTCCAAACTCTTCTTCCGCAATTCGGGGTTGTATCTCGATCGAAGCTCTTCCTCAGTAGGAGTTAACCACATTGTAAAGGCTGGTCCGCCGACTGCGACAACAGCGCCACTGCAATATATGAGCTTGGTCTTTAACAGACTCTGATAATGGCAAAGACTTACCCCATCAGGACCTTGGTCCAGAACCACCATCTTGAAGATGGTTGTTTGGCAGCCATTATAAAAAGGGGGAAGAACAAGAGTACAGAGTTTGAAGTCGTGGAATGCACAAGAAGAAATTGGAGTTGAATCTGAATTGGTATCAATTCTTCCAATGATGATTTGCACGATTCTGCATCCGTCATTGATTTGGCAGTATGCCCTCATTGGTAGTAGGTCCAATCGGGAAGGCGGTCACGGAGCTGAGCGTGACCCGAACCCGAACATGTTCCTTTTCGTACCTAGGTAGGTCACGAACATGTAGCACCGTTTCTAACATTGGCAAGAGGTTAGTACTCTCTAATTAGGGGCTACAACCATTACTCTTTGAGATATCTCTAACTATGTAGTATTTTGGAAGCCAAAATATGCAAACTGCAACCCACATGCAGATCGTCGGTTGTGAATAGAGCAAATAGCCCGTCATAGGGTAGCCATGTTAAAGCAAAAGTTGCTAGGCCGACCACCTACACGGTTCAAGAGCCAAGACAATGTTCCAGCTTCCCACAGCGTGGAATTCTCCTTTCGTGTTCAACAAGGAGCTGAGAGGTGGCGATACCCGTCTTCCCAAAAAAGACGCTTCGTGGCTCCTGACTGGTTGACACCTGAAGTCAGCTCGGACACTTCCTTGACGAATGGCGTATCAGGAATCGAACTCGTAGATAAATGAATCTCCGGCTTCGTCGGATCTACAGGTTCGCTCCAACACATTTGTCTCACGTCCTTGCACTTGACTGTATCCATTTTAACAACGTTCTCATCGCATAGCCTACGGCTTCTTGACGTCAATACACACATCAGAGGGCTAAGCGAGAGCATGGAGACAAGTACCACAACGTTTCCCTCCAACCTAGCGCCGATTAACCGCCACAAGTCCTGTCAAATTCGGGAGCGCCATGAAAACCGTTCGTTGATAGGAAACCATAGCTCTTGGCCAGATCCACAGATGATGTTATGCGAGCCACCGTGCTTAGGGCTATCAGGGGTGTAAGAGAAGTAGATACGGCATTTACATAGAGAGAGGGCCAAACCAAGAGAGCCCTCTGTTTTATTGATTTGTTTCGACTTTTGAGGCCAGTCTTTTCAGCTAAGAGCCTGTTGTGAAAGCTTATTCGAGGAATGAGTGATTGATCAAATCCTTGCGGGAGCAAACAACGCCAGCGTAGCATGACGACGAGCATTGTGATACAAAACAAAGCTTTGTGTGAAGCAAGCAATAATACCCAAACCCTGTTGGATAAGTCGTCGCCTGAAGACGGAAGCCGGGCCAGTAAAACCGATTAACGTCGCCGTTAATTAGCAGGGGTTGGATTGAGCCACAATCAGTTATGCAGCCTGTTGTCGATTGTAAGCCAAGCCGGCAGCGGCGAAGCGCCATGTCTTTCGATTATTCAAATCATTGGAATAGGTAGCCTAGTGGGAAACCCCCGTGAAAGAAGCACCGCGGCTTAGGTTTGCCCATTATTGACTGTGCGGGTATTGACTCGTAAAGAGTCGTTGTCAGTTCGCGACGGCATTCCTCCATTCCATTTAGCGCTTTGCTTCTATGGAACCTCCTTGATGCCGAGTCGCTTGTTTTCTTTCGCGGCATAGCCAAAACCCTTTGAGAGAACAGGGCCCGGACAGCATTATTAAGGCCTAGGACCCTACAATACAGGCATTGATTCCCCTTAAGCCCTCGAGTCTCACAATTTATCCCGAGCGACAGGGGTTGGGGTTCAAGTAAGGTACCCGCATGCAGACTGGTACCTGGACAACCCCACTCAGAGTAACCTAGAAAACGGCCCTAAACGACAAGCCACTGGAGATTTAGCGCCCTTGCTCCACAAGCTTCCATTGAAGAACAACTGGACCTGACTGAATGGATGGAAACCACATGCACTTGGGGGCAGGTCACGTTGGAGGTTGGAGGCAACCTGACCTGCCTCTTCATGGATACCTTGAGCTCTTCCGTTTCGGATGAACCAAGCATAAAGGGTACCTTATCCCCCGTCCGCTTGAAATCTGCGCCGCTTGAAAGGCACTAATACTTGTCCTCAAATGAGCACTCCTTCGAACTGAGGTTATTCGATATTCCTATTGCGCCACCTCTGGTACCTCGTCGTTTCCACTTTCTTGTATCGCAAACGAACTTGGTCTCTTTGCCAGCTTGTACCATATCTTGCCAGCTACTTGCAGATTCGAGGACGCAATTATTCTTCTCTCATTATTTGTTAGTCTTTTTTGGGCTGGGATCATCGACAACTTGTCATCCTTTGTCTTGCAGTAGTTCCACGATCTGGACCGCCGATCACACACTTATTGGAAACCCAGTTGCTGAGGCTGAGGCACGCCATGCGACAGTGATTGAAACTCATTCTGCGCCGACCGATACTTAGAGCCTACAGCTTCCTTTGATTTCTGGTTCGGCAACCATTTGCACTATACGACAATCCAAACACAAAGTTTGTTCGTGTCGCCAACGGTCGAACCACACTCATGGCATACGAAGACGGCTATGGTGGCCAACAGCGACCTTACGGGGGCCAAGCACCACCTAGGCATACCCCGCGACAACAAGTCAATGCGCCGCCACAACAATATGGAGCATCACAACAGTACGACGAGTATCACCAAGACTATGGGTATGGCTCTGGACAGGATTTTGGAGGCCAACTTCAAGATCAGAATTATGGTAGAGGACCGCCCCCACAAGACCAATATGGGCGCGGTGGTAGCGTGATGCCCGGCCCTCGCGGAGGGCCCATTCCTCGTCCACAGACAGCTGATCCGCATCGTGGGCAACAGCGCCCTCCTCGAGTAGGCCCAATGCCAGGACCAGGTAGAGGCATTCCTAATGGACACCCTGGGCAAGGCGGAATACGCCCAGGACCATATGCGTCGAATTCGGATCCCACAGGTGAGTTTCAACCCTGATGTTAGGGCCCTCAGCTTACAATCGTATCCAAAGCCCGCCGCCATCCTATGAACACGCCTCCTATGAGTCCTCGAGACGGGCATTTCGGACACAAGCACGTGCCACAAGAGCGTGGACGAAGGCCAGACATGCCTTATGAGCAACAGATGGTTGATCAAATGTCGAATATGGATATGAACCAGAGACCGATGGTGCCAACGAATGGACGTACAAGTTCCGATGCCCAACGCAGTCAGGGCGAATATGGAAGACCGCCAGTGAATGCGGGTCGCGGACTCCCTCCGAGAGGTTATCCTCAAGGGGGTCCTCCACGGCAGAACCCAGGCTACGGAGCTCCGGATGGTTATGGAAATTATAACGATGGATATAACGGTGCTCGAGAGCCTCCTGCAGGTGGCTTTGGCCCACCGGCACGCAGCAGAACGATGCCTGTGGATGATATGCGACAAAGAGGCAACATGCCACCACCTCAACGGATGGACGCAATGCAATATAGTACCCCCGCTGGTCGAGGGATACCACAAAGACCTTCGACTGCTGGCGGTCACCGGGCACATCCCCAAAGGTCGTACACAGCTGGGCCACAAGGAGGCCCGGGAGGCCACTATAGTGGGGAGTATGATGACCGAAATGCATACCATAAACCATCAACAGCTTCTTATGACGAAGTCTACGATGCCTATTTCGACAATCAACGCAACAGCCACCCTGAATACGGGCCAGAATCCCAGCAAAACCGAGTCAGCCTGCCGGACTTCGATGCTGCACCAGCTCCAGGACAACGTAGTTCGTTCGAACAGTCAATGCGCCCTAGCAATGAACAGCCTCAGCGAGGAGCCCACCAAACAGCTGTCCTCAATCACGCCAAGTCACAACCAGTCCTTCGTCAACCTCAAACAGCCGTATTTGAGATGGCTGGCGATGTGCCAGACGTCCCTGCAGTCCCACCGGTTCCACCGATGAGCAACTACCAGGCTGCGTATGATCAGGATTATAACCAAATACCAGCCAGAGGACCTAGTGCACCAGCAGCTATGAATGGTGCCCGTACTAGTGGACCCATGAATCCGGATGGCCTTCCTTCACATCCCGCTCCTATCCGTCCGGGTCTGATGCAAGATTCAATGGTTCATCTGGGTAATAAGCCAGCTCCTGTCCGAAACTACGGAGTCTCTACGCCAGCCCCTCAACCTCAACCACAACCTCAGCCTCAGCCACGACAACCCCAGTATCAACAGCAGCAACGGTCGCCACCCAGGAACAACAGCCAACGGCAGCCGGCCAGGGACGAAGGCCCTGTTACCACACAAGAACTAGAACATCTCAGAATGCTGATCAAGAACAACTCGAGTGACCAGGACTCAGCATTGAGACTGGCCAAGAAGTTGGTCGAAGCTGCTGACGTCTTGGCACCTAAGATGCCAGACCCTAAGCAACGCACAAGGGCACGCGAGCGTTATCTGATCGACTGCCATAAGATTCTTAAAAAGCTGGCCAACGCCCAGAATCCAGACGCCATGTTCCTCCTGGCAGATTGTCTCGGCCGAGGTCTCTTCGGTGATAGCGATCATAAGGAGGCTTTCACTCAGTACCAGTCTGCTGCAAAACTTGGACACCCTGCAGCAGCTTATCGAACTGCAGTGTGCTGCGAGATTGGCCATGAGGAAGGAGGCGGTACACGTAAGGACCCGATGAAAGCAATTCAGTGGTACAAACGTGCTGCAACTTTGGGTGATCCTCCAGCAATGTACAAGGTTGGAATGATCTTATTGAAAGGGCTTCTTGGTCAGCCTAAGAATCCCAGGGAAGCGGTGGGATGGCTGAAGCGGGCTGCAGAGCGAGCAGATGGAGAGAATCCACACGCACTACACGAACTCGGCTTGTTATACGAATCAGCCCAACCGAACGATGCTATCATTCGAGATGAAGCATATGCATATAGTCTATTCCTTCAAGCTGCCGACCTGGGATACAAGTTTTCGCAGTATCGACTTGGATGTGCTTTCGAATATGGATTGCTTGGCTGTCCGATCGACCCGCGACAGTCTATTCAGTGGTACTCAAAAGCTGCCACACAGGAGGAGCATCAGGCAGAACTTGCGCTCAGTGGCTGGTATCTCACAGGCAGTGAAGGTGTACTAGGACAAAGTGACACTGAGGCTTACCTTTGGGCCCGCAAGGCTGCCATTGCCGGCCTTGCTAAAGCCGAATATGCCATGGGATACTTCACAGAGGTAGGTATCGGTGTTCCCCCAAACCTGGAGGACGCAAAACGATGGTATTGGCGAGCAGCCGGTAAGTGTCATAGAATCATATTTGTGGACAACAACTGACAACAGTGCACAGCCCAAGATTTCCCTAAGGCTCGTGAGCGCTTAGAGGATTTAAAACGCGGCGCAGGCAAGAACGGCGCGCGCCAGCGTGAGCGCATTTCCCGTAGCAAGATGGAGAGACAACAAGAAGGCGATTGTGTCCTTATGTAAACTACACAGTTGCATCCCGTCTTGCCCCATACACAGGTCGAGGGATGAACATTACTTCAATGAAGCAAGCGGGACACGAATCGATGCCTTGCAAGCACAGACAAGGGTTTCAGCCCCTAAGATGTATGAATTAAAGAACGGGCGTTGGAAATGGTGTCTTGGGATTAGCGTTGATTGCATATGGCGCAGATATATACCATCAGGAGCATTTCACAAAAACATCAGCATTTTGCACAAAATTGTCCGAGTATAAAAGGAAAAGAACAAATGAAGAGAACGCGCTGCTGTTCCTCGTTTGCTACAAGAACACAAAACACACTATAGGCCCAGAGGATCCTGAAGTATAGCTTATTCCCGCAACGCCGACTTGTATTTCAAGTTTCTCGCTAATGTGAAATTATTTCCCAGTCTAATCATTCCTAATATTCATCCTTCAGCAACAAGAACTTGGTTAGACCACGGTGGGGAGTTTATCTCTCAGGAAGCGCCATAACATGCATCATCGGACTGACAAACACCAGCTTGCCACCTTAAAATGGTATTATGAGTGTGATGCACGGTATATGCGTCCCACTACTTTGAGCTCTCAGCCTCGATTTCATTTTGATATCAAAAATTAATCAGCGGCTTGGTAATCGCGGTCATTATCCGCCAAACCGTTGCCTGAGCATTCGAGCTTAGATACAGACGAAACTGGCACTTTTACGCGCAAGATGGCGGTGTTTCGTAATGATTCACATGTACTTCAGTATTATTTCAAACTTTGTTATCATGGTGTACATGAAATGGTAGGCAATGAGTTGATCATGATCACCTGAGAAGTCCTCCAGAGAGGCTATGGTATCGTTTGATGCGGGGTGTGTAACTGTAATCAAGCTTGATCGTAAGAAGTTGGCATCGCTCGGAGACTATTGCGTCGTGTGCTCTAATGAGCTCTTTCTTTTCCAAACAACGCTCTTCGAGCCGTGAGCCACTTATCGTGGTTGATGATCTGAAATCTGGAGGTTGAGCATCAGGGGGTAAACAGAAATAAATAGGCAGCGTTCGGTTAATGATACTTGATTCTAAAAATTCTAGCCCCTTGTCAGAACTCGTAATGATCAAAACTAATCCTATAATACTTAATTACCTTAAAACGTTGCTGGCTCAGGGCGTATCCCTTGCGTATAGTAGGGGAGAGCCTCTAAACGCCATTTAGTCGCGACATCACCTGATGACTTCTCATTATTGTGCTTGTCAGGTCTGTGCATGTGACGAAAGTCGATAGGGGTAGACTCCAGCTACATGTCCCGCTGCATTGTGGTAAGTTCAGACCGGAATCATGTGGAGGGCATTCATCAAGGTAAAGATGTGGGAAGCAGCTGTCAAACGGCTTAGGCTAGTCGCTTATTGCTTGAGGTTTTAATAGAAATCACCAGCGACAGATGAATAAATGAATGCCCAAGTCTGTTCTCAATAATACCACTAACCGCCATCTTAACTAACAAAAATAATCATTCTAATCATGCTGGGTCTTGGTGGTCAATGCAATAGCACTCGCGTGCCAGGCCATATGTTGTAAGTAATAACAAAACAGACAAACTCCGTATCGTCAAAATGAAGGATCATGCGATGCGCTGTTTGTCTCATGCAGTAAAGGTGTCGAAACTCCAAGCAATGCCCATTTGAAATCAGAACTTCTCCATCAAGTTTGCTCGAACTGTCCACATACGTGCCCTCTTGCCGTAAATGTACATAGGAATTGTGCACAGCATTAAAAGCAGTTGGATTATACCAATCCAGATATACACCTTCTTCGGGCCATCGCCATGCAACCAATGCGTAACGAAGAGGCTGAAAACAAGTCCATGCAAGATATTCTTCGAAAAGTTAAGCGTCACCAAAGCCTCTCCGGCGTATTGGCGATAGCTGTCCACGCAGAATGTGATGGATGTAGTTGATCCAAGTGAGCACCCAAATGACACAACTCCAAAGAAGAAGGTAGGAACCATCCAATGATCTTTTTCTTCTGCCGACCAGCCAAAGCCCATTAGGCCTATGCATGTGCTGATAAGGATGGGAAGGGCCATGACAAGACGGAACTCGGGCTCGTAGAGACCGCCGTTACGCCTCGACATGATCTTGACGATAATGTCACTGACCTTGCCAGCCACGCCAGTTCCCAGGATACCACCGATAAAAGGCGAGATATACACTAAGCCTGTCTGGAGCGCGGTGAAATTATAAGAATCTTTATCGCGGTATATCATGGCAATCGACTCAGAGATGACGATAAGCCAACCCACAGAACAAGCATACACGGCAGCTGACCAGAGGACCGCTGGGTATGCGAATAGAATGAAAGGGCGAACCATGACCTTGAGCCAGCTATCACTGTTCAGCCTTCCATGCCAGGGCTTAAGCTGTTGAACAAAGGATTTTGGAGGCTGTTGACGGAGGTTGTGTGTGTAGGCCTGGATCTTGGGCGGGCCCTGGAGCCGCGAGGCATCCAACTTCTCATTCTCCAGGTTTGGTCCCAACTTGAAAGACGCACTGATGGACTCACTTCCAGTCGTGCTACCGACATCACCTGGGGAAGATGGGTTTTTGTCAGACGAATGGACTACCGCCTGAGGCGAAACTGGAGTCACAGGTGCTGCGGCCTCTTCAGCAGCATCACCAGACTCAGCAAATCCAACATGGAGGTCCCGGCCTCGATGAAGAGCAGCAGGTGATTGGCGTCCATCTTGAGTATGGCCTGCATCTGCGAAGTGCGCTCCAGGCTCACCCTGGAGTAGCCCCTCTCCGCCAGTTTGCGGAACCGCATGACGAGATGAGAGCCGGCGAAGAAAACTTGGCCGCTTGGATGGATGCTTAGGCCTTGCATGGGGGGTGCGATCCCAGAAGGTTTCCGGGACAAACAAGAAGAGAAGTACAGCACCAAAGGCAATGATCATGGCCAAGATCCAAAAAACCCAGCGCCACGAGAGACCGCCAATGATGACGGCACTGACAAGGGGAACCAGGTTCTTGCCGCCAAGCAAAAGAAGAGTATAAATACCAATCCGGTAGGCTCTCTCATGGAGGAAGAAGATTTCGGCAATTGTGGCTGATGGAAGGCATTCAACAGGGCTAACAGCAAAGCCTTGAAAGACTCTGGCCGCGAGGAGAGAATTAAAGCTTGGAGACCATGCTGCCCAGAGCGATGTCCCAATGAACAGGATTGCACTGCCCAGATATACTGGGCGTTTGCCCCATAGAATAGCGGTTGGTGAGAACACAACGGAGCCGAGGCCCATGCCCATCATGTAGAGTCCGGTGGTCAAAGCGACCCTCTCGACATCAACGTCGTATGTCTCTGCAACGTCGGTGAAGCCAGCAGCGATGAGGGGAGTTGTGCCGCCGCCGAGCATACAGTAGAAACCGAGCGACAAAAGAGCAATGTCTCGTTTCCAAGCGGGCCAGTTTAAAGGATCATTTCCTGATTCTTCAGGCTGTGGTTCTAGGATGATAGCCCCGTCGCTTGTTTTCTTCTTGCCGTCACTCTCGTCCGCGGGAGCATGACTCTCCGCTACTGAGGCAGCAGCTGCCGCCGCTGCTGCTGCTGATGAGGCTGATGTCCTTCGCGTATCAACAGGAAAGCCAGCAGGAATAGATGAATGAGAGGTTCTGGCGTGCACATTTCGCAGACCGAGAGGCTCATTACGATGTGATGCCAGCAGAAGCACGGAACCTATAACGTGTCAGTCTTGCGAACTTGAGATAGAAACACGGGAGCTTTTGAGCTTACCTGGAACTTCAATAGTCTTTTTATCGTTCAGAACACCCATGCTCCATCTGGAAGGTCCGTACGATTCATCTGGCCTGGCACCGGTAGGTCCGCCGCCGCCGCCCAGGAAGCGCCGCCACCTGGGCACGTTTGGTTTCTCTGACTGCATAAGGAGGACTTTCTCAAGCCAGGATACAAATGAAAATTGGTGTTTTAAATATCACTTCTGACGTGTTCAGAGGGGTTCTCGATGGAAAGCTCGTGGATCGAGGGATAGACCTTGATGGGTATAATCTAGAAGTTGGACATGTTTTGATTGTAGGTGCCAAGTGGATAATGATATAGAGGGTAAACAAAGCTTCTTATGCAGGGTGCGTCTTCGACGAAGGAGAACAAAGTGAGGCTGAGAAGAAAATTCTAGGTTAGGGAGATTGGATGATGGATGATGGAATTTGTTTATAGGTGAGTGTGATCGAGATGGGAAGCCAGTTAGTTTCGTCGCGAAGCAATGAAAGGCATCAGGGTCTAAACAATTGTGGAGTTTTTCAAGTCGTCACCAGCTGCAAGCCATATGAAGGGTATATGGCAAAAACAAACGTCGGCCTGGAATCATACAATCGGGGGGGAAAAGATCAAGAAAAGATGCCACTCCGGCTCTCTGTGAGGAATATATCCTCGCAAAGAAACAATGCGCGAGGAGGCGGTAGGATATAAGTATCCATGCTTCTCCTGGATAAGGGACTGGCACTACTCGACGGATAACGCGAGTAAGGTTAACGTTGGATCACCAGGCTCAACTCCACTCCCATGCCTTTAGGCCTGGTGACAAAGGATCCATCATCCTGTTGGCCACTTGGCGGGAGCGGCGGCAGTGCCATAACTAACGACGATTCCAGGTTAAACCAAGTTTCACTTCTGTAGATGCTGCACGCGTGACCGACTTATGTTGTTTTAACGGCGTCCCGTGCGGTCTGCAGCATCTCTCTGCAAGCTCACCACTGGCCCATCTCACTGCAGCCGCCCCAGTAAACAATGCATCCCCCACCTGGTGAAGGGTCCTGTCGCTAGATCATTACATCATTTCTGGCATGGGCGTCTTACCATGTCTCACCTCCAAATCCTCGCTTGAATTCCATTCTACCGAAGCATTTTAGGTTCGATTGCGCATTCAGCTTTGGCCATTGAGGCCGTAGTTCATCTCGAAGATTATAATGCACACAATCACTTTACGCCCTGGGCTCCGCCCTCTCTGTAATAAGGCACAGACGATACCTCGTTCATTCCAGCGAGCCTTAATCTCATCGACTACATCGCGACAAGCCAAGAACCAGATACACGTCCCGTAAGTCAAATTGCTTGCTTTGATAGATCACATGTCTCCGCACATGTTCCCCCCTTGCAATCCATTTGTCGATCGCTGTCTTTGTCTCCCTCTGCCGAGAAATAGCTTGTCTGTTGACCGCCAGCTAGTATCCGCAACAATGACTCTTTCTCAACCTACCTTTCACTCTCGACATCGTCCCGGACCCCCCTGCTGACCCTGTGGACCGCCTCATGGTGCTCAACCTGCAAAGTCGTAAGCCCTCTCATCAGAGATCTTGTCGAGTCTGGCGTTGGCGAGGAGGAGGGAGGCGTGTCTCTCGCGACTGTTGAGTTTGATTCACCGGATATCATGTCAGGAAGTCCCAACTTAGCCATGACTTACATGATCACCAGCATTCCCACGCTCTTAAGTTTCGACGGTGGGGAGGCACAAACAGCGACCAAGCTATCGGATGCCAGAAGGCTCGCCGACAGGGAGTTTCTGAAGGAATGGATTCGAACTGAAGCCAGGAGACATGGTGGCCGTGGAGGTGGAGGAGGCGGATCGTCTATCTTTGGAGGTCTGTTTGGCAAATAAGGCAACATCAATCAAAACTCATCAATGATCTGTATAATAGACGCGGTTCCAGGATATTTTCCGCCTTCTGAACCATGGCAACAATATCACAGCTAGATATCTTGAAGCTCACGGTATCAATAACACCCATCACAGATGCTCGAGCAACACTACCATGTCGGGCCGGGAGACAGGTATCTGTTGCCTAGAATCTACTCGCTTCGAATTGTTGACATGCTCCTCATTACTCGCTCTCGGCCACTTTACCCAGTAAAAGTAGTACCACAGAGAGGGACGTGACGGGGTTCATTAGGTCAAGCCCGCATCATATCCTAGAGCCTGGTACTTGGCCTTTGATACTGGCCGTACACACAAACGCCAAGGTTGATATCTCTTCCTGAACTTGGTCCTTATCTGGGGGATGTATTCGTTACCTTAAATCTTGGTTGTTGTTAGGCCGAATGAAAACTGTCGATCCAAAGGGAGCCTTGACCGTCGTTGAGGTCCTAGAATCCATGGATAAATTTGTGTTATAGGAAAGTCACCAGCTGAAGAGTTGCTTAAACTCCAGTCTTAAGGAGGGGGGTGAGATGGGAAGTTAGACATAGCATACCATCTTCTTATGAGCGCTAGCAGGCTTGAGAATTTTGTTAGTCTTGATGGCGATGGTACTCTATAAAGGAACAGTTCGTCCTGGTACGGCGAGGTTGAACATTCCCTCCTAGAGATTAGAGCACAGAATTCGCGATGTGGTGAGTGTTCAGGTTAAATTTGCAATGATTTTCAGCTTCGCCCCTCCTTGAACGGTCAAGTATGTGTCATGTTGGTCAACCGTAATGAGTCAGATGGAAATGAACTTCTTCCACAGACTCCTACTTGCTCATATTCCAGATTGGAACAGGATTCTTCACACATTTACTTCATGGTTCAAAGGATTTCCAATACGCGGTAGTTAAGAGTTGATTTTGCCTATCACCCACGGGTTCCTTTCGCTCCACTAAGCACTGAATTTCTCGCACAGTGCCACTGAATCCTCAAAATATTTTGTATCATCCCAATAATTACCTCGAATATTTCAATCCCAAAATGGCTTCTACTTCACGGATACCTCATCTTTTGGAGCCCTACATCTCTCTACCTCCAGAGTCCTCGCTCAATCTTGTCACCAGCGTGCTTGGTGCAAGCGCGAACTGGCTGGTTCTGCGCCATGTGTATTCATACCTGAGAGGTAGTACAGATGGGGATGAGAGCGCCAAGGACACAGGCGTCGTACTGCTGAGCTTCATGAGAGATGGTGCCTTTTGGAAAGAGGGCGCTACAAAATTGGTAACAAGTTCACAAATCAATGGACCATCTGTATAGGGAAATACTGATATTGGCCAGGGCCTTGATTTAGATGCCCTAAGCAGAGCAGGACGCTTCACATTCATCGACGGTTTCTCAGGACTCTATGGTGAAGCTAAGACCGGGGTGCCAGGCACACAAAAAGAGAGAACGCTTCGGAGTACGAAGCTTGCAGACATCAAAAGGGAAATTGAAGGTGCTATCGCGGATTTGCGTGCGTCGCGTAAGATCCTTGTTATCGACCAACTTGATGCGCTTCTCGCTGTCACCGATGACTCAACCACAAGTCTCACGCTTCAAGACGCCGTTCTTAGCCTACGCAGTGTAAGTTTCGGCTTAGAAGAAGTGCGTCACTCACTAAATCCTTCGCAGCTTGTTCACAGTACGCTACTCACTCTGTCAGCCGACATGCCTCTTGTTGCTACCCAAGTTACGAGGCTTGAGCGAGAGCACGCCAGCCTCGTGCTTTCTTCAGCGCATGAAGCTGACATGGTGATGGCCCTACGGATGCTTGATACAGGGACAGCGAGGGATGTCAGTGGTGTAGTGCGTATTACAGGACCTGGAGCAGAGGGCTTGGGTGGTGCTATTGAGTATTTATATCATGTGGTTGCGGACGGTGGGGTTAAGGTCTTTGAAAGAGGGACATGATGAATGCGAAATAGAAACCAAAATCAAAGTCAAGAGCAACCGTCGTGGCAGTTGCGAGAACGTTAATCTCAGAACCGCCGCTTGAGAGCCTTTGAGTTTACAGGTCATACCTCATTCAACAGGGTATCATGCACTAGAACGCGGATTTCCATGACAGACGAATAGAACTTTTCCTCACAAATGTCCACTCAATCGCCACAGGTACGTTCATGCAGAATCAAGATGCCATTTCAGAACCTCGTAACCGAAACCCTATAGAATCTCAGAAGAGCAAAAGGGTTCTTTTTTTTACTTCCTTGCTCAAACATGTAAAACACCATGCCCATGCTCCAAGCCGCACCTTTACGCTCCTTTCATCCACGAACCGACAAACACGACCGCCCGTCCCAATCACCACCCTAACTCCGGTTCCAACCAGATTGTCCTTGGGTCTAGGCTCATGCTATGAGCCGCCATTGCTGTTGTGTGTTCTCGAAGGAGCGGGTGTTCTAACGTCCGTGGTGGAAGAGGGGTAGGCCGGAGAGGTGGTGGAAGGGATCAGAAGGGATGCGGTCCCCATTTAGGCCTTCTCAGCGGTAGCGCCTCGAGCGCCCTTGGGGGTACCAGTCTGGAAACCGTTCTTGAATCGTCGGGACACATCCTTGAGGTAGCGAGTGCGGCCAGTACCGACGGTCTTTCTTCGCTTAGCCTTCTCGGACCAGTTGTCTGTCGATGCAGTCAGTAATGCTGTCCAAGAGCGTCGAGTACTCGATATCGGTTTGTCGACGCCATCTGTGAGAAGTTCACATACACTTGCGGATCTTGGCAGCAGGGTAGCCGCAAGAAGAGCACTCATGCTTCTGAACGTGAAGAGAGCGGCGACCTATTTGAGATTCCATCAGTATTTCCGTCCACTTTGATGTTTCCAAGCCCCGCCGTTCAGAGATTCCTCGATTCGCGCATCGTTTATTTTCGGCGTCGGCTTTATTTCGAATATCCGTTGCACAGATCGAGGGCTGTCTGAACAGCGAGACAAGAGGGCATAAGAACTAACCGCATCGTCGGCACAGGGTGTGCGTCTTGTTGTGACGCTTACCGAAGCTGGAGGTACCCTTCGCTGTTGAGACGCATTAGCAAAAACTCTTGTAATCCTCTCGGGAGAAGTATCGTCTGCTGTCGTTTCGCGAGCAGCTGACGAGCGGCGACGTACTCATCTTGGCTGTGGTGTTTGGGCGGTTAGTTGAATGGCGATCGAGAAATTCTCAATTTGGGAGACCTATTTTGGCGAAGCGAATTTACAAAGGAACGGGATGTGTGTGGGCGATTAGACAGATGGTCATGTGATTTGATTTTTCGCAGTTATGTTGGGTCTGAAAGGACCAATTAACAGCGACTAAGGTTGTTGTGTGAGCCCTAAAGGGATGACAGCTACCGATGATTTGGTGGGTGCGCAGCGGCACGTGATGGCTTAAACACCCACCAAACTTAGCGTCTTTGTAAACAGAAGTGCTGGGTTGGGCGTTGAGTTTCTCGTGTCCTCCCTTTGGAGGCTTGGGAGGATGCAAATGCATATAAGTGCTTTGCTGTAAGGTATTGATGGACTAAGTAAGGTACCTAAGATAAGTATAGGCAGTACCTTACTAGGTAGATGCCTTGTAGATGCCATCTCCAGGTCTTATGTAAGTGTTGCCAGAGGAGGGCGTAAAGTGGAGGAGATACTATCTAAGGTACTATATGCCATATAAGAGGGAAGGTATAATACAATAGGCAGGAACGTCCTCTTAAGCTGTCTTACTTTGACTTTCTTCTTTTCTTTTTTCCTCTTGGCTTTTTAATATAAGAAACAGTATGTCAATTATCTCATATTTTATTTTTACTCTCTCTTCCCCTTGCCTATAATGCATATCCTATGTAGCTGCCAGTGCAGTATTAATAGAATCCTAGCTTCCACTGATTGAGTCTTGTATAACAGTTACTTCGTAAATAAAGCCCATCGGCTCTGAACGACAATATGAACATCAATCTTAATTGAAGGTACAGCTGTAATTCAAATGCTCGTAAATTTCCACTTGTATCCAACCAGCTTCTCCCGAAAAGTCCGTGAACATTAATCATCATTGAGGTATCTCGCACGTGTAGTAAGAAACATTGCCAAGTAACAAACAGCCTAGACCATAACGCCTCGAAATTCCTTCAGTTATTCAAATCTTTCTTCCCAAAACCATTCCCATGAACGACTGTTTATAAGATTGGTTACTTAGTTCCAGGTTGAAGGTCCAATAAACGAGCCCTTTGGAACTGTCTTCGAGACCGCCGTGGTCTTCCAGTCCATCGTCTCCAAAGCGCCATAGTTACCCCACCAATTGGGGGGAGAAGCACTCGTCAGGTACAAGGTGAAGAAAATCACCATCGTTGACATGATGAGGCCACAATCCAGTGCCGCCGAAGTGACGTAGTTGTACTGGAGCCACCAGCCCGTGTATCTTCTCTTGACGAAGCGGTTGAAGAATGCACCGACCATGCCCCAGCAGAGGTAAATATATACAGAGGCTGGGGGCAACATACCAGCACCACCGTAGATAAGGGGGGTGCTGACGTATCGCCAGATTGAACGAGGCCACTTGCGGGCCAGCAGCCATGTGATGATTGGTGTGACAGCACCGACCAGCCAGAACCACTGGAGCGATGAGTAGATTGAGCCATGACTGAATATACGCGCGGGGCCGATGGCTCCCCAGATAACAGAGGCTGTGTAGAAGACGCGACCACCTGGGCAGGTATAGTTGTTGGGCTGGTCAATCGCACAAACGTCAGGAATGTGTCCCAGTGCCCAGTTCATCACGCAAATCTGTACAATAGCCGACCAGATTGAGGCAACCAGCTGTGATGAAAACATGACTCTGGGAGGGACCTTCATGTAGTGACCAAGCTTGAGATCCTGTGCAAAGTAAAGTGCCTGGCCCATGCAGATGTAGCCGTAATTCTTGAACATCATCATGGCCATAGGGCGACCAGGAACCATGTAGCCAATGATGAACTCAGTCAGAACATTAAGACCGAGCTGGATATTGGTGATAGCCTGAACAACACCGATAGGGATCAACCACAGCACGGGAATGAGGAGGCAGATGAAGTACGCCCAGACGGGGAAGCCAGTTGGCCAACCAGCAATCACGCCAATGGAAATAGCAACCATAACGATGAAAAGAGCTGATGAGTGTCAGTATGAAAAGGTATTGGGTTTGTTACAATGACACCAAACTTACTCGCATACCACCAATCCTCCGCATCTCGGTACTTCTTCATCAATCGCATGTGAACGTCATCCTCCTGATTGCGGGCCAGCTTGAATTGTCTCCAGATCTCATGTCCATGGTAGAGCACAACATGAACAACAACAGCTGTAACAGCTGCAAAGGACAGACCGTAAGAAAGAGCAAACTGCGTCGGTAGGAAGAGTGGCGAGTACTCCTTGTAGGCTGTTTCGTTGAACTGGAAGTTGTTGTCGAGGATTCTCGTAACATTGTAGATGGCGCCTGTGTTGTCGTAGGACTCGGATGACTGGACTGGGAAGTAATCCGCATACCAGGTACCTGTAAAGTGGATGCCCATTGAAATGCAGATGAAGAAAACAATGATACCCAGGAGAACGTTCGCGATGGCGTGGAAAGGTGGGATCAGAGGGGACTGTAGGTAACCGCTGTACACGGTCCAATCGAAGGATGTAGGCATCAAGCCATAGCCGGTCATGCCACCAAAAATCTTGTTGACTGTGACGTTGTGGGGTGCAAGCCAGCAAACCCAGGTGAAGTAAGAAAGACCTTTGAAGATCCAACCTGGGAACCAGTACCAAACAAAACCTCCAGCTCCGACGATTAAGAACCATCTATACCGTCCCATCTTCCAGCCATTGGTCTTGGTAGGGTCCGAGCCGGAGTGATCGTGAAGCGTATAGAACAAGGCACAATTGACCAAGTCAGTGGGCCAGATCATAGCAGCCGGCCACACCAGAAAGCGACGGGCAAGTCCAGCCAATCCATATCCAGTGCAAAGAGTCGTGATGCCAAATAGGATCTGGAAAGCCCAGCCAAACTTTTGGCCGTAGAAGATTTGCTGCGCGAGGAGTACATCAGTTGCGTAGAGAACACCGCCACCGTAGGCCGCCTATTCGAGTTAGTGATGCTTATGAGGAAGAGGAAAACTGCGCATACATTGGACATGGCGACAATTACCACATGCTCCTTGTAGTTGAATTTACCGGGCTTGAGATTGAATTTGAGACCGAACAAGGTCCATTCTCGATCAGGCATGATCAAGTCCCAGCCAAGACCTAACGGATAGGCGACAAGCTGGACCACGTAGGTAGTGACTGTAACACTGGGGTTTCGCAACGAGAAGAGCATATTCACGCCAGAACCGATGGTGCAAAGAATCAACCCGATAGTCCAGGCACGGATGGTGTTGGCAGGGACATCAACATCGTAGTTTCGGACGACAGATCGGACTTCGGGATAGGGACTGTTGTCCTCCATGAGCGCGTGCTCAATCTCAATCCCCTTCTCGGCATTTCCAGTCGCGATAGCGGCGTCGACATCTGTGAGGTCATCGATGGGCAGATTGGGATCGAACTTGTGAGACTTCTCGAACTGCTGTAGATTCTCGAGGTAATCACGACCGGAAGCGGAGACGGTCTCGAGAGGGCCGGGGATTGGAATAATATCCTCGGCCTCGTGGCGTTTGCGAAAGAGAGACGGCGCCATGATAATTGATACCCTCTGCTCGAGCAATGGATTGTTTCAGCGACAGCGAACCGACGTCGACGCGTGGTTTGAAGCCCGCTATGATAGCGACAACAACAACGGGCTTGGTCTTGTGGTATTGAGAGACGATGTTGAAGCGAAGGAGAAAGCCGACAGCGGCTGCTGCTTTGCAGATGTGGTTATACAGCCTGGGACCAGTACGGGGGGGGGGATCTCAGCCCCAAGAACAAGGAGGGCCTAAGACTGAGGAGAAGTGTCGCTCCCCGCGAATCGCACATTGACACTCGATGTTGTACTCAAGCAACAGCCATTAAAACCCGGTGCTAGACGACTTTGGCCATAGTGCGATTGTTCGTGCAATGCTATCGCGGGCGACGGCACAGTTGGATCTAGACCACCTTCTCAATCAGGCATGGGCTCGGGCTAGACCTTGTCGACTGCAGACTTCGATGGCCCCCTGTGGTTCCTCAGTCTGAAAATTCGGACCTTTTGTTGAAAAAGCAGCATCTTTTGGTTCGTTGGTATTCTTGTTCGATTCTTTCGAGGCGGCAATGTGCAGAGTCGCCAAGTGTTTTAAAACATTTCAGCGATCATAGTAGCTCGGCTCCTCTCGACTTCGGCTAGGTTTTCCTATCACAACGGCAGCCCAGCACGCCTAGGACGCCCTGTTTCTCCTGGATGTCACATCAGGCATTGGCACGCCATTGTGTTATCTTATTCACCCAATGAACAAAGGCCCTGATGGCGTTCAAGCCTTCGGAGCGCTGCTTATCTCCAGCCTCTCCGGGGTTAGCCTCGGCCCACAAGATAACCGTGATGTACGTGAGAATACAGCGACTGGTGTGTGTGTCTCAGCGCCCAGCCTGGCACTTTTGTCAACATAAACGGCTCGACCGGCTGTCAATCATGCTGAGAACGTCAAACGATGGGTAATTGCTTCCCTATCCTTGATCGATTCAGGGTCCAACCAGACTTCAATTCCCTCCTGAACCATGATGCCGGATTCAAAGTCCTAGAGCCAGAATCCTTCTGGAATCTCGAGGGTTGAAGGTTGGTGGAATCTACCATGCATGGATCATTCCAGGACCTCTGCTCGTTTCGTCCTTTCAACTTGCTCAGCAGATACCGCATGTCGAAAGGTCCAATCTTTGATTTGATTGTCCCACCGAATTGACCTGGAAATCAGTTTCTTGCAAAAGGTCCTTTGTGAAGGCAAAGATGGTTCCATTTACCTCTGATCAGCCTCCATCACGTGGCGAACTTTTGTTAACTTATGCTCGGCTCACATCCATTGCAACCAGAAATGATGGAACCTTTGATCAGACCACTGAAAGCTCTTGAAATCTCTGCCGAAAATTCCAACTCAGGGTTCGTCATAGTCAAGAAAAACTATGAAGTGGTTTCGGGCAAAACGATGGAGAATATTGAGGCCTTTTGTCGAATGATATATTAAATTGAGCCTGGCGAACTGTACTCCGTAAAGACCCACTGAATTTAACCACACCTGAAGTTCATGTGTAAGTGAACTTTGACAGAATAGAGGTTTTCTTCTTCCGTCAACAACCACAAAGCTATCACCAAATGTGCCTAAAGGGCGCAATTGCCGAGAAACATATATGTACTCTGATTGGTTGCTCTTTGTATACATAAGGTACACAAGCCAATTTTTGTCGTTTTGTCATACCGTACATCTTGCCGACAGTGGATAAAGATAGGTAGCCATTGTAGTGGAAGGGAGCATTGGATCACGACAAATTATTTCCAGCGATTCATAAGTGCAAACAAACAGGCTTTCAAGTCATTTCAGGTTCCATATTCGAAGGTAGTGTCAACTACGACGTCTTCCCTTGGAAGCCAGTCACCACTAATCATCGCCAAAGACTTGATGGAAATACAAGATGGATAATCTTGTTCTCTATTGCTTATCCATCACGACTTCGCAGACAAATACCTACGTAGCGAGACTTTCCACGTTGTGTCAACCATTACCGTAGCGATATGTACCTAGGTATCAATTCGCTTTATTCGCTTTGCCATTGGCATTAACTCCTACAAATCACACACACTCGAGTTTGTGTATATGTGTTTGTTTCCTACAGCGGCAGCTTGTGTGGAAGCCAACTCCAACAGATGACGCACCGCTGCTGCCTACCTAGGTACCTTCACTTCACAGCAGTGGAGGCTATCGTTTCCTTCCACTCCAGCCAACTCTACCTACCTTTTCAATAAGTAAGGTAACCTCACGGAAGCAATCGTGGGGTAGACATCTTGCAAGGTGCATCTAAACTCGCCACTACCAAAACGTCCGGCATCATGTCAACAACACCAGGAGTTTCCTTCAGAAAGGACGGTACAAAGACATTCATTCCGCTCGAAAATAATCCAGAAGTTTTCACCAAACTCATTCATAAACTGGGCGTTTCCGAGAAGCTCGGTTTTTACGATGTCTACAGCATTGACGAGCCTGAGCTGCTTGCCATGATCCCTCGTCCAGTTCATGCTCTGGTCTTCATCACTCCTGCACCTATGTGGGCGCGCGTTCGTGAGAACGACCCAGGTTCAAATGAGCTGAGTTACGATGGCTCTGGTCCAGACGAGCCAGTTGTGTGGTACAAACAAACTATAGGTCACGCTTGCGGTCTCATTGCTCTCCTTCACAGCGTGAGCAACGGCACAGCCAAGAGCTTCATCAACACAAACTCGATCCTCGATAAGATTCTTAAGGAAACACAAGATCTCAAGCCTCTCCAACGCGCCAATCATCTCTACAACTCGATAGAGTTGGAGAAGGCTCACATGGCTGCTGCAGTGACAGGTGACACTATAGCCCCTGCGAGCGAAGAGCCTAGCGGATATCATTTCATCAGCTTCGTTAAAGGCCAAGATGGTCATTTATACGATCTTGAAGGAGGTTGGGGAGGCCCGGTTGATTGCGGCACATTGGACGATGGTGAGGATCTTCTCAGCAATAAGGCATTGGAAGTTACTGTCAAAAGATTTACCAAAGCTGCTGAGGGGAATCTTGAGTTCAGTATCATCGCACTGGCAACCGTTCCAGATGGCGCCTGAATAAAGATCCATGGAAACCGACTGGTCACAAGAAAGCAATGATATTAATGCATCTTTTACACCGGGCTTTCTCTTGTACGGTGGGTATCTCCTACGTGCCTGTCCTGGAGCATCAACTGATCTGATTGAATTTTCTCTGTGACACTCAGATAATCCCAAACCTGCCTAGGTACATATTGGAAGTCTTTCGGGATTGTGTATCTGGTCTTTAGCGCCTAATATTTCACGAAGGCCGTTGCGCAATAGAGCGAGTTGGTGCTTTCACAACTTGAATTTGTTACACCAGTCCTATGCATAGATTTATCTGCCTGTTGTGGCAGTTCCTTACCTGTGTTTGTGTTTCAATGAGACGCCGGCGTACCCATCATATGGATCATTCACGTCAGACAGTGACTCGTGAAGTGGACTAACGACAGGAGACGTTTCAGGCGATACATACATTAGATTGTGTGTATTCAGCAGCCCGTTTTTCACTGTCCCTAAAAGGTCTGCGTCCGACACTTGACTCGAAACTCCTCTGGGCTGTGGTAGTGGTTCAATGTTGAAGGTTGAGGCAAAAGAATTACATTTTATGGTGTCGAGTGCCTGCTTTGGTTGAGGGGAGATTCTCTCCGCTTCATATTGCCCAGATTGGATGGCCAAGTGACTATTCTCACCTAGCTAAACTGTATGTCATTGATATCAGATCGTAACCCTTCTCATGCTTTAGATAAAGTTCAAGGGTGTTGGCTTGTTCTTGTGAGATACTCAAGGGTGTGTTGTTCCAATCCTTCACTCTAGCAATTATTGTCACATGACTAGTGAGGACATTATTCAACCTTCTCTAAGAGTCGAGAACTCTGAGATAAGTGTTTCTCAAGTCGAAGAGCAAAGGATGCACAAGGTTGGTGCAGAGTGCATTCTTGACTCAGAATTGAGTCCGGGTCCGAAGTCTCCACGGCCATACGCATGAGAAACCCTTCTTCATGTTGACTATGTTGACGACGCCTTGACTCAACGAGCAGAACTGCATCGGGCATAATCTTCGGTCATGATTGAGTGAACCCCTAGCTGTCTGTGTTCACCCTCTTCTTTCGATAGGGATTCGGAATTTTAACATTGCATTATCTGACGTTCGTCTGTTGACTTCATCGTCGAATCCATGCATGAGTGTCCCGACCAGCTTGTGAACAACCATATCTTAAATATCGTGGTCCTAACAGCAATCATTGTCTCTTGTTTTGGCTGCTTATTTCACTCCCAGTGGTAAATTTGGTAGGAGGATGGCGCATTCTGCAACGAGTTTTCGGAACGCGGCAGCACACCTGTTACATATATTATCGGGCATGCAAGTAGCCGGTTGACACATTGTGAATCACACGCACGAGGGCCTTCAACCTTCCGAGTTCTGTCCTTTCTGTCCTACAGTAATATTCTAGTACGTTCTCTAATTGCTCTTATCTTGCCGGTGCTTGTTCCGTTACTCAGATACAGCATGATATCCATGTCTCATTGGTTGATTCACCGATAAGTGTAGCAATCCAAGCACGACAAATGACTTGCCAACGCGGACTATAGGCTCTCATGGTTTTCTTTTATTTGTTGTGGCGGATCAGAGTTAACTTGTTAACGACTCGATTTGCAACCCCATAGACTATTCGTAGTACAATGCAGCCTCTAGCCCGGGTAGTCTCGTACAACGACGAGTGCGGCTCTTTGTTCGAATCGGAGACAATGTCTCAGCCTTTAGCTGCTAGCATCATTCATTCGACTGGTTACGATAAGCTTGGGGGTATAAAGAATAACCATGATCTCTTGTGAGGGATTGCAAAAGGTCTGGTACTAGACTGAGCGACCAGAATTGCAGTGGACAACCCGACAGTTCAGCCGGGAACTGGAACATCCACACGTAACGCTCGAAGATACACGTCTTCCTGCGGTTGCAGTGCAGTGTACCAAGTAGGTGCTATATAGTGTATATGTATACATGCGAAGGACTTATAAGGTGAATGGTTATATGATCTTATGAGCTGCGCTTACCCTGCAGGCAACTAATTCTGTAGGTTTGGCACATAGGCTTAGGTACACCAGACCTTAGTTATACGGGGGTTAATTGTTCCTTATGCAAAGGCCACTTATGTGATTGGATGTCGGATTTGACACAGCATTCACTTGGCAGCGATACCTAAGGTAGGCTGCAAGTTGGGCCATCTGCACGTACTCGGGAGCATAACCAAATATCACATCATTTACCATGCACAACGTCGTTTGACGGTGAGCATGCGGCAGCACAGTACTAGCTTTGTGACTTGTCGAGGATTTACATGTATGCTGGTCACTTTGGAATAGGAGTCGTGATTCCAATGGTCCCAACAGTCGTCGATCTTTACACACCTCATCAAACAGCTTGTCTCGCTCGGGTGCTTTAATTAGACATCAGGACATACCACAGCCAGATCCAGCTCAGCGAAAGGTACATACACACAAACATGACAAACATATACATAATTAGCAGCGGAGCAGATAGCTATATTTTAACATGACGATGTCTTGACGGCGGGATCACGGACAGCACACCAGAATATGCGAGATGTTGGAAATCCCATGTCGACCAGCCGGTTGATGGCCCCCTGCGATGTCAAATTTAGCACACGCCCCATGTTCCTTAGCTACTGGGTCTCTCCATCCACGGCACAACGTTAACCAGGATGATATGATTAACTTGACGAGATAGACCAAGAAGTACTTAACACCATTCAGCCTTGCGCGCTTGTTCGGACAACCTAGATGCCGAGGACACACTAGATCGGAGTAAAACGCCCGTCGAACTGAAGCGAGCACGATTTCTGCAAGTGAGCATGAAGCTATTGTCGAGGATGGATATAAGGAGTGACAGTCAATTAGCGGCAGAGTATCCAATAGTATCCAAGAGAGGTGCCTTTTCAGCACCCAGTTTTAAGCGATGACTACCCACCTAATGGAAGCGAGTATGGATTTGCACACACAACGGGCGTATATCCGTTGTAGATCACCCTAAACAATGGTGTCTGAACTTTTCGAGATCGCGATGAGGGATCTAGCTTTCCTCCGTGACACTGGGTCGTTTATGGAGTTGCTGGCACCCAACTAGATATATTTTATTGAAGGGATCGTCAATAGTCCACCTGGAGCAGTGATGACCCCCAGAACCGTGCATGGTGAGAACCCCTGGATTGACGGAAATAATACATGCATCGTACCGTGACGCCGTTGCCTTGAACCTAGTAGCTTCCATCAGCCTTCAGGAAGATTTGTGAAATGAGGAGCTGCGGCAGACGATCCAACTGGAGACGAGAGGGCGCTTTTCTAACAGGGATCACCTTGACTTTGATCTCGCCAAGCCAGTTGTATGTGGAAGCGAGCCCGAAAGGATAGGTAGATGGATCCATCACCATGAATAAAGGGAGAGCCTGACAGACTTTCATTCATTCCTCTCGAGGCGGGCGAGATTAGGCACGGATGCAACAAGCTTGCCCAAATCTTTAGCACAATGCCAAGTATCGGTGTGTATTCAATATTGTTCAATGGCGCTCTGTAGTCTGCATATCGTCAGCTCATCAAGGGTTTTTTTGTTCGCTGCACGTCTCAGTACATCCAATAGCTGACGCCGGTAGCCGGCAACAACAACTTGCCAGGTAAGCCCGGCAGATCGACGATGAGGTTAGAGGAGAATAACATGACTGGTCGACTTACAGCGGATCAAGCAAAATCACTAAGGCGACTAGCTCGAACGGTCTATCCCGGGGCATGGAAGCGTATTTGAAGAGTAGCCTCATTCGGCTCAGCGCTGAGCCTCGTCACCAAAATAGGAGTGGCTTCGTGGCGCGCACGTTGGGAAAACGTCCACTACTCGGTCTATACCCCTGACCCTGGCCTCCTTAGTAGGCCGAAAACCACAAACTCGTCCCATGTCCATTTCACCGTCGTGCCAAAAGGGCTCGAAAAGTCTGGCTCTTTTCGGCGTTACGTCATCGATTATGTAGTCGCGGGAAAGAAACGCCGGGCCATCCGGAGTGTTAGTTTACATGGATTTCGCTTGTATCAGAACCTCTTGTTCCTAAACAAAGAAATTTCTGATCTAGGCAGTAGGAAAACTTCCTCTTAGCGCCAGAAAGAAATGGGATGGGAGATCATCAAGAAAAGCTTGTTCACTCTGTGTCAGTACGTGTTAATACTTAAACCACACTCGGCGACACGTACTCCTCAGTGGATGGTGACGGAATGTGGGTTCATTTCTGCAAGGTACGGCGCAATAAGACAGGGGGGATGTGTTTCCAGGATTCGCGATCGATCTAGGTAGGGAGTTGGCAGCAGGTACCTTTTAGGTACTGTTTCTTTCGACGCCATAGGTAACTCTGAAAGTCCGCACTTCGTTGTGAGCCTCAGAGATTGTTGAGCGACTTCCTGACCAAAGAAAGCCTTACAAGCTCCATCAGCAACTTTTGTCGCCAAGACAGATGAGGACTAGGACTAACCATTTTCTGCCAAGTAGCGGGCTGCTATCCAGCTTGGCGCTGCGGGAAGACAAGTTTAACCCCTGATGGCCCTGGCAATTGAGCCATGGCGACGGAGAAGACGCGTATCAAGGTCACTGCTCCGTGGGATGGGATTTGTAACTGAAGTTATTTTTGCTTGGAGATGGAACAACTCCATCCCTCTTCCGGCATAGAGTTTGAGGCGACGCCGATATGGTAAGACGGGTTCTTGAATTCTGCGTTATCTGGTTTGTATAGCTGTTGGTCGAACTACCTAGAAAGACAGTTCCCTAGAATCCTTTGCAGGACTTCAATTCAGGTATGGAGGAGGATATGCGATGCACATCGTATTTTGACGATAGGATAGGATTTACCTGACCGAAAGTTATTACAGCTGTCCAGTAACCTACTAACCTAATCAAGCAATGGCCGTTGAAACGAAGCACATACAATTCATCATAGACTGGCATGAGGTTGGTTTGTTTTAAACTCATTGCAGCCAGGAAAGCATGCCCACAGCACAGACATTCAATGTTTCGAAACCCACATCCAAGTCCAAGACTCTAGATTTTGTCAAAATATCTGATATACCTCCAACAACCAGTCAATAACTTTACTCTTTGGATCGGCGTATAGCAAAGCCAATTGTTAGCTTCTTATTGTGTGAGATAGGAGGACAGCACATGGAAACGGAGGACTTTAAATTCCCGGTTGGTGGAAGGGTTTATTAACGATGGGGAACTGTTCCATTGAACTTACCCACTTGATTATACTTGGCTCCTCTGAGGCGCAGCATGTGGGATGCGTACATCGTGTTGTGTAATGCTCCACGGTGTTTGAACTTTACATAGGCTACATAGGTCACATCCTGTTGTTTGTTGGCAGCTCGGCAGGGTCGCCCTGCACTCTGAATGAGAGGGGTTTATCTTTGCATGTGCTTGTCTTGATATTAACTTTGGTGCACTAGTCAATACGATGTTTAAACCGCCAGATACACTAGGGTTTGCTAGGCATGATGGGTTCTTGATGCAGCCACCCATGTCAAGCAATTGTTTGATTACCATCCAACTCAAGGAGTTTTGATGTGAGCCTTGTGTCGTACTGCAGCCGGTGTTGGCTGTCCGACTATATAGTAGACTGGCATTATGGATCATGCCATGTGTGGTCTGCGTAAAATACAGCCAACTCTCATAGAAAGCTTGCACGAGATTGGAGTCAGGAGATCTATTGAGGCCCCAGGCCTGGGTATCTGGATATTCGGTTCATCATCAAACATAATTACCGGTCACCAACATCAATTTACCCGTCGTAGCGGCGTCAGATGGTCTGCTCCAATGTCAGCGCAACCCCGTGCCGCACCACGCGGATGTTAGGATGGATGATGCTGGTAGGGATCATGATAAGGAATTTGGACAACGGGACGGGTGATGGAAGGTGAGGGACAAGGGCAAAGCCGGGAAGATTTGGGTTTGGACAGATTGAGGGCCATCGAGTTAGGGTCCCATCTATTCGTACTAACCAAGCAATTGCTGGTGACTGACTTCTCGCTTCTGGGGTTTGCTTCGTATTCATTTGACTGTGCGTGATTGATTCCCCTCGTTTACTTCTCCCTTGACTGAACAGAAATTTCTCCTCTTCACCCTCTCTCTTTTTGAACATTGTAGATTCTGGTTTGCTGCATCAACGACTAACCGCAGCCGACGTGAGATTCGGTCTTTTTCCTTTTTAATCTTTCGGGTTGTGTGGCGTCTGGGGAACATTTGAACACCCAAGCTGAAAAGAAAGCGAGAGCGGAGACGACACGCGACGACAAAGCGAGCTACTCGATCCAAGAGAGAATAAATGCGAAACACAACGACCGAACGGAGAATCAGCGACGAATGAGACCGATATTTACAACAAGCAACATCGAGCATTAGTTCTCAAACTCTGGGGCATTGGATCCTAAACAATTGGGTAATTTCGATATTTGACCGAAGTGTTTTCTTCTGAACGGACGAAAAAAAATCACACCAAGACACTTTGGAATTGAGTTCTTTGGATCTTTAGCGGCGGATCGCTTGATACCTGTCTACGGAGTACTTTCAACGGTAATCCGGCAGTCACTCCTGCAATCAATCAATCATCAACTGGGCTCGCTCTCTACGAGTACGGACTACGGAGGAGGATTTTAATTCAACCTTAAGCTTGCGCGTATTTTCCTCGTGGCATTGGGTCCTCAACTTCCGGCCGCTCCGCACCGATCCTCGTTAGCTCCAGCAACGTATCTCGAAACGAAGGTCTTCCGAGTCCCCCGTCCTCGTCACCATTCGTCACTGCTGCCACACCACTGGCCGGCCTATCCTTGAGTTGGGAATAATAATTCTATTGTGAGGGACAAAAGAGAAACAGTAAGTTGATTTTTTGTTATTGTTGTGAAATGCTTGGCCTGAAGCCTTCTGCGTTACTGCCCTGGTTCTCCAATTGAGTTTCATGGAGCAGGTGGACAGTCTCTGCTTCATCATGACTTCAAAGCCTTCTTCCATCCATCCCTTCATAACACACCCCTCTTTCTAGCTGTCTCTGCCTATTCCCCAACCTGTTTGCCATTGGCATTTTTTTTTCTGGGCACAGCAGAATCAAATACGGGGGTTTGCATTTTTTGGGGCGGCATTCCGTTTCTCAGAACCATATCCTCGCATTGCATTGCATTGCATCTCATCACACACGCACATGTCTGCCATGTAATTTGAGCCTCCCAACCACTGGCAGCTCATGATATCGTTCTCTTCTTCAAACTACCTACAGTCGGACTGAGCCACTCCCGCATATCGTACATGCCGCCGCCTCCGGCCGGGGTCCCCCTTGTCTTATTTTCCTTGTATCTAAGCCTCTCTTTCACATACCTGCTTGCTACATACGCACTTGTTGCTTTGCTTTTTGCTTGCTGTTTCGCTGGCCCCTTGCAAAGCTCGGCCCCCTTGGTTCTTGACTTGGCCTATCTTTGCTGGTCTGTTGTCCACTCGCATCTTGTCTTTCTCCCACACGCCTCCTCTCACTTTCCTCTTGTTAAAATTGTCTAGCCTCTCCAGAACATCTTGAACACCCCGGTCCCCAGAGAGATTACAGTGGTTGTCTCTGCCAAGTACACTTCAGGTAGGCACTGCACTACTTGAGTTTTCTCTCTCGGCGGCGCCTTACCCCCCCTGCCACCTCAATTCAAATCGAGGCCCAATCATTCACGGGCCATATCATCATTTACAGGCGAAACACACAACACACCAAAGACCAAGCGACCCTCTCTTCCATCAACCCGAAGCTGATTAATTAAGTTAAGGCAACGCAGCACAGTACAGCACCGGCCTACAGTGGTAAGCCTAGTCGATCGCAAAAAGGGACAATCGGGGGCCCGCCGTACTCGTACCGATAAATCCTCCTAGAGCCAAGTCCGCGCAGCTTCTTCCGCGCCCGCTGTGAGATTTCTAAGCTTGAACAAGGGCCCAATTCTTGTTGCAGCTTCTCAGCTCAGCCCACTCTCGCTCCTGCAGTCCGTCCGATTACAATCCCCAGACAATCTCCCACACCCCGTTTGGTGCACCGTCCACGGAGGCCATCTCAGCTCTCGTCCCACTCATCACACTCACTACTGGCCGCTTGTAGATTTCTTGCTGCTTCATTGCCTATCGAAAGTTGACGCACGAGACGCCGCTGTACATCCCCCCTGGTACGCCATCCTGCCGCCTACGCCACGATTTAGGCCCTGTCGCTCGTTGATTCTACCGCTGGCTGTCACTATCACTGCCGTCTTCTCGCCCACCGACGCCTCGCTGGCCTCGTTCCCATTCGATAGCTTCCTTCTCCCGAGCCGCTACATGCACAATTGAGCTGCGCTATCGCCTTTGATCCTCGTCGCCCGCATCGCTACTCACAATAAACGGCAATCATCATCAGTTTGAGCTTATCCTTGCTTAGACAGGTACTTCCATCAGTCCCGATCTTGTTGTGTTGTGGTACCCAATATACGCCCCAAGACTACGGGTCCGTCGTTAGAAACCGCTCCGCTACACCCTCAGACTGGACCAGGCCACTATTCCACATTAGGACCCGCCAGACATTATGGCGCCTGTATCGCCCCGGCTCAAGATTCTATCAGGTTTGTCGTCTCTTCTCTTACAATTCTCCCTTCATACCTAGGTTTAGTTCACGCAGAAACCAGAGGTGGACGGTCGCGTCATTTCAGATCAACTGATCCCTCCCAATCCTTCATCAGTTGACACAATCTCTCTAAATCTTTTCTGTCTCTTGTCTACCTTTCACTCGTTTGTCTTGAAATCCTCACGTCAACCGTCAGGACGGTTGCTCGTGCAGCGTCCCACTCTCGTCGCTCATCATGGCCAACAGCGAGCTAATGTCAGTTTGTTCAGTGGGAGGCAATCCCGTCTCGGCGTTCCTATCATGGAGGCTCCAGGCCACCAACGCGTGTGATGTGACGCTCGTTTGGAAGTCTGGTTACGAGCATGTGGCACAATACGGTATCTCGTTCAAGTATGTGAACCAATGCGCTACGACTCCAACAATATGCTGATTGACAATCAAGATCCCCGATATTTGGCAACGAGAGATTCAAGCCTCGACATGGTACAGTTCAACAACCCCCTTGCTTTCGTCCAGCATGCTGAGATAACATTTGAAGTTGTTCGAAACCCTGAGGATGCCGCGAGCGCTCGAGAAGGCCCCTTCGATTATGTCGTACTCTGCGTCAAGGCGTTACCCGATGTCTACGATCTCGCCTCAGTCATTGACTCGGTCGTGACCCCCCAGCATACATGCATCATCGTCAACACAACACATACTCTCGGAGTCGAAGCTGCTTTGGAGGAGCGATTTCCTACCAATGTGGTCCTATCACTTGTTTCAGGTGCTGAGCTCACGCAACTCGGTCAGAGTGAATTTGAACATAAGGGCCCAGCAGATATCTGGATTGGTCCTGCTAACAACCCGAACAATATCCCACAAACCATCCAGGAGGACATGGCACAGGCCTTAGCCATGACACTTAGTTCTGGTCAAGTGGAATGCAAAGTTTCGCCAAATATCCGCCAGCAGCAATACGAGAGAGTAATAGGGTTTGTCTTTCATCTAAACGCCTTGAAACCCAACTAATTGACGTTGCAGTCCTATTGCGTTCCATCCGATTAGCGTTATCTTCGAAACTCCCAACCATGCCTCGCTTTTGGAAAAGGTTGGCGTTAGGGACATGGTATCGGAGGTCATTGACGAGTTGCTTCGTCTAGCTGATGCTAATGGATGCAAATTTGATCCCGATTTCAAGCAGAAGACGATCGATGAGATGTCCAAAGCTTCCGGGGAGAGCATAATGTGGCAGGATTACGTTGCTCGAAGGCCTATGGAGGTTGAGACGTACCTAGGATCGCCCGTCAAACTGGCTAGAGACTCGAATATTTCCCTTCCTCGTATCGAGACACTTTACTCGATTCTTCATAACCTTAATCTGGTCAACCGCAGCCGACCCAAACCTGGCGATCCGAACGCGAATATCATACCACCCGCCTCCCCCTCCGCGGCACCTGTGCCTCGAATGCCTTCGCAAAACAGCCATCGACCCATGATGAACGGTATGCCCAACGGAAATGGTATGCCCCCTCGCCAGCCCAGACCTCGGAACTCTTCCAACTTCAGCCAAGGCGGTATGCGCCGTGGACCACCCCCGATGAACGGTGGACCACCCAATGGTTATGTTCGACCTCCTCCGATGAATGGTCCTGGATCTCGTCAACCTTCAAGGAGAGGCTCATTAGAGGAGACTAACCTGGAGGAATTCTCTCATCTCGTTCTTTATGACGATATTCCTGAAGGTTCCGAGCCATCCGTCAGTGGTGACCCAGCAGACATTAATCTCAGAGAACGAGAGTTGGCTTTGCGGCAGCGTGAAATGGCAATTCGCGAGCAAGAAATCCGAATGCGCCGTGGACCGCCTCCTGGCCCTCCCGGAGGCCCTGGACCTCGTCGTGGCCCTCATCCTATGCGCAACAGCAAGCAGGTGTTTGACGAAGACGATGATGATGACGACGATTACTTTGACCCTACTGCCAACCCTGGTCCTCCGCTGATCGATCCAGACAACTTCGATATGATGAGCGTTACATCGAGAAAAAACCGAAAAGCTCCAGGACCAAGCCCTGGCCAGTTTCGCCGTAATCCCGATGATATGCCGCCTCCTACACGAGGCGGCCGATTCAGGCCCAACTTCGGCCGCAATCGATCTTCCCAAGTTGGTCACAGCTCCATGACATCTGAAAACATCCTCGAAGACCCCCTCATGAGCTGCTCCTCGGATCGTTATGGATCCGTTGACCGTGGAGCGATGAACGCAGGCTCTCGAGCAAACTCACTAACAGCGTCAAGGCTTGACGAGATGCAGTACGGCCCAGGTCCCGGTGGACCTCCCGGGATGAATGGTGCCTATCCCCGGCGTGCCAGTCAGTCTCCCGGGAACCCTTATACTCCATCCATGCGAGGCGGTAGCCGACGGGGATCGCCTCCGGGTGGTTACGGTCCAGGCCCGGGCATGAATGGCCGACCATCACCCCCGGATGGTGTTCGCCAACCTGTCCCTCGTCACCCACCTGGTCACGGTAACTCAGTAGCACCACAGCAAGTTGAACAACATATTGGGGTGAGCGCCCTCCACCAAACTAAGCCTAGGAATGTTCGCAGTCTGACGGGTAGTGCGAGCGCCAGCGCGGGCAGTGGTGAATTTGATTCCGAACAATCTGCAAACAGCAGTCAAGGCAGCTTGCCTCCACGACCGCCAATCGGTGTGCGTTAGGACGCTCTCCACAGCGATAATATTCAACGGAGTACCTAGGACGTCAGGTTCCAACACACGGTCCCATATATGATGTCTGTCCAACAAGGCTTTGATATTCTTGTTTTCGCAGTTACGGAGTTCCGGACATGCTTTCTTCATCGCTTAAACGGGACCATTTATTTATCCCGTCGCGAAGCCTGGTTGAGGCCATGTGTACTACATCTATGCATCTGGCTTGAACAACTATACGACACACCTCGACGAGGACGGCCCTATTTCATTTTGTTTTTATTATACGCCCGAGTTCCATCGAAAACACGAAACGACACGACAAAAGTCAGAGTCACTTTGGACTATTCTCAGACACGACGTCTTTTTAATTATTCCTATCGACACAATCCGTACATACATTGAACAACCAAACAGAAGTAGTCTATCCTTGGTAATAATGCATTGGAATCGGGGATGATATACTGGTGCCTTTCAGCATATAATCGGCTCTCAGTTATTCAAGACTCTGTTCATGAGACGCCCGAGTCTTGGTTCTGCTTTGACATATTGGGACAGCCTCGCGCAAGGAAGAAACTTTCGGAGAACGCTAAGCCCGCCTCACAGAAGACAGGTTGGGACTGAATAATGAATGTGCCGGTGGAAAAACGAGGAAGTGGGTGGGTTAAGATCAAAGGCATTGCACCAGCTAAGCAAGTCTTTGTTTTTGATTGTTGAAGCGCCGTACAGAAGTTTGCGTGGACATGTCATGAAAGGTCAAATGGACTTTGCAAATGAGGAGAGATCATGATAGGCATTGTTTTTCTTGGCGGGGTTACACAATCAAATTAGACTACGGATGGTTTCTTTTTCTGGTTAAATCTGTTCATCGCGAGACGTTGTGGAATGTGAATAGGAAAGCCATCCACGGCATTGGGAGAATTCCTATTGGAAATATACATAGATACGGAATAGTAGTATGGAAGAGAAAAGTGATGAAATTATGGCCAAGGATTTCTGCATCACCTTTGAGAAACCATTGATAACATAGACCGAACTATCCATCTACCTGAAGGACAAGCAAGATGCAGCCTGATAGTCAACAATATCCATTGCCCAATTCTCTTATCATCCGGCAGAGAGCCACTTTACCACTGTATACCTCAACTCAATAGGCCAACAACAGCGTGGCCATCAAAGCTGAGAAAACAGCCATAGGTACATAGCTAGTTGTTCTTGTGCCAGCGTTAGGATCCTCACTACCTCCAGTGATATTCCTGGTGCGCAAGCACAACAGCGAAGGCTGTAAAACATCGTCCAGGCTATATGTGTCGGGGTCACGACGACCCCAGTTGATCATTACAGTCCAAACACCACGCACAGCATAGTCATATGCCTCCTCCTGGGTCATTGCATTGTATTTTCCAGCCGTTTGTGGGCGTTGGCTGATCAAGGTCTTTCCGCTTTCAAATTGACTCAGATTCGCCCCAGCTACATCACGGGTCAGTGTCCTTTTACTCGAACAGGTTGTGAAGCTATACTTACGAACTCCGCCATACGTTGGGCCATAGTCTTTATAATACTTCTCACATTTAACTGGCATATGTGGCAACATTGTGCACTCCTCGCCGTTCCAGTAGTATCCAGCTGCTTCTGCGTTCAAGGCTTCTAGGCAATCTTCGTCAAGGAACGAGCTGCAGTCTCCATCGTCGTGTTGTGCATCGTCAGTTGCTTCATCCTTCAGGCGACTGGGTCCCCAGAAAGCAATACACACATGCCAGTCTGAAGAGTTCGTACGACTGCTATTCAACGTTGGAACTCTCATTCCCTCTGGTGCTTGAACACTGATGTCGATGCCGGGATAAGGTGTATCGTCCCCAGGGTCGTCCGTAATATTGGCTACGCGAATGGTAGCCGTCCATCCATCAACGGTTTTGTTTGGCGGGAATCTTTCCGATACATTATACGCCTCAAATTTATATGTCCCAGTTGCGTTGGGGTTCTCAAAAGCAGATTGCCATGCTTGCTCACTCATGTTACCAGGGCTTCCGCCCGTCCCGTATCGACCATCAAATGCGATGGCCGAGGAGGTCAAAGCAATGATTCGGAGAGCTGCTTTCATATTCGAAGACGGAGGCAAAGATGACACAACAAATTGAGTCTCAATTAAGCTTAAAATCAACTCAACCTGCTTGTGGGGGGGGCTTGTTGTCTAGATATAGATACCTAGTATTTCGATCTGCGCTTGTCTCCAGAAGGATTTATCTAGTCGACACTGAGCCTTGGCTACTCAAGATCCTAACAGGCCCAGACTACACAACGGCTAGATCATCTGGCCATTTACGTACAGTTGGCAAACCACGATCCTCTGATCTACAGTCAATTCCTTCGCGCCGTAGACAAGCTGTACTGACCAGGTCATTGTTGGCAGTTATGACGTCGAAGGAACAAAAGAAGTAGGATATTAAACCAGTAGGGATACAGCTGAAAGGTACATGGGGGCCTTTGTCGATCACCATGCTCTTCTAGGCTGCTAGGCAGACAGTATTCGCTCCTCAGTGTTAAAATCCCTGAATATTGTTAGCATTCAGTTGTCAGCCCAAAGTCAACAAGGATCTTCTGGTGAAGGTCAACAGGGCTGCAAGACACCCTTTACCTGATCCAGGACATAATACATAATAACTACATGTAAGGTAGGTCCGTAGGATATTCATCAGGCCCAGGTTTGCGACAAAACGCCGCGCAAGAAGAAAAGATTGGAGATAAATTGATAAGCGCAGTTGAATCATTAATGATTCAGTGTTGGCCCTTGAATACTGTAGGTAAGCTGTTGTTTGAACGTTGAAACAGACTGCTTCATACATATTGCTGAACCAATCAATAATTGTTAAACGCACGGGCCATTTTACCACTAGTATGGATCCATATTGTAAACAAACCCCAAATCACTGCCTTTCCCCAGGTATGTTCCATACCCTACCAACCTTGAACACCTACAAGTAGCTAGGGTAGTTCAGGTGAGGTCAGCATAATTGCATCTCCAGAAGACTGCCCCGAATACACAAGCATACAACAAAAGTAGCCGTTGGTCCTTTTTTTTCTTACCCCGGAGTATTCCTTCTTCTGAGTTCCAGGAGGCGGGCGATCCTTCACTTACAAGAGAGGGCATCTCATCTTCACCAGTTCGCAAGTGGATTAGAAGTTCGGGAGAAACTTTACCACATCACATCCAACAAAGCAATGGCGACGCGGAACGTGAGCGGTTCACAGGTGCGACAGAGCATGGCCACTAGTGGAAGTGCTGTCAAGACACGACAACTTGTGAGTTCCCTCAACCCTTATTACATCACTATGGTAGTTATCAATCAACTCCTTTATCGTGTGACTTTAAGGACTCGGGTTGCATAGCGATCCTGTTCTAAATGAAAACGGCATTTGCTAATGGTCTCTTGCTTAACCTAGGCACAACTAAACTCTCAACTCGCACAGTTGTCATCAAATCTGTCCGACACCGAGAACTTGCTACGGATGACAAGTGTCCAAGCAGAAGCTATGCGTGGACTTGGTAGTTGGCATGGAGGTTTGTAAGTGTTTTCAATTTGGTGGACGGTGGTGGTGTATGTAGGGAACAGAGTCGCTGACTTGATGGATAGGTTCATGGCAGCAAGCAAGGTCTTGGGAGAGGAAAGTGTCAAAGAAGCTGGACAGCCAGGAAAGTAATAATCGACTAGTCAATCTGGAAGAGGCAGGAAAGGGATATTTTGACAAGGGATGGCGAGAATGCAGCATGAGTTATGTTCTATTAGGCGTATCGAAAATCGCTTTCAAACCGCTTTTGTCAAGAAGACGTCCTCTCAGCAAGGGATTATGTTTCCAGCTGACTGATATGTAAAAGCTTGGTAAAAGTATAGTATCTGATATGTGTTATAACGTCCTCCAGTGCTCCCGGCCTTAAGAATAAGGCCGGGTGACTTCTCAAAGGCCCTGGTCTATTGTCTATCGTCAGCATAAAAGTATGCTCTGAAGGGATGACAACCTCCAGCTAGAAACCTTGAACTACAATTGAGATAACGGAGAACACACATGTTTGAGCGAAGCGGAAACAGTGCAGTTTCGATGTTCAATCATGTCATAAACCAAGACTCAAGCAGCCTTTCCAGTCTCTGGCTCAAATGTGAGTTCTCTGGATACAACTCAAGTTGGGCTTGGTCCTTGAGGACGACGTCGGTCTATTCGTTGCTTGAACGACCTTGACTTTCTCTTGTTTTATTCAAGGTCCCGGCGTCTGACCTGGTGTCGGGATGGGCGTTTTGTGTGGTGTTGTCTGGGCAGTTGGCCCCTGTACTTTCGATTCATTGCTGCTATATTCTGTGCCTTCTTTGTGATCAAGCTTGCGCATGTGCTTCCGCTTTTGTCTCGGGGCACAGACTGGGTATCTCTTGACATTACCGCAAGTCTTGCAGTTGATGTTTAAAATATCAGCCCATGGCTTTCGCCCTCCTTTGCTCGCATTCTCCACGGTTGATGTACAGGTGTCGCCCTCGACTAGTAGAGTGTCGCAAAACTTGCAAATAGTTTGCTTCATAGCCGGACTTCGCCGTACTTGTGCTTTGAGAGTCACAGCTCGTAGGTCTGAAATGGCCTGACGAGACATATTCCTCAGTGCTCTTTCCTCGTTTCTTGTTTGAGGGGAAACACTGTGCCCATGGCTTGGGGTTGATGATTTTGCTGCAGCATCTTGCCCAGTTGAGGACTGTTTAGTAAGATATGAGGCAGCTTGATAAAGGTACGATGCTCTAGAATAGATGATGCGGTTCTGGACACCTTTTAGTTCCTTGCCTTTCGCCATTGGAACTTCTGAAATATTGAGGATTTTTGCTGGTTATCTTATAAAAGTGAAATGCTTAATTCTTACCTCAAGGTACCTAGTTGTATGCCATACCAGTGCATAGAGATGCCTAGCACTGTCAAGATCCGAGTCACGTGATCGCGCTTCGCACGGGCCTCTTTAGCCAGCAGCGACCTTGCTTGCTCCTGCCTGCTTCTGGCACCTCCCTTCTCAGCCTCAACAAAGACTCTTTCAAGCCATCCTTGGAACGAGTATCCTGGTTCCCGACACATTTTCCCCATTCCACATCTTGAAAAAAAACATTTGATTCTCATTCTATCATCTTGACGGCACGCCTGCGCCGCGTTTTCGACACCCTACGGCGACGCGACTCGAACGTAATCGCGTCAGACTCGTCATCGCAACGTCGCTGCAAAGAACAGCTTCTGCAATAGCTTCCGCATCAACCATCTAACTACCGGTAAATCTCGGTCAACATGTCTCACGAGGAAGATCTCATTGATTACTCCGATGAGGAGATCGGTGGTAACGAAACCACTGCTACCACCTCCAACGGCAAGAAGGGCGAGCTTGCTGCCGGCAACAATGTCGACAAGAAGGGCAGCTACGTCGGCATTCATTCCACCGGTTTCCGCGATTTTCTTTTGAAGGCTGAGTTAATTCGCGCCATCGGCGACTGCGGTTTCGAACATCCATCGGAGGGTCAGTCTTGATATTTTAATACCCTAAGTCATCATATCCCCTCCCTTCAAGCGTTCGTCCATCTCGCAAGCAAGAACAAATGGCCACTTTTTTTTCGCAATCGTCATTTTCGTCATCGTTGGGGCGGTCAAGGCTGGATCTGAGAGACGGTCCGTATCCGGGCGGAACAAGACCACGGGTGAGAGACGTGGTTCTCCGCAAAACCACAGCACTGTTGTCACAATTATCACGCGTAAGCGGATAATATGTCAATCGTTGTCGCGAACGGATTCTTCTGGTATATACGAGGGCAAAACAAGGAAAACGCGAGACACCAAGAAATTTCTTGGTGCCCCTAGGCTATGGTTGCTTGTGCAACCATTCGGCCTCTGAGCCCTAACCTCGCGTCGATATCAAACTATTCCAAATCTATACCAATGGAAAATGCGAGAATACAATGGCTAAGCTGCGACGATGGACGGACACTTGAGATTACACCCGTCGTTCGTTGCTTCTTAGAAACCCACTCTAACATCGGTTCGGTCGACAGTTCAACAAACCTGTATCCCCCAGGCACTCCTCGGTGGTGATATCATCTGCCAGGCCAAGTCTGGTCTAGGAAAGACAGCTGTCTTCGTTCTCGCTACCCTTCAGCAGGTCGAGCCTGTGAACGGAGAGGTCTCCGTCGTTGTTATGTGCCACACCCGAGAGCTGGCTTACCAGATCCGTGACGAGTACAACCGTTTCAGCAAGTACATGCCCGATATCAAGACCGGTGTGTTCTATGGTGGAACTCCCATCAAGACCGACATGGAGACACTCAAGAATAAGGACACTTGCCCTCACATCATCGTGGGTACTCCTGGACGTCTTAAGGCCCTCGTTCGTGACAAGGCTCTACGTCTGGGCAGTGTTCGCATCTTCGTGCTTGATGAGTGTGACAAGATGCTTGATCAGCCTGGTGAGTCTCGCTCATGCAACCAACTTTTTAACGTACGCTAATGGCTTCAGATATGCGTACGGATGTGCAAGATGTTTTCCGTGCTACGCCTCCTCAGAAGCAGGTTATGATGTTCTCGGCCACCTTGTCCGAGGAGGTAAAACCTATTTGCCGAAAGTTCATGCAGAACCCGACCGAGCACTACGTCGACGAGGACACTAAGCTCACTCTTCATGGTCTTCAGCAGTTCTATATCAAGCTGGAAGAAAAGGAGAAGAATCGCAAGCTCAACGAGCTCTTGGATGAACTCCAGTTCAACCAGGTCATTATTTTCGTCCGTAGCACTGTTCGTGCCACTGAGCTTGACAAGCTCCTCAGGGAGTGTAACTTTCCTTCTATTGCCGTCCACTCTGGCGTCAGTCAGGAAGAACGGTGAGTTACCAAGTCATTGAATGTTGTGCTTGTTTCTAATATAATCTAGTATTCGTCGCTACAAGGAGTTCAAGGAGTTCAAGAAGAGAATCTGCGTTGCTACCGATGTCTTTGGACGAGGTATTGATATTGAGCGTATCAACCTCGCCATCAACTACGACTTGTCCAACGATGCCAGCTCCTACCTGCACCGTGTCGGTCGTGCTGGACGATTCGGTACCAAGGGATTGGCCATCTCGTTCGTCAGCACCGACCAAGACCAAGAGGTGCTTAAGGAGATCGAGAAGCGATTCGAAGTCGCCCTTCCGTATGTTGCTTCCCTTCTCTTCTCTTCATTGTTCCAGTGACTAACAGTATCCAGTGAATTCCCCAAGGAGGGTGTCGATGCCAGCACTTACATGGCCTCTTAAAGGGCTGGATGAGATGGTGGTTCCCACTGCAACAAATGGTGAACGCCTTGCGCCGCTGTAGGCCGTTGGTGAGAAGCTAGGAAATTGATGTTGAAAGACTGAGGCGGCGAAGGGCAAAAGTTGCAAACGATTTCATCTTGGTCAATTGTATTCGTTAATTTTTTTCAATGGATTCGTATTACGATGCTCGTGTTTTATAAGCAGCCTAGGCTGTTCCCTGAGCGAAAAGTGTGCCACTTGCCCACATATTGCGAACCCCGACGACCTGCAAATTTAGCTACACTGTAGGTCTCGCGTAACTACCGTGCCTTGAGGTTGACTCACCTGCTTTGACTTGTAACTTCACGACAGTGATCAGGCGGTTCAACACGTATTCATAGCTTGGCCACGTTTGTGACTGAAATAAGATGTGTCGGGAACTGAGATGTGATGCCTCTCGTCGGCGTAAGTGAGTTCAGCCAATAAACTATATAGGTAGTTTAGATATCATTTCCAGTTTACCGCGCTGATACGTAGAATGAAGGGGGAGTGCAGCATGGTACACAAAGGTGGCGTATATTGAAGGCTGCCTGTAGCAATTTCTTCGCTACTTTCAAAATCTTCGTGACATGAATCACATATTCTCGTCGACTTTCAACCTTCCCGTGGTGTTTACAGTGGTATTATACGGACCGCAAGGTCAGTGGCTGTCCTGCTGGCACTTATTCCTCCACAGGTTGATAGCAGAGACATGCCGTCCTCGCCACAGCTTGACTGGTTCGGCGACGTGCCTAGCAGACTCAGCTTGTTGCCATCATATTCGAGATCATGCAATCATCGCTGCTTTTTCCGTGAACCTCCTGTTACGATCAGCGGCTCAGCTTTATCTTGTTGTGGTATAATTGCGATCCCCTGTATGCGTTCGGCTACAGCATGTACCTCAGGTGCCCAGAGAACATTCGACAGGTTTCGATAACACTCCCATTTCCAAGTCACCCTTGAGCATGCAAGTTATTTGGTTCGTGGCTTGACAGTCAAGAAGCGATATCGGCTTCCGACTTCATACATAGTAGTTGGTAACTCAGTTCAGGTGTGTCTTGTGGCTTCTTGAATAATGCCTCTGGATACAATCTGGTATTCACGATTCGGCACAACAAAGTACGATGAGACTTGCCTCGTTTACTTTAATTGACAGGCCCAAGCACTTCTGATTTGATATGCACAGCGTGTGGCCAGGACATGCTGCAAGGCCAGGGCGGGTTGGAGACATGGACGTAGCTAGGCAGCCACGTTCTCGAGCATGGAAGTTGTCTATCTAAGCGCGTTCGAGATCTGACGGTGAAGGGGTTGAGGGCATGGGTCAGGGGTCTTGTTAAGGGACTGAGAAGAAATGTGTTTTTCGGCTACCACAGTAGCTACCGAATATATTGACCACTTCGAATACGTAGGCTGTGATAGTACCTCGCAGAGCACCGCATGGTCGTAACCATACACTGCCATACGCACGTAGTAACAAGTAGTTTCTTACACACATTTGGAAGATGGGAGTTTCCGTGGAGCGGCCGGGGCCCCGAAGTTGCCGGACTGGGGGCCGGAATGTGGGGGGCAAGCTTGGCAAAGGGTTCACTCACTGTTCAAGGCCTTGGTAAGTGGGCGGTATCTGGCTGGTTGGGACCGAGGACGACACGAACAGAGAAGGCAACTGTATTTGGTAAATCCCATTGTTTCTGTAATAAACCTTGGGTCCCGTGAGGGGCTCCATCCTGCGGTGCGTCATGACATCTGTACTCAGCCATCCAACCGAAGCTGAGGCCTAGGCGGCGGTGCAACCTACACGCAACATGAACCCCTTCGCCCTTCACAAGAATAGAAGAGTGTTGTGGAGCAAGCCTTGCTATCCACCTTTCGATGTGACCAGGCAGCCCAGGCATGCTACCTTAAACACTCTTTTTTTGTCTAGGGTAGGGCAGCCTAAGTTTCCTCAAACGTGGCGTAGAATATTATACATATACCAGCTTATGAATGAGGTACAGTAGCTACGCCAGTCCCCCGAGACGTTGGTGGTCTCAAGAGGCAAGCCAGTACATCTTTACGGTTCTCGAACTTACTATGTGTGTTACTGTGTTTTCCGTTTGATGTCTTGAAAGAACAGGACTGGCAGCACTGAGTCACAGTAAATGGGCCAACCACAACGTACATGGGTAAGGTAAGTGGAGTTTCGGTCGTTGAGAGTTCGCAGCTTCGTCAGCACACAGAAAAAGTGTGCGTTGAGATACTTGTACAGTGATCACGTTACGAGCGGGAGCACGATGCTCGCGGCGTGCCCTGATTGATCCTTCTTGCGATGATACTATGTAAGTGACGAATGCCCGAAAGTTCAAATTGCTACTGCAATGCATGAACAGGTTACCTGAGAGCAATGAGCCATGTCCATGCCCGCCCGGATCTGTTAAGGATCCGGTGACCGAACGGGTCCCGTTTCTGAACCGAGGAGGACCCTGCTGAGGTGATGATTCGTACAAGCTCGATGATGCGCAATGAGAAGAACAACACAATATGCTAGTGGAGTGTTGTACGGCGGACCATAGAGCTCGGTACGTGCGATTTTGAGTCGGGACTTCTGGCGAATAACAAAGAAATTGGAATCTGTTAAGGGGCTGGTAGCGCGCCGCCACTTGGTGGGCGCACGAGCCGGATGAAGGAGCATTCATCATGTCCAAGGACACCGAGTACGTGACTGAAAAAAGGATCGTGTTTCACCATCAGCAGATACATCACAGAGGAGAAGAAGTACCCAAAGAAAAGAAGAAACCACGCTCACGCTCACGCTCACGATGTGCAGCTGATGAGGAGTTGTGTAAGCACCTGTGGGACCAGAGTCATGATGGCGGTGTCTGTAATCAGCCTTCCCATGATGGGCTCGAATGAAGGGGACACCAGTCATTGCACAGATGGAACGAGAGAGATTTTCGAGGTCGCACACGTGGTGGCAGTATTATCACAAAGAAGCCAGCAATTTCGACGACCAAGCTCATCAAACTTAGCTTGTTGATTTGATCGAGTCAACTGGCAACCGTAGCCCAACAAGGCTTGGTGAGTCAAGATTGACACAAACAGAAGGACAGGATTCTCCATGGACACCACATTGGCGACTGTATGATTGTGTCAAAGTAAATGTGTCTTTGCACTGCATGATAACGTTTGAGGCTTGTGCTCTTGCAGCGGGCAACAACCCGAGTTACAGAGTCACGATGTTGGTGTTGGATCACTACTAAAGCCAGGTATTTGAGGCATAAGCATCAGAACCGTTCAAAGGACTTAGGTCATTATGGAATGGCTAGATTCCCTATAGATGTCCGATCAACAAAAGTCGAGAGACAATGGCGAGACCTTCTACAGTAGATCATCTGTAAGGGTGAGGGGAACAGGAGCCTCGAATTGCCTGTGACAAACACCAGACACGGGTAAAGGCCAGAGGCGACACCGGACTTCAACATGCGCTCAATGGCTGTGATGCGATAGGGACTAGATAGAACTTTATAATTTGTCAATCCCGTAAATGCCTCTCGTTCCGACATGTGTGCCACCGCATTTTAGTAGCAAGATACTATGTACATACATAGCGGGTTTTTTATTGATGCTGATGAAAGTGAACAGACGCCAAGTTTTGAAGAAGAGATCTCGGATTCTGCCAACAGACTTTATGTTCTGAGGCGAGACAAATCCAGACCAATCATTTCCACCCACACATTTATACAATCGATTCTGTCGAGATTTGTGTGAGACAGGCTTCTTTCCATTGGGCAGATTGTTCGGCTTTCATTGAATGCTTCTGTGAAGGAAGCTACAGCGCAGCTTCGAAAAGCTGAGTGAACGATGACCAGGCAACATCTTGGCGACAAGTATAGTCCGTACATTTGCCAAATGAGAACCGAACAACCCCTCTCTTGGCCATATTGTAACCATCATCATGAAATATACCAGATTTACCAATACTCATGAAGTGGTGGCGGACAAGACGGAGGTGTGCACTATCAAGAGCTGAGGAGAAGAGTCATCACGCACTCGAGCCAAGTTTTTGAGGGCTATGCTCCCACCCAAAAAGGCAAAGGGTTAAAGCGTAGCACTGGCTGTGAAGATTCAGCTCAGTACCATTTAATTTAGCATCATGGCCAGTAATCAGCAGCGGTCGGGTGCTTCTCAGGAAAGCTTTAGGTTTCATTATGTGTAAGGCCAAGAGTTCAGAAGTATATCAGGGGCAACCGTGTAACAACTGACTGATCCCAGAAGAAGATGACGAGAACCTAAAACGAGGATGGCTTCTTCAATTTCGAGCACAGGCAGTCGACAGCTCAGTCAAGAGTCAAGGAACCAGAAAGGGTTGGTACGGTGACCAGGGTGGTCGGGACGGCAGGGATACGCGAGACGCACGAACCTGGCTGGCGTGCTAATCAAGTGAAGTGTTCAAAGATGAGGTGAGTCAAATCGAACTCGTTGGTCATCGTCACGTAGCTCGATACCTACCTCGCTACATAGCAATAGCCTGACGAAAGCTGCAGCAGAACAGAGCACCATTATTGACAAGGCTCCATTCGAGTTCATGATGATTGCATGAAGGAAGACCTGCGTCGTGCTTGTTCTCATGTGAGGCCCATCTAGCAGGCAAAGACCAATGTAGACATAGATACATACAGCAGGCCTCTTAAACTTAACGATGAATCACGCGTTAGCGATAAGTCAACCTCATCCTTCTCCTCACCGTACGTGGACTTTCGATGCCAGGGAAACAGAAATCCGTGGATGCCTTGAGGTCCTGATCAAGACTCAAAGTCCGGGAGGTGGAGGTGGATGGCGCCGTGGAAAGGGTGGATGGTGGAGGGGAAGACACGCGCTGTTAAATATCGAGGACCAATAAGGCGACGCCAAAAGGCAGACACGCTTTTGGGCCCATCGTGGAAGGCCACGAATGTACAGAATGCGCGATCGATACACAGTATCGCACGGAGCTGGAAAAGAGGGGCTTCTCGTCGTCCAGTGTGAGATGGCAGGGCAAGATTAACCAGCCCACTGACTGGCTGAAGCGCCTACAAGGGCTCGGTTGTACAGTACGAATATCTCCTACAGACACTTCTGCCAGGTACAGTACCTCACGCGCTGCCCAATCTTGCAGCGCGCCGTAGGTACCGACGCTCAACTCGCCTCTCCTCCTGGTCTTGCTCACGCTTTCGTTCTCCCAGGCATTCAAAACTATGCCACAGCCCGCTGCTGCCATCTCCCGCCTTTTCCCCCTCCCCCCATCGAACAGCATCATCGCCATAATGTTCGATTTCGTCCTCTGAATCCGTCCCCAAGCGACTCTCTGAAGTCTGCTCTGGATCGTGTACATCTCCACTCTCCACGGCGTCTTGTCTTCATCTTTGTTGTTGTTTTGATCTTGGTAATCTCCTCTCAAAAACTTGTTCCAACCTTACTCAAACCGTACCTCTCTCAGTCAGGCCGCAGCGGCATTCACTTGCACTCTGCGACTTTTCACTCAGACTCACTCACTCTCTTTGCCGCCTGACGCTGCAAAGAGTCACACTTTGGCCTTGCCTACAAATTCCAGCACAGCACTGCCTAGCTCCAGCCCAGCCGAGCCCAAGCCTAAAAGGTCGTCCACTTGAGGGACCAACCTTGCCTCCCCCGGCCTTCGCCCGCACCCGTCCCATACTCTCTAGGCAAGGATTATTGCCTTCTATCAGTGAGGTGATTCCACGGAGAAGTGTCCTGTCTGCCACTCGAGTCACTCTTCGTGTCAGTCTCCGGACTCGCTGTATTGCTCACTTGCCCGTGGCCTCTATCACCATCCCATTTCCACTTTCACTCATCTATCATCATTTCCTTCCTGTTCGATTCACTTGCTTCAACCACTTTTCTTTTGCCCCCCCTGTTACCGTTTCTCCGACTCTATTTCTGTCACCTGTACGATTTCCCCGTTCACTGTCATTCCCCTGCCAGGCTGCAACCCGCTATCAGTTCCTTCGCCACACTCACAGTGACGAACCTCCTGTTAGTCATCCTTGTACCGAACCAGGCACAGGCTACCACCGCGCACACACTCTAAAACGCTCTCTCCGAGATCGCCAGTTGGCTTACACCTGCCACACGCCCCCGCCGCTTTTGCTCAGAATTGCCACCGTGCAAAACCAGAAGAGTCACATCCCACCACGCAGGCTGCCACCGACTCAACGCCTCACTCGCCCCTTAGGCCACTTAAGCAAGAGTCACCCTCTTTCGGCCATCTAATAAACCCTTCACCACCTCTTTCAGGTCATCTCATCTTCAGCCACACCTTCAACAGTACCTTGCATAATCAACTAACACCGACTTGATCTCTATTAATTCTCAACCTCCGAAATCGATTTCCACTATTCGATCGCCCTGATGGTAGCCTTGTTCTAAGACTACCATTCGCTTCCAACCTCACTCGAGATTTGAAGCATTGCCGCAATGCCTGCTGAAAAAACATATCTTATTCCTGTCGCCGTCTCCGCTTCGTCCTCCGGTCTCATCGTTTGTGTTATCAAGTCGCTTTTGCACTTTATTGTCTAGAAGCTCTCTGAAAACACGACCAAGGATATACCTCGAAGCAGCACTTACACGCGCTGCAACGGAGTATCGTTACTCGATTTTGACCCGCGAATTCATCGGCAAACCACGACCTGATTGGTGGCTTAGCCGTAGACGGCGACTGGACAACCCCCTGAATTGAATGCAGTTCAGGATCCTTTTATTCACTATTCAACATGATGTGCGACGCAACCGTTTCGCCCGCTTATAACCCCTCCTCCCATTATGCACCCTACAACATCTCAATAGCTTCTTCCGCTTCGACTTCTACTACTTCTGTTTGGTCCGACACCACCTCTCAGATTTCCGACGACTCCTCTCTTTCCGCACACTCTTCCGACTCTGACTCTTGCGATTCCTATTTTTCGAGAAAGGCCGCCGTTGCTGATTGCAGTCTGAACTTGCGGCGTCGTGTTCAAAAGACACAGACGGAAGCACTCCCCACTGAATTACGCCAGAACCCTCGAAGAACTTCAAATGCTCGCGCCGCGTGCCCTCCAGCCCTGGTCCGACAGTCTGACCGAAAAGTTAACTTTGTAGATAGCCTTGTCGGTATGTTATGACTGGATTGCGATTACTTGTCCATGCGCTTAGCCTTTACCCTTCTAGATTCGTCGACACATATCGTTGAAGCCATTTGGCCCCTCTCTTCTGTCGCCTGCCGAAACGAGCTTGGAAGTAGGGCCATTCTTCCTCTGCGCACATTCATTCAAGAGACTTTGCGTCGGTCACGAACAAGCTACTCGACTCTGCAAGTTGCTCTCTATTATTTAATTCTCATCAAGCCCCATGTGCCGAAGCACAACTTCACCATGGAACAGCCTGAGGACCGACACGCCGACCGCGCCCTTCAGTGCGGTCGTCGTATGTTCCTCGCGGCTCTGATCCTTGCCTCAAAGTATCTTCAGGATAGAAACTATTCTGCCCGGGCCTGGAGCAAGATTTCGGGGCTTCACACTCAAGAGATCAACCAGAACGAAATCACTTTTCTCCACGCAGTCAATTGGAAGATGCATATCGTTGACGAGGTCTTCCAGCGATGGACCGACATAGTTCTCAAGTACACGCCTCCTCCGTCTGGCCCTCCTTCTCCCGGAGGTGTCTCCCAGATTGTGTCCCAGCAGGTCGTAGATTGGAAGCGAATCATCTTGGGCCTGAATCCAGAGTTGACGAATCTCGCCACATTGATTCCTGCGAATCCTGCTATTCCTAGGTCAAGTGATCTTTGTGCTTTGTCTCCTCGCAGCATTCTCAATATGCCCCATCAAGCTCAGATTTCATGTGGCTATGAATCTGCGGAGGCCACACCAACTCCCAAGCCCTACAGTGCTCCTATGGCTATGGAACCAGCGGCTGTAGGATACACCTGTAGCCGCGCGGCCCCTAGCCTGGGTATGCTGCCAACTCCTCGACTTACCCCTCAGAGCAGTGGACTCTGCACTCCTGCAGCGAGTGCCGCTTCCCACATGCTTAATAAGTCTTCTGCGATGGGTTTGGCCATGGCTCAAGCCAACAATGTGAATACATCTCAGTACCTCGATCGTCTCCCTGCCGCCATGACATCGTCCCCTCAAGCCTATTGTCCTACTCGTCGATCTTCCCTTGCTACTTCAGTGTCAACAGCTTCCTCACCCGAATCGATGATTTCGGACTCGTCGCGTTCCTCGCGCTCTTCTTCCATCTCATCTTCTTCATCGCTTGTTAGCGCGACCCTCAGCTCTTCCAGGCTGGGTATGCCGTCGCGATTTCGAGCGTCGAAATCATGTAACGAGAGATTGAGCCAGAAGCCGACAGTCCCTTCGGTTCCAGAGGATTATGATGTGCACTGCGATACGTCCTCTCCCGAGTCTTACACCGGCCCGGTTGGCAAGCTCGTGGACCTGTCTCTGGAATCTTCCTTGGCGAGACGACAGCAGGAACTTGACGATATGGCTCGCGATTCTGATGCCGCCCGTGCTTTACAGGAGCTTCATAATTATCGCGCAGCTGAGATGGTGCCCGCAACAGCCCCTAGAAGTGGCACGAAGCGAACTAGAACCGCCTCTATGGACAACTGCCTTCAGGAGAACGTTCGCGAGATCCTTGGTGGTCGTTATTCTACCCAGCATTCTGTCTGGCCTGATACGTTGGTTCGCACTCGAGGCATTACCTCCGAGTCGAATCTCCAGATCCCCGTCCGTCCTAGCTTGCCTGGCACCGGCAAGCGAGTCTGCTGCTCTGCCGAAGCGGCTCAGGGCTACGAAGTTTCGTCTGTCCATCCTGCTATCGGCCTTCGGGGACCTGGTTTGTTGGAGGGTATTCTCAACTAAACCCTATCACACGTTGGTGACGATATTCTCTGTTTCCAACTTGATACCCTGTCGATTATAGATAAGCTATACACGACTTGAAAGTCAAGAAATAATGTCGAATCAAGAAAATTCTCTTTGTTAAATATATTGATGTGGTGGGTGGAAGAAATGGAGTCTTTTGCCAAAAGGCCTTTGATACCACATATTTGAGAGATCACAGTTATGCTGTATAAGCATCTGCTGTTCTCTCAACTTTGGGCCGAAAAGCGTGTTCATTTGCCTGCATGTCTGGGATGGGCTACGGAGAAAGAGTGATGGCGGCGACTGTCTGTTTAACAAGGGGCCGTTCGGTGGTGAAGAGTACATATCTTGTATGACTAGGACGACGCTGCCTTTTTTTGTTTTGTACTTGTTACTTATTTGGCTTTACTTCGTTTGCTGCCAAGGTCTCAGAAGTGGACTTTATGGCACTGAAAAAAAGTATTGCACGGCAAAGAGGAGCGACGAGAAGGTTAAGGAAGGTAATAGGTTTGATTTGCTATCAAAACCGAGCAGACAAACCCGGTCACCCAAGAATAACGACCCCGGCGTCAAAGAAGGAATCTGCAAGGTAATCGGTTTTGGATCAACTGGAGTTCAATTTGCCTTTTCCCTGCAATCAAGACATCCAAAGACCGCATAATGTCTTCGGAAACAGCCAAAGCTTGAATCCACTCGACCTCGTCAAAGGCAGACTTTGGGAACTCAGAAGGCAAACAAACCAATCGATTTCGGAAGCGGACTCGAGCAAAGGAGTCCCAAGAATGATCTGAATTGAGGAGAGCGATGACGCTATGGCGAAATCTAATAGCTAGCTTGAAACAGTCCTCACAATAGTGGACTCGTGGCAGTCATTTCCATTCCCTTATGGAACCAATTTTCGGATAGGAGAAGGACGCACGAGCAAAGCAAGACAAGCACGAAATCAAAAGCATTATGCTGGAACACTAAATTGCCTCCGCTTTTCACGCAACTGAAGCGAACCACTCATCATTTGTGACTACGTGATGCGCCAGAATCGAATTTAGACAAACATCTGCATGCCGATCCGGACTATTGAAGCCTGAGGAAGCTCGGAGAATGAGATTCGAGAACTGGAGTAGGTAAGGCATGATTCTTACCATAAAACTACACCTGGAGAATATGTTTAATTCATCCCAGGTTGTCTGGTCTGTGCATGACCGAATTGCAGTCACACTCCCACGCAATTCACCCTGGAGAATTTCTTCACTCGGAATTTCCAGGAACGCCCTCAACCACGGCCGTGAAATCCCGGAATCGCGTGGTCTATTGGTGCTAACGGCGTGAGTCATATCCCAACTCGCTTGGCACAGACTTGATGGTATGTTACCTTGTCTATCCCTGTCTTTGAGCTCTTTTCCTCACGCGCGGTGTAAGTGGCATCATCAGCAAGTCGTGTGTGTGTGTGTTTGTTACGTACAGGGCTTGGCTTTGGTTGTTATCGCTACGGGAACATCGTGAAGTTTAGTGCTACAAACAAGATAGGCCGTTGGCTGAGGTGGAGATGAAAGAAGTCTTTCATTGGCAAAGCGATATTGGAGGTAAGTTTGCGATGAAGTAAGTCTTGTTGAGTTTAAGGTGTTGACGTACGTGATATTTTGCCCGTGTTGTTGCCTTACGCTTCATTTCTTGTTCATGGTGTTGAGGCTTTCCACGACGTTTGGTCCTTTCGTTCAAAACTCAAACCATATCAAGCCTGGTGACAGTTTATAACAAGGTATATCCTGATTACTCTAGGGAGGTCTATGATATACACCAATATACTTCTAATCATGATGAACTCGATTCCTTATTTTGAGGCGTGATGGCCCCGCGACTGCCAGGCCTGACGAGCCTCAGGGGCGTCGGGGTTTTGTGCAGGTGATATGGTGCACGATGAGCCATTATGAGTTCACACGAATCCTGCTGAGCCCTAGTGCGACAACCTTCACTGCCATTGTGCCCTGACTCTGATGTTGGCTGAAGCCAACTAGGTTACGATATATGTCGGCGAGCTGAATGTGGTAGCCCGAAGTGACAGTGCTTACCCAATAGTCTTGCGGGTGCAGATTTGGACATGAGGGGAACAACCGGGAGGCATTGCTGTCTCTTTGGCCAAGAAAGAAGACTACCAGCCGTTATTTCGGGGAGCTTGAAGTGCCAAAGCCATCGTGAAACATCCCTATCGTACCATAGACCTGTCGAAGTATCTCTTTTGAGATGACACTATCAGCACCCCATTTCAGCCGTTGATCAATGCGTCTTCTTTGCTCTCTGGCAATATCTCTCGGTAGACCCTGACACAGTGCAGTGAGATCAATCAAATTTGTGATGAAGACATTGGGCTCTGGTGCGTCGATAAATGCGTTACGAAGACAGTCCAGCTGAATCTCCCACGATCTATCATGCTCTTCTAGGCCATAGACTAGCCCACCCCTTCGAAGCCAGAACAGGAGGCGTAGGTTCTTCTCGTCCCATGGACCGGTGATGAGGATTGTAGGAACGCGTACCTTTGGATGAACATCACAGCCACCCCATGATCCCACCCTTTCGAAAGGTTTCCAGGACAGAACCTCCTGATAATCAGCTTCAAAACACTCCTGCGAGTTGAAGTGCCCTACGCCACCTTCGAAATGATGGCTGTGACCATAAATAAAGGGGTCACCGTCATCATCCAACCGAGGAAGATAATGACGATAATGTTGGTCTCTGGCGTATTTTTCTACCCAGGTCTGTTGCGCCTGGAGAATGAATTCTGCAGTGATCCAAGGTAGGCACAATATGGTTGACTGAAATCAATAATATTAGATTGTCATAAATGCTCTGAAGTATGATGGTGTTGACAAACCTGGAGTTGCCAATTGCCAGATACGCGATTCTTATCTATTGCCGCAAACTTCTCAGGGTCACCGAACGATTGTTCCCAAGTATCTTGGAACGCCCATATGATAAACCTGATGAGAGTAGCCCGTCCAGATAGCTTTGATCCTATGATCGGTGCAGACCGGGGAAGGGCAACATTGGCGCTGTAAAGGAATATACTCTCCAAGATTTCGGCCGGAAGAGCTTGGATAGCCGGCCGCCAACGCGTAGATCGAGAGGCGAGGACGTTTGATAGTGAGCGCTTCATCTTCTTGGGGGGACTGATTTTGTCGTCAGGTATAGATGTGATAGTTTGCCATGGGGATGGTTTGCCTCGCGATGGAAATTTTCGCTTGCTTCGAATACGTATAGGTGTAAGGCCCATGACGCAAAATTGTTCAGGTTTTGAGAGTGATGAGAGTGTTGATGATATGGACGAGCCTCAATGGCGTAGAATTACTTTAGGCCGCCGATATGAGCTTTAGAGAATCGCGTATGGCTCAAGTTGACAACCCAAATACATATTCCCTCGACAAAAAGGAAATATCGGCCGTTGACCATTGAGGTGCTGGTCCTGAAAGCGTCGACCTATAGGAAAGTTGTTTGGAGGAACATTTTGCAAGAGAAAAATTGCCGTATCTTGAAGATTCAAAGGGCGGTTTGGAAGCAAGGCTGAGGCGGAGGCGTGAATTAACAACGCTAACAAGAGTCAAATTTCACGATTTATCCGATCAAGACAGGAGGTATTCAATTTATCACAATCTTAGTAGGTACCTACTAAGTAGGGCAAAATATCTACAAACTTTGTGATTGTTAAAGAACAATCCCTCTCTCGACATGTTTGACAGATCCCAAGTCTGTGCACCACCCGAGACCCGCCAGAACCAGTGGCTTGGTCCCGATGACTAAGACGTCTTTGCGACATCGACTTTTCTTGATATCATCGATAAGAGCCTGTCTTCAAAAAGAGACGCTGCATCATATCCAATACCAATGCCGACGTGATACGGACTTCCAGTGATGCAGTCAGCCCTGTGTCTTCCGGTTCCATCACGAAACCTCCTGCGATTCCTTCGGTGTCAGTCCAAGAGGGCTTTCTCGAACGCAAATCATGGCCGAACCTCGATGACCACACCAGTTCTATGTCGTCGCGCACGAACATCGGATACTCTTACGACGCGGAAACAATTCACAACTTTGGGAACAGCATGCCAGAGAACAGTGACCGTACTCAAACCAACCCTCTTCCATAGAGATCCCACCGCACGGAAACTTCAAGATCGTCATCAGCCCTGGACATCCCAACGCTGCTTCAGCACTAGTCGAGGTGCGCGCAATTTGTTCAAGGGCCAAGACCCGAATCCAGAGAACCCACCAACATGGGAACGATTCCTCAAATTCGCAGGAAGGAAGGATGACAAAGTTTTAAAGCCAGACGATCTCCCAAACCATGACGAATATTCTGACGGCTCGTCAATCTTTAACAACCGGCGAACACTCGCGGCCAAAGCTGCATCTGAGCCTCGACTGCGATGCACGGAAGTCGACGAGCATGGGAACGTAATTCTTGTTGATGGTGAATTTAAGAAGACTGAGCTTATTGCAAAGGTAAGGGCGTCTCGGCCGTAAGGAAAGTTTTCAAGAATATAACAACTAACAATGGACGTTTTCAAGTTCGGCTTGTTGCCTCGAGATTTGCGAAAGATCGACTCATCAAACTTGCCTCATATCCTTATTCGCCCTTCGGCCATTTTGCTAAACCTACTCCATCTCAAGGTTCTGATCAAACATGACCGAGTGCTTCTATTCGATATTTACGGCTCAAAGACATCATACCCCCAATCGGCCTTCATGTACGACTTGCAGGGCAAACTACAACAGAAGAATACACAGGCATCAGGTGCTCTGCCATATGAGTTCCGGGCACTGGAAGCGGTGTTGACCTCAGTGACGTCTGAACTTGAAGCCGATTTCGAGGCGGTGCGGGAGCCGGTCATGCATATTCTTAGCGAGCTGGAGGATGATATTGATCGAAGCAAGCTCAGAATGCTCCTCATTCTATCCAAGCGAGTGAGCACTTTTGAGCAAAAAGCAAAGTTGGTCCGGGATGCCATCGAAGACCTCCTCGAAGCCGACGATGACCTCTCCGCCATGTACTTGACGGAGAAAACACATGATCTTTACAGGGGAGAGGACGACCACACGGAGGTTGAGATGCTTTTGGAGTCTTACCACAAGCTGACTGACGAAATCGTGCAAGAAGCCGGCAACCTTGTCTCTGGCATCCGAAACACGGAGGAAATGTAAGGAACCCTTACCCTTGATTTAACGCTGATCATATTACTCACTCACAAACGTAGCGTTCGTGCAATTCTGGACGCCAATCGAAACGCTCTCATGCTGCTTGATCTCAAATTCAGCGTTGGAACGCTAGGCCTAGCTATGGGAACGTTCCTTGCTGGTCTCTACGGCATGAACTTGGAGAACTTCATCGAGGAGACAAACTGGGGTTTCGCTGGCGTCACTGGCGTCTCAGTCGTCTTCTCGCTTATCGTATGCTGGTATGGCCTAACGAAGCTGCGCCGCGTGCAGCGCATCAAGATGATGGATGACGAGCGACCGCGGATCCCCCGCGGGCAGGCCTATTTCCCCGATGATCGCTCGGCGCTGGGACTCCTCGACAACAGGAACCGCGAAATGCTGCGGCGAATCAACATGCAGAAGGCCGTATCGCAAAAGAAGAAGTGGTTTTCATGATTTTGCGTTCAGACAGACCTATGTTATTGCAAACTTAGATTCCTGGCTCAGTGGCACAGATTCAGCCACGTGTATAAACTAGATATTTCTGGAAACTACTAGATACCTACTCATCTCAATGAGGTTGGAGTTGAAGCGAAAGATACCCAAATGCGGACAGCACACACACATCCTGACAGGCATCACCCTCCGTGAAAACACTGCAATCTCGGACCTTGATGGCGCCTTGTAAATATGACGACCAATGAGACCACCGGCACAAGGCCAAGAAAGTCCAGATTCCTCCATTCTGTCCATCTTAGGGTCTCGATCGTCGTGGTGACGCCAAAGCCCTATAGATTGATCTCATCATGACAGCGTGACGTCAGAAATCATTCCTTTTTAGCCCTCCATGAGACCTCGTTTAATCAAAGCCTGGTCCTGGTCAAGGGCGGCTGGCTGGCCGAATTGAAATTAAGGTGGTGTTGCGTTACAACACACAATCTGCAGGTGGGTAGGGGAGGGAAGGGAAAATCAGCCGAGTCATTTTGCAGGGAATCGTCTCGAATAATTGATTGCCCTGACGTCGAACGTAACCTCAAACAAACCCGCAACGGGCTACAGCGGCAATAAGACATGACAGGCCTTGTTTTCTTGGAGGAGTAGCCACATTAGAAACGTCATCATGCTGCTACAGCCAATCAATGATGACCTATCATGTAGCCACAACCGTTGGTGTGGCTGGTGGCTGGGTCATGAGGGAATCGGAGATCGCAAACTGACGTCAGGAAATAAACATGACGGAGGAAGGCATGATCCAAGAAAGAAAAAAAAAAAGCATGCAGCAGGTGCGATGGCCAACGCAACTGATTTCAGATATATAAGAATGTGACCTGGAAGAATCTTCACTCTTTCAACACCAACTTCAGACCTACAACAAAATCTCAGCCTTGTCTAAGAGCTCAACAATCACAACCAACCGAACACATACACAAAGCACCTACATCACCTACTACATCACCTTTCAAATATTCACAATGGGCGGTGTTATGTCTTGTGTAAGTCACGCCCCCTAGACTCTCTCTAGGAGAAACACATGATATTGGTCTATACACCAAACTCAACCGATCCACCACCAAGCCCAATTTCCTGTTCCCTTCTCCCACTCTCCCTCAGTCTCTACCGTCTTCTTCCTGTCTCTGGCCTCTGCTATCTCCACCCCCACCCTCTTTCAGCCTCTCTTTGAACGACATCACTAACAAGCCTCTCCAACAGATCCGGTCATGCCTCCAGACCATTGGGGACGTGATCATGGCAATCGTGGGTGGAATTGCAAAAATTATCACAGCAATCGTAAACGGCGTCGCCAGATTCATTGGAATCCTGGTCAGCTTCCTTACCTGTGGCTATTGCGGTTCGAAGGGAGGCCGAGCGAAGCGCCGAGGACACTCTCACATGAGGACGACGAGAGTTTAGACGATGAACTACACGGGCGAACTTCTTTTGTGATACCAATTTGAGAAAGGATAGGGGAAGGGGGGAGAGCTTTGTTAGTTTGCGGAGGAGTTTGCTACGGCCGTTTGAGATTTCTTTTGTGATTTCTTTCATTTTCATCTGTCAGCATTAGGATACCCAATCCTTACGATTTTCAGCAAAAATTTTGATCATGTCACATGTCGTTAGTGCACAGTTTGAATTCCACTGGTGATATTCCACTTTGATTGCTGATGGCGATGAGGGTGATGGTCAGAAACCGAGTCAACTTATATTGTTTATTATTTCACTCCCTTCTACATCCTGATTCAGTCTGGCCATATTTGTATACCGCTTTGACATTGGCTTGGTATTAATCGTCTTCTTCCATGACGTTGCGGTTAAAAAATCCATGGATCTGTCGTCCAGCCGTTGTGCCGACCAAAGGTGTCAATTCTTGGACCGTCATGTTGGCAACTTCACGAATATTCTCAGTCTTGAGCACCAGATTCTTGATGTTTTGTGGAGTCACGCCCGGCACGATGGCAAGCATATCCTGGGGCTCCTGGTTAAAGGCCTGCTCCTCGGCCCTTGTATCCTTATCCAAGCCAGCCCTGACAGCGGCTATCGGATCTGGCTCTTCCTCCTGAGTCTTGAGGGACTCAAAGATCTCAGCCGTCTGGTACGGAGACGAAGACCAGATGATTCGTAACTTGGGAAATGCTAGGGTCAGTAATACTAACTTGGATTGGAGGTCGGATGACATGTTGGTGGGGGCAACACTGTTCAAGCTTCCAGATAAATCGGCAAATGGCTCCAGAGTGAAGGACTTGTTCTGGTCAAACTCGATGAGCAGCATCACGCTTTTGTAGTACTGAAACATAGTCTCAGCTTGACTGTAGAGCCGACCATCCTTGAATGACGAGATCAAATCGCTGATAGATTTGCGTTCTACACAGATATTTGGTGATAGGATGTAATCACCAACTGTGAGCATGCATGGTACAATGACCATAGAGCGGCCGTGGAGAAGAGACGGTAGAGAGGATCGGAATTCTCGTACGTCTACCACAACACGTGGCGGCTCAGCTGTTGCTGCCAGCCTTCCACCACCAGCAATACGTGTGTTGACGGTACGGAGAAAAGCCTCTTCAGGATCCTCAGCCGGGTCCACGGTCATGACAAGGGACATGCTTGCTCTCTCCTTGATGAGTTTCGTAAATGCATCTTTCTCTCGTCGAACAGATGACAGGTATTTCTGCTCCTCCACTGAGCCACCATAGTACATAAAGTATACCCTCACGTTCCTGTCGTTATGCGATGATCGGTACACTTCAACTCGACGAATAAAGGCAGCGTCCGGCTCATACATAATTATGTATCGCGGTTTGGTTTCCTCGAGGACATGCTCGTCCTGATCTCCATCATATGCGTGGATGACGACTAGATCTTGCATATCATATAATTTGAAGTATTCCTCCATGTTGTCGAGGGGATCTGCTACAACGTCTTCTTTCTGCTGTGCTTCCTCTTCTGTGATCTGTACCTCAGCCATGAGATCGGCAACTTCTCCCGGTTTCTCAATGTACTGCAGGATACTGCCATTCTCAGCACGACCCATGCTTACGCCAACATTTCCCCCGCCGCGCACTCGTCGCCGCTTGTTTGCAGGAGCCTTTCCGCCTCTTGACCCTGCAAAACCTGGACGAGTGTCCGTGGCTCCATTCAGGGCCTTCTGGTTCTCTGAAAAGAGAGTGGCGCTGACCTGAGCAAATTGTCTCTTCCATTTCAAGTAGTTCCTCAATCGCCTTCGCATCATGAAAGCTGCAGAGGGCTTGTCTTCATCTTCATCGTCCTCACTTGATCGTTTCTCCGTCTTGGGTTTGACGTGCATGGTTTGTAAGAAGTCTCGCAACTGCCTGCAAGTATCGGTATTTGAGCACATGATCAGGATGGTGCCGTTGGAGTCGTCTCGAACTGGAGGCTCAAAGTACAGATCGCGATCAATTTCCTCCAGGACCTCAGCTAAAAGCGCCCACTTGGGTAGCTCTTCGAGAACAGGCCTTAGAGAGTCGATGTTATCTTCCCGAGCCGCATCCTTGGCACTAGCGGAATATACTCTTCGTCTTGCCGTGTCGAAAATGGTCTGAGCAGCATCAAGGAAAAGCCACGGTGATTGGGTTTGTCGGGTCGATCCTGGAGGCGGGGAGTGAGCGGCATGAATGGTATCCAAATGCTGAAGGAACGAAACAGCATCATATGACAGAATAGAGTTGAGCATGGCTCTGAGAACAGTCAAGTCATTCACAATCTGTTTCGTCTTCCAGCTCACACGGTGCCAGTTGGGATCTAACTGTCTTCGAACCATGATGTCAAAGTTCTTGAGAAGAGCGCTGTCGAGGTTCCAATCGTCCATTTCCAGGCCACTGTTACCTTTCTTGAGCTCGTGAATACTGACTTCAACACACTCCATTATGGCGTTTTGAATCTCACGCATCGAGTCTGTCATAGGGACTTCGAGTTCGATAACTTCGGCCTTCTTCTTCCCTTCCAGAGATTGCGCGACTGTGACGTGAAATCGAGGCCAGAGCGAGGCTTTACGCAGAAAGAGGTTCCTCATCATAGTAGCCAAGGGCGAGAAGCCAGTGGTGAAGGGATCGGGGTTATCCGAAAAGGCTTTGAGAAACCCAATCTTGTTCTTTTGACGGTAAACTCTCAAAATGAAGGCCTCGAGGGATGTTGCGACAACGCGATCGGCATGAAGAACAACAAGACCTGTAATTGATTCAGGATTCAGCAAACCTGTGAGAAGGTCCACCACTAGAATACGCGATGTGATGCTGAAGATTCCGCCTCCAGAGTACATCTTTTCCCTGGCGCCGACGCTTTGAAAGTCTGTGTTCACGACTGTCAGGCCACGCGCTTTCGGGGACATGCTGATGGCTGCATGTTCGGCCAATGCTTCTCCAATCCAGCCATTTTCTCGTTCATCAGCGGCGACTATAACAATTAAATTGTTTCCGCCGGCGTCATACGAATGGAGGAGATTGTTGACAAGACGCACCAACCCCAGGCCGCGTGCGATAACGACAAGCTCATCTTCGGCACGAAGCTCCTGGAACAGAGTCTGTTGGTATTCCTAAACCAATGAGCGAGGGATCATACTTCAAAGTCATGGACAAACCTACGAGTGGGAGTGAAAGCTTCACTGGTTGGGGAGCATTACTTGCAGACATGCGGGCCACCCAAATGTTGGTGTTGACAGACGATGTGTTGAAGGGGGTTGAAATGAATAAGTCGTGAATGATGTATTGAAGATCTTAGCGGGGAGCTAGAGCCATGGCGGGGAATATGTAAGTTGCATGCATAAGACAGAGTGGCCATGATGGAAATGAATGTCGATTGGTAATGTTGGTATCCGTGGATGGTTTTCGAGACAAAATAAAAAGCATTCGCTGTGCGTTTTTTCTTTCTTTCTTTCTGTTTTTTATGATATATGTTGTGCTGATCCTGTTTGTCGGCCTGTCTCATTCCAGCGACAGCGTCACCTCCTCGCCCTTTGAGATTTACCTGCGCCAGCTTAGCACATGGGCTGGTGTCTGCTTAGATGCCATCTGTTTTATATTCATATGAGAGCTCGTGTCACATATCGGGACTGACATGCTGGCGAAACTACTGCAAAACATTGCAATTGTATGCAGCTGATTGTTCCTTAGAACACAATGACCATGGCCAAGTCCCTAGCCTATTCGGTAGCCGCGCTATTTCAGAAGTCATGATAAGATGAATACAGCTTAAACCCTTCGAATTCTTGGAACTCTCCAGACATCACAAAGAGGTGCATATTCTGTCAGTGTAGAGTGAACAACGCCTCGGATTTCTGCATTCCTTCTGTTTCTCATTCCTAAGACCAACCTGGCCAAGTTGTGATACCTATTCGTCCTTGATTTTCTCATTAGTGATATCCACTTGCACACATTGTGCACACCATAACCACCATCTCCACGTCATTGTTCAAGATCCTGCAGTGTCCTAGATAGCACCTAGCCATGCAGTGATCTCAACAGTCGGCGGTTTTTGGACCGCGGGACCAATAAGAAGTTGTATGCATCCTCTTGTGACACTTCCCTAAAGAGTCTGCGTTTCTGGTTGTCGCAACATGCGCCACAGAATGGTCTTACGTAGTCTGGCCAGAGGAGACGACGTCATCGCTTCATGATATGGGCCAGCGACTACAAAAGGACGTTGACGACCTAGATTTGAGCAGCCACAGGATCTCGAATCAACCCGACAGAGAAACTAGATCACGACAAGAACTTTGAACTTTCTCAAATCAATCACCAAAACAACCATCAGAATGACTGGCACCGAGCAACAGAAGGAGGCGAGTTGACTGTGCTGGAGCCTTCGTTTCTGAACCCAATACTGACCGTTTTCTCAATAGGGCGAGAAGCAATTCTCCATCCAACCCATCAAAGATGAGGCCAAGGACAAGGTCTCTGCTTTTAACGCTCATCCCGGACCCGCCGTGCCCAAGGATATGCCCCAAGAAGAGGGCACCAAGGAGGAGCGCAAGGCCAAGATGGAGGCTCTGAACAAGAAATAAGCGGTCGACTTCTGTGGCAGAAGTCGCTTTGTTGACATGACTGTATGACTATACATGGATTTGGGACTGGGTTACTTCACGATTTATTTATACAACACCAAGACATTTTGTCATGACTTGCATTGGAACGTGTCGATTGCTAATCGTAGTCTCATGCTGGCATCATGGCACTGACCAACGGCAGCCTCGGAACCCCCTGCTGACACACAGCCATCCAATATCTGCCCCTCATCGTTAGTAGTCTAGATTTGGAGCCGAGACAAGGCTCGTACGGTCAGACACTGGGGTTTTCATGAAGACTTGAAGTAACATCAGAATATAGATATTTACATACACCCAGAGCTCTGTATGTGAGCATTCATTCTCGCGTTCTCCTAAGATGTTCCGTTTTTCTATCGATGGCCAGCAGAACATCATCTTCACAACACCCGACTCAACAGCCTAGATGCCCCAATAAGCTCCACTAGGCGACTGCAGTTATCTACCTTAGTACCTTTGGTAGGTACCTAGATAGGCTGCTAAACTCTGGCTGCCCAACAGTCGACTGGTGCCCTGCGAATTTTCTAGAACCTGGCAAAGTGGCTGAAGCGGTGAACAATTCGATAGGTACCTGATGCATTGTGAGTTGACCGCTTGCGTTGCATGTCACAGTCACAATTGTCGCCATAAAACCATCACTACGTACCTGGCATACTAAGCTTCCCATTCCCTCCCGCCCACCAAAAAGCAAACTTGTCCCGCTGCACAAAGACGTAGGTTGCCCCGCCCCCGAGAACTACAGTACCTACGGTGGCTGTGGTAGGTGTGCTTCTGCAAGTGCTCTAGCCTGTGGCTGGTGCTCACTTCTCTCGTTACGGACTGGACTCTGGCTCTTCACACATCATCCCAACCGACCGCTGGCCCAGTCTGGTTCCTGTTCCCCACGGACGAACACCTTTTGACGTGCGACGACCATCCGTGCTCGCCTACGCTATCCGAGAGGGATCCCTTTCTACTCAAGCCCGAAAGCTCGGGCGCTGCTCGCACACTCTCTTGGTCGTATATATCTATCCGGCGACAAGAGCTTGAACCTCCCATCTCCCAAGATTTCGGTTGCCTCACGCGAGCGCCAAGCGATTCTGACGAGACGCTGAAAGAGGAGAGACCAGACAAGCGCCACTCCACGCGTCCAGTCCAGGCGACAACCGACGAACTCGTCTTACCTTTGGCTTATAACCTTTGTTACTGTTTCTCTGGCATATTCGATTACACGACACAGATACAGTAATCCATACTCGCTCGATTGCGCCGCCACAATGCCATCTATTCTTAACGACGATGATAAGGATACCGTGAAGCGGTTCATCCCCAAGCAGTCCAACAAGATTCAGGCCGTTGCTGTTGCCAGGCTCTACGTAGCATATCCCAATCGCTCAAAATGGACATACACCGGACTACAGGGAGCCGTTGCGCTCGTCAACGATCTAGTTGGAAATACATACTGGATCAAGATGGTGGATATTTCGGTATGTCCACGATCCAATATCTTAAACGCTGTCCGCCACATCTGACCACCACTTGCTAACTTGCTCAGCCTTCCAATCGAGGAGTTATCTGGGACCAGGAGATTTTCGATACGTGGAACTATAACCAAGACCGAACCTTCTTTCATACCTTCGAACTCGAAGAATGCCTGGCTGGTCTGAGCTTCGTCGACGAAAAGGAGGCCAAACAGTTCAAGAAGAAAATGGATGAGCGAGAGAAGAATGCAAGCCGAGCTACAAAGTCGACACCCTTCGGTGGAGGTGCCCAGCCAGCCCATAAGCATGGCCTGTTGGGAGGGCTGTTCGGACATCGCCATTCGACTCATATCAGCTCTCAGCACACAGCTCCAACCCCTCCGGAGTCTCCCCGAATGCCGCATAACTCCATCCAGCATCATGTTGTCAACTCAACGCCCAACCTCAATGGCTCAAGACCATCTGAATTCGCACTTTTAGATGCGTTCGATCCTCTGTGGCGCGAGCACTTTGGTGCAGATCTTCAAGACAAGGGTTTAACGGACGACTTCATTAAAGAAAACCAAGAGTTTATTGTCGACTTCTTGAGAGAAGAACAACAGAAGGCCAATCAGCCTCATTCGACACCGCCACCACCTCTCCCTCCAGCAGCGAAAGCACCCTCGCCAACGCCAACCGCGAACGGCAATGAAGGAAGAGGCTCTCGAGCTCCGCCGCCGCCGCCGCCGCCGCCGCCTGGTGGTCGACCTCAGTCAGACGGTCCTCCAGCCCCCCCGGCTCCGAGAAAAGGCGGCCCCCCGCCTCCTCCAGCCCCGAGACGGTCTGGCAAAGCCGAATCTCCGGCGAAGGATGCTGCGCCTGAACGAGCGCCGTCACCTCCTCGACCCAAGTTTGGTGTCCCTCCTCCGTTGGCCGACGCTGGCAAATTTGCACGTCAAGATCCTCCAAGGGCTGTTCCAGCAACACCCACTCCTGGACCTCCCCCTCCTCCGCGACCGGCAAAGACTCCTATAGAAACACAGAAGAATGAGAGCCACAGATTCGGAGTTCCTCCTCCCTTTCCTGGTTCAAGAGTACCCCCGCCAACACCTAGCCGTGGGCCTGTTCCTCCTCCACCACCACCTCGACCGGCCGATAACCACCCTGTGCCTGCAGCTCTTCCTCCTCCTCTGCCTCCCAAAGTACCAGCTTCTTCAGCTCCACCACTGCCGCCTCCAAGCTCCCGGCCTGTTCCTCCTCCTCCAGCAGCCAACAATCACCCTCCTGCTCCACCTCCCTTACCGGTGACAAGTGCTCCTCCACCTCCTCCGCTACCACCAACATCAACAAATGGTGCACCTCCTCCACCTCCTCCGCCCCCTCCACCCCCAGGAGGCTCTGGTGCACCTCCGCCTCCTCCGCCTCCCATGCCGCCTGGAACCGGTGCACCTCCGCCGCCTCCTCTCCCTCCTGTTGCTGCAGGGGGGGATACTGGCCGATCAGCCATGTTGGAAGGCATCCAACGTGCCGGCGGAATCAACTCCCTCAAGAAGGTTGATCGCTCACAGATTCGCGACCGCAGTGGTGCTCAAGTCGGCAGTGGCGGCGATTCTGGCGGTGCTAATGCCGCATCTGCCGCAGCTGGTGCGCCTGGTGGTGGCGGTGGCATGGCCGATGCCCTGGCTGCTGCTCTCCAGAAGAGAAAAGAAAAGGTCTCGAAGAGTGGTAAGTTCAATATGCTTTTGTTGGTCAAGAGTGATGTGCTAACACTAGATAAGATGACGAGAGTGACAATGATGACTGGTGAACTGAACCACATTAACACAAAATCCAAGAGAAGGAAGGAAGAGCGTGGTAGACATAGTTGACAAAGGTTTCTCGACTTGTCTTTTATAAAATTTGCACTTGTGGGTAACGACGAGGATTGTGACGAATCAATCAGTTGCAGACGTATCTTGGTTGTGAATCAGCACAAGCATCTGAGGTCGGGTTCGCATTACCAAATGGTTGTACTGCGTCTGTGCCATTTCCAGTTGGCATGACAAAAGTTGGTTATGTTCTATAGACACCTATAGCATTAACGAAATTTTATAAGATTACAGAATGACTAGCCAACAAACTCGGCAATAGTGGTTTGCCTTTATTGTTGACGGCATTGATGCAATGCGAGAATCAAGGAATATTTATGAAACAATAGTAAGCATTTTCTTGTCTTGTCTAACCTGTGCTTTTGAGACGAATGTGATGATCATAAAGCGTGAAGAAAAAAACATGTTCGTCCAGTAAAAACTACCTAAAAACGGAACAAGACAGAAAACTCGATCGTGATACTGAAAGTCCAAAAGAGAACGACATGCCGTGACGTCCCTCCCACCACGGCCGTCTACGACTCCACAGCAACTACTGTCGTGGGACCCGAGGCACAGAGCTTTGGGTGCTCGGCTCCGGGTTTGAGAGAGAAGACAATATCAACAACACCAGCCGCGAAATACAATCGTATCACCCGGTAGCGTCGGGGGCTCGGTGGAGAGAGAGAGAGAGAAGGGGATTTGGAGGGCTTTGGCGAGCTTAAATGTCGTCAATGTCGACCTCCTTCTTGTTGCCAGCGGCGCCATCGTCAGACTCATCGTCTGAATCAGCGTCGCCGAACTCGAAGTAGGCCTCGCCATCCTCTCCCTGGCCAAAAGAGTCGGTTTCGTTGATCTTGGCGTTCTCAGGGAGCTCGCCGTAAGACTTGAGGGTACGGGCTTCGTCGGCGGTGTACTTGAGGATGACGTCGCCCTTGTTGTCCTGGAAGTCACGGAGAGAGAGGAGGATAATATCACCCTGGTTAATCCAGACCTTCTTTCGCATTTTACCGCGAATCTACGAAGGAAATGTTAGTATGAGTCGCAGAAGGACATGAGCATCCTGCTTTCGTTGCACCGCATCTTAGGCAGGCGAACTTGGGGCTACTTACGTTGGCGAGACGCTTGCTTCCATCGAAGCACAGAGCCTCGAGACGACCGTTGCCAAGCATCTTCACGACCTGAGCATACTCTTGGCCATCCTCCTTGAAGGTGAGCTCTCGGCGCTGGTCATCGTTCTCCTTGGTACCACGTCTGCGGTTCTTTCCACCCTGTCCAACTGTTAGAGACGATTCCTTTGTTGCTGGCAGAAGAACTTGGGCAATGATGGTGGGGGCGGGGCAGGCGGTTGGCGCGTGAAAATGCGATCCGTGAATGAAAAAGGAAGACAGCCGAGTACAGGAAGGATCTATGGGACTTACCTTTCCCTTGTTCTTAGGCATATTGGCTGTTTGTCGGTATGCGTGAAGTGAGGAAGAGATGTGATGGTGGGAAGAAGAAAGTTGGTGATGATGTTGTGGTGTCGTTGTTGGCCTGGGAAAGAAAGTGGATTTTTCCTGGGCTGCGCTGCTGACTGACACAAGAGGCAAAAGCTGGTTGGGCGCAAGACAAATGGGGCGACCAGCTTGGGATTCTGTCCTCCACAGTGACTCAGGCGTGGCGCAGCAAATGTATTTTAAATGCAATACGTTAAACTTCCAGTCTGAAATCTGCGAGAAAAATGAGAAACTTAAAAACTTAAAGCGTATTGGTTTAATTCTACATAGAATTAATTAATTCTTTATTAAATCCAGAGATTATCCCTAAGAAAAAAGCATTATTGCTACCCAAAGTCAAATATTCTGAACAATATGACGCAGATCGATTAGCGGTACAGCCACAATTATGTGGCGTTCCTAGTCGAGCATGTTAGGAAATCGTAAACTCATGAAATCGATTTGCGCATCGCGCTTCATGCTTAATTCCAACTTCCCCGGCGCACCCCCTCGCAACTAGGCAATGAATGAACGGCACTGAGGCACCCACTGTAATTCTCATCTTCGAAGAAAACATCATATCCCATCTCAACATGATAGTATCCCGTCCAGATCCTCCATCATGACAACGGCACAAGTCTCGCCAGGAATCAAACTCCTGCGATCGATACCCTCCCCCAACTACCGACTTTACTCATCAACCACACAAATATTGCGCCAACATACAAAAGACCACCCTCAAGAAAATCCCAACAGACCAAGACAATCACCGAATCGAAACGTAACAAAAGGACGGCCTAAACCACTCCGCATCTTCATCCCACCATCAAACGACCATGTATTACCATCTGGAAAACTGCTCACTACACCAGAAGTCTGGTCATTTCTTCAAGAAACAGGCATCGAGTACGACAACTCTAAGGCTACACGTCTGCATCTGGGGCCTGACGAGCAAAAAGTGAAGGCACTATTCAACTGCCTTGTTCAATACTCGCCTCGATATATACTACACCCTTTCCATCTGCAACATTTAAGGCCTGGAATAGCCCCGATGTTGCCCGTAATCATGAGCAATTACCGACGCAAGTTGGAAGAGGAGCCTCTCTGGACATACACAATATGCAGGGGAGGAAGCAGTAACGTGGTGCGACACCTGATGGTCAAAAGGTTGACAGGCGCATTCTGGACAGCCATGAAAGATCTCGGATACTCAACGAATGGCCCACGAGGAACGCTTATAATGACGATCCACGATCCTTTGAAAGTCGCCCAAGCCCCAGCTCATATTCTTGGCGAGGCAGTTGCGAAGCAACTGAAGCAAACCTGGGAAGAATACAGGCTTGAAAAAGAGACATGAGTAGCTGGGCATACTTGAGAGCCAAGACTGGATATATCGGCTCTAGGGTGCATTCTGCGGAAAATTGGTGTTTTGGAAATTGGTGGTATCCTCAGAAGGGATATGAGGGAGTATCATTAAGGTCTTGATTATGGAATTTTACGGAATCCTTTGTCTGATTTGGAGCCAACGCAGTGGTAGACCTGAGAGAGATGGATCAGATTATCCACATTTGCGTGGGTTAGTAACTCATGTGTGTACTTGACGCTTTGATACCAATGTTTTCGCCAATAAACTGTATATTAATACACCCAATCGTGTCAAGTTGAGCGAGCATTCGTCAATAGGTAGGTAGTCTAGGATGATACACATGAGAGGATAACATGCAACATCCAATCCGATGCGAGGTGTGAGCTTTGTCCTCTAGCTCCCGAGTCCCCACTTAGTACCTAGTGAAGTGCCCTGAGGTCGGAGAGCCTCACAGGGGCGCAGGGCCTAAGCTCCAGGGACTCTTCCCCAATTTGCTGTTGAAGGCTGAATGGGAGCTCTTTGTCCTTGGTGCCCTTGTTGGCTGGCATGTGTCCTTGCTCATGCAGCCCGTCCCAACCAAAGATTCCACGTCGACGTTCCATCCCTATCGCATTCGCATTATCAGCAACCTTTCTCGCTTCAACCACAGATAGGCGATTTGGTCAGCGCCGTCTATAGATTCTTCTTTTCAAAGATACCCTTGTTTCACTTTCTCTATTCCGCTTGCGTGATAGCCTAGTGACTACCCTCGGCGTCATCACCCTTTGTTTGCTGCGACACTCGCAACGATGCTCGTCTCTCTCACTGTCGGCAAGGTCGATGCCGGCGTTACTGTTCTCCTGACACCGGACAAGCGCTTGGTGAGCTTGAAGCATCTTATCTGTTTGTGATGATTGCTAATGCAGAGACTGTCATTAGATCGAATTCCCATCTATTCTCCTCCCTCCCAACATCTCCTCAGGCAGCATCGTCGACATCAACGTTTCGCAGAACGCGACCAAGGAAGCTGCCGCCGATCGCGCATTCCGTGCCCTTCAAGACAGCATCTACAACTCATTTGGTGCCTCCGAGCCTACAACCCCAGTGCTGCGATGCCGCAATGCCACCCAAACCTCGGTCGTTCTTGAGTGGGATCCTATTCAGCTTGCTACCGCCGACCTTATTTCTTTGAGTCTCTACCGAAATGGCCAAAAGGCCGGAAACATCCCTCGCCCATTACAGATGCACAGCACAAAGATTAGCGGCCTTGCTGTTGATACAGAGTATACCTTCCACCTGGTCCTGCGCACAAGCGCCGGCACCTTCATCAGTGAGCGCGTCCCCGTGAGGACGCACAAAATGACGGACCTAAGAGGTATTACAATTACTACCGGTATTCTGCCTAGTGCCGTCAAGGACAGCTTGACAAGTGCGGTTGAGCGCATCGGGGCCAAGATTGTTGATGGCGTCCGCATTGACACGACGCATTTTGTTACCACTGAGGGACGCGGGCAGCAATGGGAGAAAGCTGTCGAGAGCAACATTCCCGTCGTACGTCCCGAATGGGTTGAGGCTTGCGAGAAGAGTGGCCGCATCCTAGGTGTTACCAAATTCTATCTGGATGCTATGAAGCCAGGCCCCCTAGCCGAGGAAGCTTCACCTCCACCACCTCCAGAGAAGGAGGAGAAGAGCCTGCCCGTGCCACCTGCTCACAACGGTGGGCAGACATCTCCATCGGAAGAGAAGCTAGACGAGAAGGTCAAAGAGAAGGAGGAAGAGGACGCGCAAAAGAACGGCGGGAAGCAGAGCTCCAGCGGTAGTAGCACTGAAGGCGAAGAGGAAGTCGAGATCGAGCAAAAGACGAAGACGTCACCACAAGAGGAACAAAAGGTGCGATTCGAGGATAAAGAGGAGCAGAAGGTTGCCCTACGGCCCGCCAATAATGGGGAATCAAGTAAACCCGAACACGACGATAAGCAAGGAGCGTCAGATGACGACGCAGAGGATGAGTCAAACGCGAAGACTGCACCTACACCAGATGGAGCATCCTTCCAAGAAGTGGAGCTATAGACCAAGAGGTACTGCAGTTATGTGATTGAGCTTGACTTTGTTTGAAAAGGTAGCCTGATCAGGCAGCGAGTGGACAGCGGTCGCTGTCTGGTTCGGTCTCATGTATGGATATGTTGGCTGGCAAGATCTTGGGGAAAGGGCAGAGCAGATACTGGTTTAATAACTTATTTTTCGTACGAACAACCCTAAGCTGCATTATCTCTTCGACTCTTTTAATGCTATGGCACTGTAGTTTCCACGCCTCACTTTATGGGAGGATCTCCTTGCTGTTCCAATCCATACACTTGCCTCGCCCTTCCAGGGGGAGACCTGTCGCGACTTTTACAAGTCTGTCGACAGCGAATTCAGGGCTGAATAGTTTGCCCTCCTTCGTACTCTCCCAAAAACCCTTGCTCAGGTCTGTCTTGACCGTGCCAGGGTGGTAGGCAATGGAGATGGCCTTATCACCACTCCGCCCACGGAGAAATATGTCGTAACTCTTGCCCAGGCTGATAACTCCCGCCTTGCTCGCCCGGTATGAGAACCATCCCCCGGCCCTGTTATCTGATGTGGAGCCAACCCGAGCTGCCATACTGAGCCACACCGAATGGGGAGGCATCTTTACTTCATCACTGTCGGGGCTGCCCTCGAGCTCAGAGCTCCGCCTAGGGAGAAACTTGTCGAAGTGTTTGATAAGGAGGAGAGGACCAATGGTGTTGATGCGGAACTGCCCCAAACTAGCCTCTGCGTCTATCTGATTGACATTCTTTTCGGGTTTGAGGACGCCAGGAACCGCGCATGCAAGTCGCAGGTGGTGCCTGTCAGGGGGGAACAGCTCGGCAGCTCTGGAAGCTGCATCAATGAGAGACCCCTCGTCTGTGACATCCGCGTGAACTATTGAGAGGCGTTTGGTGAGACCTTCGTTCTCGGTGAGACCTTCGAGGAGTGACTTCTTCACACTTTCTGGGTCGTGTTGGAGACGAGCTGTTGCGAGGATGGGCAAGGATGTCTTCTGGAGGAGGTGTCGAGTGAGAGCATAACCAATTCCTCGGGTTGAAGGACATACAAAGATCCAGGGCTTGCTCATGGTTGATTCACATGAGTCGGATGTCCCAGTGCTATCGTGTAAGCCAAGTTTATTGAACCAATTGGGTGTTGTTAGAAGGATGAATGTAAGGTACGAGGAAGTTCTAAATTGGTGTCATTGGTTGGAAAATCAAGTTCGCACCTCAAACGACCGTATAAACAGCTGGTTGTCACTTTTGTCTCACCCTTCCCTTGACAATCATCTAGCTCCCTGGCATCTCATGTCTTTGATGATGCGTAGACGCAGGTTCGTGCGAGGGATCACCTACGTCATATAAGATCTCGCTCGCCATGAGCGGGCCCGATCCAAGTGCAGAAGCTTGTTACCCAACTAGGTATAAACAGAAGTGATTTTGGGATTGAAACTAGATTCTGTGTTTCTTGTCTTGTGAAATAAAGTGTAACGGCTAGCATAAGATGCCAAGAGGATGGCTTAGTGTTTAATCGCAAGTTATAACCTTGGGTTATCGCCATGTGAGCTACCTATTATTAAATTCGGTGAAACTAAACAAGAAACTAGCTATTTTGGATAGATACGGTACATACTAGGAAATACTCTAAACTGATCATGATAGGCGTTAGCTAGGAAAATGCACGTCAGGTGCAAGACTATACTATAGTAACGTTGTTGAACGCATCCAAAATCCAATGCTTCGCTCATCCTGCACACAAACCAACCAGCCATTCCTATACCGCAGATAAAAAACAAATCAGCCTTCCCGTCTTCTTCTCTTGTACTTGGATTATATACGTCTTCTGGCAGATCCACTACTCGGAAAGAGAATGCAGCAATCCCTCATCATCCATTCCAAGTGATCTTGCTTCAAAGCTTAGTCGAGATCGACCAGCCAGTTCTCTCATAAGAGGTTCGATCGTATCAAAGCCGCTCATGTCATCGCTGACACTTCCAGCCTCAAGCTCCTCTTTAGTCCGTACAAGTTGCTCCAGAAACTCCCGCTCGGATGTCCCTGTCCTTGTCATCAAACGTCCTCGGCTTGATGGTCTCATCTTAGACGTTGCTTGAAAGTTCGAACGGTCATCATCAGAGATCCACCCCTTTGCCCCGCCTGGGTGCCCGTCTTGAGAATTAGCGAGCGTGCGGTTGAGATTGTCTAATACTGGCACAAGGGCACGAAGCCAGACATCTCCATTGCGCTCCAATCTCCTGATTCTGCGCTCCATCTCTCTGATGCGGTACTCACGGTATGCCTCATATCTTCGCAAAACCTCATTTTCCACGGTGGGCGCTTTGTCCCCGGTGTCTTCTCTCATCGTGACGGCCCTTCTTGCCCTGGGCCGGGGACTGGCGTTCGAGGCGGCTTCTTTTCGTTTACGCTCTTGTTCTCGAGCAGCACTCCACTCCCGACGTCGCGAAAGGGATGTTCTATCATGTGAGTCCACTTTATGAGTTGGTGATGAGTGAGCGGATTGGGGAGGCGTCGGTGACCCGTTCTGATATGAGGCTGGAGATGGAGATATTGCTCGACTGGACGTGTCGTCTTCTTGCTTAGGCACCGCTTCGTCCGGCTTCGGCTTCATAGCAGAGGTCAAGCCCTCTGGGTTTGCGGTCGTTTGTCTCTTTGGGGGCGCCGGGACAACCGCTGATGGGGGAGGCGATGGTTTGACATTGGCGACAACCATGATGGGGCACATGCTCTGGCGTTGGGGAGACCTGAGTGGCAATGGTGGTGGCTCTTCTGCCTTTTCTTTAGGCGACTCTTTGATAGTCTCCTGCTCAAAATCAGGCTGCGGGTCCATCGAAATAGATATCATACTGCGCCGTTTCAAAGAAGCAGCTTCCATGTCCTTCTTTTTCTTGTCCCTGACCTTGTCACGGCGACTCTGTGACAATTTGTCTTCAGGTGTCGAGGATCTCTCCTTTGTTCTTTGTTTCCTAGAAACTTGACGTTGGACACGTAGTGGGCTTTTGGTGATCACAGTAACAGAAGGTTCCTCAGTTTTCTTCGTGGATAATCGAATGCGCGATTCTCTGGCTGATACTGGCCTTGCCTCGACCGGTCTAGCCTCTGCAACAACAGGATCATTCTCGCTTGTGGTCATTATGCTTTTGGAAAGCGAGGGTTGATAAGATCCATCCTGGGAAACGGGGCGGGCAGGTGAAGTAGGAACCTGGTGGGCTTCTGTCTTGGTTGACTGAGACATCATAGTATCGATCGACAGGTCGCCGAGGTGTACGAAGCGACCCCCTGTCAAGCTGGGACTCCGTGAAGGGATTCTATCGTGATTGTTTGGGCTTCCTGCATGTGTGTTCCCCTGTTCATTGCTTTGAAATCCTCGGCCCTGCTCATTAGCTTGTCTGACTTGGTCCGGGGACACTATCCTCGGAGGAGGCGTTGCCAAAACGTTCAAATACTCCGGTGTCGCACTTTGGTTACTGCTATTGATAGGCGCCGGAGTAGAGTGTCCATTGATCGATGAGTTTGGAGATCTTTGAGGGATGGTAGATAAGAGAAGCTGAGAGTTTGCCGGGCTCACCGAAGGCGATGATTCTCTGTCCTCAGTGACAGTCCGTAACACTGTCACGACGCCTTTGTCGTTCAAAACTGCTCTGGTAGGAGCATACTGGGAAGTGAGAGGCTTCACGCTCCGGTGCTGGTATATAGGATACTGAGACCTGGGAGTTCGACCAAACGGCGAGGCGTCCAAGGGAATGGAAATTGCAATATGTCGATGTCCGCCTATCGTTGTGCCTGAGACAGCTGAGTCTGGAAGCCGAATGGTCTGAGGCGACTTGGAGAGTGATTTACTCCTCTTGCCCAACTTTCGGAGCCTGTACCATCGCCCCCTGTCCTCTGGGGGAATTCCATCGGGGATAGACATAAAGTTACCTGACGGAGGGCTGTGGTTCCTCAGAAAGTCAATGAGCTCTGCAAGGCCATCATGCGGTTCCCCGTCCTCCTCCTGCTGCTGGTCGATGAAGGTGTCGTCGTGAAAATGCAAGTCCTTGTCCTTTTCCGGGCCACCTAGCAAATTTGATGCAGATTTTGCTCTTGGTCGGGTACGTGCTTGGGCTTGGGCTTGGGCTTGGGAGCCTGGCCTTTGCAGATGCTGATACGAATGCCGATTTGCATTAGGGACAGTAGACGCAGACACAGATGCAGATGCAGAAGAAGTGAGAGCTGGGGGGGTTGTTGTGCGAGGACAGGAAGCGCCACTGCCCGACGTGACAGAGGCCTCAGGATCAAGGCCGATAACTTGAGCCATGCCGGGCCAGCTTAACATCTGACACAGAACATGGGATGGGCTTACACGCTTTTGCGCAACGATGCACTTGCATCCATGAAAGACAGGCCTGAGCTAGATAGATGTATCAGTTGAGTATTCACGGGACATGGTTTGTACACGAAGGGATCTCTTTAAATTAGTCTCACCTTTGGTTGTCTTTCGGGGCTTTTCTCGTGTCCTCCCTTTCCTTTGGAGGCTTGGATCGAGATTAGGAGGCGGGTGGTTGCAGACCGGTGACCCGAGTGATAGTAGGTATGATAGGTACAGGAGGGAGTCTGTGTCACCGCGAATACATATGTCTTACACTGGGTATTGACAGCCACAAAACAAGGCCAAGATTGTGACAAAGATGAGAAATTGAGAAGTGATGGTGTTGAGAAGAAGAAGAAGAAATTACACGTCCCGGGGGCGATGCCTCATCCCACTCTCTCCCCCAGTTCAGCCCAGTTCAGGGACCTTCCCAACCGCGTCAGAGCAGACAGACAGCAGTAGCAGTAGCAGGAGCAGGAGCATCAAAGAGGTCCTAGAGCCCATGTATGCCGTCACTCTCCATAAAACCCTGGAGCGCCACCAAGGCCAAGTGCCGCTATTTAGTCTTAGCTCAGGATCCGAAAGCTAATTATGCCCGTTGAATTTGATGGAGTGGGAACGTTTTCCCCAATTCGCCAATCAGAGCCTCTAAAGCACAGATTCACCAAAAGGGAGATCGTGCTGCTTTGTTCTAGCTCAGCTCATCTCCATTATCTGCTGGGTCTCTTTCTGATGTTGTAATTACGACTCTTTCGCGATGCGGCACGACACACCCGGTTGTTCGGGATGTCAACCAAGATCGGCGTAGAAATAGTTTCATTTGTCAAACTATCCCTAGTCATATTTGCGCTGGAGATCTCATTTTCCTGACCCTTGGCCAGCTTCGTTCCCGTCACTCTTTCTCTTTGCTTTTTTCTGTTGTCGCTTTATGCATGTCTCTTCGCCAGCCACCAGAAGTGATGTATGTATGCACATGCAAGTGGACAGATCTTTAAGTCCCAGCCGCTCGCAAAACCTTTCCCTTGAGAAAGAAACAATTCATAGCAGTTGGTTGCCGAAAGTCATCGGTCAGTGGTTGCAGCTGGCTGGTCGTCGTCACCACCGTGAGTTGTGTTACCTTCTCAGGTATCTCGGGTGGTTCACAAGAGGTAGAGAAGTATGCATATGAACCAAGAATCAGCTGAAAATCCAAGCCATGTTCGCATTATTTTGTCCTAGACCTTGGCCACTTGTTGAACCACTTACGTAGGTATGCACCAATCTTCAAACTGTCATAGCAGAACTCAAGACTGGATGCTAAAAATACTTGAATAAGTTTAGGATGAGCTTGGTTGGCTCTTTGAATAGTTTATTCTTGCTCCGTATCCAGAGTCTTGAGTCTTCTGAAATCTAATCCCGAGGGAGTAGCTCCCTGTTTCAACAATCCACAAACATTTCACTCAACCCCGAGAGGATGGTAGCCATCTCTTTTCAGCTCACGAGGTTCCTCCTTCGGGTCGTCACAACCTTATCCAATCACCAATACCGCGTTGTCGTTGCTCAACCGCCAAAAGCCTTTCCGAGCGCCACTGCTGATCTCCTCTGTAGGAGACCGCTAGTGTCATCATTGTGCCAAGTTACCAACTGTTACCCAGAGGATATGATGTCTGTGCCTGACTGAGCATTATCTCTAGAGTCTAGCGTCATCCCCTACTCTCTGTCGTCTTGGCATTGATATAATCTGAGCCGAATTGACCCTCTTTGGAGAAGCTAAAAGGCCACTGTCGTCAATAATGCCTCCATCACCATTTGCCTTTACATCATAGCACAACCACCCTTTTGTCACTTGTGATCATGTAGAAGTAGCCTCGTCTATTGTCCGTGGGAACTTGACCAGGATCGGACATTGCCTGACTTCACTCGTCACCAGGGTCCCTTGTTGTTATCCCTGCCCATTGAAATGACACGATCCCTGTCCGCTGATGATCGTCCTCACTACCGGACGGTTAGGCGAGTTGACCCATGCTCAGCGCAAACATGCACTGCCATCTCCTCCATTCACATTGTTTCAACAGTATCACGTGACGCAACCAACCTCAGCTGTGAACGAGATGGTGGAAATGATGCAGTGCTCTGCCATTACCATGTTCCAGCATTGATGGAAAGCCCATGGATCTCGTTGAGCGTCTCAACCTTAACAGCTGGCCTCAGAATCTTCCAGGTTGGTCAGGTTTAATGCTTAATGCTTCAGTTCTCCATCCGACTGCCACAGGAGGGGGCCTCGTGCCCCCTTGCATATCACCGTAGGCGACCCACGCATGAATGATGTATGCGAGCCTATCTTCTGACTGAAGCCAGGAGTGAGGCATGTTTGGCCATGTTTAATCCCCCAGAGAAAAACCCGCCGCAGCCCATTATGTCCTATTCGTGAATGCCATGTACAAATGAAATAATGCACGTCGACCGCCAACGCCCAGAAATGCTATCTACTATGTATCATCCTCTATGCTTACTATACAGGGTCTCGTTTTGTCATGAAATTTACCGTTTCTTTGGAACGAAGAGACTTGGCTTCCCCTTCTTGCGAGAGGAAGGCGGGTGAGGTGGGCGTCGTTGCTGGGAACAGTATAAGCAAAGCATCTCATCGAACTCAGAGTGTTAAACATACCTGGATGTTGCTATATTGCGGCCCCGGATTCGAAGGTCCTGTCGGAATTCTGGGCCCTGTTGGGGCCTGGGGTCCGCTTGATAACGAGGGACTGGCCGGTGCTGCTGCAGGCGGTCTTTCGGGAGGCGCCAGACCCATTACTGCCATCGCTGAAGGGTCGGTGGGAGCCTTGGGCGGCCGGTGCGACTTGTTCCCAAACTTGCCCATGAGTCCACCGCCCCGAGCCTTGTCACTTGCTATCTGTTTGACTGTTAGCTTACAAAACCTTGTTCTCGGTATTTGTTATGTCTGTGGGCATACCCTTTTAGGAACTGGCTGATTTGAATCTGGTCCGTCATGAGGTCGCTTTCGTGCTTCTCCTGGAGGCTTGCTTGACGAGGTATGAATGACAGGAGGCCCAGCAGAGCGTGGCAGAACTCCAGCCAGTTCACCTCCTCCAATGCCAGGTATGTGAGTTGTGGGAGCTGTTGGCTGCTGAGCTCCTTCGACCTTTGGTGAGTTTGGACGAGATGAGGGCAGTGACGACGTTCCCAAAGATGCATCTCGCATTGGAACATCACGGTCTTGAGCTTGGGGTGGTGGGGGAAGGTAAGCGCCCGGCTTTGCCTTTTCGAGGGGCTTCCTAAACATAGACAAGACGTCGCCATTAGTGTAGCGATCTCTGGCCTGGGCATCCTCAATAAGCTTTCGCCAGAATTCGCCCTGAACAAGCGCTCTCGAGTCACCAAGAATCCACAGCGATGATTTAGCACGAGTCAGACCGACGTTCATACGTCGAATATCAGTCATGAAACCGATACCGCCAGTAGAACTGGCACGAACACAAGAGAAGATGATGATCTCACATTCGCGACCCTGGAAAGCATCGGTGGTGTTGAACTCGATTATGCTTGTGATGTTCTCGCCATATCGCGATCGGAAGCGGTTTCTTAACTCATAAAGTTGAGCTTTGTAAGGAGTGATGATACCGATCTTGCCAGTCAAGTCGCATTCACGGTACTCGTTACTAAAGCGATCGTATATCTGGATAGCAACATCCAACTCCTTGGTGTTGACCAGTGACTGGCCCTTGTGACCCCTCTCCTGGACACCCTGGACATCGAAGAATCGATAAGGACCAAGCAGTGCGCTCTTGTGCCACGGCTGTTGCCTGAGCTCATGCATGTTCTGTCCGTCGGCGAGTTGTCCTTCGTAGAACTCGCGGCTGGGGAACAAGCTGATCTCGGGGTGCATACGATATTGCATGTCCAGCAAATGCACCGATCGTGGGTGATTTTGCTGCATTCGGACGAACAGACTTTGATCATAACCGAACTTCGCCGCTGACTGTGACAGAACTGTAGGGGGAAGCTGTTTAGGATCTCCAACGAGAATACATTTGTAGCAGCCGTATTTGAGTGGAATCAAGGCACTTAACTCAACGCACTGAGCAGCTTCGTCAATGATGACTGTTTCGAACTCTACATCCTCCAGGTTTCGAAACATCTCGTGACCACTGCCACTCAGAGTAGCGCACAGAACCTGAGCGTTATTGAGGATCTCTTGCTGGACTTGGCGGCGCCGCATTTCCATCTCTCGGGCTACAGAATTGCCGCTGCTCTTGTCGGCATCGATTTGTTTTCCATAGGACATTTGGCGTCGTTTCAATTCGTCGAATTCTCGGGATAGCTTGTTGTAGAGGGTTCGATCGTCCATGAGTTTTGCTGCTTCCAGCTGGGGACGCAGTTTTCCCAGCTCTTCCTTTACCTTTCCGGCATTCTCGTGGAGTTGGTCACGGTCGGCCTTGGCTTTATCCTTGGTCTGATCGCCCTCCATGCGGGCCTTGACAAGCTCGTCTAGGGTGACGTCCCTTACAGCTGCATTAATGGCATCACTCCGACCGAGTCGTAGCACGTTGATATTCTTGGTTTTCCCTGAGATCGTTTTGACACCAGCCTTCAAACGTAGCACTAATTCATCTACGGCGGCGTTACTGGGCGCACAAACAAGAAGCTTTTTCGAACGATTTTGTTTGGGTGCACCTGGTACACCGTTCGGTCGCAGAGGTACGCCTACGGGAATGCCTTGATTGCCTGATTGACTCAGTTGCTCAGAGAGTAAGGTTCCAACCATGGCCACGATAGTTTTCGTTTTTCCAGTACCGGGAGGGCTGCTTTATATTAGCTTCGTCAATAACCAAGACCGAGAGACTCACCCCTGAATAAGCGTAAAACCATCATTGTCGTGAGCACCTAGAACCGCCGTAGCCTGTCCTCGGTTCAGAGCATAATTGTTCATACAGTTGTTTATCTTCTCATCTCCATATTGCAGAATAGGAGACGGTTCAGCATTCAGGATTTCGTCCATTAGATCATAATACGGCAGACTCTCCAGCGCGGCGAATTCTCGCTCGATTGTTGTCATGTTGGTAATCTTCACTCCAAACACGCTAACATTCGGGGTCAACACCTGTGTCATGGGATTGTTCCGGGAAGCCACACGATATGTGATCTCGATCAGCTCCTTTTTGTAGGTGATGCGGTGAACCCTAGCCAAACAATGTCGAGCTGTCTGGTCGATCAAAGGTTGTTCCGATTCTGAGACGAGAAGAATGTCACCTTCAGAGACACCGCGCTCTCTGCTTTGGACCACTGGCATCGTGAAGGTCGCCTCCAGGTAGCTGTCGACGCTCGCACGACTTGCAATCTTCATCCCGAATGGCTGAGACGTGAGCTCATCCTTAGCTGTGACAAAAGAGCGCCAAGCTTCTGAGGCAAGCAAGGGGAAAAAGGTATCCTGGTACGTTCTGGGTTCGGAATACTTGGTGGCAACTTCTGAAGCTGCTGGGCCATTGGGAGGATCGTTACCACCATGGAAAATATCCCAAGCTAGGATTGTGTTGTGTAATCTGTCCATAGGAGGGATGACTCTGGCTCTCCTATCCTTGACTGAGCGCTGCTGTCTAACCTTCTTCACTGGTCTACGCATTTTGTCTTGCAAAGCCTTTGCCATGCGCCGCTTGTTAGCTTCTTCCAAAGCTGTCTGGCCTCCCGTGCTAAGGGCAGCCAGTTCGTTATCGGCATCTGATACATCTTCTTCCTCTTCATCAGATTCTTCTTCGGAACTGTTAACCATTATCTCGCTTCGGCCGTGATCCTTGCCGATGAGGCCAAGACTATGCAAGCCGGAACCCTCACCAGGGACAGTTTCTCCCCTAAGAGCTTTGGCGTTCGCAATGACCGCAGCATCACGCTTCTCTTTTTCAAGCTTGGCCTTTTGTCTGGCCTCCTTGATCGCCGCGATCTCCTTCTTATCAGGGGCAATCTGGGTTCTGGGCTTGATCATAGCTTGAGCCTTTGTTTTGGCCTTTGCCTGATCCTTGGCTTTCTTAGCCTCCAGCTGCCTAAGGATGGGGCTGTCTATAGATCTGCTGAGATCGAGCACGTCCTCACGATTAGATCTTGGTGGTGCTACCGTAGCTGTACTGCTGGATGATGTGCCAGACTTGGACCAAGCGTCAAGTTTGCTTTGTTTCTTGATACCATCTTTGGGTCTCTGTGCTAATGGTGTCTGCGCAACACCGAGCTGGTAGATTTGAATTTCATCATCTGTTTGTCCAAGGGCTTGAAGAAGTTCTGCTCGCTGCTGGTCAGTCATGTTGGTTGACCTGACAAACTTGCCCGGGACATTTGTAGGTAGGCAGGCATCAGTGATAAGCTTGCGGGAGGCAGGGTTGATCTCATGGTTGTTTTCTCGAAGTCGGGTCAGAATCTTGCACAAGACTCTGACTGTGACATCAACGAGCCACTTGTCCTTCAGACGAATCATGTTCTCCATTCCACCAAAGTGTTGCTTTGCAGGGATAAGAATTTGAGACATAGTATCCTTCTCACTTTTGTTCAAAGCCTTGGAAATCGCTGAAGTGATGAGACCATCCTCAGCGACGAGGGCTTCAGCGAGTTCCATGATTTCTCGGCAGAATTCTGTCATGACGGCGTTCTGAATGTATCGAGACCATCCCTCAATGTTTCTACACGCAGTAGAGACAAAACGCCACTGTTCGCTCCACCAACGCAAGACCTTCGCAGCCGACATAGGCTCAAGGGTCTTGATTCGCAAGACTCCAGACATGGGGTCAGTCAAACCACGGAGGATATCTCGACTCATATTTAGCATTGGCCTGATAGGGCCCCAGGGGTTTGGAGGTTTCAAAACTCGCTCTAGGGCCCATACTATGGAGGAGAGGGTCTGCTCAGGGTGCAGCTGTGACATTTGCTCGAAGGCGCCGCTCTGGGAAATCTCTCCAGTCCAGCTCTTCAGCAGCTCGGCAGCTGCTTCAGCAAGTCCTGCCTCTCCATGGGTGGAGAGTGTAATAGTACCTTGGAAAGCCAGGCGGTCGTCAAAGAAGGTATTCAGGTCTGTGGCAGCGTCTAGTTCGGACATTCGACCAAGAAGATTCCCAAGAATATCCACCGTTGCAGCAAGAGACTTGTTGAAGTTCTTGCTCGAATCGCTCAGTTTATCGTCGCTCTTCAAGGCCCTGATCTGCTCCACACCAATCAAGGGCTCTAACGACAAGACGATATCTCTCGCAAGGTCGACCTGCTCGGTTGACAAATCGAACATCTCAATAATACCTTGCCAGAAAGCCTTCGAGTCCCTGGTGACGGCGGATTGCAGCTGGCTGCCCTCCAGGCAAGCTATATACTCCTCCGCAAAGACTTTCATATCAAGTTTCATGGCAGCTTGCATGGCCTTTTTAGCTGCATTTGCTACTTGAAAGGTCACCCAGCCTTCCTTTTCCTGGCCAGGGGCACGTAAGTTCCGGAGAATGATGTCCTTGTACTTCATAACTAGGTTGAACGCACAGCATGCGTAGAGATGAGTGGTTCCCGCACCAATCTTCGTCTCTGGGTCGACAAAGGTTGATATGGTAAGCTGTAAAGCGTCAAATCCAGCTCGAATACACGCCGCACGGCCCGGTTCCCCGATAGTCTCGTCTTTCGCAAGTGATTCGAAGAGAGTGTGCATCAAGATCTCGCAGGCGTTATATCTGCGATCGCGGCCGACTGACTGGAGCCATGGATCAACCCAAGACGTAGGAAAGGGACCACGGGAAATGCTACCATCGTAGCCAGTCCAGCAATCTTCTAGAGATTGACGAAGGAGATTCTTGTATCCGGGACTCGCAAAGATTAAGTCAGCGATAACATTTGGCCGGGCATCGCCGATAACATCCCAAAAAGCCCTGGGTGCCTTCTTTAGGAAGTTTGTGAGGATTGTGATGGTCATCACCAAGACACTCTCGGCAGGGCAAAACTGGATATGGCGGAACAGAAGGTCGTAGATGTGACTGATTGTGCCGTTCAGCTCGAGATTCCGTAACCGCTGCAGAATGACGTCCGCAGTCAAGGTCCTTAAAATTTCATTGAATCCTTCCCAGAACTGCTCCATTTCAGGCCACGAGTCCACAGCTTGAGGCTCTTTTTTAGAAATGTCCTCAATGGCCCTTGTCAGACCGCTGCTGACAGCCCAGTCGAACTGTTCCAATGTCATACTATTGCTGTCAAGGTTTCGATAGTTATCTGTTGCCCATTTTCGGCGATCCTGATTTTTGAGGTCAAAGATAAAGTAGGTCATTCCAGGCAAAGGCTCCTTGGTCCCAAGTTTGAGGCCACTTTTCCCTTGTAGTCGCTGGAAAACATACTGAAAGGTCATCCTTCGATCCGCATCCTCCATATACGGCATGCAGCATAGTGCCTCGTATATAGAGATATGGACCTCGGGTAGATGCTCACCGAGCTGGGATTTCTTGAAAGTAGAGCCTGCTGAAATGATCTTCTCAATAAACCCCTTGGCCCATCGCAGGCTCAGATCGATTCGTTCAACATCTCTCTGCTCCAGCATCGACCGGATATCGACTACAACTTCTTCATTCCACCGTTCTTGGAATTGCTGCAAGAGTTCTCTGCGTTGCATATGCCAATTATAGACACAATCAGCGCAATGCTTTAAGCAACCGTTAAGCCTCTCGCTAAGCTGCTCTCCCCATTTCCCTTGGCTTGATTGATCGAAGCCAAAAATCAGGCAATTCCAGTATGTGACTTCGAGTCGCTCCTTTCCTGCCTTAATTCGACTATTCTTTTCTTCTTGCGTAATCGATGAGTCGGGGTCGTCGACGAGTTTGTAGTTTTCATTATCCTCGTCGTTGATGCGTGGGCACAGGAGATGACATTCCTCGTCGAAGCGTTGAATCTTCTCGTACCATTGGCTGAGTTGCTCATGAAGATCCATTGTAGGGTTCGCAGGTACGTTGGCGCATCTCTTGGGATCGTGGCTAAAACAAAGGGTTCGGGGGTACTGTGGGAGGTCGGGTTTTCATGAGGTTAGGAGGATTTATCGTCAAGTCTAGCGAGGATCGCATTCGACGAAGTGAAGGGTATCTTCAAGCTTGTCGCAAAGAGTCGAAGGTTGTTAGGGAGGTGGTGGTCGAAAATTCGAAGTTCAGTTGAGGGACCGTTGCTGGGGCACTCTGGCTTCGAAATTAAACAACCCGTTCCGTGAATGTCTGATCGTTTGCGGGACAACCCTAGGGGACAAAACAGTGATGCGAATGAAAGGTTGAGTCGCAGAAAATGTGTAGAGTCCCTTGATGTCCTGTCGAAGCTTGTATTCCAGCAAGGCAGCGAGCCTAGGTACGGAGCAATATGAGAAAGTAGAAGATCAGGAAAATAGTTGTAACGCTAGGTCAGAAACTGGCTGGGCTTTGACGCGCTTGAGTTGCCGCGTTTTCTGCAGGGGGTTAAATGAGAAATAGCGGGGGGTGATAAGACACGCGCATGATAATGCATGTGTAAGAAAGATAGTTGCACGAAATGCTGAAGAGATGCAACTTATTTAACGAAAATAACCCACAATTATCTAACTACAGGCACTTAATCACTGTCCTCTTCCTTCAGCTGCTTCTTCAATCCTGCTTTCCCTCCATACTGTCTCTTCCCTGTTCGCTCCATCAGTCCATCAAGAGGACATTTTGATTTACTCCATTCTTCACTCCCCTCGCTTGTGTTTGCTCTACAGCGGATACAACTTCGTCCGTGTTGGACGAACAGTTTGTGCAATCCATACTTCAGCTGATTGGGGATGCGCACCTCCAGGTGACTAAATGTTTGATCCCGAGTGGCTTTGGGGGGTATCCATTTCAACCATCCACTGATGCGGTGAACATGGGTGTCAACTGCGAAGCTAGGTTGTTGGAGACAGAAGAGAATAACGCAAGATGCTGTCTTGACGCCAATACCAGGGAATTTAGTGAGTGTCTGCATGGCTTCATCAGGAGCCATACCATGTATATGGTCTAGTGAAAGAATGTCTTGTTCTGTCTTCAAGATTTCAAGATCTTTTTGACCTTGAGTTTTGTTGTCCGCTCCGGTGATACCAGATAAGTTCCCCCCTTTCTTCTCTTGCATAAAAGCCTCTCGTCGTTTTGTGTTCTCTTCATGAACTAATTCCAGGATTGCCTTGATGTCTTTACCCTTGACCTGAGCCAAGCCACCTGTCTTGATCGATTCAACGATGGTAGGCAAAGGAGCAACTCTGACCTTGTTCCAGTCAACGCTGCCTTTCCCAATACCTTTGTCGACAGTGCCGAATGTGGTCACCAGCCCCCTGAATGCTGCACTTGAGTTGCGGTTGGAAGTGTTCGCGCTTAAGCGGGTACGAATCAAGGCATCGAGAACAGATGGTACCTCTCCGCAACCCGACACTTCCAAAGATGGCGCTGGTATCTTCTCGGGGGCTTTGGCTTCTCCATGTACTTTCGCCAGTCGGCGATAAACCTCTTCACACTCTTCTGCCGATGGGGCGCTCCACTCTGGAAAGGGCGTCATGCCAGGAGTAAGTCCATACGGGTTATCCTTGGTCTTTTTGACCGTTTTCCAAACTGGTGCTTCTATTGCCACCTGGAGATCCTCATCCTTGACCTCCTTCTTTACGGACGAAGGCTTGACTTGAAGTTTAGTTATTGTCTCGTCATCAGATTCGAAGTATGAAGATTTTGCAGCTGATTTCCTTGGGCGAAGGGATCTTCGGGTTGCCAACTCCATGACCTGGGCCGAACCTTGGTTCGCAGCTTTCATCCCCGATTTGGCCACGGGTGAGACCTCTTCGACTTTGGCACTTTTCTTCAAGTCCTGCGTTTCTTTCAAATCTTCCGGGGGTGTGGGAATCGTTTCGATATCCTTCCGGGGAGCACGAACAGGTCCCGGATTGTGCGGAAGGTCATCCAAATACTCATTTTCCACCTGGTCCTTGGCCTTCCTCCCGGTCTTCCTTTTCTTCACAGGCGCCTCCTCTCGACTAGCAACCTTACGTTTCCGTAAAGTTCGAGCAGCCATCTCGAGTCGCGCAGAAGGTGTGAAAGTATGGAAGTGACGAAAGATTGGAGATGATGTAGATAGGCTCGGACAGGGGTGCAGTGGTGTCCAAAACTTGACGGCAAATAGCAAATAGCTTTTCATTCCACAAGAGAAGGCAATCTCTTGATGTTTTATATCAACAGCATACTCATTTTTGTTCTGGTCATGGTAAGTGTTTGATCAGTTTTGCGATTACTTATAGTTGATCGCATCAATGACCTCAACAGTCGACACAAGGATCGCTGGGGTCTATCTCCACACCGCAAATCGTCGCTCTGCCGGGATCCACTGAACTACCTAACTGAAATTGGTCAGAGTGACTACTCGTACGTTACCTACCTATCTACTTACCCTGTGCCACTCGCCCTTGAAATAGCAACATCAAGGAGCATCAGAACACAAGAAATACATGATTATTATGTTCTTCAAAGGTTACTTCGGCTTGTACAGCTCCGTTTTCTTTTTTTTCCTCTGAGATATCACTGATAATTGCTACCCCGACTTCCATCATACCAAATCAGGGCTCAGCCACCCCCTTCAGTTTTGGTAAATGAGTTGCTTCAAAAGTGTTCTAATATCAAACAGCTGAGTGGATGACATCCCCAATAGAGCTCAGCAAAGGGCCCAGCGAAAAAGTCTCCAGAGACATTCGTGAATCTAGCCATGTTTTTGGAGCTCGAGCTGGATGTCGCTGAACTCATTCATTACATTCAAATGCCTTCCACTGCCTTACAACGCCTTTGCAACACGAACCCATTAGACACCGGATATATCCTTGGAAGCTATTGAACATACACTAAAGCTAGTGAGGCCAGTTAGCCTCATTCAATAACCAATATAGATGTAGTATGCAAGTTCTCAGATTGAGTAACACAGATAACAGATCTCGTGCGGTTTATATGTGATGTACACTGTCCAAATAGTGAACACTGATGGACTGGAACATGGATTGAGGAGCTTCAACCGAGCCAAAAGACCCATTGATTCTATAAACCGTTTGTGAGCTATCTCTCGGTGTACCATAATGGAAAGATAGAGCGGATGGGTTCCCTATGCACGAACAAGCGCAAGTAAGAGATGGCGCCTGCGACACTGATGCAATGATGCCAACGGAAGCATATATACCAAGTCTTGTAATAGAGCTGTAACACAAGTGTCACGAGAATACGATACAAGCTACAAGAACATAAATATTGTTTCAATAAAATCCTCAGTTAGTTGATAGTATTTGCACCAAGGTTTCACGACGAATAAGAGCTTTGACGAGACAAACGACCCATAGGTCATGTTGCGCGGACCAAATATTCAAAGAGAAAGATATATGTTGCCCCAGATACCAGGGAATTCACCTAAACTCAAGGACCTAACCACTCATGATACAATAAACCACTTCTCTCGCTTTCTCTCCTGCAACCAATCATCACTTTTCCACTCTCTATTCATCGGCCAAAGGCCACAACTGCCTCGTTTTCTCGGGGTATGCAATCATAATCTTTTCTTTCCTGTATTGCGATTCACAGTAAACTAACACAGCGACGTAGATATTTCTTTGATCGCTAGGCTCAGGTCCGGTTCTCAACCATGCCTATCGAAAGAATCGACCTTGAGGCACAATCAGAGACCGATGACGTTTTATTTCTTTCTGAAGAATCTAGTGGGACTTTTGGGCGTCGAAGGCGTCTCTCATCTTGCACAATTGGAGATGAGGACACCAGCAGTCACTCAAACACCTCAGCCCGTCTTCTCGAACAGGGCGAACTTGAGCTCAAGGCAATGAGGCTACTGAATACGACTATACAAGCAGGTTCCTTTCTCGGAGTACGCCAATTCTTTTCTGGGAAATATCTTGTTGAGTTTATTCTGGTCAAAATTCTGGTTCGATGCCGGTCTACAGACGCGATCAAAATCCGTGGCACACCCTTCTTGAGAAATCGCTCGGCTTTAGCAAAGCTTCCAAAGAAGCCAAACGAAGTCTGCATGCTGATATGCAGAGATGGCGACACGAACAACGAAGAGGTCACAGACATCAGTCCATCACAAGTGGTTCAAGTGCACCCACTGCTCATCACTAACGCGAAATACCCCAATTTCAACCGGGTTGTCTTCAATCCACAACATCCCGCAGAAAGGGGCCGACCGAATGTGCAGTCCACACACTTGACCTGCCGCTAGAAGCTGGAGGTTTGTTACGCTGGACAAGGGAGCCGTCGGAAGCAGGTTGAAGAATCTCTTGTTCGTGTTGACTCCAGCGAAGTCTCACGGAGAGAATATAGAATTTCCAACGAGATACTCCGCAACAGATGGCGAGGAACTACCGCCAAAGGAGGCTCATGGAACCCCTTTTCAGGCGGTCACCTTATTGACCTGGAGTCAGAGCGGTCCAACGAAGGAGATCGAAGCCACGGTCAGCAGTACACGATATTTGACTCTTGTTCTGGTGCTGGCGGAGTGTCGCGAGGAGCCCTCATGGCTGGCTTCAGAGTCCGATATGCGTTGGACAAAGCACCGGAGGTTTGGGATACCTACCAAGCAAACTTCCCTGGAACCGAACTATACAAGATGTCCCTTGACCAATTTCTATCCAGCGCGCAGACGAGTCATATGCGAGTTGATGTTCTACACTTTTCTCCGCCCTGTCAATTCTTTTCACCAGCACACACGCACGCATCAGAACATGATGATGCGAATATTTTCGCATTATATGGCTGCAATCAACTACTCAAGAAGTTGCGTCCCCGTATCATCACCGTGGAACAGACATTCGGGCTTACGCATGACCGGCACGAGGAGTACTTTAATGGCTTCCTTGGGGACTTCACACAGCATGGCTACTCCATACGCTGGAGAGTCATAAGGCTTTGCACGTGGGGAGCTGCTCAAGATCGGAGACGCCTAATCATCATTGCCGCTGCACCTGGCGAGAGACTTCCAACCTTCCCCCAGGCTACACACAGTCAGGAGGGTGGCAACGGACTATTGCCCTACAACAGCATCGGAAAGGCGCTAAGGGACATCCGTGCAGGAGACGATCTTCATGACCTTGATAATGTCCATTATTTCGATCCACCACGAGCGCCATATGACCCGGAACGCCTGGCAGGGACCATCACCACTGGCGGAGGTTACTTTTACTACCCTGACGGCTCACGAAAGCTCACTCTGAGAGAGTATGCAAGCTTGCAAGGATTCCCCAAGTCACATCAGTTCCTCGGTACTAAAACATCCATCAAACGGCAAATCGGAAATGCGTTTCCCCCAAACACAGTCCGTGTTCTCTACAGGCACTTAGAACAATGGCTCTTGAACGAAGACCGCATGAAGCCATTCACCAACAACCAGGACGCCATTCTCATTGAGGATGATTCCGATACACCAGCCAATCTTACAGATAATTCTGAGGATAGGCCACGCCACTCTCCGGATATGATGGACGGAAATATTGTTGAGACTTTCGATATACAACAACATCGACGCGGCAGAGACCCTTGGGCAGTCGAGGACATGGTGATTGACTTGACCTAGCTCCTGGGCAGGTTTGGTCAAGACAAAATGGTACGGAGAACGAGATTAGTGGTTACTGGTTTGGTATTGTAGCAGCCTGGAAACTAGACGACAGTTTTTCTCCCTGGAAAGGTCACGATGTGGTAGATAACTGTTCTGTTCGAGCTTTAGATACTTAAGGTAGCCGTCACGAATACCAGTGTTTGATTACATTACATTAGTACCTTACCTGGCACACCCGCCCTGGGGTCTGAGCTATCCTTTGTAAGAGAGAGCCGATCTTGAACTAGCACCTGCTGCCACTGCCTTCTCTTTCTTTGCCCACGAAAACCCCCCTCAACTTTTGACAGTGATTCACAGCGCGTCGGGTGCCTGCCGGCAGCCCCAGATGGGCACCTTCTTATAATAACAAACGGCGAGTGCAAACGATTCTCCTCCTTCCTTCATCCTTCCTTGCACGCTTCTGCCTTAGGTTGGCTATATGTATCTTCTCCTAGCTCCCGCTTCCACCCTTGCTTCTTCAATCATCATCTTCTTCTCTCGATGCTTTGACGAGTCTTTAAGTCAATACTACTTTGGACCACCTAGAGGCTAGGCATCTAAGACATCTTGTTCCGACGGCAGTTCGCGCTTTACTAGTTCACTCGATTTCTACTGCTGTTACGTCTTGTTGCTATTCTTCTGATATGGCGCCATCTGCTCCTATCATGTCGGCCCCTGTCGGACGAAGTGTTCATACGTCCGGAAATGTGAGTTTTGATCATCTAACCACGTGAATTATGTCACTGACATTGTGCTCTCAGAAGCCACTGGAACCATTGTACGCCCTGTCTGTAAGCGAGTATGTGAACAGACACGAGAATGGTACTATAATCGAACAGCGCAACGAGGAGACGATTTTGAAACGGTTCAATGATCTTCGGACCTCTTTCAAAGCCTGGCCCATAGCGCAAATTGATTGCTTGGCAAATTCTTTTACGACGACCTGGCTCCTCCTTGTCCCGGTCCCTAAACAATCTGAAGACCTCATCTTTCCCGCTCTCACCGACAACTTCCGCATCGAGTTTGAAGAAAGAATAAAGCTTTCGAACAGGACTTATTCTCTTGTCAATTTGTCAGCAACTCGCGTGAAAAACCCGTACGAGGATATGGAGAGCACCGTCGGCCCAGAGATCGTGAAATGTGCGGCCTTCAACGTCCAGGTTCCACGTGCGGTGAAGAATGAGGAAGGCGATCAAGAGATTCTCGAGCTGATGAACCACATGGAGACAGCCTCTACACTCGATGATTTTGAAAGCCTAACCTTGGACCAAACATCCCAGCAAAATATCTTCATTACATGGGACACGTTTTCTAACACCTATGAGGCCGAACTTGCCGCGATGCATCGCCTGACAGGCGATTGCCAGCTTGAAAGCCGGCAGATCAGTCAAAAATGCAAGGCTGCTTTTGAGATGATCCTAAACTTTGAAGGATCAAAAAAGACAATTGTCAATCTGCATAGCATCTTCCCTCACCTTCGCAATCCACGTCACCGGGATTATAGGGTTCGCTATAGTCTTCTGCGAAGATTCCGATCCTTCAATAAGGATCACATGGCCGCCTTTGATGGCCTAAAGGCCATACCGAATGGTCTCTACTTTGTTAATGGATGTCCCGGTGCGGGCAAGACAGAGTGGAATATGGTCGTTTCTGCTTTGATACAGTCAGTACGTCGCCCAGGTGCCAAAAAGCGGTATAACCCTATCCTGTTTCTTGTTGACCTCAACAAAACCGTCGATGATGCTGCGGACCGCTACTGGAACTTGGCAAAGGAGTGTGGTCTTCATCTTCGCATCATTCGAATGCACGGTTGGCCTTACGAAATGAAGAACAGCGAGAGACTGGGCAAAAACCAGGCGCAAGACTGTGACCAACAAACGGACTTCACGAGAAAGTTTCTGACAACTGCCAGCATCGAGAAGACTTTGAACGCCGGAAGAAACCCCAACAAGGCGCCAACGCTGGATGAAGCTGCTTGGGACTACTATGAAAAGCACAAACATGGTGGGTTTGTGGCGCTCAAGAAAGTGCTCTCCAGAATGGAGGCTAATGACGCCTTGGACCACGACGAATGGAAATGTCTGAGAAATGAAGTCACGAAACTATACACCGCGGTTTTGAAGCAAGCGGACTTCATAGCGACAACGCCTGTGGCCGCATATGGCGGCTTCTCGAAACTCTTTAATCCGGATATTATCTTCGTGGATGAAGCGCCACATGCAAGGGAGCTGACAACACTGATTCCGATTGCATTCTTCGAACCCTTTGCTTGGATTTTTACGGGTGATGTCAATCAGACCCGCCCCTTCGTGAAGAGTGGTGATGCACGGGATGCCCTGAAGAAAGGCCTTGAGGTAAATCCGTATTCTGAGCAGCTGCGTCTTAGTCTCATGGCAAGGGCCAATAGACTGGGGGCGATCAATAGTTCATTGTTGATCAACAAGCGAGCGCATGGCAACTTGCACAAGCTGCCGTCGGATCTCTTCTATGGCGGAAAGATGTCTTCTGATTACCCATCATCGATGCAGTTCCCGGAAACCGTTAGCTACCTAAGACGGCACCTTGAGGCCTTCGGTAGTGGACGAAGACTGAACGCGAACCGGGCTATTATTGCCCTTTCGGCGAGCAAAGAGGAAAGCCATTGTCACAGTTTCTGGAACCCTGTGAATCATCGTTGGGTGTTGGCTGAAGTTAAAAAGCTTTTGCAGGACCCGTCATTTCGAACCATTACGGACAGTCAGCAGCCCGGACGTGTGATGATCCAGACACCATATAGTGTCTCCATGCGTCAGTATGCACATGTGGTTAAAGGCTGGCCAATTGAGTGGCAGGAGAGGACAGAAGTCTTGACGGTAGACAAGGCTCAAGGTAATCAGGCAGATGTGGTTTTCCTCGATATGGTGAGAACCACGAAGCCCGGCTTCATGGACGAGGCACAACGCCTCAACGTGGCAATAACCAGAGCCAGACAAGCGGAAATTGTCCTGATGCACCCTGCAATGACTTTTCGCCTACGTCAGGGTAAGCGGGTACCGACTGATTACACTTCAAAGGTCTGGGAGGATGCAGTTGCGAACGATCGCTTATTCGTGGTCTGACTGTGAAGTCTTCAAGAGGAATTTGATATGATGAGGAGAAGCATACCTGATGGTGTTTGTAGCTGTTTGAGCACTTGAAGTTCAGTTGGTTGATAGGTCAAATTGGGTCTGTTGTCTTGTTGTTAATCAAAGGAAGCTTGGTTGCACCAAAAGTGGAGTGGTACTTGTATCGAAGCTTGTACGCTATTTTCTAGAGAAGGTTGAATGAAAGAGAAGTTGTCGACAATTATTGCTACCTACTAACTTCGTCAAGAGATGAAGTCAAAACAAGGTCACAGTACCCCGATGGACTAGTGTCTTGGAGGCAATCGAGCCACACTGGGGTCGGTGTTGTGGTGGGGACATGGCTTGGCAACAACCTCGGGATTTCGTGAAGCATGAATGTTGGATTTAGAAATTGGAACAAATCTTCTTGTCTATTTCACTGTTTGTAAGACGACGCGAAATGGACGGGGATGTACAGCGCAACGAATGATAGTGCTGACTTGAATAAACCAGGATCGGCTCAGGATATTCCCATGGAAGAGAAGCCAAGAATAAGGGTCCAATGGAGTAACTAGGTATGTAGAACAATGCAGGGTCTGAGGATTGACAAGACATCCATCCTTTTTATCAGAGGCCGGTCCACTCTTCGTGTGATTGATCTGACTAGTCTGAGTACTTACTCAGGCCTTTAACTATTTATTACTTCTTACATTTGCTCGATTCCATATGACTTGATAAATTTTCAACCCCAGTCATGTATCCTATCCCTTACGATGGGTAATAATTACATTTTATCAAAGAGCGAGAGTAACGGAATGACAATAATCTCGCACGATCAGTGCCATCAGACTGATCCGAAATGGTGCCAATTCTCGATCCTTGCCTTACTCCCACTCGCTCACGAACACTGGAGAGGATCGGGCTGAGCCTTGGCTTGTAGGGCCAGCGAATAAGAACATCTTACAAATACAGTGCTATCGGATCTAATGCTGCATTGCCATGGCCAGTAACTGGAGCGGCTTAGGTAATGTAAGCTGGTTGAGAGTCGTAGCGCTTCACGAGGCTTGAGCAAGGAGGAAATTATGCAGCCAATTTGACGGTTCTTTGAGTAATCTTTGCTCTTTCGATAATCACGAATGAATTTATTTATAGAATTTTGCTGCAAATTACCATCGGCATTATGGGGCCAGTAGCTTGAGACCAGCTGCTTGACGAAACCCGCGGTCGAATGAAAACAGGGAACAGTGACATCGTCTCCCGATGGGACGATGTGACTGTGGCTAAAGCTGCTCATCTTCAAAAGGAAACAAGATGAGACAGACTAAGAGAAAAGATCTTGACGTAGTAAGTGAGATAGATGAGCTGAAAATTATAGACAGCACTGTTGAAGTCGAGTGATCAAATTGAGTTGAAACTGAGTGACCCTGATGACGCCAGGGGTGGGTTGACACTAACTCGAGATGAGTGTGGCTTAGACTGACGGAGCTTCGGACGGGAAGCGGGGCCTAAATAACGCCCTGTCCAATGAAGTCTCGCCCCGTTGAGCCACTTTAATCTGGCAAGGGGAGGCAAGAAAACTGAGGACCTCTATCCTAGCGACAAAAAGAATTAGGCATAATTTGGTGTAGATTTTGTGGATTCTAGATTACATATTTTTGACATCTTCGTCCAACGTCAGAAGTTTTCTTGCTCCCTGGGGGCCTGGGCAGTTGAAGACGTTTGGAGCCCTGAAAAGGCGCGATAAAAACCAATTGTCAGAAGGTGCTTCAGAGGGCCGTTGCTTTGCGCTTGCCCGCTGACGACCACCCCCGGAATCCCGTCATGTCATTGCATCTCACTCATGCATGAATCTGTCTCTCACAACGATCGATCATGAGTACACTAACTATCCAACAGCTAAAGTGATCATCCCTTAATCCCCACCATATCTTCCGATTCATCGACTGGACCCTTTTAACAAAGCACAAGCCTTCCACGAGGCTCGCTGTGTCTCGCGCGACTGCGACGGCGGCCTCCCAAGACCCAAGCATCCAGTGTTATACCGGCCACCCCGCCCCAGTAACCTAACCCAGCAATACGACAAGAAGAATCACCACTCGATTAGCTGTCCCAATTCTCAGCTACCATCAGCTCTCGCCGGCTGCTGCTGGCTACCTCCGCATTCGCCACTTATTCCTCGAACCCGGTGTGGTCCAATTCGATGGATACTCTGCGATGTCTAAGTGGGAGGAAGAGCCATGCGATGGGCAATCTCGAAACCAGAGGCGTCGTGTTGAAACGCCAGCTTAGCGATGGAGGAATTGCGGGTGTTGTTGTCGGTGTTATCGTGGGCATTGCGCTTGTTGTTCTTTGCTCGTATCCCTTTATCATCCGCCGCATCAGACGCCGAAAACAAACATCTCTTCATGGCCCCCCCGACACGAACGACCCGGAGACTGGCGAGGTTCCAGCAACTGGAGCCCCGGGGATAGACGATAATCAACGCCGCCTGTCCTCACAAGACTCTTTCAAACCTTCAGGGGAAAATACGCGTGGGGGAGTTGATGGATCTGTCAAAGACTTGGATTGGACAGCCCACGATGGCTTTTTGCAGCAAACCAATGGACAAGGTCAACCAGACTATGTTCCCCGAATCGACACTGATTTACCTTCTTACGGCTTTGGAAATGCTCAGCCAACTGCCAACGACTCAATACCGCGCTCAGCGCCGTTCGGCTCTGACGAGAATCATCATGAAGAGTACATGCCGCAGTCTATTGGTGATGCACCCCGTGCTGTTCTTAATGGGACCAGTGCGGACTACTATAGCCCATCAGTCCCTTCGGAGGCATTTGGCATGTTTTCGACTGAGGAACCTCGACCTCAACCTGAACGCTCATGGTCGCGTGGGAGCTCCTTGAGATATAATTTAAAACAGATGTTTAGTCGCAAGAGCACGCGCGATCAGTCTCTTAACTCACCAACATCGCAATCCCTGGCTGAATACCTCGAAAGCGTGCCAAGAGCACAGGATGGAAGTCTTCAACGGATTACTACAGCAGGAAGACCGACCGAGTCTCCTACTGACATGACTGCTCCGGCTACCGATTCTTTGCCGGTACCTTCATCTACCCAAGCCTTGGGCTCCCCGATTGCTTTGCCATCTACCCTGCCAAAGGGGGCTGTGCAAAGTCCCCCAGATTCCCCACCGACCACCTTCAACTTCAACGCGTCCCAATCCCCTCCTAGCCATCCAGCTCCTGGTACCGTGAACCCCATGGATATCATGCCTGCATCGACAGAAACCGAAGTATGGCACAGGAACGACTACCAATTATATGTATCGCAATCCTCACCCAACCAGCCGCCCCCCTCAGCAGGACCTGCCACGCATGAAGGACCTGTGGACTCACCCTCGCCATTAACACTACCTCCTAGTGATCCTCATCCTCAGCCTGTGCCCATAGTTCACTCTCCTACACCGACCCAGAGTCAAATAGCGTTTAAAACGGAGGAGACCGATGACCATCAGGATATCTCTATGTCTGAGATTCCAACGACCAACCACTTGAGTCCTCTCCCTGACAGTAGTGTTCGACACCCAAGCTATCCCTCCGATGCGTCTACCCCCCTACCTGGACCGGCATTCACCAACCCGTCATCGCTCAGTACACCTGCGACACAGCTTGATACCCCTTCACCTCACTCTGGTACATCTTCCGACTACCGACATAGCGTGTCACCAGGAAACGCTGTAAGCAATCCGTCACCGAGCAATGGTTCACACGCATGTGATGAGCCTGGCTGTAACCAGGTGTTCGACCAGCCACACAAGCTCAAGTAAGTTTATCGTCGCTGGCTGATCGAAGTCGCTCATTAACCCAACAGGCATCATCAACGATATCATACGAAAGATCACAAATGCCCTTACCCGAACTGTGGCAAGGGATTCGGGACCAAGACCCATCTGCAGCGGCATGTCAATGATCGACATGAGAGAAAGAAGAAGTTTCATTGCGCCGTGCAAGGCTGTGACTACTCAAGGCAAGGGGGAAAGGGATTCCCTCGCAAGGATAACTGGAAACGACATATGACAAAGATTCACAACATGGATCAGAGACACCTCCCAGAACCTGTGGAAGTCGACCAGGAGATGGGCGGCACATAAGGGCATCTGCCTGCGACATCATCTTATTTGCTGCTGTAGATAGGGATACTCCCGCTGCATCTTGCACTGTACTATGTACCACCTGAATCGGCCACTGACTGACAAGCCTTAGCGCTTTGCTAGGCTCTCTGTTTACTTTCCTTTTTCATTTACAGCGATTTGATTCTTACACTCGTTCAAAGTTGGCATATTTGGGTATTAGAAGACAAGGATTCAGCACAAAAATCAACGTTAGGACATATAGGACTATTTGGGCGTTAGGTCATGGGAAAAGACACATTCGTCTGACAACGGACGAGCCAGGCGTGTTCGTTCTTGGGTATCTATTAATTCGACAGTGTACAACCGAACTATTCCAATACAAAGAGTGCTATTGAGCATCATGGTTTCTGCCACATGCTCGCCCCCTTTAGCTTAGGTCTTTGATGATTTTCCTGACAAGTTTCTTCTGTTCTTCCACATCCAATCTCTTCTCATCAGTCTCTAGTACTGCCCTCCCAACAGCAATGACCGTTTTCACATTCTCACTATCAACCCAGAACTTGCCATTGCGTCCTGTGGCTGTCTCAAATTGAAGACCCGCGTTACCGAGCTCTTCCAGCACCACAACCCGGCCTTCTTGCACACTCTTGGGCATCATCAGACGTCGAGCCATTCCAAGTGACACGGTGTAGAGCATTCCGCCTGTTAAAGGGCCTAGACCCTCAGATTTTCCTGTTGAAGAAGATACGCATTCAATCTCTGGGTCCATGTGGCGGTTGGCGAGAGCAATCCGTGCGTACACAAGTGCACCCGCGGTAAGTTGAGGACGGGTCTTCTTTGTGGCGCCTTCGAAAGAAAGTTGTGGTAGAAGAGCAGGCGCGGTATAATCGGAGAGAGTAACATAGAATAAGTCGGCGGCGCTGCGCTGGACGGTCCCGATGACGAGCTCACCGACGCGAGGGGTATACTGTCAATTGATGAGTCGACGGTCTACGGCCCGGAGGTAATTCAGAAGCGTACCTTTCCTCGAGCATTCTCTACACGAATTGCATTCTTTTGTCGATCAGTCACAAGTTGGCCAGCGAGTGTGGGAACGATGTCGTTGGGAGGCACATGTCGTAGGCCAGGACCGAGCCGCAGAGGCTTCTTAGGATGTGAAGGAATAAGAGACGGATCAATGATATCGCCTGGCAGTACAAACACCGCATCAGATGCCATGATGGGAAACTTGAGGACCTTAATGCTTCGAAATGTAACAGTTAAAAGCTGCAATCCCGATGCGACAACTTCAAAACCATGAGCAAAGGCGGCATGTGGGGAACTGATAACGATAACGCGAGTACGTACCAGTGGCCGATCAAGAAAAATGTGGGCGATGCAATTAGCGGGCAGTTTTTTTTTCCAATCTCTGAGGGAAAAGAAAGTAAACCCCACTAACATCCATCACCAACTCGCCCTCCAAAATCTTGACACCTTGGAACCTCTTCGCTTCAACTCAACAGAGGCACAGGGTCTTTACTTTCTCTTTCTTTCTATACGAACTCACAAAACTCTCTTCCGACCGACCTAATGAGTGACAACGCTGGAGCCAAGGGCCCTGAGCCTGGCGATCGAGTTGCCATTGGTATTACCTTTGGTAACTCCAACAGTTCCATTGCCTATACTGTTGACGACAAGGCCGAGGTTATTGCCAACGAGGATGGAGGTATGTTCTAGATCGACTTGATTTTCATGAAACTGTGCCCCGTGATACTGTCACTAGGTCACTTGCTAACATTAGCTGCTTGATAGACCGACAAATTCCCACCGTTCTGTCTTACGTTGACGGCGATGAGTACTACGGTGGACAGGCCAAGAACTTCCTCGTTCGCAACCCCGATAACACCATCGCCAACTTCCGAGACTTCCTCGGCCAAGAGTACGCGAACTTCCCGCCACAGCCCCAATTCTGGAACCAAGGACACTGACAAGATGCCTTCAGATTCAAGTCCATCGACCCTACCCACTCTCACGCCTCCGCCCACCCCAAGGATGTTTCCGGTACCGTTGCTTTCTCCATCAAAGACAAGAGCGAGGAAGAGACTTCGACCGTTTCTGTTTCAGAGGCCACTACTCGATACCTGCGACGGCTTGTGGGTTCTGCTTCCGACTACCTGGGCAAGAAGGTCACATCCGCCGTTGTTACCGTCCCCACAAACTTCACCGAGAAGCAGCGAGAGGCTCTAATCAAGGCCGCCAACGACGCCGACATCGAGATCCTTCAGCTTATTTCTGACCCTGTCGCCGCTGTTCTGGCTTACGATGCCCGTCCTGAGGCCAAGATCGAGGATAAGATTATTGTTGTCGCTGACCTTGGTGGCACTCGCTCGGATGTTGCCGTTATCGCTTCGCGAGGTGGTCTTTACACTATCCTCGCCACTGCTCACGATTACGAATTTGCTGGTGTTCATTTGGATAATGCCCTTATGGACCACTTTGCCAAGGAGTTCCAAAAGAAGCACAACATCGACCCCCGAAACAACACTCGCAGTCTTGCTAAGCTTCGACTTGAGTCTGAGGCTACCAAGCGAGCTCTGAGTCTGGGAAGCAACGCTCAATTCAGCGTCGAGAGCTTGGCGGATGGTTTCGATTTCTCTGTTACTATCAACAGGATACGATACGAGATGGTTGCCCGCAAGGTTTTCGAGGGCTTCAACCGACTCATCGAGGGTGTTGTCAAGAAGGCCGGCCTCGATGTTCTTGACATTGACGAGGTTATTCTGTCAGGAGGTACTGCCCACACCCCTCGTATCGCTAACAACCTCCGTGGTATCTTCCCTGAGACTACTGAGATTCAGGCTCCCGCCACGAGCGTGTCCGCCATCAACCCTTCTGAGCTCCTTGCTCGTGGCGCTGCACTCCAGGCCTCTTTGATCCAGGAGTACGAGGCCGCCGATATCGAGCAGTCCACTCACCCTGCTGTCACCACCGTCAAACACATCTCCAACTCTATTGGTGTGATCACCGTGGGTGCTGACGGCGAGGATGTCTTCACCCCCATCATCGCCCCTGAGACCGCCGCCCCTGCCCGTCGCACTATCCATATTCCTGCCCCTAAGGAAGGTGGCGATGTTCTTATTAAGATTGTTGAGGGTAACACTCACATCAACGTCACCAAGCCTGAGCCTAAGGCTAAGGAGGAGAATGGAGATAAGGATGAGGACGACTCCGATTTTGATGATTCTGATGAAGAGGAAGAGGAGACTCGGGAGAAGATCTGGAAGATCGGCAACCCTCTTGCCGAGGCCGCCATCAAGGGCGTCAAGGCTGGTGGCAAGGTCGAAGTCACGATCAACGTTCTAGCCGATCTAGGCGTTACCGTCACAGCCCGAGAAGTTGGCGGCAAGGGTGGTGTGCGAGGAAACATCTAAGTCTGGAAATGCTGGACTCAAGCAGGAACTTTGATTGAAAAGCCGCAATGATTTTATGAGTAGGTTTATAAGGGGGGTTGGTATGCAAAAAGCACGGGTTTATTGGTAGATTCTAGAGGACACAATAGAGGGTTGTCAGGGATGAATTGAATAAAGACTTTCAACATTTAAAGAAGCATGTCGAATCAATTCGGTGGAAGCCATTCAGGAAACATTATTAAGCAATTAAATACTCGAGCCGCCTCTTCGGGGCCGTGAACATGCTCAGTTTCGACTTCTAAATTATGCCCTTCACATTACCTGGTTCCCATCACCTGGTAATCGCCAAGCAATGAGGTCGTTTCGCATATCATCCTCTCTGACCTCGCGAGTTCCCTTATAACTCACTTCGCGCATTGGGTCGCTATCAAGTGTCATAGTAGACGTCATGCTCGCCATACTACGCGCGTGGTCGAGGTGGTGCTCATGGATGCGTACGCCTTTGCGTCGGTTCGACGGAGTAACTGTAACTGTCGAGAAGCTCTTATCACTCGAGTTACTTGGTGTGCGGCGATGTGAGGAGCCAGCTGGGCCGTTATTCTGGTGATTGTGCGAAGGTGAGGCAGTTCTGTTTGAGTGGTGATGATGATGGTGATGAGGGTGAAGGAGGTTGTGAGTTATACGGCGAGTATCGCGGGCTCGGATGGTATCACGTGGACCCATATCGTCGTCGTCGTCTTCTCCATCAGTGACAGGCGAAGCATTATGAGGTTTGGTTTTCCAGCCGTTACCTCCGTTGAAAATGTCCTCAATGACTTCTTCTGCAGAGTGCTCATTTGGTTGCCGACTCCACGAAGCAGCGAGAACGCTTCGGTACAGGTCTTGGAGCTCAGCGGCGTCGCGAGGCTTAGACAAGTTGGGGACCGCGGCAGCTATTGCTATAAATTGTCAGCGGCAGGGAATGATATGGAACGAATCCATTCAACTTACGCCCAGCGTCGTCCTCTATTGCCTCGCTCATGATGCCTCCAATGCCTCCAAAGACAGGAGCCGTTTTCAGAGGAGGAGCTACGTAACTCCGTTCGCCGTCGACCTGGATCATGAGGATACTGATCTTCAGCGTACTGTTAACTTTGCTATCCTGCATGAGATATCTTCTCACGATGCCATCCTCGACAACATCTGAATCACGGCGCGGCCGTGATGTTCCACCCCTCGTCGGGCTGACACCCATACTGTTGCTACGCATGCGACCAGGCGATGCGACATCCTTGACGAAGGCCTCGCTCTCTTCCACGTACTCGCTCAGGTTGAGGCGAACAATGCCAAGGGTGACCTTCTCAGTCAAGCCAAATTCCTGTATGACCTCAAACTCCATGGGACATTCGGTAAGGTTGTTATTGCGGTCTATCGATATGCGGATAGAGGGTACCGCGGTGACAAAGCCCCATTCGACTCTGTGGTTGGCGATTGGGCATTTCTGCGTGCGCCCGCGATGCTCCGCGGTCATTGAGTGAGAGAGGTGCCATTTGACAAAAGCCTGACCAGAAACGAGCGGCACGTTGTTAAGGTCGTAAATCTAGGAAGTATAAGTCAAGGTTTCCTCATAGAGTGGCTGGATGTAGATTGAGGGATGTACCTTGAGATGAAGGTCGAATTTTGGCTGGAGTACGAGTTAACTTGAGTTCAAGTTGAAGATTGAGATAAATCCTTACCTTCCGAGCCTTGCCAACTTCAGGTTTGAGAAAGCCCATGTTAGCAAAGATTGTCAGGATATCCCTCTGTCAATGATTCGCAATGCTTAAGTTACGACTATGTGAGTATATAGCGAGCTCGCTTGAGCGTAACTGTGACGGTATCTAATCTTACGACAGACTTCCGTAATGAGACTGAAGTGAGTGAATGAGTGCTGGTTGCAATATCGCCAAAGCTAGATGCCAGAGAATATATATAGAAATAGCCCGCGTAATGCACCGGAAATGCGAACCTTGTGGGGATGGGGCTTACTTAAAGAGGCCATCCCCCTCTGGATCTACCTCTGCTTGTTTGGCGTGGACTTTGACTTTGACTTTGACTTTGGGTTTGGCTCTGGTCTGCCAGACAATTCCAACTCTAGTGGACTCTGCCAGCGACTGGTCTAACGATACGGCGGTCCCCTATGGCGCTGTATCTGGTGGAACTGAAACTGACCGTGATCAGCGATGATAAGATAAGCCCGTGATCGAAAGTTGATGATCCCAACGTGAATGATGAGGATATCGTCATATGCAATTCCAGGGATCAGATCCCATGATGGTTGCCCCCTGTGACTTGACGCCACGAGAGATGCAACAAGCAAAGCCACAGGAGGCTGATAGCCATCTGATACCCAAGAGTACCTACCTCTGCATTTAATTGAAGAGGGGGGGTGCATGCCAATTCAACAATAATTACACAGATAATCATTTTTTACGAGATATCATATTCCCAAGTCCTTTATTAAGTACATTCTGGCTTTTACACTCTTGTCCACTCCTGGAAGTGGTAACATTCCCTCGCTCTAAAAAGAAAAGAAAAAACAAACGCCTGCGAGTCATTCCTGCAAGGCCGAACCCGACCAGCTGGACCGCCACCGATTCATATGTTTCATATAGAGAGGGAGAAATTGGATCTGAAAGAGACCGATCTATTGGAGATGTCATCATTATGTCGTAATAGACACTGAATGCTCGAACAACGTCGAGATCCTACAGGGATGATTTATCAACATGATGTTATGGTCACTGATTTGATACATATCTTTTTCTCAGAACTTCTAACAAACAGGTTAGAAGACCTGCTAAATACGACTTAGTTTCTCAGAACCCATGTTCGATTTTGAGCTGAGAGAGTAAGCCATCCTAGCAGGGCGAAATAGTCTGAAACAGAAGAGGAACAGGGGTTAGTTCAACTGTCGAGAGAAGAGACAATACCTATTCTATAAGGACCGAGAACCAACGATAGACTATTACGAACAGAACTCTGAATATCACGTACTATTCTCAACCTTTGTAGTAAATTCAAAGCAAAAGTCTAGGCTAACGGCATGATGAAAGTCTTTCCTGGTCATTATTATGTGCCTTAACCGCCTGGCTCGTGTGACCATACAGACCCAACAGTTCCCTCTCCCCACGGGAGAAGAGATGACAAAAGAGACAACTTGAACTATTATGCACAATCTTCTCTCTCAATTCTCAAACACCCGTTTCCCGATCTGTCCTTCGGCTCCCTGCTGCATTGCAGGTTGCATCGCTTCCTTACGATGGCGTTCTCAAAAGAAGCAATATACAACAATTATGAGACCTTGGAGTCCGATTCTTCGGTAAGATTCCCCATCGGTCACCTCTCACCATGAACCTTTAGCATATTTCACAACAATGTGATCGAATGAAAATGAGAGGTCAGACATGTAATATGGAAGTGATCCTGCAAAAGGGGGACGATCGCCGTTGAGTCCTGATCTCTTTCTTTGTCAAAATTATCTACTCGTCGAGAATGTGTGACTATTTCTTTGTATGAGCTCCCTCCTTGTAGTGAAGCCTCTTGCTAACCGCCAATGCAAGGTCGAGTTTCGGTGCCAACATCATGCTTGGATTGTTCGAAAGTGGTGCCCAAAATACGAAAGATCACAAAGACCATGTACGCCTAATATTGTTGATCCTCCAGAATTTTGGTATGTTCTCTATTACATTGATCTATGTCAGATGCATTGAGACACTAATAAGCTGATCGGATTCTAGGGGCCATAAGATGTGTTCCAAATGTCAACCTCCAGGACAATTGGCAGAAGCAGTGAGGAGACATTATAGTGTTACGAGATGGAGCTAGAATAGATGGTTCAGGGAAGCTCAGGGGCATCGTCATCACGTTTTGATCAAAAATCATTTTCTCGTCGCGGCTTGGCAACCAAGTAGGCTCAAATATCTGATCGTCTGAGATTGGCAACGTCTAGCACGATTATCTGGCGAATGGCGCAAACTTGAGAGCTTTACCCTTACTAGAGGCGTTCATAAGTTCTTTCAGAGTTAATATTGGCGAATTCAATATTGAAAACAAATTGCTGATTTGATCAACCATCTTGTTGCATTTGTCGCAAATGTGTCAAAGCCCGTGTTGGACGTGCTCGTGGTGTATAAATACCTTAGCTTGGTGGCCAGCTCTGAAGAACTGTCCTGGCTGGGGAAATAAAATCGCAGTCTTTTGTGACCAAACGATCTATCTTTTAGAAACAAAAAAGAAAAATAAAATAAAAAACAATCGACTGACTCGCCCTCGTCTAATAAAAAGCTTATTCACATGTCATAATGGCAGTCCTGAAATGATGACTTGGAGGGGGCCGTCAAAGCTTATCGATAAAGCTTTTATTTTCTTCCCGTCGCGTTTCGACGTTTACATTGAAGGTGACCAAGAACTCCCAAATTTGATATCTTCACAACAACTCTCTCGCCATGGCTCCGGGATCTTCTACCGGAGCCCAACCTGGGCCAGACAGCAGAAAGCGAAAGGCCGACACGCCTGCATCGAATGGCCGTAGGGAGAAGCGCTCCGTGGTTCATTCTGCACGCAGTATCCCTGCACAGCCCGCCGAAGCTGCACTCAAAGATGGCGAACTTGATCTCCAGGCTTTTGTGGCCGCCCACGAGTTCGAGATTCGCGCTCTTGAACAGAGCATGGCCACATCGAAAGCTGTTGCTAGCAGTCGTGCCTTCCAGAAGGTACCCAGAGGCTTACGCCGCCGCACGGCGAGTCACAACCCCAAACGGGTGCCTCGCCGACTGAGAAAACGTGCGCTTAAAGAGATGAAAGACGACAACACTCCGGTAGTCGAAGCTAGAAGGAGGAAACCTAGAACAACACGAGCGAAAATAAGATCCGAAACAGCACGAAAGTTGGGAATATTGGCAGCGAGGAAACGCAAGGCTAGCGTAGCGATGGCGAAGGCGAAGCAGGATGGAGATGTCAGTAAAGACAAAGCATTGGCTGTAATAGGAAGACCACCGAGACCAAAACTTCGACGAAACGAGCTCAACGAACCTCCAAAGCCAAAGTCCAAGTTCCGCAAGCGTCAACTGAACAAGACATGGTTACCAACACACTCATGGCATGCGAAAAGAGCACGTATGACTGATCCGTTGGAACCTTTATGGCGGTTCGCTATCCCATTGACACCAAACGAAAAGATATACCGACCTACACATCGAGCTCAGGGCGACAGAGGCGCAGTTGTATGGGAGATGAGCTACATGAGCACAATTGGGCTTTACGGCAAACACGCTGGCATAGAACGTGTGTTGAAGCGGATAGGGGTTGTTCAGGATTCATGTTGGAACGACAAGGGAAAGAAGTGGAGGATCGGAACCCGCTCATGGACCGGTGTTCTGAGTCGGGAAATTCAAACCGGACAGCAGAATCAAGTCGACCGAAAGATGATCGGACCATGTACTATCTTATGGAACCCCGAACCATCGGCACAAGAAGACAGCCAGGAGCTTAAGCAAGAATCGAGACAGGTCTTCTTGAGGATCCACCCCTCAGCCTTCCTGGAGCTGTTTAACGAGTTACTATCTTTGATAAAGCAGGAAAACCCTAGGCTTTACATCGAAGATCTTCGATTTGAGATTGGAAGCCTAGACCTGACAGGACCGGGGTCTACAGAAGCTCTGCTAGCTATATTACGTACCTATCCCGTAAAGGACAAGACGAAAACAAATCATACTGAGATTTTTCAAGGGCTGGCCGGTTTAACAAATGCAGCCACTCTCCCTGCTGGCGCGGTGTTGGGGTTCTCGGTGCAGGATCCCCGTCTTCAATATCCTCCAAGGCGCCTGGAGGTTCCTGAAGACCCAGAGTCGCAACTCCAACTCCTCGAAAAGATAGCGTCGTGGTCGGCCGAGGAGAATTTAAACCCGTATGCCATTTTCGATCGCGACACTCGCCATGCCGCGTCCTGCTTCCCTTCACAGAAACAAATCGATAGACGAAGAGCAAAAAATGCTCCCGGAACCTCCTTGAAACTCACAGCAGATGATCCCCCAATCCCGGTCATCCTGTTGGCTTCCCGCACGGATAGAGGCACACAGAAGCAAGGTACATGGACTCTGCTTGCCCCATGGAAGTGTATACAGCATCTCTGGTACTCTTTGGTGCATTATCCCCTCTCTTCAGGGGGTAACCCACGATTCGCAGGTTTGAACGAGATCCGCCAGGTCGCCTTCGAACGAGGCCAGACTTGGTTCCCAGGGGATTTTCCCGGAACCAAGGCTGGTGCTGCATGGGAGCTCGAGGCGCGTCGAAAAAGAAGAGCGGCTTGGGAGAAGCGACCAAAGAGCAAGAGAACCGCCTGGGAATCACTCGATCTGGGCGGTGGGAGGAAGGGCGAGATCGGCGATGGTTTCGCTAGCGATTTTGAGCTATTGTTCAATGCAGGAGATTCACAAACTAGCGAAGAGAACAATACTGAGGGCGCGATGGACGTGAGCCAGGACGAAAATTCAGCTTCAACACAAGTACCGAAGCAACAAGAGCCACGCATTTACCAGCTGCGCCAAATCTCGAAAGATGTTTTTAACCAAGCCGTCACTTCTCCGTCTACCCCTTCAGCAATACCAATAAACGCTCTTCTTGGCGTCCGTATATCTCTAATCTCTAGGGGCGTTGTCACACCCTGTGCTCGCATCTACCGCCTCCCATCTCGTCCTACCACAGATCCACAGTCCTCTGAAGCCGAAGTCCCTGCCACTATTCCTCCGGGTTCATTATCTACACCCTCCTCACTTCCATATGATCTCCGGTCCCAATGGCTTTCTCAGGCCCGGCCGTCTCTGTCTACAAAGAACAAAGCATGCAGAACCTCGACACCCCGCGACTTGGAATCATTGAAGCGTCAACTTGCCGCTGAACTCGTGTCTAAACCTGCGCCTTACCCCTTTACGCCGGCTAATAAATCCGACATGAACGGCCATCCCCTTGTTCCCAACGTCGAAGATCTCGTTGGCTTCGTCACCACCGGATCATTTAGTCTAACTGAGGGTCACGGGATGGCCATTGGTTCAATCGCGATAGACAAGGTTTTAGACGATGTCAAGGAAAACGCAAAGGAAGGACGATATTGTATAGTTAGAAACGCGGGCGAAAGCGTCGGGTGGCTTGCAAAATGGGAGGCTGTCTAAGTATGTTACGATATAAACATCAACTGGCGTACTGACCCAGTATTTGTATTCTTCTTTTCGGATATCATGGAGTGTGGTTGGCGAGGCATGCATGCATTCATACCCATGCCTGAACCTGATATGTAGGCATCAATATACCGGCCATGAGAATAATGACGCCAGGAGTTCTGAATTTATGGATGTTCAGTAAACAGGGAAGCAAAAGGCGCCATTGACATTCTTGCCGCGGGCAAAGCGCCTCGATGAGGGGTCACGCCCTTCAGCACTATGCAATATAACACTCTAGCCTCTTCCTCATCTCACTACTTTTAATTTCGAACACTTCGGTCTCATTGCCACTATCACTCCTATAAAAGCAACCCAATGGCCTCAGAAGAATACCCTACAAGCGTCTCTGGCGGATGTCTCTGTGGCTCAGTTCGTTACACGCTGAAATTTCCATCTGGCCATGACTGGAAGAGAAGCGTACGTCTCACTTCCGTTTCTCAGATCTCACTGTATTAACCATCACTTGACAGTGTTCAACCTGCCAATGCTCCCAGTGCCGTAAGAATGGCGGCTCTCTCATTGCATGGCTTCATTCAGTCCCTGCTTCCAGCGTAGAGTTCACCTCTCAGACGACGCTATCGCGATACCACGCCTCACCGGAAGCAGCACGGGGCTTCTGTTCCAATTGCGGCAGCTGGCTCTTCTGGCGCAATGAAAAGTCGGAAAAGATTAGCATGTCTGTTGGAACGTTCGACAAAGACGGCCTGAAAACCTGGGGCCGGCAGTTATCCTATTCGGAGGTCCATCTTTGGTCTGAGGATGCGATCGAGGGCATCACGGATCATTTGCCTGGAGAGAAATGGAAGTATGATGATCAAGGAGAAGGGGCTGAGAGGATAGCATGAGTGGCACCATAAGCACGGTGTTTTCTCTATATGATTATATTCTTCATCGTGTGTTTGCTTTGGAATAGTATAGCCAGAAATGGTACCAGGAGTCGTACTGGTAGTGGCAGTGGTATCGTCGAGTATTCCCTTGAAAATGGCTCTTTTCCAACGCCCGGTCAACAGCATAACTACTGTTTCTGACAGTAACTGTGCCATAGATCCCGTGGAAACGCCGCATATAAACAAAATCTAAACCGAAAGGCCCAATAATCCAAACCCTTTTTAGTCCTCTTCACTAATCTCACTTTCATCCCCATCGGGGCTTTCTTGTTGGCTGTTCTCCAGGTTTTCGAACGCGTCCTCGAGTTCTTTGGCGAGGTCGACTTCTGGTCCTTCCTCCCCTTCCTCTTCCCCGTCTACGTCCATAGGATCGGGCCCAGTCTCATATTGACTACGGTTGTTGACAGGGCTGGGCAGCTTGAACTCAAAGTCTGGATCATCATCTTCCTCGCCGTCGGCATCATCACCTTCAGACTCGCGCTGATCCATGAATTCATCAAAGCGGCGAACAGATGGGAAAGCAGGCGAGAAGTCAGTCCTACGCGCTGTGTTGGTGTCGGCGCCAGGATACTCGACAAGAAGACCACCATCGTCATCATCCTCGTCCTCGTCCTCTTCTTCAGGGGCTGGTGTACGCTTCTTGGGTTCCGCAGGTTTTGATTGTTCGTTAGATTGAGGTACTGGTAGTGAGAGCTCGATATTCTTGGGGGCCTGCTTCTTCTCGGGCTTGCGCTTGACATCTCTCTTCTGTGTGGTGGATTTGGCGCGTGCTTTGGCATTGGATTTGTCGGAGGCACTCTTTTCAGCTTTCACGTTTGTTTTTGATGCGCCGTTTGATGCGCTGTCGATGCGAGGATACTGTCGACGGAGACTGTCAGCATCGGCGTTACCAGGCAGTCGGGTGACGTTCATGTTGAAAGTAGAGTCGACAAGATCGAGGATAAAGGCCTCGCGGCTGGGGTCGAAGTAAAGAACATATTGACCACTATCTTTATTTCTTGTCCCTGTGAAAGCATACTTTGCGTCGTTGTCGGTATATGTGAGGTCGTAGGATGCCGTCTTTCCGGGGATAGAGGGTTTTATGCGAGCTAAGTTGGGGGCTGAGTCTGACGAGAGTGTCGGCTTGTGATTGTCTTGGAGTATGTAAGTATCATGACACATCAAGCTTTGGGGTTAAGGAAAACCTACACTTGATACCGGTGAAGATCTCGTTGGATGTCTTGCCTAAGAGAGCATCGCCGAGGATGACGGGATAGTTGCCCGTCTTTGTTGGATCGATCAGGCCAGCCGCTGCCATAGTATGATGCGCGACAGGACGTGAGGTAGCAAGTCGCGAGAAATTGAGGGTATAATACTGGTGTTGAAGGTGAAGAGTATGGTAATATGATATATTTTTCCTGAAGGATATCCAAAATGTTATTGTCTCGAGTTGTTCAAGGTTCAAGTTGACGCGCGGGTTGAGGAAAGGGAAGTCCGGAGGAGGGTCTGGAGTCTAGAACCCGAGAAGATGGGGCCGAGTGGACGGGTTAAAAGTGGGGAGACGCCAGCAGGGGAGGACTAGGTGTGATTAAGAGGAGCAAGTGGAATGATGTTCGTATTTTAACGTCAGGTAATAAATAAACCAAAGGCGATAAAACTACGATAGGTACTGTCTATAATATCCAGCAATCTCAAAGGTGAAACAGGAAATCACGAAGGCAAAGGCGAATACTTCATGCTTTTAGGTCATTGAATCATTTGTTTTGCACTTGGATGCTTTGATCAGGGTTGTCACGAGCTGGCTTCCATTAATAGACTCGCTGTTGTAGCCTGATGAGGCAGTGAACCAGCTTAAACAAAGGAACTCACCAAAGTTCCAATTCAGAGTAATAGGGAACAAAGCACTTTCATTTTCATTTTCAAAGCTCATGTGATGAGCCTTACCAATAAGCATGTTGATAAGCATATCCTGTTTTACTAAATCCTAGGTTATGCGAGTTGCCAAACTCCGTGCCTCCAATGACTGACCTTGAAACCCTAACAACTGATTCTTAGTAGTTATGTGTCTCATGGTAGGGCGTATTTCGTGACATATTTCACAAATAACCTCAGTGTCGCCGATGCATAAGGTAGTCTCTGTTCCAAAATTCGCGCTGGACACAACAGTAGAGCATTAGTTTTGGGATGGTGACTCTGCTGAGTTGAATTTGACTACCTCTTGGCTATCGCAATCTACGGCCTACTCAAGATCCGTAGCCTGCTTTCTGTCTTATCCACACCCTAGGGCTCTCTCAAGCCATCATCAACAGCCATCTAACTCTGTCACTACTGTAGTATTTAATTTTCCGGTACTTTAGATTCGCGCTGTCCATAATAAAGGACTTCTCCACCTTTCAAAAAAGTTTATGGAAGTCATATATATCACTTGAAATGGTATGCTTACATCTAATAAGCGTTCTTTGATGAGTTAAAAGGGGTGTTGTGACTAGCAAACGTGCCAGAGGCAGTTTTCCGTACTTGTAGCATTGGTTGCTTTATCCTTAAACTTACAAAAACTAGGTGTCTTGCGGATATCCAATTTATATACATCCTGCTCATCATCTATTGTCTAAAGCAGAACGCTTTGAAAGTAAGAAAACGGATCACTAGTAGACTGTACTGGGTTCACTAAGTACGGAATGTTTCCGGTATGTTCGACGCCTGAGAGAGGCCTGGTGTGAAGGGTACCTCATTACAAGATCAGTATACCACCAGAATGTGTCCAAGGACCACGAGAGCTATAGAATAAACTTGAAGACATCTCAAACATCAGTTTTGTTCTCACAGCATATTATACCAGGGTGCGATCAAAATAGCTGTGGGTGGCCATGTTCTTACCGTGGTATTTCGTCTTCTTCATGATATCAGAGAAAAATACAGAAACGTCATAAGGATGATACCGAAATGTCTTGATAATCAAGCCAGCTGCCTCTGTGAAATATCAAAGACTGTAGAGAGCAGTTAAACTCCGGTGGATAGCCATCCAGCGTGGTTCGACTACAGGGACAAGAGAGTACTCGCGGCAGACTCTTGCAACATTTGAGCTATGAATAGATCTATCCCTCTTCCTCTAAGTGATGTAAGGGAACAACCTTAAAGCCTGCAGCCAGTCATATAGACTGGTCACAGGACTTTTGATTCCAAACTACCTGAACCTCAAGGTGTCAAAATATTGAAGACCTTGAACCAGGGAAGGGGGGCAAGAATCCCTATTCAAGGAGCATACTGAACTCATCCCAAACTTATCAGAGTTATTGTGCCTCAGCATTACAGTCTCAAGATTTCTTCTAGACACTAGCCGAGTACTGAATCATTCGGCTACCTAATGTTTACAGTCAAACTTTGGAGTCAGACATAGCTCCGGATTACCACTCAAAATAGATATGTGGTGGACAAGGAAATAACCTCTGGTTTTATTGGGGGCCGGCTATTCTATTTATATATAAACCCTTCAAGTTCTAGTGAGAATGTTTGACTCCACTGGCCTTGCCACTGATAGATTGTACGGATCTTGGGTAGTTAAGCATCCAATTGTGTAAAACCAGAGTCAAGGCAATAGGGTGACGCCGTCTTGCCTGGGAAATGCCCGAGGCTTTGCAAATTGGAATAGACTGTCAGAATCTGGACAAGAAACTGAATAGTCAGAGCTCCAGTATTTACAAAAAGCTATTTGGCAAACATCCACGACTCAGCCGTGAACAGTATCAAGGATCAGGGTTCATATGGCTGTTTTGGCTAAACGATTCAGTTTTGACAGATCTTTGGTGTGTGGGAACATCCCAACTGCTTTGGTTTTGAAGTTCATGCATGTTCCAGATCGTAATCTCATAACTTGTGGCTGATCTGAGAACTCATATTCGATAAAGGTCGGCGAAGTTCATAGGCCTCTATCAATTCTGTGTTCTTTATGCAAGGTGGCAGAGCAATGTCGGCACACCGACATTCGGCATTTCTTTTGTTCCCGTCCCTTACTTGCGTCTGAGTCTTCCATACTTACTCTTCTTCTCAAGACGCATTGGCTATAAGCTATTGCGTGGAGTTGCATATATGAAACCACATTAGAGTAGTAAACTACTAAAGCCGACACCGGTCATGCTGGCAAACATCGAGATCCCTCTCTAGCTTATGATTTCTGATCTGCCCTGTCTGCCTCAATGGTGCATTGCTGAGACCCATGTGCTAGTGACCGGCTGACACGAATAGATAACAGACTTCCAACATCCGTTGGTGATGAGTCAAGACATCGATCCATAATAGTGCACGTCCTCATGTACCAGCTGCTTGGAACTGGCGTTGATCATAATGTCGGCATCGAGCCTTAGACACGGAAATGCAGATGCATGGAGTTTTGAGATTAGAAACAATCAGAATACCGTGTTCTCTTTTGAGCAAATATGTATTGCTGAGCACCCGAGTGTCTTATGCGCTATACTAAGGGGGTTAATAAGAAGTCAGCGTCGGCGATGGGCTTCGGGAATCGTCGATCCGACGTCGATCACTCATGCAGCCCGCTTTTGCAAGGACAAGCGACCTGTAGGGATATAATAACAGAACAACGAGTCTAGATTTCCATACAGTCAAAAGACGGCGAACTCATAGCGCTTCGTTTCAAACGCGATGCTGAGTGGCCGCGAAAGGTTCTGAGGCCTGCGTAATTAGAACGAAGGTGGCATTTCTTGTCTTGAACCTACACATGCCTATTCGTTGGTTTTGTATGAAGCTTGGCAATAAATCGGATCCGCCGAACGTTACAAAATACTACATGTTGACACTAGAGAGTTCAGCTGAACCAGACCCAATTTCTGGATGGTTACTTCGGCTTCTCTCCTTGGTCTCGTCTCATCCTCACTTGTAGTCCTGGCAACGTGATTGGAAAGCGAGCGTGTTTTAGGCTCAACCTCTCCCGCTAAGTTTATGACTCGAACAGCTCGACCATGGCACAAAGTTCAAACTTGTAAGCCATTGACTAACGATAGCAGTTTTTAGTTCCCGTGAGCTTGTTCTGGGGGGGGACTCAAGAGCGTAGCTCCCGCCAATTGACTTGGAGTGTTTACCTTCAAATGGTGTCGGCGGTTGGTAGAGTGGTCGCAGCTACTGGGGGCTAGATAAGCTAACCATTACAGTAATTGATCGGCCGATGCCTCGGCCGGGCGGAAGGTTTGAAGGCTGAAGCTTTGTTGAAACGAAACTCAAATGGGATGCTTGCAGAGTCTATACGTATGGGTCGAGGTGAAGAGTTTCCGATGTTTGATACAGGGTCCCGTTGAATGGTTGACAAAAGAGCACCTGTGCTAATTAGTCCTCTCGCATGCCTATTATGCACGTCATCTGCAGCCATCACTAGTCCGGGCAGAATGGCTGAGAGAGAATTTGCGATACAGGCGTCTGAACTTTGAGTTGAAGAGTATTGGCACAAGTTACATTATCCTCTACTGAGCACGAGGATTGCTCGAAGACAACACTGACAGCCCCTGATGCGAGTTCCAGACACCCATACGCATTCTAGTGTCGGTTTACCCATCTGCCACCTCCCTTACTGTCCCAGTCTCAGACCTCACTTATACGACACGACAGCTGAACAACAACAAACTGTGGCACGCCCTCACCGGACAACAAGAGCTGAAAACGGCCCCGATCTCATCCAAAAGTTTGCTGAAACAGCAAGACTGAACCCTTGCGTAAAGGCTATCTACTCTTTGAGGTTATCGCCCCGAGACATGCGGGTGATCTGCCGTCAAGGGATGTCAAGACCTACGTTTGTCACAAACATTTCACATTCTCATCTGACACAACTTCAACCATTGATCGAAAATCCCAAGATTCGTCATATTGCGGCTGCATCTACACCTGCATGATGTTCACCGCTGCCTCCTCTACGGCTCATAAACAGAAGATTGGATGACTTTTTGACATCACCCGAAGCGTCGTGGTAGTACGGAACCGAGGTCGCCCAGACCAGACAGATGGACGGTTGGAAAAAGCATTTACAAGCCACATTGAATTGCGGCGGTTGCCGTGAAGCAACTCGTCTGAGCTTGGCATTGAAATTGATAATTCGCTCGCAGATACCACAGCTAATATTCGACTATCCCGCGTTTCGGGGAGTAAACTGCGGAGTGATTTAATGGTTAAGGTGGGTCAAACTTCGCGTCGTACGTTATGTACACCGGAGGCTTCCTAGCTCAATAATGGCGAAAGGATAGCCATAGTGTCGTGTCAGAGGTCATCGTGAGGGAAATATCGAGTCAGGATGCCAAGTGCTTGCCTGCTTTGGCATGTCGCAACTCACAGCTTGTCTGAATAAGCGACTCGATTGGAGTCCGCGAAAAGAGTTCATTGTAGTAGGGATCTACATATCGGCAATCCAACGGTGTCTTTGAATGTGGAATAGCTGAACGCCGTGGTATCAAATGACTTGTGCCAAAGATAAAACGATCGACAAGAGCAGTTTAGATGTACAATTAAGCAATTGGCGTTGGAAGTCTCTACGTCATGATAGGCGAGCCGATCAAGGCATTCCTAGCTTGGAACTGGAAGAGTTTGGAGATACGAATGCTACTGTAGGTAAAGTATTTACTGACTCTTGTTCGGCAGGTGCAATTGTGGTCTGTTGTTTAAGAAGAACACTCTAGTATCGCAGATTGCCGGTCCTCGAGCCAGAAGAGGGAGAAGAAGAAAAAGAATGGACTCCAGCCAAAGAAACATTATGCATATCAACTAATAAACACCAACAGGAGGGGAATATGTAGGAAAGGCGCCTCAATAAACTAAACAGAGAAAATACGTAGTGGGCTTCTTGGCGATGGAGCCGTCCCGGCCGAGTGCCCCCAATCATCTCATTCGGCAGCCCCCCTGTTCAGCCTGTGGCGTCTGAGGTCGCCTGACTGCCGGGAGAACAGGAACAGAAAGGAACGGCTATAATTTGCAACGTGCAGATGAATGCCTGGGTCGACCTATGAATTCGAATCAGCTGCAATTGTCCCATCCCTTCGGCTTTCCATTGACCATCATCTACCCAAGGTGCTTCCCTACAAGCTGTACGTGTCGTGTAATTGAATCATCACCTTTCCAATACTGCCAGGGGTGATTCACTGTCCTCCCTACATTGTTTACCGCTCTATTCTCCATTTCTCAGGCCTGCTCTGTGTCTCCATTCCCACTTATACACATTCTTCTCGGGACCCCCTTTTTCTCCAGTCATCAAAATGCATGTAGGAATCTCCCTGAAGCTTGACTCCACCGTGTGTCAGAGTCCTCGCAAGAAAGACTCGACTTCGAATGGATCATTGATGATGTGATGATGCGAATGGCAGGCAAGGAGAGTCCAGGACCCTGGTCCCTCCCCTCGAACCCCCTGTATTGTATTTTGTCTTGCCGCCCTTGTCAGCCCGAACCCTGGCATTAGAGGGACCCGCCCTGTGATCGTGAGCTGATTTGACTGATGTGGCTGGATATTTGCTTCTTTGCTTGGGTCAGCTTGGCTGTGAGTGTGACGGATGCTGATTATCGACTGTTGGTGGACATTTTGTATTACCTCAACTGCTCCCGATCACGAAGAATGGAGGGTATAAGCCGAGTCAACGGTGTAGATAACAGCCGGCTTAGTATCATATCCGAAGTACGATAGAAGGGCAGGATTACTGCATTTTATATCAGTTTAAGAGAGGCTGAGGTAAACAGTGTAATCCATATAGGTAAAGTAGGTAGGCAAGTTGGTCCGTACATTGTTATCCATGCTGATAGGTCCCTTGACGCATGAGAATTAGTTTATTCGCGGCTTTTGATGTCTTATTTCCTCATTAGCAGCACTCATCATCAACTAACCCTGCTTGTTTTTCTTTGCTTTGCCTTACCTTGGCTTGCCTGCTCGGCCTTGTATATTGGATGCCCACTCTGTTCTTGTCTCTGATCTGCTCTACCTTACGCATTGCGGTTTGGCCTGAACCTTTGATATCTCTTTTCGGAACAGATATCCCTCCAAAGTGGAGGTTTCCCCCGACCTCGAAGTCCCCTCCCGCTCCCACCTGTGACTTTATTAAAGTATTATTAAGGATCATATCCCGGCCTCTTTCTTCTTCTCTCGGTCTCTTTGGATGTCTCTCGACCTTGTCCTTTTCGTTTGAAGCTTGCCTGTCAAAACCTGCACTCTCCCGACGACTCCATTTTCGATCCCATCTTGTCCTTGGCCACCTATCCTGGCCTTGTTCGTGATTGTCTCCGGCTCACCTTTGCGCCCACCAGCATCTTGCACTTTTATATTCGAGTACGGATTCATTATTCCCATAATTAATCGTCCTCTTCTTTTAGTGCTTTCTTTGACGGTTTTCCTTTTCATCTCTTTGTATTCTTACGTGGGGACTCATCGTGGCGCATTCTCACCTTCATCGCCGTCACTCGTATCTCTCCAATCGAAATTGACCTTCAACGTTCCAGACGGCAACAATTCTCCCTCTTGGGCACTGGTATTCAGTCGAATGCGCACGCAAGATTTGCATGCTCCAAGACTTGACTCAGATCCAAGAGAGTTGTCAGATATTGTCAATTCCCCAGAACCGAACCCAACAAAACCCAACACAACGCAACCTTGTTAGTTGGCAGCCGGATCTCCCTGGCGTTCCATCATCATCGAATCGTCAATCCAGACGGAGCCACCCAATCCCAGAAGACTTCGCCAGCATCACCCCACGCCCACGCCCTCCAAAAAGTTCAACCACACGACAACCTCACTGGGTAATCTTGGTTGCTTTTTTCTCACCTCACTCACTCCTACTTGGCCATCGAACGTTTTCCTCCAGGACCTCGTCTCTTCTCCCAATGATGCACTGAGAAAGCGATACCCTTGGACTCGACTCGAACTGAACCTCACCGCCACAATATCATCTCCCCTGGCTAAAGAGTCGCCGTTCCCGGACCATGATCGCCGCGGCCCTCCGTCAGAGCCCGATCATCGCTGTCGATATGGCCAACTCCACCACAACGACGCCTTTGACCACCACAAGCGTTAGCACTGGCGTCAACAACGGCGCAGACACTAACACAGGTGCCACAGCTCCCGAGCTAAGCGATCTCGACTACTTCATCACTGTACTCCAATTGCCGGATGGTCGAACGGAGAACCAGATCGAGGATGACCTCGTTTCCAAGGCGAACGCCCTCGGTATCTCGAGTGCGCCCGTTGCTGATAAGCGTATCACCTCAAGTGTCGAGTCAGCCTCAACAGTCTACAATGCTCGAACATTTTCTATGCTCTCTGCCGGGTCCACAAGCACCGCTCTGACCACACATTCATCTATCTTTGGTCCATCTACACCTGATCTAGCGCTTTCCAGTGCCCGACAATCCAAGGATCTGAGCTTTTCCCAGTATGATCGCTATCTATCAGTGATCGATCCTCACCACAACCACTCAAAAACTACAAGGGACTCACAAACGCCCGATGCCACTGCTCAGAGTATATTCAGCGGCAAGACGAAACGCAGCCTTTTCAGCGTTAGGTCGGGCTTCAGATTACGATGGAAGAAGAAGGCATCCCCGCAGCCACTCCAGGTCATATTGTGCGTCCTAACCCGGATTCCGACTAAAATGGTATCACGAAACCAGAGTGTGCTGACTGTCGTCATAGGACCTGTGCGAGCTGCCGTGCGGACTTCAAGAGCTCCAAATCATTACACAGCATCTCATGTGGCCACACATATTGCGATAACTGCTTAAGAACGCTCATCCATACAGCCATGTCCGACGAATCGAGCATGCCGCCGAGATGCTGTGCTCAGCCATTGCCGGGGTTTGTGATGAGGGACCTTCTCAGTCGCGACGCCCAACAGGAGTTTTTGAAGGCCATTATACAATACAGCACACCCTGGCAGGCAAGGATATTCTGTTCCAACCCTTCATGCGGAGGATTTATTCCACCACATCAAAAATTGGACCCCAAGTATCCTTCCACTGTCACTTGCCGCAAATGCAACACAAGAGTTTGCCTCATGTGCAAACATAACGCACATCCGACAGGTAAGGACTGCCCGGAAGATTGGGAACTAGATCAGGTTATCAAGGAAGGGGGTAAACCTGGCTGGAAACGGTGTTACAAATGCCAGAACTTGGTGCCACTTGAAGAAGCAAGTACACATATGACTTGTCGGTGCAAAGCCCAGTTCTGCTTCACATGTGGAGGTGTGTGGGATGCCAATGCTGGGTGCCCGAACGATTGTGACGGGGAGGAAGAGATGGACCGGAGGAGAACGGAGGAACAGGCTCAACTAGCCGAATATGAAGACGAGAAGGCCGCACAGGAAGCAGCCGCTGCAGCGGCATCCGCCGAGCGCCTCGAAGCCGAAGAACGAACGAGAAACAATGCCGATTTCTCCAACCTCGCCGAGATGCATCGGCAAGAACTTGGACGATTCCTCGAATTCGCTGAACAGGGTAGGGAGCACATGAGGGTACGGTTTGTCGAGCAGAAAAAGTCGATGATGAAGCGGCATGCCGAGCTCAAGGAGAGCATGAAAGAAAACCACGTGAGGACTGTGAGCCAATTGGAGGATCGACAGGTAGCTGCCGAGATGGACCTGAGAAACACTCTGGAAGCGAGTGAACGGAGTGTCAGGATTCGACTGAAGCATATGGAAGCTTACTGTGATGGATTGGGACGCAATAGTGCGAACTCAAGCCCAGGCTCGGACTCCCAACCACATCGAGTGGTTACGGAACGCGATCTTCGAGAGCTCGGGCAACAGTACAATATTCGCGATGGCATGGAAAGGTCACATCAGGCCAAAATTAATGTGATGAGGGATCGTCAGGCTAAACGCATGGAAGAACTCATCGACCGACAAGAGGCTGAGTACGAAACCTTGCTCGAGCGGAATCGACAGGAGCTCGTAGAATTAGATGCTCAGGCGGTCCTGGAGGAAGAAACACTGGCGCACATATTCACTGCACGAAAATCTAAGCTTGTGCGTCGGTGGGAACTTGCCATTGAGATCTTGCGCAAGGAGCTCGAAGACCAAGACGGTGTCAAGTACGCACCAATTCCCACACCAACATGGCCTGAACAAACATCACAGGTTCTTTTGTCTTCTGAGTAAGATAATTTGCATGACTATCAGCAGTGTCACATTTACTGCCACACGACTACCTTCATGATACAACGTATTCTTCGTTCCGTGGTGCTTCACGATCAAAAGCGAATTTGCGCCTTACTCTCTTATAATTTTTGTTTCAACACACGCACATATCTTATACAGCATGATACCAGGCGTAAAGGCCATGGGGTACGGACGACTCAGAGCAAGTCTCCGCCGGTTTGTCTCTTTCTGGGAGTGTCAGGCATTTTTCCCAATAGCATCAGCATAGCATTATGGCCGCGTATTTCATTCATATATTGGTGGGGGCGAGATAAGATCGTTATTAGATGATGCTCTGTTCGCAACCATACTCATACCCAGACATCGGTCTTAATAGAGCGGATATCCGAGGATCATAGAAGAAGGATAAGAGAGTTATTAGACTCCGGGCTTCGTTCGCACGCTGTTTGCGAACGGATCTGAGTATTACGAAAGTTCTGGGGCGGGTGGCCTGGTTGAATGTGCATGACTGTATATACCCCGGACTTGATAGATAGGATTTGAATGATTGACCGAATGAATCAGAATGGTACTTCAAGCCATAGTACCACCCAGCCGATAGCATGTGTTTCGCAAATGGCATCTGGCTCCGGCAACTTGCACCAAATTCGCCATCGAGAATGCTGTCGCACCAGCGGATGTAAGTCAAAAGTTGTAGCATCGCAGAAGATTGATGACTCATTTAACCAGTAACACCAGGCATACGCTTGCAGTAAGGTATCAGCATTGGAGGGCTGACGTTGGCGCCGAACCCTAGCCCCTTGTTCTATCCAGCAGCCAACATCCGTGTGTTGCGATAACGAATATTTGGGGTGGGCTGATCTGTATTGTGAAATCCGTTTGGTCTGTTTGTCAGGCCTGGGGTTGCATCGTTAAAGAGTGGCAAACACGGCCTGCTTGTGCATTCGCTTGTCGGAGAATACAGCCATCCTCTTGCTTCGTGGACATGTAGCAAGGTGTTTTTACAAGGGTGATCAGAAAAGACTCAGACTGTAGGACAAAACCACCCAATGCGGGTGATGTTGTTTGTTTGCGGCTGTGGCTGCATATTGTCTGTCTTGTTTTAGAAACAGGCGTCTCGGCAATTCGAGTAGACTTTCAATAGTCTTGTGCGCGTATCCTCTGCTGGAATAGAATATGCCAGGATCTCATATGAAACACGAGGTCTAGTTGGAGGATTTTCAGCACTAGCGGTTATAAATAGGAGAAGCTATGTCTGAGCGACAACCTCAAAGTTTCAAAGAGTTGTTCACTCTGTTGGCAGGCTAGGACATCCCTTTTTAAGCATATATGATAGATCAACCCTGCTGGAGCTTTTGTGGTTGAGGTGTGTTGCCGTTAGGGGGTATGAATGTAAGTGAGAAAGCAACGCAACCGTTGTCTCGCCTCTGCAGATATGGCTGCATAAGGCCGCAGAGGGTAATAGCACTGCGGTTCCCGCAGGCTACAATTTGTGCAAGAGATTGGCTGTTCTTTGATAGACGAACTAATGCTGGCGCCCGCAGCCACCGAAGAAGGCATGTTTCAATCGGTAAAGAGCCCTGGGTGGAACGATAGCCACCCGTCAGCAACGATGCATATTCAGGACTCAGAGAACCAGGTGAATATAGTAGGCAACGTTTTGAAAACTGCCGTCAGCCGCTGTGGCTTTTGAACTTGTCCAACTCGCCGCCAAACACGTTGCGAAAAGAGTGGGCGGGGGTACGTAAGTAGGATACCTCCACTTGCAATCTAAGGTATTACCATAGGTATAGTACCTAGAGCTTGTCTTGGCTGAGTAGCGGTTCCCTGTAAGAAAGAATAGGTAGTGGTTTCCAGGCACCGTTTGTAAGGATCATGGGGTAAGGCAATCCATCCGGGCTCTTGCATTCGAGGCGCTTATGTTTGTGCGTGCTAATAACTTAGAAGAAGGTAAGGTAAACAATGCCAAGTCTTTGTTTTGGGTGAAGTCGAGATCGGGGTTATCGAGCTAAAAGAGACGTAGCCACCAAATAAAGGGTCCCGCCCCCTCGTCCCCTGGAGGCGGCGTCCTGTGGAAAGACCCCTAACAACGGTAAAGAACTGCCCTGAGAGACTCAGTTGGTGGCGTTCTTGCCTTGAAACCCGAGGGGACAAGAAATAGGTGGGCTCAGCCACAATCAGCCCAATTTATGGTTCCATCCAATCCGTCTACTCAGGCAGTCAGTCAGTGTTTCCTTTCCATTCCCTCCCCACCGGCCAAGCGATCTCCATATTCATCTCCATCTCGTCTCCATTTCCAATTCCAATCCATTTGCATTGCATTTGCATCTTGCACCTTCGAGGTATAATTGCCTCTCTAATTCGGCTCAATCAGTTCTCGTCACCTCTCCTCATACGGGCGCGTATTCGCCTGCGTCGCCTTGTGCATCCCCGCTGTTCATCATTTCCGAAAGACCGTGCTGCCTCGACGACAAATCGGCCCAGTCAGTCCTGGCACCGAATCACTGATCCCCCCCGCTGCGGATTGCGAAGCTCTCCCCATCAGAACAGGCACACAAAGCTTCATTCGCTAATAGCTTCTCCAACGTTGCCATCACTGTTGTCGCCTCGACGCAAATCGATTTTGACTTGTTCCTCGCGATTGTCACAGTGCTTATTGCGCTCCAATTCACTGATTCTACCTTAATCTGCGACGGAACAGTTCCTGCCCAATCTCTACTCCACGACCTGACCAGCTCAAGGAATGTGAGCGTCCACTTCAACGAAGTCTGACTCAAACAAACAACTTGGACAGTCCCCGGCATTATAAACTAAATATTCGTGTGGGACACCTTTCCAAATTGACACCGGCATCATGAACGAATACCACCCGCCGTCGGCGAACGAAGCCTTCTCTCCTTCACAGGAGCGCGACCGATCCGGCAGCATGTCCTTGGGCAATATCCCCGTGAGTCCTCAGGGGCCCCCATCAGATCACGGCGGTGCTGCAGTTGACGACGCCATGAACAAAGACCAGAAATCCGACGCCGACACCACATCGCCTACGCAAACATCAGGTCCATCCGGTGTGAATTCCGAACAGATGAAACAAGTTTCGGACGTTTTGTCTTCCGAGGTATGACATACCCCAGGCAAAGAACAATATGCTTAATGTCTGGATAATGGGCTAACTGCATTCAATAGATTGGCATTGTTACGCTCCTGAATCGCCTCAAACAGAGCATAGCTTCAGCAAAGGTGAGAGATCGACTGGCTTTTGACCAGCTTCCCAACACTCAGGTAACCCGGTTTGCTGACTTGGGATTCTCTAGGAATTTGCATTGTTCCTCAAGAAACGATCGAGTCTAGAAGAAGACCATGCCAATGGCATCAGGAAACTCACACGTACCACCCAGGAGGTCATGCGCCGGCCCGATCATCGGCAGGGCACATTCGGTAACGCATACGAGGCTATGGCAAGCACCCACGAACGTATGGCTGAGAATGGCATCGAGTTTGCCAAAGAGCTACACCAGATGCACGATGAGCTTATGGAGCTCGCTGGTGTTGCCGAGCGCAGCCGGAAGTCATGGAAGCAAAACGGCTTGTCCGCTGAGAACAAAGTAGCAGAGATGGAGCAGACTATGCGTAAGAGCAAGGCCAAGTACGACTCTCTTGCTGAGGATTATGAGCGGGTCAAGACCGGCGAGTCGCGCCAGAGCGGCAAAATGTTTGGTCTCAAGGGACACAAGTCAGCACAACAGCATGAGGGTGAGCTGTTGAAGAAGGTTCAAGCAGCTGATTCTACCTACCACGGGCACGTCCAGGCGTTGCAGGCTGAGAAGGCCCAACTTGTTTCAACGACACGCCCAGAAGCCATTCGAGCGCTTCAAGACTCGATTAAGGAGATTGATGCAGGAATTTCATTGCAGATGCAGAAGTTTGGTAAGTCTTTCCCCAGTATTCTGGGTCGTACAATCGCAGCTCATTTGTTATTTAGCCTCCTTCAATGAGCGCCTACTATTAAGCAATGGCCTGAGTGTCAGTCCCATTCAGGGTCCTGGGGCCCAAGGCAGCTCTGCTCAACGCAGTCTGCGACAGGCTGCTTCTTCGATTGACAACGACAAAGACTTGAATGACTATGTCACAGCACAGCACAGAAGTGTGCCTCCCAACACTGGTGAAATCAAATATGAGCGCAATCCAGTAAGTGACTACTAACAAGTAATCAGTATTGTGACTAACGATTTTAGGCACTTAACCCTCCGGGCTCCAGCAGCCAGCATAATCCAGGAGGCCCTGTCCAACAACCCGCAGCTGTTGTGCAGTCACCAGTATCACAGACGCAGCCCCAAGGTGGTTTCTCTGGACCACAGCCTCTAGGTCCTGGATCAAGGACTAGCACCCTTGGTCTTGGCCCTATTACTGGCATTACTGGTGGTGATCCTTCATTTCCCCCGACTGACGACCCTCGACCTTTTTCGCAGCATCATAATAGGAGCGTAAGTCAAGGGAACATGCCAGTGCAACAGGGCACTCCTGGCCAACAATTCTCAACTCGGGGCCCCAATCAACAACAGGCACCTGGTCAAAGATATGGTAATGGGGGGTCTATCAGTTCATCCGGCCCACCGCAACTTGGTGCTCTGCCCTTCCAGCCTGGCGGTTCCCCTCCTCAACAGCCAGTTCCTGGCCAAGCTCCCCATGAACGTTCAGGAAGTGGGGTGAACTCGGGACAAGGACCTCCAGGTGCTGCACGGTCACCACCTCCCTACGGAGCTTCTAGTCACCCTCCTCCTGGGCCTGGACCTTCCGGGCCTGCCAAGCCAATGTTCGGCCTGCCACTGAGTCGTCTTTATGAACGTGACGGCTTGGCAGTACCAATGGTTGTTTACCAATGCATCCAGGCGGTGGATATGTACGGCCTTAATGTGGAAGGCATTTACCGCCAGTCTGGGTCCATGGCTCACATACAAAGACTAAAGAATATGTTCGATACAGGTACGTCATGTTCTACACGTAGAAAGTCCAGAGCTAATCACATAGCAGAGTCTTCCAACCCTGCGCTCGACTTTAGGAATCCTGAGAACTTTTATCATGACGTCAATAGTGTTACTGGCCTGTTGAAGCAGTTTTTCCGTGATCTCCCCGACCCGCTACTCACCCTCGAGTATCATGATAGCTTCATCACGGCTGCCAGTACGTCGCTCCAATCCCTTCCTTTCGTGTGTGTCTACCTCTCCTTGGCAAATACTGACTGATATGCGCAGAGCAAGAAGACGATACGGTACGTCGCGATTCGATTCACGCGATCATCAACAGTCTTCCTGATCCCAACTACGCTACACTGCGTGCTCTCACTCTTCACCTCTGGAGAGTCATGGATAACAGCCACAACAACCGCATGAACTGCCACAACCTAGCCGTCATTTTTGGCCCGACACTCATGGGCACTGATCCCAGCACCGCCATTGCCGATGCGGGCTGGCAGATTAAGGCCATCGACACCATCCTGCAAAACACGCTCCAGATTTTTGACGAGGATTAAACTTGTATGTAAGCGCCTCGCGTTGGTTAAGGGCTTAATATGTAACGCTTGTTGGAAGAGGCGGAGAGGGATGCTTATATCTATCCATGTTGGCTGTTTTTATGTTGCATGGCGTCTCGTATCTAATGCATGTTCATTTCTTCCTGTGCTTGGAGATTAGTGTAAAACCACTGGGTGGCTAACGTGAGCGCTTTTTTTCTTGTGCTTCTTTTGCGCTTGTTCAGTTTACCTCTTACTTGCTCCTTACGTGGGGTGGCCTGTTATATGCGATAAGTTAGACTCGTAGTTATATAAACAGGCAAGGAATTTTAAATGGTTTGTTGTAGGGTAGTTAATACTACATGGCGTTCTTCACACATGAGACTTTTGAACACGAACGACTGATAGTATATGCAATACAGGTACGGTATGGCTGCAAGACTTTGGCATAATGGTGTCAATGGTCTGTTCCCCCCGGGTCACTACTGGTTATGGAAACTGGGCTTGGACGGCTTTTAAATCACTTTATACAGGTGATCTTCACGAGCACAGTGTTAGCATTTTCAACGTACACAGGAGCGATAACTACGAATGATGTCTCATGTTCATAGCTCTCGAACCACTTCCACGGGAGCAACCACGGCACCAGACTCACGCATCACAGGGTATATATCAGTATAATCACCGCTTTCCAGTATGGTAACCCACTAGTCGAGAGGGTGATATGATGCTAATCAAGTGACTTGATTGAAGTTCTATGCTATTCCACTCCAACGAGTAATGTAGACAAACGCAGAGAGCCTTCTGCCCTCTGTTCTCATCAGACACCAGCCTTGATGTCTTTCGTACATGATAAATGCTCAAGTATCGTGCGTGTTCTGTGCTCGACATATCATCAGCCGTTTCACCAGTCCTCTTTGTAATCAGCGCCATGCAAAAATACGCAAGCAAACCCCAAAAAGCAGAAACAAAAAGAAATGCCTCATCTTCCCATAAAAGACAAAATAAAATATTCGACGAGACCATTGATGCACTATGCCCCCTGTAGCCCAGAATAAACAATACTGAGAATAATATCCGTTTTGCAGTGCACATTATCGCTTATGCCAACATGCCTGAATTCCGTAACAGGGGTATAGCCGTGAGAAGAAGGAAAAGAAAACTTAGACACAGTCGGGCGCATGATAATGTTGGTGATGATAATGATGATGTAGGAAAAAGCCTGAACGCTGTTCGCGTCATGCTGCATGAAGGGTGTCAAAATCTTTGACATCAATAATTTGGTTTGCGGTGATTGGAAGAGATACAAGCCTGTCTCGAAGGATCTCACTGGAGCTTGATAGCTTCAAAAAGACCTAGACTTAAGCTCGTATCGTTCTCACCAACATTGGGAGTCGGCTCGCTAAGCACCTCCCAGCGACGGAGAATGAAGGGACTCAGACGCTCCTGGACTACTGGCCCGATGCCGTATTGCGCACCCATGCCACGAGCGGCAGCACTCTGAGGCGTTGCTGCCTTTTCCCGGTGGGAGAGCATAAGATTGTCTGACGGAGACGGCGGCGGTGAGCTGAATAAATAGTAAAGTCGAGGGTCAGATGATGTTCCTTGGTTGGGCATCCCGCCTGGAGTTAACAAGATGGCCCTGGCACAGTTGGCTCGCAATTCCTCGGGTAGGGCATCTACCAGGAGAATAGCAATGTCGAAGACCTGCTGGACAAGGGAGCCAACAGTAGCTGGCGGCAGTGTTTCCAACTCAAGTAGCAGCCCGCAAAGAACAAGGACAATGCGTGCTCGAACATCATGCACGGGTGGGATAGGAGGCCGTGTCGCCGAAGCCGTGGGAAGAGGGGCCGATGGTGGCTCGGACGACAGGCTATGGAGGTTAACAAAGCGAAGCATAGCGGGCAGCCAATGCTGTAATACGGCGGCGTGACAGTTGGGACGCTCCTGAGGCCCTGCTGCGACGATTTCCCACAGGTCTGTCAACTTCTCGACCATGCCCAACGATAACTGTGCCATCTTAGGGGGAGCTTGACCCGAAATAATAGCCTCCACTACTTCTAGTAAGTTCTCGGCCATGCGGAGGGACTGCCGTGACCCAGTGTCGACAAACTCAGGAGCCTTCGATGAAGGGATCAAGTCGAGAAATCCAGTTTGAGCCTGTGTCTTGAGATGCTGGGTAATGTCGTCACTCAAACAAGGTAATAAACTGGTCCACATGATGTTGCCTGCTTCAATGGCTCGATCCATCGCCCTGGCGAAGATCTCGAAGCGAGAGGAACCCTGGTCTTGTCCTTCAATTACGCTGGGCTGTGGCAATGACAGATCTAAGTTAAGCTTCAGCTGGCAGAACGGCAGCGTCAACTCGTTGGCAATCTGTAAGATATGATCAAACGAAATTTGAGTCTCGCCCGAGTCTCCAGGAATAAGAAGTTTCGTGGTCACCTTGCGGACGAGACCGACAGCTTCAGCAGGGAGCGATTTGATGCCTAAAGCATTTGAGACGGCGGAGGAATCCACCAGAACAAGAGTTCGTAAGGTCTCGAGCAGACTTTCTTGGCACTCAAGATTGTCAAGAGGAAACTCAGTGCCATTGACATGATTTCTTACAGTCGAGTACTCGAGCAAAGCGTTTCGAACAAGGTTCAGCAATCCTTTGGACTGCTCAAATTTGGCGCACTTTTGCTCGGTATGAAAACGGTAACTTTCCTCAGCCACAAGCCCTGTTGCCTGGGGAAGCGGCATGATGACGAGTTGTAAGAGTTCTTGCAAGTATGTCGCAGGACCTCTGGACGATTCTGGGGCAAGATTCTGGATATTCGCGAACGGAGGGCTTGCGGTGCTCATTATGATAGGCATTGTCAGACACCCTGTAATGATGAGAAGTGGGAATAAAGTAGAAAGGGAGGAGCGGTTCGATATCGAACGAATATGACTTGTCCAGTCGGTCATGAGTTTATCGAAATGGTGAGCATCAAAAACTCGTATTCTCGCGAGTAAAGTTGCGAACACCCGGCGCGTATCGTCCTCCTTCTCCCACCCGCGCTCAAGAGCAGGGATTATCATTCGGAAAAGCTTGTTCATTGTTGGAGGGTCCAATCGTGTTCCACTGGAAAGTGTTCTCTCGACTTCTTCAGCCACATTGTTTTCAGCTTGATGAGAGGGGGTTGCCACGATGTCGGAAACCGGCGAGCAAGCATCAATAGCGTTGTTGCGATCATTTTGGACGAGCTCTTGGCGAAGCTGGCTGGCAATCACCTCATGACCAGCCATGCGTTGGGCAAGACTGGAGAGAGCAGCAAGTAGCGGTCGTGGAACGAGTCTTTGCTCCTCGTTCATCATTCTAAGGCGCTCGATTAGGCTGTTAAACAGTTCATTTGCGCTATCCAAGGCGCAGAAGATTTGCAGGTTTGAATGGACAGTATCCGCAACGGACGCCAGAACGTCAGAATCGGCGGTCTTCGCGCAAGCTCCAAGAATGTCAGATAACATGGCGTAATCTTCGGCCATTTCCATAATGTCTCGAACAGCGGTGAACATAGTCAGAGATAAAGAGTGGCCCTTCATGATGAACTGCCCAGTTAGCTCATCACGCAAATGTGCCCCAATGCTGCTCCTTAGAGCAGTACTGCTACCGCCCATCCGTTGCAATAGCTTCTTGAGTGACATTGGCTTTCGTCCTGACAATGGATCATTTGACAGTAAAGGGAGCCCCACAACATGCTTCACAACCCTGATTGCATTGGTGATGTCTTGTTCCTCCTCAGCGACCGAATAGTTACCAGCTCGTCTTAGCAAGTTTCCTCTTTCAGCCCTCTTCTTCTCAGATAAAGCATGAAGCGGAAGTTCAACTAGCAACCTGCTAGAACACGGACCTGATACGGGGTCGATTTCCGCGGCACAATGATAACCACCACGAGCGATAGTCCACTGCATATATTGAGAGACGGAAAAGTGGCCGGTTCGAACGAGTTCCGTGACAAGGTGGTAGACGAGGTTCTTCCGTGCCTTGTCATTGGCGGCGATGTTGTCGAGTGTCTCGAGAATGGGCGTGGTAGGGTTCACACGAAATTGGCTCCATTGCCGAATTAAACGGGTTGCGGCATAGACCTTGGCTAGACCTGGACGATGGAACGAAGTTGCCCACTCAACTACTGTCTTCATTATCAAAGACTTGTTCTCACTCGTTGCCCAGCATGCTGCGGCTAAATGATTATCGCTGGATTCTTTCAAGGCAGCATCAAGCAACTTGACTAGCTGACTCCGCCCGGCAGGAGGGGAAGCAGTACTGGACACTACCAGACGTGAGTTTCGTGAATTGATGGCATGTAGTGCCTTTCGAGCCTGCTCGTCATCAGAACGCAGACAAGCATGTAAAGTATCCTTGTACGTCGACCAGGCTCCGGGGTTGATGAAGCTCTCTGGGTTGGAACGAATTAATGAGCCGAGCAAAGCTGACAGTCTACTGGAGAGTTGCACAAGAAGATCCTGGTCAGGGTCGTTGGATATCTGGTCTTGCTTAGTCAAACCGTTTGAAATAAGAGTTGCGTGTGAACCTACTACATGCAAGTGGCTGAGTAGAGCAAAAACAAGCCTCCGGCCATACTTGCGTGACCTGAGAAGGTCTTTCCAGTAAATCTGAGCAATGAGCAGCCACATGGGAATACGCGACTGAAGACTATTCTCAATTCCAGACACAACCCAGTCAAGGTAATGATCTCGATCTAGCAACTGCTCTGAGTAAAGGTTCGTTGCTAAGCGGATGCTGCATGGCAGTTAGCTGTTGTGCTTCTGGACCAATAAGCATGTCAACTTACGCATATGTGACTCGATTCTTCCAGTCATTTTCACCAAACCCAGCAACAACGGCATCGACAAATTGCTCAACAAAAACGGTCCAGTCGCGAGCCCATTTCAGTTCGCCACCCATAACAAAGGCACCATTGACACCCTTCCTCTTCAACCCCCTGATCTCATTGGCACCGACACACTTTGCTAACCAAACAGCTCGCTCGGCGGGAACATTCTTGTTCAAGCATTGATCGAGTAACGTTCTTCCGCGAATGCCGTGGGGAATTGTTCGGCTGAGGCGTCTAAGGGATATCGCAGGATTTGCAAGGTCCTTGAGCCAGACCTCTCTCTTCGTATCCGTGAGCGTGACTCGAGGTGGTGGTTTGAAAGTCGAGGGTGCATTGATCTGTCCTCGATGTCTGCGCTGAGTCAGAACTCCCATAAAAATAGTAGACAGTGCATTCAGGCCAGTCTTTTGCTTCAGGGCCGGGAAGATGGCAAGCTTAGCAGACGAAGTTTCAGGAACATTTAAGTTCACCTTATCCCATGTTCCTTTGGTAATCGCTTCGCTGCTCCACTCGTCTTCATGATGTGCTCCATTCCAGGGAAAGAAGTCGGCGTATCCAGAGTTGAGACCTTTGCTGAAAGGGTCGACGGGATTTCGTACTGCGGTTTCGGGTCGGTTGGCTGAGAAGTATCGTGGCGCGACGGAGGGAATCTCGACGGTGTATGGTTTTGGTCGGGCATCTTTCTTGGCTGGCGCAGGCGCAGTCGCTGTAATTCGAGGAGCGAATCTCGGTTGTGAGGTTACTGGTCGACGTGTCGGCATCGGCATCAAAGTTGAGCTGGCGCTGCCGGCAGGGCTGCCGACCATAGCTTGAAAGGGATCGGAATTGGGTATTCGCGAGGGTGTAAGAGACTGCGGCGATTCGGATGTAGGTAAAGAACTAGAAGAAGCATTGTGTGACAACTCAAGCCGAAGACGTGAGCCGCCTCTTCTAGGTGTTGTGTGATAACGATTAGGGGTAGCATCGCCGGCGTCGGCCGTTAAATCGATGAATGGAGCATCTTTTCGAACTGGCGAGGCGGCCGCCATAAACTGCTGCTGATGTGATAATGATCGCTGTGGAGGGGGGCGCTGAACGGGTAACGACGATGAGCTCACGGAACGCTGAGGCGGCCGCGGATGGGCACCCATTGTGGTCCGCGAGGTCATTTCTGGGTCGTGGGCGGAGGCGCCATTCCGAAAAATCTAAATAAAGGGATGTGTAGACTTGTGTTGTATCTGATGATGATGGATAACCGCAGTAAACGCGATTCCTGGGAATGGTACTGCGATGTCCTACAGTATTCGGTGGCGCCTCAATACTCGAAGGCGAAATGGTGTCCAAGATTTGCGTTCCTATAGTCGCGTTGTCGTTGATACGTTGGTAGCGTCAGGTTTGATGAGCCAGCCGCGCAACCCCAAGCATAAATGGACAAATAATCAACGTGATTCGGGGATCCGAACTCGATTGTTGCCCATGCGTTCTATCATCCCCCAACTATCACAGCCGCCGTTGCCGTTGTTGTTCCGGATCGATGGAATGGAGCCACGCACGCGAATGGCTTCGATTTGGTGGAGTTGGGTTGTTCGAGTCAAAGAGGAGGAAGATACGAATGCACAAACTGGAAAGAATAGTGTCTAGATAGCGAAAGTATGTACACGAGCGGCACGGAACCCCGACCGAGAGCGGCAACTGTCGATGGATTATGAGATGTACAGATGTGGATGGGGTCAGACGGGGCGAGGTAATGTTAGGTAGGTAGGTTGAGTTAGAGCGTTTCTGAGGTGAGGCAAGGCAAGGTTGGCAAGGTACTAACTTAAAAGGGCCCTCAAGAGGAAATATGGAGACGAGACGGGTGTGGAGATGGAGGTAGAAACTACCAACGGAGGGATGGCTAGTGTGCCGCGACAACAGGGCTTTTGCGTCACAGGACCACTTGGACACTATATCCGCAAAGTACCAATTACATAGCTTCGATAAGTTTTACATGGATCTGCCCCCCCATCCGGGCTCTCAGCCGTCGCTTGGTCGGTCCCTTGAATCGTTTATTACGCTGGAACCCTGCCCGGACATTTTGAATTTGGAGAGGGTTTTGTTCGTCGGTTGTCTCTTGATTCTCGAGACTGCCCGTGCGGGCCCGACCCGAGCTACGGGCTTAGACTACGGCTATGGCTGCGGATAGGGACCGACGGGGTCTGGGACTGGGAAACCAATTCCATTACATGAGTGTTATTACAGCGCAAGTCTTGAGGATTTTGGACAAGATCGATAGGGGGAGACGCTGAGCGTCAAGTGGCGATACATCGTAAGAGATGACTCGTGGCTGGTTTACGATCTTATGCTAATGACTGAGGAATCCTGAACAACAAGCAACCCTCTATCCGTACAGTGCTACGTGTTGACTCTCCAAGGGATAAGCGGGTGAATTGCTTGTAAGGATTGAGATTGACGGGCGGTTTGAAGTGAAAGCGTTGAGGTCGCATCAGAGTGCATAACATTGTTGTGTTATTCAGGGGTTACAGTTGGCTACCTGCTTGGCGATCAAATAACATTACAGCCCCCAGCCAAAAGCCATCAACCCCGCTTGGAGGCACACAATCGCGCAGCTTAAGATCTCAGAGAAGCATTTGCCTCGTGGAATGCACGTTATCTATTGGGGTCTGTACAGTTGCACAGCGCTTGTTGGGAGTGACTGATGAGAGGCCTCAGGTGCCGTTTGACTCTGGTAAAATGTCATCACATTTGGATGCAGAGATACTCGTGCAAGCAAGTAACTCAACTGGGAAATACATTGTGCTTAACCTGAGCACAATAACGAGTTTCTTTTCTCTCAAAGGCTTGTTCCATATCAGTAGGACATGGATGTCAGCCATTATTCGACCAACCAAGTAAAAGACGACCATCCAGCCATCATTTCTCAAGGTGCTTCTCATGACGGCATTCAGCCGGACGAGAGCGCTTCATTCGATGGCATATCGCCTTTCCAACAACTTTCAGCTCCCCCCTCTCCAGCCAAGCCTAAGCGAATGGGTCATTCTTATGTCAATCATCAACCGTCACCATTCACTTAGTTCAAACCCCCAAGCCAAGCCATTGTAAATAATCGACCGATAGTTCCCCATCCAGAACCTCGATCTAACAGCATCAGCGGCCAAGCCATGGTCTGTGTTCCCACCTAAAAACAACTCGCCTTGGCTGGTCCTTGCTTCTCTCTTCCCGGCGACATGGGCGTTGGGACTTGGGCTTCCGGGGAGGGAATAAACACCACATCGGCGCTGACACAAAGCCAGATGCCTGCTGAAAGCCACTCGCAAGCCCCGATGGCTGTGTAGCTTCGGATACCCCTCGCCGGTGACTTGATGACTGTCGCCAAACTTTAGGTAAAATTGAATAAGTCTATTCGCTGGGATGATTGGACGAGCCTCTATTGCCTCAGGAGGGGACTCTGTTGTGCGGATCATGGGGTTCAACTTCAATATGATGCTGCTGTTGGCCCATACCAGCCGCTCTTGGCTTGGCTATCATTCGCTTCGCTTGACAGGGTCGTGCGCTTGTGTTGCGGTGTGCCAGTTGATGCGGAGAAGATACCCGTAGATACGGGGTGACTGTCTTATCAGCTCACATCCAACGCTGTCCCATGCAAAACAAGCCTCTTCATGCATGTATCACGGCTAATTTTACAGCACCAGGTCGAGCCTCCAGACTCTCAAAACTTGTCTGCCAGCTGGTCCGACTTCTTGGAGTGGAACATCCTGTCTTTTCCGTCGGGATCCAACCCCGGCCCGAGATCCTCTACCGACTGACCAGTAGGGGTAGTTAGCTGTATGAGCACTTAAAGTCTAAAAATCGGTGATTCTGAGAGTGAGTGAGGGATAGACTAATGACTTTCAACAGACAGTGCAACAAACCTTCCTCTTTGGGGGAGACCATTGTGTTGCGGCAATGTTGTTCCGTAACAAGGCCTTTTCACATGCAGAGTTCCGTAATTCGTCTCATGTCTCTTTGTATTGTACTGTAGATCCTTTGTACTTGTGCCCCTGTACGAAACGGTGCCTTGAGAATCATGTACGGGCAGACGGCTGAGGGTTCCTGAAACACCCTCGATATGATATGCGAATACCGGTAGAAGAACTCCATCTTAAACAGTAGGCTGAGATTCTGATGGGCTTGCTGGATTGAGATATGCTATCAACAATAGGCCACGCTAGCTCATCCCGTGTTTCTCAGAATATTGACGCATATTTTCCCCACAAACATGTAGTTCCCCGTCTACATGCACCTAATAAGAACTCACACGTAACGCAGGGTATCGGATCGTCCGTGGCCCGCCGGATCAATCCGTGCGACTATGTATGTACGTCGTGCAACCCACGACTATTGCTATCCCTTGCACCAGTTAAGAAGAGGCATGACATCTTTGCCCGGCCCTCCCAAACGCAGTCAAGTGCACGGTCACATAGGAGAGGGAGTGCTACACTTTGTGGTGTTTGTGATGGGACACGGATCGTCACGGGCTCGGAGGTCAAACAGCTGTGAGCCAAGTCCCCGATCCGGTAACTGGTGACCACACCACACGTTGCCAAGCCTAGCGACGCGGCTTGCCAAACGTGGACGCTGCGTGAGACAAACACGCTCGTATCTCATTGCCAATCCCGTCGGACCGTAGCACAGCAGAAATGCATGTCAAGTGAGACAACATGTCTCCAAAATATTCAAAATGTGAATTCGGTTATCTGCGTGCCGTGTTCAAGGAATCTCCTTGAGAGTACAAGTTGTCATCTCAAGGGACACAAGGAAAATGTTATGAAAGAAAGGCTCGTGCTGCCCTACCAGATGATTGCCGCCCCGGCTTATGTAAAATCAACTCCTCCTGTGCAAACAGTTGCGGCCACGATCAAGTATGGCACTATATTCGTAGCAAACACATTTACAAAAGAATGTTCCCGCCCGAATCTTGTATCGTCTCAAACAGAAAGAAAAAGAAGAGGAAAAGAAACGAGTGCTTCCATTCAGATCAGGCGATGTCACTACTACAGCTCTGCAGCATTAACTGACCACTCGCTCCAACCTCTCTCCTCACCGGGAAGCTTGATGCTCTCCCATTCATCTCTGGTAACGCTCTTCCACTCATCAACGGGCAGCCAGCCGATTCGGGCACGGTCGCCGAAGCCGCCAACCCAGTAGATCTTGGTTACAACCAGACGCGCCCAACCGCTCTCATGGATTACATTGCCAGGCAACCAGTACTTGGCGTCCTGGTGCTTGCGTGTGAAGCATGCCGCAAGCTTCAGGGCTGATACCGGTGTGGTCTCGATGGGCTCAAGATACCCAAAGAGGGCAAAACGTGGCAAGTTGGCCGCAGAGTAAGGGACAGTGTCCGGCACGGAGAGCGACTCCTCCGAACGGCTGTTGTAATCGTAACTGGAGAGGAAGGGGATATATGCCGAGAGTCGTGAAAGAAGGGAGATACGCTTAGCGGGCGGATAGGGTGGAACCCAGTTCATGGAGAGGGTAAGGTTTGATCCAGCCCGAACGTTCCTGAACGTTGTTGCGATCTTGATCTCGAGAATGGTAGGGTTACCTTCATCCTCACAGTCCGCCACATAATCCATCATTCCGATAGGGACGCCCTCAAGTCCATTACTGTCGGTCTCGGGTTCTGTATTAGATCGTCCAGAAGGGAAGACGGTTGAGAGTGTCGCAAGCTTGGTAAGAGCAAGGATGCGGCGCGCCATGACAACGGACTCGTGGACCGTTGGGATCTTATGAGGAGCGTTTGTATCAGCGTTATCGTTGTCGCCAAAGATATTGGACGCCGGCGTGAAAGCCTGCGTCGTGGCAGCAAAGCCTGCTATGGCATGCAAGATCTTCATGATGTCGTTCTTAATCGTATCGCGTAGGCAGAGTCGATGACACTGAGAGGCTGATGAGAAGGTTGACCTGTGATGCGCTGGACACGGTTAACCAAGAATGAGAACACGGCCAGGAAGAAGGTGACAAGGTAAACCAGGCGAGGCGGTGGGAAATCCGATGGCTTTTGGCTTTGGATTCTGCTGGCGCGTGAGGAATTCGCTAGTGAACAATGGCGGAAGTTGGCCGCGCTAAGCTGAGGGGAACTGATCCCATGATGGATGATGTTACTCTCGCCAAGGCTATGTCACTAGATTGATAAGATTAGATCCTTGCATGTTATCGGCTGAAACCGGCTGGCGACCGGTCAACTGCCAAGACCGACCCACAACATTTCGATGTTGCAAGAAGGCTGATGAGGAGTCGTTTATTCAATTTCTTGATATGAATCAGTAATACTATACCAGTATTGTGCGAGCCAGCCGGCCGCGAAAGGTGTATGTATTGCATTTATACTGCTAATAAGAGTCCAAAAAAGACAAGCAACTTATGACTTCTGACGGCCTGACCTGAACGACGAGACCTAGGTAGGTGAGTTTAGTATGACCTAGTAGGATTTTGAACCCGTAGTTCATCTTGGCACTCTGGATTAAGTTCGTAAGTTTTCTTGCTCCCTGTGGGGATTTTCCTAAAAGATCTCCTTCATCCAAATTTGGTTATGAGCAAGGATAGTATTCAAGCAACATTCCAGTTTGAAAAGTCTTCGTACTCTGAATGAGCTGTTATTGCTCGTTAGTTGCTTCAAGTCTCACGGTGTATCTTGATCAAAGCCTATCTGTCGTTGAATATTGTGTGAAGTCATGGTCACTGTCCAGTTATATCTTATTTGTCACTTTCGAGACAGCTTTCCGACTTGGCAAACCACACCGGACTGACGACTTACGAGCTACAGCACCAGCAACGGGCTAGGCTCGGCTCAGTGAATCCAAGGTACCAAGAACTCAAAGCACATTCGTTTGGTCTATTTGATGATCATGCCAGGGTGAGTAAGTTGAAGTAAAAATCATAAACCCCACATCACAGACAGTTGAGTGTTATTCTAGAGCATCAAGTTTTGAGATGACGATATCTATGATTGAGAAACAGTGGTTTCTTTCTAGGTTTCATATAGTTACCTAAGTAGGTAGTACATATCGTCTTAAATATTATGCTCAGAGGGGAGTTAAAGTACAAAGTTCACCTTCGGCTCAGCTGCATATCTGCACTCAACCTCTCTAGGGGGTTCAGATATAGCAGTTATGAGTTACAACAGCCGCACACAGAATCGAGATCGACTCGTTTTGCTTTTGATCCAGATGACCTGGCTACTACCAGTGGGTATAACCGACTTAGACAAAGTACTTAGCTAGGAAGTGCTTGAATAAGATTTGAATTGACCAAAATCTCGGTCGCCAGACTCCTCCTGTATATTTGGTTTGGTTGATAGGTGACCAGGTTAAAATAGGCCATTGTGATCCCCGATGCTTACCCATTAGATAGTTTCAATTCATCCAATTTGGCTGATGCCGATTATTAGAGATTTCCTAACACAAAGGCAAAAAGCCAGTCAACAAAATGGCAAACAGATCCTGAAATACAGGTAAAGCTCAACGAAATTCGATGAGAGTTGGTATTCATGTAACAAGTAACTGTCTTCAGGGCCGTGTATCGTCAAGTATTCAGACCGGGTTTTCTTTTTTCTTCGCCAGTGATGAGCTTGACTCACTAAACGTGTTCATAGGTAGCTAGGTTGGTGGGTATTTGTTGCTCTCATTTGTTGTTTGCTCTATACAACTCCTTGCTGGCCAGAAGGTTAAACTTGAGGCTGCTAACACAGGTGATTGGGGCACGGTGTCTTTTTCGCAACATGATTGTTTGCTCTAGCTGTCTGAGATGCATCGAGTTTCTCAGGTAGGTATGGGAAAATCTGCGTTGGAGACTGCTCTATCATCATCATCGTCTGGCACTGTTTCTAATACCTCCAGCTCAATACTTGGACAAACCAGAGTCTTCTTCTTGTCATAGTCCATTTCCCATGCTTGAGCATTCTAGAATGTTAGCAGCATGAGGGCCATTGACACTGATCCAGCTAATAACAACCACCTTCAACATTACCTAGTTCTGGGTTCTTACTGATTTGGTGGTGCACACTTAGAATCAACCGACTACATGGTTTCCGAACTCGTGTGGTCTTTCATTGTGAAATGAAAATGAAGCCGAGCCCACACCGCGATGATCACATCCATATTAGCCTCTATTTAGAATTAATGAGATGAAATTTACAAAAATAATGGGATTCATCGAAGAAGCCACCTGCGTAAGTACGATAGCCATATAATCCAGCAGCTCAACAGATACTATGTGAGCATGAACGAATGAAAGTGTCAAGGTCACACGTGAGTTAGTTACCTTCGTCTTACCCTAAGGTAGGTGCTTTATAGTCGAGAAAAAATGATCCGCCTTGTGGTAAGGTACATGCTTCGAAGACGGGAGACCATCAGAATTTAAGATTGCGTGCCTTGCTCAAGCGACCGCACGTCAGCAAAATGGAGATCATTCCAATTTGAGGTCCATCGATTACTTACTTACCTTAGTGGATTAGGCATGTACGTCTTGGTTGCAGTAGCAACCATCCCTAGGTAGATTTGAAGGGACAGCCAATAGCGTTTCAAGTGGGGTCCTGCCCGATCACAGTACTTGTAAGTTGTTGATCAGATCTTCATCGAGCATCCAGGTTCTTGCCATTCAGACCTGTCCTCTCCAATTTCTTTTCCTTATTCGGGGCCAGCTTCCATTTGACTTAAATTTCATCACGCTCCATCACCATCAGTAAGTTCGCTTTTACAGCATCTATACAAGTCTTCTTCTTTATTGAACTTCGCTTCCACAGCCAATTCAGTGTTGATTGTTATTCTTATCTCTTCCCCACTCGCCGCCTGTCCAAGCCCAAGCTAAACAAAACAGAGTCCACCCGCTAGTCTACCCCTCGACTCCAACTCCAGCTCACATCGCGACAACTAAACATCCCCACCATACACTGCAGTGCCGAACCTTCTTCTTCTTCTTCTTCTTCTTCTTCTTCAACATTCCCTCGCTCAATTAAGCAGACATCCCCGGAAGAAGACAAGCAGCCATGGCTAGCTTCATGTCCAGTTTCTTTCCTGGAGGGAAAGAAAAGAACCCGGCCAGCGAAAATGGCAGTTCGCGACCTGCTACGCCATCCACCAGGGTGGACAACTTCCTCAACCCCGCGAGCACACCTCAAGGCAGCCCGAGCAAGAAGACCAACCCTCCTGGCTCACACGACCTCCCGTCTGCATTCGAGAGTGCCTTGACACTCAATCCTCCTGTCATGGAGCCACCCCTCAAGTTAGGCCGCCCTCAAAGCGTTATAACCCCGCTATCACCTGGCAAGACCAAGGTTCAGCCCCTCGACGAGTCCAACGTCAATGTCGATGAAAGCGTCGTCCACAAGACGCGGCCTGTAAGCCCTCAAAAGAAACAAGGCCAGGAGAACACACCCCCTACCTCTCGATTGGCTGGCACCGATTCTCCCCACCAACATAGCCATGCTGCCGTCACCCGTCAACAACACTATGAGCACAGAGAGCGACCAAACACGCCTGCGACGAAGAAATTCAACACCGCTCGAGGTCTGACACCCGAAGAGCGCGAGATTCTTCAGAAGCCCAACGTTAAGCGACTCGTCAATGTTACTCAGCTTTGTAGGCATCTCCCAAACCCATCGATTGTGAAGGGCATCTTATTGATTGGTCTCTAATGCTTTGTTAGACTTCCTTGACTATTACTTTGACCTCCTGACCTATGTTGGATCAAGACAAAATCGACTAGCAGCCTTCAAGAACGAATACCCTCCGCCCCCAGAGACTGATGAGCAGACGCACAACCAAATGTGGACCAAGTACACAGGACGAGAACGCGCCAACTTGCGCAAGCGTCGAGTTCGACTTCGACATGGCGACTTCCAGATTTTGACACAAGTTGGTCAAGGTGGATATGGCCAGGTTTTCTTGGCTCAAAAGAAAGATACTCGTGAGGTTTGTGCCCTCAAAGTCATGAGCAAGAAGTTACTGTTCAAGCTTGACGAAGTTCGCCATGTTTTGACGGAGAGAGATATTCTGACCACCGCCCAAAGCGAGTGGCTCGTTAGACTCCTCTACTCTTTCCAGGATGAAAAAAGTATTTATCTGGCCATGGAATATGTGCCTGGCGGCGACTTCCGCACCCTGCTTAACAACACCGGTGTGTTATCTAACCGCCATGCCCGTTTCTATATCGCCGAGATGTTCTGTTCCGTTGACGCCCTGCACCAGCTCGGTTATATCCATCGAGATCTCAAGCCCGAGAACTTCCTTGTCGATTCTACAGGACACATCAAGTTGACCGACTTCGGTCTTGCTGCAGGTGTGCTCGCCCCGTCCAAAATTGAGTCAATGCGTATCAAGCTGGAAAAAGCATCCGAAAGTGCAGTTCCCTTCGGCAAGCCCATGGATCAGCGAACTGTGGCTGAACGTCGAGAGAGCTACCGGACAATGCGCGAGAATGATGTCAACTATGCCAAATCCATTGTGGGATCGCCTGACTACATGGCCCCAGAGGTTCTTAGAGGGGAGGAATATGACTTCACAGTGGACTATTGGAGTCTGGGTTGCATGCTGTTCGAGGCACTCACTGGATTCCCTCCTTTCGCGGGTGCCACCCCGGATGAGACGTGGCGTAATCTGAAGCACTGGAAGGAGGTGCTGAAGAGACCTGTATGGGAGGACCCCAACTACTTCCTGAGCAACAGAACTTGGAATTTCATCTGCACGTGAGTAAACTGCACACTTTTGATGCCTGGCCATGGCGAGCTGAAGCTGACTGACTATCCCTTAGATGCATCAACTCTCGCACAAGACGATTCTCGAATATCAAAGATATCTATGCTCACCACTACTTTGCCGAAGTTGAATGGGATGTTTTGCGACAAACTCGTGCGCCCTTTGTACCAGAGCTGGACTCGGAAACTGATGCGGGCTATTTCGATGATTTTACCAATGAGGCTGATATGGCCAAGTACAAGGAGGTTCATGACAAACAACAAGCTCTCGAGACAATGGCTGAGCGTGAAGACCAAATGAGCAAGAGTCTCTTCGTCGGATTCACGTTCAGACATCGCAAACCCGCAACGGAAGAAGGCGGGAGCCCCAGAAAGCGCATTCCCACTGATGAGACGTTTGGGACGATGTTCTAGGACGAGCCCCAAATTCCTCAGAGCGTGGTTGGCTGGCGAGGTTTTGTCAGTAGGGGAAAAGCCCTCTTCTGAAGTGATACGAGCGGGTTGCCCCAGGTCCTTATTTTCGGGTCTTAGGGTGTGACATGCATACCATTATGAGGATTCTTGATGTCTTTGTTGGTGCTTGACCCCCTAGTGCTTTTCTTCTTCGATGTTGCTGTATTATCACTTTTGATATTGTATTCGACACTGCAAGTCCTGCAGTTCTGTTTTCGTGCTATTCATTTTCGGCAGGCAGGAGTTCTATACGGACCAGGTTTTTGTGTACGGTCCGTTGGTATGGAGTCTGCGAGTTGTCAGGCGGCCCACGATAGTTGAGGTTATGTATGTATGTTTTGAGATTAGTTTCCCTCCTGACTTTGGCAGGTATGAGGACAGGGGGATCCCGAAAATAGAAAAGCCAATGCCTTCGTATTGGCTTTGCGAAGCAAGGAGCAACTAATTCTGACTCGACAAGACCGTTTTGTGAGAGCATGTTCGCCTTTATGTTAGCCACATATACCAATCAACCTTACATGCCACTGCCCATTTCAGTATCTACTGACATAGGAATCGAGATCACAAGGACATGCATTTGAACCTCGAGATGCTCGATCTGTTTTCTCGTGGTACTGGTCCCAAGCATTCTCAAACCTATTCGGCAGTTTCATTGATTTATCGTGCGTGGGCCGCCACAAGCAAGGAAGGATTTGTGAGAGAATGAACAAGAAGTATATAATAGACTTAAGTGGTATCATCAAACCTCTTTCAGAGGGTGTGTTCATTGCGAAGTCCTGTCCCATCCATCAAATTTGCAACATCAGAAGCCCTCCCATTCGCTTGTTTCCAGGCCATCTATAAGAAATAATAAAAATGAAACCCTCGGCCAATCGTCAGATCTATAAGTAGACGTTTGGAATGTTGGAAAATTGTCGTGATAACTGCGCCATTTCTCGACAACATGCAGTTTTTGGCATGTGCATGATTACCCAGTAATAACCACATACCAAAAGGCCATTCCCTCCATAAAACTCCAGCAACATCGGAAGCGATACAATCCGCCACAAGTTAACACATCCAAGTAAGGTATCAATCCGTCATATGATCAAGTCTCAAAGAAAACGCCACCATCTAAAACGCCCCGAAATCATGCCCTATTTCGTTAAAGTGTATCGTCCGCAAAATTTGTACCGCCGTTCAAGGCGGAGCTTCCAAAATCTCCATCATTACCATCAAAGCTAATTGATTCTGTCTTGTTGCGATCACAGGCTCATCGTCAGCCATTCCCATTCTTGAGGACCGGCAGAGCTACCAATCAACGAGCTTGTTTGCCCACCAGACATGCTGATCATGCCGGTAGCCGACCCTAGCGTACTGGGTCGCTGGTTCAAGTTGAAGCTGCTGGCGGACATGCCACCAGGCAAACTCGAAAGTCCAGCTGAGGAGCCGAAGGGACGCGGGCCGTCGATAGAGCTGGTTGAATCGGGACTGTCGATATCCATCGATACTGGCACATCTCCTCCAATGCTCTTGCTGTGGCGGCGTTGCCGTTTTGAAGAAGCAGTGGCGGGACGCTGCATTGACATTGATGAGGCACCAGGTCCAGGGCTAGTCTTTGGGGGCGCAGCCGCGATGGGGATAACCCCTTTACCACCCACAGCACCAGAAGAGGGTCCTGGACCAGCAAAATGACTGTTTGGAGTGCTTCCAGCGGTGTTGGCACCCGATGTAGTACCGCTTACTGGGCTATCGATATCCTTACTGCTAGCGGGTTGACTAGTAGCAGGTGGTGTCGTTACCTTGGGTGTCGGGTTGCTGCTGTTTGGTTTGGTGCTATTTGCTGTCGCAGTGGACATCGACAAGGTCGAATTTTTGCGAGAGTTCAGGGCACTCGCCGTCTTCTTAGACCTCGTACTGCTCCCTCCAACTGGTACGTTGGTCCCGGAACCACGATTTCGCTTCTTAATCACGTCCGTCTTCAAACTCAACGGTCTCACCACGCCATGCAACTTCAGGAAAAGACCACAGGCGTTACACAGTGGTTGGCCTTCAGGGTTTCGTCTCCACAAAGGCGTTGTCTGGGTGAAACAGTTCGTACACGTGGTCGGAGCATTTCCGTCGTTCCCATTGCCGGCAGCTGTCTGCAAGTTGGTGGTTGAGCCCTGCTTTGACATGGGAGGCGAAGATGGTCTGCTTGGAGCCACAGATGAGAATCCTGACATGGTCCCGTTTCCATCACCAGCAGGAGAGCTTTGCATCGATTGTGCAAGCTGCTCAAAGCCATTCTGTTGTCCGCCAAAGTGAACTGGCGTAGATGCATTTCGTGGTAATTTAGGATGCTGTCTCCTTAGGTTTCCTCCTCTGAAAGACTGCGACTGTGATCGCTCAAGGCCGTTCGATTCCCAGTCTCCATTATTATCGACAAAATCAGTTGTTGTTCCTCCGATCATCACCTGCTTGCGAGTTGGTCCGCCGGGGAAACGAGCTGCTTGGGTGCTGAACTGGCCTGGCAGGCTGGCATCCCAGCCCATCGCTCCCGACTCATCAAGTGATGAAGACATATCCTTTTGCATTGAAACATTACGATCAGCAAATGCGTTGTTATCCTCATCATCGGAGTCGGCTCCGAAAGAAAACATGTTATCCTGCGGCATCTGAATCGTGGGTGAAGTGACAGCTTGTTCGTTTTGGAACACCTGAGAAGGGTCAATATGCCCAAATGAGCTAGGAGCAGTGCTATATGCAGACATTGACTCCGATGCAGTTCCCGGAGCAGAGAACATAGTGCTGCCGCTGTTGCCGTTCGCGCCGCCATACATGAACTGCTGGCTAAGCATACTGCCAATGCTCTGCTGAAAGCCCTGAGGGCGTTGCGCTCGCCCATCCTGGGAGCCAAAATAGAATCCTTCCTGCTCAGGCACAGGATGAGGGGTCGAGACATTCGAGGGGTACGCAGACGCTGGTGGCGAGTAAAAGTCGTTATTGTTGTTGTTGTTGCTGCTGTTGTTGTTGTTGTTCATAGATGCTGAAGGGACAGATGAATTGTGATACATGCCAGAAAAGGGACCATGGGGTATCATAGGTGATGTTGAAGGAGAAAACGAGAAGTTCTGTTGGAAATTTCCATTGTTGACCATGGAGTCATTTTCCATAAAAGTATCGAGGTTGAAGGGAACATTGCTGCCATTAGACTGCTGAGGGATGCCGGCCTGGTTGGGCTGGTCTAAGGAATAGTCATGCAACTCCGAATCAAGATCCAGGTCATTCTGCGCGGCAGTGCTGTTAACAGCTGGGACTTGGGGGGAGAAATTGGCAGGGCGCTTTCGAGCCTGGTTGTGAAGGTTAGCAGTCGAGCGCGAAATAAGCGTGCTATCACATGTAAAATAAAAAGTAACATAAATTTGGAGTTTTGCGACGGACGAATGGCAATATGCGATGCTAGTCACACAAAGAGGAGGGGGAATAAGAGTTACTCACCCTGCGGTCATCGATGCTCGTTTTTCGAAGATGACGGTTCACATAGTTGAATTCGCTACCCTGAGTAGCCTGGTGAACTGGCTGGACGGGGACCGACTGTGGGACAAAAGTCTGGTGCGATGGTTCCTTGCGGGATTTGATTGGGATGGCCGACGCCATTGAATTGCCGGACCTATCGTCAACCATTTTATCGCCTTCAGGAGACGCAAAGTTGATAGGCGAGCCAGAATTGTCAGAAAAAATGAAGTCGTCAAGATTCATGGCATCAGGTTGAGCCATATTGTTTTCAGAAGACTTTCTCAGCTGGGCAATGCCGCTGGGAGAGCTTTGCATCATTGGGCGTCCAAGTCTGAAAGCCCTGGTCAGCACGTCATGGTCCAAATGTGAGAACGTGATTCGAAGCACAAATGATGTTGCAGGAATAAAAGGTCATTTACATACCGGCTGCTGGCGTCCATGTTCTTTTTTCTTCGAGCATCCGCCTCGTCTTGCCTCTGCTGCTGCTCTTCCCTGTGCCTGCGTATGTTGAGAGCCATCATACGCCAAGTCAGATTCTCCATGCGGTGCTGGCTAGGAAGCTGGTGCTTGGTCCTCGCGAAGAATTTCCAGACCTGAGTCGCAAGCGGATCATCCTGCTGCATCCTGTCGATACTGCGATCGGAGTCGGCCAAGCCATTCTGGAGAAATGGGAAAAGGGCGCTGCCGCCCAGGCCCTGCCGGGCAAGGGAATAGGTGGTGGCCATGTCGGTCTTGTGCTCCTTGAAGCTGGCCGAAGCGTCACGAGGGTTTGGGATGCGGTTCGAGTTGCCGCTGCGCTGAGTGGGAGCGTTGTGAATAGCAGCGCCAGGCCATGCACTTGGCCTTCTTGGAAAACGAAAGTCGTGCTCTGTTATTGTTGGGTTCATTGTTAGAACAGGACTTGAGGTTGCGATTGAGACAGATGTGCTCATGGAGGAAATATTGGCCGGCTTGTGGTGGAGCGAGGGTTGGACGGGCTATGAAAGAGGGAAGAGAGTATGAGTGAGGGTGAGCGAGAGGCTGAGGTGACGAAGAGAAAGGCCCCCCACGTAGTGGCTTTAGTAGGAGGGTGTGAGAAGGTTCGGGTGTGGGTTGCACTGGTGCAGCTGCTTGCAGTCCAGATGCCGCTCAATAATTTACAGCGAGTATGGGAGGATGGCACTGTAAGTTACAGAACCTAGCTGCAGCTGCAGCTCTAGCTATAGCTGAGAGCGGTAGGGCCCTGAACAGAAATCCAACCTCGCTGAGATCAGGGCAACCACCTCACCACACCCAAAAGCGGCCACCTCAGACCGACTGGGATGCACCAGGTTCCGGGCGGGGTGGGGTGCTTGTTTTTGGGGGATGCTCCGGGGGCTCCAGTGGGCACCCGGCGTCAGTGAAGAGCGGGCGAGCGGGCGCTGTCCACCGGAGGAGAAAGCCCAGAGCGATTGAAGGGGTCGGGTGCTTGGTGTAGATGCAGAGGAACAATCGAAGATGAGAACGTACGTTACCTAGGTACCTTATGTTCAAGTTGACGATGTATGTACTACGCACTGTAAGTGCTGGTGCCGGTAAGGATATACTTGTGTCGTCGAATGAAAAGGACTGACTGGCGGAAGGACGAGATGACGAGAAAGCCAAAAACTTAGATGTAGAGGGGGGGAGGGATGCGGAGGGTTTTGAGAGTTGAGTTGAGTTTCGTCGAGTCGAGTCAAATCGAATCTGAGGTTTACAAAAGGGTAATATTCATCGAACCGATGGAGAGAAAGAAGACAGAAGGAACAGAAATGATTGGCTCGTTTATTTCCGTACAGAGAGTAATCAATCGTTAGTGCCCCACGTTACTACTGCCAGTCTCAGCAGCGAGCGCATCCATCGCACATCGACCCCCGGACAGAAACCAGAGCCAGAGCCAGAGCCAGAGCCAGAATTAGACTAGACGAGGATGAGGATGACGGGTATTCGCCAAGCCTTTCATCGTCTCGACAGGTACTGTACCCATCACAGCGGATCCCGCCACAACACTTAGGCCCGAATCGACAAAGATGAGCCTGCTACTTTGCTACTGCGACGGCTGAACTCGATGCGCTTGGAAGAGTCACTGAGAGGACAAGGGAAAGCCGCAATCGCATCGGGTCCAATCCAATCGATTCAAGTTTAAAAAACCGCCCACCTGTGGATATACACTAATGCGCTACCGATTCCTATAACCGGACCTCCACGTCCCCTCCAGAGGATACAAACGTACATCCATGGAGGCCCATCGATCAACTACGGAGTCCAGGGAGCCATGGCCGCCGATTGTTGACGAGTGCTTCAGATTTCAAGGGTCCAGGCCCATTTTCTACATGTACGTATGCCACGGAAAGTGGTCGCGGGAACGCCACATGGAGCAGGGACGAGCATTCAGAACTTTGCCTTCGTCCGAACCCCCAGGCCACGACATTGTGTGTAAGTCAGTGTACGGTCGACATCTGGCTGAATACCTCGAAAGGCCATATACTTACTTGGAGGGAATTGATTGGGATTTTCAGGCGCTTATTGAACCCATCTTCCTAATTAATTCACCAAAAAAGACAATTCCTGTTGCACCTTGTCTAAGGCAGGTATCTAATCAACCTCCTTTTATCGTGATCCTGAAAATCTGTCTCCGCGACCTCGGCGGAACTTCCTTCTCTGTTTTCCCCTCATACCTCGACCTCCTCCGAGTGCGGATGCGTCTTGCAGCCAGATGGGATAGTGCCTTTCAAAACACCAAGGCTCAGGCAGGTAGGTAATTTCATGCGTGGCTTCAACGCTTGGAAAGGAACGCTGCTCATTTGTCTTGTTGGTTGCAAGTCTCGATTCTATTCATTTTCTCTAGTGGAATAAGACAAGAGACAGAAACACCTCATGAGACTCTCAAGGCGTAGCCACCAACAACACAACATGGATGATCACCAGCTCTACTATACAGTACAGCTGACGAACCCCGGGACCATGAGTGGACAGCGATCACTCTTGTTCGGGCAAACACCGCCAACTTAGGACCCACGATGCTGGACTCATCCAGGGCGTCAAGAATCGAGAAGCTGGCTCTTCAGCCGTGTCAATGGTGAAGGGGCGCTAGGCACGTCCGACCCAATGAGCCTTAATTTTCCAAGATTCAAATACTCCTCTGCTCTGCTGGTTATGGAAAATAACACCAGCCAAGCGGATAGACTATCGACCAAGGCGCGATCTATACTTTGGTGTCGTTCTGCAGTGCACATGGCAAGGGCCTGCTCGCAGTTCCGTTAACCGCCTCAAGCATACAACCCGGCCGTTCTCGCAAGCATGGCAGCCTACGCTTGCCCGAATCCGTACTGGTCTGAGTTGACCCTCAACGGCCGGATATCGCTTGTCAACATGTACTTGGTACTCTTCTTGACCAAAACACCAGACTCAAATCCGAGTCATGACGCCCGTTTCTAAGCTATGTTTCGACATTACCTGCTACGAATCGGGTCTGCTTCATGTTGATTTTCAATATCACTGCATGGAATTTGCCACGATTTCGAGCCACCTTGTAGAGCAATTTCGCTGTGTTGTGGCATCGCGGCTGTCACTTACGACGTAGTATGCAAGTTGAAACATATCTGGTAGCGAGGCATCTGTGCGACTTCGGACGATAGCTCAGTTGAGTTTGAACATTGCCAGATTTGTCCATATTGGCGATCGCGTCTGTGGCAATTTGCCGCACCGCTCTCTACATCTCATTCCTTCATTGAGGCAACTTCAGAAATGGATATTGAACATCAGGGAATGAGAGCTTGAATGTATCTGGAACGCTTCATCAAGACAGACCCACGACCGTGCGTGAGCTTGGGCTAGGGGTCGCCCTGGCAGATTTAGGTGGTGGAGCCATCTTGCCAGCCGCCACATACAATTCAGCCCAGCAAGACGATTTTCAGGGTACCTGGTCGCTGGTTGCTCGATACAGACCAAGTTCATGGGCCTGCACATCCGTCATGGCGAAACAAACTGAAACTCTCGTCTTGGGGCCGTCACCTCGGCTTCTGAAGATGTGCCTTCACAAGTGAGGAAAGGATGAACCACACGACGTTAATTCTCCCGTGGTGGCTGCCAACTAAAAGACAAGACCAGAGGCTCTTCAGCAACACATGCCGTCGGTGTGTCCATCCAGACGCTCATTGGACGAGGTAGTTCGTCGCAATTGCGGCTCCGAACCACCTATTTGAGACTTCGTTCTGGAAACATGGGCATCGAGCTGCACACGAACGAGGAGATTCGGGGAATACGGAGCTGGGGGAAATGGGGAGTTGGAGCGCACGTCCAGATGCGCTGTACCACCATTTGTTGGCGGAGAACTCTGGGGACTGTCTAGACTTCGTATCGTGTTACCGGACAAGCATCCTTTCTATTTCCATGAAAGTACACAATTGCAGACAGGTCCCACGAGTCAAAGTACAAGATTTAGGTACCAATCTACTTTGAGGTTCATTCATGGATGTTCTGAAGGACAGGGCATCAGGCACCTAAATTCTTATTCTTCCCTTGGACAGATTTGAACTGACAGGGTTTGATATTGACTTTGGCCAACTTGTGTCTTTTGGGAACCTTACCAACAAGCTCCGAAGTTTGAATGTCTAATGCATTCGATTTTCATTAGAAGAATCAAACATTCAAAACATGCATTAGCCGGGAGCAGCAGGCAAAAGCAATCCCTGGCTACATACAGATGCTTATTTTAGCCGCATGTGTATATCCCGGTGAGCTGCACGACGACGTTAGACGGTTCGAGACAAACAGCATTGAATGGAAGTACTGAAGTTGGTGGAGCGCAATACATTCACACTCACATTCAAACTCACACACACACAGCGAGAGCACTTGCATCAACCCCCACTTCCTACCCACGAGCTGGCAGGGATTTTGACGGGCGAGCTAGGAGGGGTTAGGGGTGCCTTGCAAGTGGTACTTGGGCAGCAGGTATGGTCGTTCCGGTATTTTCCATCGTCATCACCAAGACAATAAGATTCTAGGCTGATGATATACCTTTGATAGACGAGTGTAAGGTTGTTGACAGAGCATGTGCAGAATACAACACAGTCTTTGCCGTGCCTACCATCGTATAACACCACGGCCAGGGACGCAATAACACGAGCTACAGCAATGAAGATTCTCCAAAATCACCACATCGCGATTGGACCCGGAGACTTCTCGCAATAGGTAGCAAATTAACTCTGATACCTAGTACATATTCGATTTGAACGAGATCAAATAATAACACCGAAAACGAATTCTATCCTCCTCGGGCCGGGAAACATGGACGAACGGGAACCCTTGTCACTTTCAGTGCCTCGTTCCTGTTAATGGCTTGCAACCACTCGGCTGTGAGAGGCTCGTGTAAACGTTGCGCCCGCAAATGATTCAAATACTGCACTAAACGACCGAGCATGGTGTCAGCGGCTTGGCCATCCTAGTCATCCATGAGAGTGTGGGTTCGATCTTTAGCCTGTTGCTCAAACAAGCACTGATTCAATAAGTCCACTGATCAATTGGTATCATCGACATCCGGGAAAACAAAGATCCAAAGGCTTTAAAGGCTGTCGCTATAGAAGACTGGAGGCTTGACGACATCCGCCTCAGTTGATTCAACCACTTGATTCATTCACAAGTTCAAGCGCCCGATTAGCACAGGAATAGTGGCCACCACGGGCAAGCAATTCCAACAAAGCAATCATTTATAAAGTATTCACCTGAATCAAATGGGCATTAACTGGATACCTTAGCCCCAATTTGCCTCAAGTCCCCAAGAAAGATGATGGTATTATGGAGAGTCATGCGGGAATAGGTTTCCGTCGAGCCTGAATCGATTTGAACGGGTCATAACGCTCGAGATTCTGCGCAGCTCTCCGCTTCCTGGCATGAAAGAAAGCATGTGTTGATGCAACTTCACTTCCAGCAACGACAGCGGGAACAAAGCTCTATGCATATATCCTTTCCCCACACGCCGCTCAGCCTGCCAGACTGGGAAGTGGTGATCAGGGAGAACAAGGCCGGAGGACCTTCAAAGGGAAACCCGGTGGCAGTGAAGAACAAATCAAGTGGCTCGTTTGATGGGTAACACGATCTGTAACATGTTCAAGGACAGACATTTTGGAGAAGAAGCTCCCAAGCGGATCTCGCACAAGAGAGAGCCCGGAGTGTTGCCCCACTATAGCGGTGTGGGCCAGAGATAGAGACAGATATTAATATGTCATGCCTGCCTGTGTCCCCAGACATTAGGAGTGGGTTGACCGATCAGATCTCTCAGCGCCATTCTCCAACGCCCGCAACAGTCCCCTAGCCCGCAAATCAACATGTGAGATGCACTCGAGCGGCAGAAACCAGCAAGGAAAGTAGGCCACCAGGCCTGTCGTGAGCCATTTGCTACCGGCATGACAGTTCTCTAGCTTCGGTCAAATCCCCGAGAGGCACCTATCAACAGAGACAGTCAAATTTGAGGGATGAGTGCCGCCTCGGTGCAGATTCACTGTTTGAGCCCTCGGGACCGGTTTCTGGCTTCCTTGCATCCGGTGGGAATAGACCTGGGAATCAACTTGAATATTGCTTTGCCTACAGGTGGGGGTCCCAGTTCAGAGTTGGGGGGTCAAGGGGCAAGGACCAAGGAGCATCGTGTGCGAGTGCAGCACTCCGGACGAGACCATGTTATCTCCTATCTCAAGAGGCATGCTGCTCGGCTGACCTTGGCGGTTAAGGTTCCGATCATCAGGCAGGGGTCGAGGGGTTGCCAACGCAGGCGAGTTGGACCATGATGCGCTCATCTCATCGAACTGCAAGAGTATCACCGGTGAGGTTGCTGTCTGGAGGTGTTGCTTGGAGCCCATGTCATGCTGAAGACTCTTTCACCACTGCCAGACTTCTCATCTCAGAGCCAGCAGATGTCGTCTGTGTCTAGTCTGCTTCCCCAGCCGGGCTTGTTTGGGGTCTACATACAGTATGCTCAGAAAGTTGGGTACACAAAATCCGGGGTCCTCGAGACTTTTATGTGTTATCTCTAGCACGTACCAATGCGAGTCATCTCTGCAATCCTACGTGGCTGTTGACCCTCGTCGCTTCTCAAAGGTTCTCAAGGCTAAAGATTAGATAACCAGGTTCCCCAATCATGACCTATGTCTAGCTGTGTATACGGGTTTATCAGTCCGGAGATCCAAGAAACACACTATCCGCATTACAGAACAAACGGCCGCATATCAGTTGAAGCCAGTTGCTCTGTAACCTTATCTCAACGCCATCGCCCTGCATATCTGTGATACCATAGCCTTAAATTCGTCGATGCTGCTGCTTTGTCACTTCTGCTGAAAACAGATGCTGAAGGGACTCTTGTCATACGTCTATTTTTGTTGTCAAAGAATGAGACACGAGCCCCTGTTGGTCTTACAAAATGCTCAGAGGTCAATGCATACAAGACCCTGACTGTAGCCATTCTTTGTTTTCCTCATGCTTAAGGATCTGTACTCTTTGTTGGACGAGACCGATCGAGACACGAAACAATGTTCTAAACTTGGCCCTTTCGAATAGTAATTGGGAGGAACGATTCCCCGAAACGATGCGAGCGAAAGAATCCCCGTACAATAAAATAACAAAGCACCTCGATATGGTCTTTCATGGCGAGCCCTATCATGAGCTCGACTCTTTGTCAACTGAGCCAGGATGATGCTATTCTTGCAATTGCTTTCAACCTTGTAAAGGAAGATCCTTGAGAATGGGACGTCCTACCAAGTGCTTATAGACCGATGAACCCCATGGTTCACGACGAGTTCAGAATGGCCCCGAAGCATATCGACCACACGAACGAAAAGCATGCACATGAACTCTTCGATACAACTCTTGGTATATCTGTTTGTGGTCTTCACCACCCGGTATGCGGGAGCAATGCCAGTAACAACAGGACCTCCAGTGTTGAGCAAGGAAGATGCCGAGTCACTAGTATCCCACGCCCTTGGAAGCTTTACAAACCCAGACCAAAGGAACAAAGAGACCTCGCAAGACAATTATGCAAGAGACTATGCAAGGAGTGGTGCCGATAAAGGAGCAATTGTTGGAGGCACTGTTGCTGGCGGAATCATCATTTGCGTCACGGTATTTTTCGGCGTTCTCATCCTCAAGAAATACCTTGCTCGTCAAGGAAAATACAATAAAAGGGTCGTTGATGGGAAACCTTTATGCCCAGACACCGAAACACCAGGAACAACGTCTAGCACCCCGACCCGTACTCCATGGCGCCAGACGTTCAACCATCGAATATCGGTCCCGTATGCAGACTCTGTCTACTCTCAGAGATCTTTCGGAAACACTGCAGCTGCCACTCAAATGAGTAGGGCCTCAGCCCAACCAATTCCGCTGCCTACTATACCGTCAAAGGCTGCCCAGATGTTAGGAGTCGAAGATACGAATTCAACGCCTCTTGCAAAGACACCTCTTTCTTCGCCTCGCTTGCTAATTACACCTCTTTCGGAGAACTTTATGCCAAAGACTCCTATTCTTCAATACTCTTCGTCACAGAGTTCTCCGGAGCAAAGCCCTCTACGGAGGAACCCTCCATTGCTGCCCCCTCCGAAGAATCCTCCTCCTCAAGGTCCGCTGCCGCCTGTCCCTACCTATGAGCCACCAGCTGTTGGGGTGTCCAAGCAATCCAGAAGCCCCCAGAATTGCACATCTTCCGTTTGTACCATGAGTACTCTTGGTATGGAACTTCTCCACGATGTGATGCAACCCCTGGAGTCAACCACATTCAGCCCACCCCCTGAAAAGGCGTCCTTCCTTCGTTCACCACCACCAATTTCAAAAACAAATAAGCTACCTCCAGTAGCTATGAACAATTCCAAAGGGCAGAATAGAGTGCCTAGTAGACGATATTTTGTACCGTTGTTCAAGAACAATGGACAGCTGCCGAGTCCAACATCGCCTGGTGAGGGAGTGCTTTCAGAACCAGGGACAAGGAACAGAACGAAGAATATTATCAATTCCAAGGCTGAAACAGTCTTACGAGACTCTTCTAGGGCGGAACTATTCTCTCTTGGCCACAACAAAATATGAGCCTCGCAGGCCGAGGCTAGGTGGAATCCATGACATTAATGAACGTTTGTTCAGGCTTATACCGACTATACCAAGCATGGTTTATTGATCCAGAATTATATACTACTTAATACACCAACCTTTCCTCTTTACTCCACAAAGTTTTACCATCAAAACAGCTTCTTTACTGCCCCAGTATTGCTCTTCGTCTACTTTGATCTCTGTCTTCACCATTTGCGGAGTCTTGTGGGAGCCCATATGACTTAATACACAGTCTACGGAGTATCCATCTACTCAATCAATCCTGTCTAATTTCTTCAACACTGCCAAAGGCATATATCTATCGCAGTTACACCTGCCCGAGACAGACTGATTCTGGTCAACCCTCGTATTTGTCAAAACCCCCGTACCAGCTTGAGCACAACCGTCGTTTCGACAAAAGGCCCTGCCACTCGGCTACATCTTGGAATATGCCAGAAGCTGATGATGCGTATAGATCTGATAATTCCCTTAGCTAAGCGAGCCACACATTATAAAGTGATATTTCGCAAATCTTTGTGAAGAGCACCTCAGCCAGAATATGGATCAGGGGTTCCTAGGTAAAAGCTGGAAACAAGGCCGGAAGCTAATGGCAAAGCCCTGTAATTTCCCTTTGTACTTCACTCTTATAATCATCACCAATATTTATTATATTCTCCAGTTCCTTGCTAGGCAGCTTAACTCACCCACCACTCTGTATACCTCTACTCTGTTGTGAAGGACGGATGAGCTGGAACCTGAAAGATGGCTCTCATAGCAGCTTCTACATGTATAAGTAAAGGTATCGTCTGGAATCTTCCATTAAGACTGATATAGGACAGTTTCCATTACGGTTCAGCCTATAACACACATGAACGCTAAGTATATTGGTTCCGCATCGCTCGGCCGCTGTCAAGGCCCGCTCAGCCACATATGCTCCAACGCATGGATGGAATATCAATTCTGGAGGTCGACCATCACTTTAGAGAGCCTTAAAGCCCGGTTTAACAAGCCCTGGACCTGTTCTCGGGACCTGTGAATGCCTTGCTGCCTACTGAAAAGGGGGATCGCATCTTGGGTATAAGGAGGCCTCGCTTTGCTCTCAGGTATCTAAATCAACTATAAGGCTGCAAATTAATAGATGACAAGCAAGTGGTCTTTTATAAGCTGTCTCCATATGCCAGCTCAGCATCCTAGTGTCGAAACACAAGTTCCACTTCTATCTGCCAACCACAAACATGCTGTACAAGACCTCACCTATCGTGTCTAAGCGACTGTATGATCGCACCGAAACAAACTCTATTGACAACCTTTGAAGCCCGCCGATCGTCCCACCAGACTCATATCATACACCGTAACTGGACGCCCACGCCATATATCTCTTTCACTTCCTCACCAGAGGCACTCGAGAATTTGGCCAACTTCAGAAAGTCTCACCCCAGAAGAAAGCGTCAGACAGTTACTGTAGTCGATCCTGCAGTTCGACTACCATTTCCTATGGTGAAGAAAAGGACTGTTACCGCATTGAAATCCCATATGGGATACCACACTGGGAACTCAAGGCTCACCACCTATGCCTCTGGACAGTCAAAGCAGAAGAAGTCGTTCAGCATTACGACTGGGACAAGCTTTTTTCGGACCCCAACTGGTATCATAATATTGTCCGCCCGGATATCAAGAGGTTTCGTGAAGAAAGGCAGCGCCGGGAGCAGGAACAGGTTCAACATCGGATAGACGATATATCAGCCGCTTTTGGTACCCTACCTTGTGAGTATCCTCCATTATGCTAAATGGAAATGTTCGTTGACTGTGTTAGTGGATGGCTCTTTATCACCGAGTTCCTCGACTGCCTCAGACCACAACACCGACAACGAATATTGGGAAGACACGGACCGCAACCAACCCACTAAGCAACATATTCAGTCGTTTCTATGAATAAGAGCTCCTTTTCTCTCTGATTACAGGTGTGTATGGTTAGAGCTGGGGGTTTTCAAGACGTGGTTGAGGTTATCATTTGAGTGTTTTGTTGTTTTTGTCACCGGTATCAGATTGTGATATGAGGGAGGTGGATGACCTTAGACTCAACTTATGCTACTTCGAACAATGGATTATTAAGTCTTACGGAGCTTGCCGAGCTTAAACTACGCATTTCAACAATCATGGAAGAGATTACTCATTGCTTACCATCGCACCCACAGTGATACTGTCTTAAACATCTCTGTGTTCATCACTCTAAGTGTACCCTCTAGTCGCTCCGGATTTCATTTTCCTGCCTTGAAGAAGACATCTGGGCTAGTTCAAGCCATGAGTCATGAACTGAGAAGATCAATTACTTCCGGCGCATTCCCGAATCCCCATTCTCAAGGAGTCAAGGGTTGAGGATTTCTTAGTGTTTGGAGGCGTTACTTTAGCATTGCATGAATCAGGCGAATAAGCAGGTCAATATCGAAGTATAATGTGTAATGGGGTATTGTTCCAAATATGCTCACAATAATAAACAAGTTAACCATGAATACCGGACATCTTGTGGTTGTGCCCCTCCTCCCCTGATTGCCTCCAAACCCACCCAGTCCAGTTATATATGATCCTTCTCTTCCGACTAGACATTTGTGAAAATGCCGTTAGTATGAATAATGTGTGTAAAGATATGATTATATCCCTTCAATGTTACCCCCACGGAGAGAAAAACGTCCTCGCGAGTGAAGCATCCGCCAGTTGTTGTAGGTTCAAATGAATGAAGTGCCCCTGCAAACGCGAAGCTCCCCTTCGTGTTGGTGATTTACTTGGTTTGTACCGCGTTGTTACAAATTAGCGTTCGTTTCTCTGATGCGATGCCCCTTGTAACCAGAGGCAGGAAGGGCGTCTAGCCGTAAAACATGACCGAACGCCGTAATGAATGAAGTAGAGGCCGTTTCTCATCGTCCTTGCGCTGCTACTACTGCCGTATCTTGATCGAAATACATGCTCGAGTGCGGCGGTTGAACAGTGACCAGGAAACGCGGTGCCAGTGCATGCCGGATTAAGCAGGCTGGTACCGCAGGGGTTGTTGGACAATCAGTTCCTTGGTGCAGACTCTTCGTAGTATTGAGGCCGATAAATCTCGGCGTTGGCGTGCAATTCGTCGACTGGCTGTTTGTCGGTCGACTTTGAGACGCAAAAGGCCTGCAGTGAGCCTCGATCGGCCTCTATCCGATGACAACTCGTGCGCCTTCTTTGCCCAGCACACCCCTTTCTTTCGGCTTGGGGCTATTTGTGCGACCCTTCTTGCCCTTGAGAAATCCAAACATACCGCCAGAGCCTTCACTCTTGCCGTCGCCAATATTGTTAGCATCTGTAGGCAAGGTTGCATCCTGGCGAGCTAGTTCAGACCAACTACCGCTGCCATCAAGAGTTACTTGTACGCCCCCAGTAGGACTTGTCATCCGTTGGCCGGCGACAATCGGGACATGGCGAGCTCGGAAGTCATTCTGCAGTGGAGGTGGCGGAGCAGGGCGTACAGGGCGTCCCTGCCGGCTTTCATTACTGGTACTTGGGTTAAGAGGTGATGACTGATAACCTCCATTGACTGCGGGCATAGGCGTTGCTTCATCCGTTGTGATCGCTTGAGGAGCGTTGTCCGAGTCGGGATGCCCTTCTGGATTGGCACCAGCGCCCTCAGTGATTCTGTTCAAGTTAGTAAATCCATCTCATAGCAGCCAGTCTAGGAGGTCATACCGTTTGTAAGCAGCCACTGTATAGTCGAACGGCTTGAAATCTGTCTCAATCATGCGATACAGCTCGTCTTCCCTGATCTCTTTCTCAGTCGCATCGTCCTTTAAACGCTCTCGTGGTTTCTGGCGTCTCGCACGGGCTTCGAGTGGAGCCTCCTCTAATAGCAACTCTTCGAGGTCGTATGTGGCATCGAAATTGGTCTTCTCGGATGAAGGAACAAATATGGGTTCGATTCTCTTAAGTTCGAGTAGTTCGAAATCAAAACACTTGAAGAATTCGTTTTGTGTGAAGCTCTCCCATGTTGAACCCATTCGAGTTTCGCGGTTCGGGTCGAGCGCGGAGCCGATTGCGTAGAGGCAAGCGAGGGATACAGGCGGTTGCGTAACGGGATATTTGGGAGAAGCGGCCTGGATCTGTTGACTGAGAGATCCTTCTGAGCCGCCTTCGAATGGGCGCTATATCAAATGAGAAAAGACGTATATATGACTGGTGCAGTTTGACAAGCTTACCTTGTTGTAGATACACTCGTAAAAGAGAACACCTAAGGACCACCAATCTGCCCGCACATCGTATCCTTTGCCAGCGTAAACTTCAGGTGCAAGATAAGCCAATGTGCCGGACTTGCTAGTAAGTGTCCTTCCTGGAACGACGTCGGAAGCGACGTTCTATTTTCGTTAGTTTTAGCGGCATTTGAAGGGGAGAAGAGCGTACAAAATCAGTTAAATGGACATGGCCATCCGCATCAAGCAGGACATTGTCGGGCTTGATATCTCGATGGATGATATTTTGACTGTGCACATATCGCAAAGCACATCCAAGCTCGGCAATCCAGAATCTAACAGCCTCTTCGGTAAAGGTCTTTCTCGAAATATGAAATCGCAAATCTCCGCCAGTCATTAGATCAACTACCAGATACCTGTTATCGAATGTGAGCTAGCACTAGACGGTGTAGATTACAGGAGGGCGTACATGTACTCAATATCTTGAAAACTGTATCTCAAGTTGCAAATGAAAGGATGGTTAACATATTCCAGCATTCGGCGTTCGCGGATGATGTTTCGCACGCTTTCGGATCGTACGACTGCGAGGTTGAAAAGGATCAGCATTGTGTCACAGAGATGATAACAAATTCCATCAGATTGATTGTCACCGATGGAAGTGGTACATGGATCAAGACCGCGGATCCAAAGCCAAGCGTATGATCAGTGGGGAGCGTCCTGAACTTACCTTCATCTTTACGGATATATTTGAGGGCAAAGGACAAGTTCGTATCCTTCCGCTCAACAATTCGCACCTTTCCAAAGGCACCTCGGCCGACGACTCGCAACAGGCGGAAATGATTCAAGTTCACTACAAAGCTGTCAGCATCACCCACCAATCACAATGTCATAAAGTTAAGCAGCAGAAGCATGTGAGGTTGCGTGAGCAAAAGACAGAAAATTTGGTCGTGAAGAGCGTGGTAAGAGGTTGCATGACACACGTGGGAGACAGGATGGCGCCAAGTAATATGCGGCTGAAAGACAGCAAATGGCATGCAGGATGACGGGAATCCCAGATAAGCCAATGGCGACATAGATTTGGGGGGGGCGAACGACAGCAGAAACAGATACAAAGAAGCTTCTGATCTGAGCTCCTTGACGTACCTTCGCCGTTCAGGTCGACGGGCTTTCCTTGGCCATTGCCCATCGCGAGGGGATCGATATGTTGGACAACGTTGAATTATCGTGAAAGATAGCAAAGTCCCATGCTGAGTCTTGAATCTAAGGAATGGATCGGGGGTGGAGTTGGAGCGCCGTGGTAGTATCTCGCAGGGCACTGTATCTTGCGGTGTAAATCGTGGAAATCAAAATTCGATTCGAGAGAGGCTGTATTGATGGCAGTGGGTTCGATGATGTTGATAGCGACGACGACGATGATGATGATGGCAAAAGGATCAAAGTCGCAGGGGTACAGCAGCAGAAACAAATGCAGCTCAAAAGTCAGCGAAGCAAGATGAGGCTTGGCTTGGCTGGGTTTGGACTGGCCGGGCGCTTGTGAAGTCGAATCGAATCGGGACGCGGACAGAGCAGGGTCTGGACCTTAGCGGACAACGTAAAGCACGGGAGGCGAGAATCGGATTTTTCTTGTAGTGCAGTTCAGTCCAACTTCGGTCTTTTGGGGGTTTGAGACGTCGTTCGGAGGTTGGTGGCGGCGGGAGGTCAAGGGGACGGCGTGCGACTTTGGACCGACTTTCTTGGGGAAGAGAGAGGGGAGAGAGGATGGTCTTTTGAGGGGGAGAAAAGGAGGCCCGGTGAAGAGGGGGCTTGTGGAGGCGTTTCGAGACGTGGGATGTCAAAGTGCTCTAGTTCTAGCTGAGTTGCCTAGCAGACTAGACTTGTTAGAAAAGGAAAAAAAATGTACTGTTGGTGAAAATACAAGATGGAGAACAGTACGGCAATAGCGGAAGGGAAGTGGTCTAATATGGACAATAATGGCGATACCTAGCGGTAAAGACCTTTGACTAAGTGAAGTTTGAGAGTTTGGTTGGATGGATGGATATTCCAGGGAGAGGAAGAAGAAGAGTCAATGGAACAAATGGAAATGGAAGGTCTTGGTAGGAGTCAGTACCTATTAATCAAGGTGCCGTAGCTCAGTACAGGTAGGTCACGGTAGCGGTAGCGGTAGCGGTAGCGGTAGCGGGCAGCTGTGCTAAAGGGAGAGGGGGTCCCTGTGTTTGAAAGGTGTTGACCCGATGCTGCACATTAATCTACAAGTTGTCGAATCAATAACGATTCCTACTACAGACACGGAAACATGACAGGAGAGCCACACCGTCAAACAAAGAACTAATCAACTAATGATGCCACTCTGAGCTTTCAGGGCGTACATGTCGGGTCCCGTCCCTGACGAGCCGTACCAGTACATGCTTCAACTCCTTAGAAACGGGAGTGCAGTACAACACGGCCGAAAGTGATTCATGGTCTGTGCCTATTTAATTCCGTCCTTCTTGCAAACTCAAGTGGTCTGTCGTCTGTATGTATCTCTAGTTCCCTTGCAATCCAATGTAAGAGAGCACGGACAACTGCATCCGTTGGCAGGGGTCCAGAATAATGAAAAAGCTAAGAGCCGGAGCAACAGCACGAAAGAGGTCAGAAAGCCACGTCCAGAAGAGCAGTGATTTTCGTTTTTCTGCTCGCTTGTCAGATATTAGCTCTGCCTAACTCTTGACATATATCTGGTTTATCAACGGGGGAACAGGGGGGTTTTCAAGCCAAGATGCTAGCTTATCAACAGATGGCGTCGAGTTGACTCCAGAAGAGGAATTCCCGTCGTCTGGTGTAAGACGGAAGATTCGACTTGACTCGACTTGGTGGATGCCTTCAAGTGCTAGGAGGTATAAAACAACAACTAACTTGCAGACGATGCTTGCTATGACTAGTAGAACAGTCCTGCACTGCAAAGTACCAGAACCGACAATTGCCATTACGGCACACAGAACCAAGTGTGGGCTAAATAACCGACCAACGATGGTGACCGGTGGCAGTCCAGCCAGAAAAAAGCGCCTGGTTGTTTGTTAGCATGGGATGGAATGGCTTGGCTTGGCTCGTGGGATATAATGGCATGAGAATTCGAGAATGACTAGAGAAATATCATGGTATGACTTTACTTTATGATCTATCAGAAGATATGTTGATGAATGAACCTGGTTAGACTGCTCAGGCTACTTGAGAATGATGTTTGAAGTTGTCCATCTCTATATAGCCTTATGTTGAGATATTCCACAACTCCCGTAAAAGCAGCCTTCCCTCTCTCTACCAACTCTATCTTGACCATCTCACATCACCAAAGATGCCGTCGTTGCATTGCATTGCATGGGTGAGTTCGTCTCTCTCGCTATTCCCATTTTCGTGCTCAGCTGGCTCAGAGTTGAGTTCGTTCATCTGGCCCCAGACCATGACAAGGGTCCTGACTCTTGTAAAAGAGCCAGCCAAACAAGACAGGGGACTGTATGTACGACCTACCCTGGTTCCACTGTCGTTCAAAAAGAGCCCAGGGTGAGAGAAACGTCCTGCGTCCCTAGGTGCAGCAGCGTTGACCTGCAATGTAACTATGCTAAAGGTGCACTATACCGCCAAAGATCATCACCACGTCCATCTCCTTTTTTTTTTTTTCTTCCCTATTGACAAGTAGAAACACGCAGTTTCATATTCATATAATTTTCATTGCTTCAGGAAGCCACACACAGTCGGCATGTTTCCCTCTCTACGGTTACCGCTCACTACCACCTTGCCTATTCATCCATAACATAACCTTACATTACTGACTAACTGATTACCTCTCCTCTTGTTCGGCGTGTCCGAAGGGGTAGTGCTTGTGGATAGGCGGCGCGTGGCGGAAACCAGTCTAACCACTGATCAGCTTGACAACTCGACTAAGACGAGACCATTTCGTGCCCCGTCGACACAAGATCGAAAATACGCAGTTAGTTGTATCTCAAGTACCTTTCGACATGTGCTTCACGATGCAGACCATTTCCGACCTTTATCGCCGAGGCGAATCAGCTGCTGGGAGTGTGAGAATCCCCTAATACTCACTGAAGCCGTGCTCGAGATCTACATGTCGATACATGCTAATAATGTTGACTTGGCGGTCTTGCAAGTGCACAGCAACCAACCAACTTGACCTTTGTCGCTTATTGGCCAATTGGCTAGTTCTGTTTTAATCTTGTTCTATATTAATGCTTGTTATTGAGGAATTGGGATATGGCATTCACACGTTCAAACTCTCGGATTCAATGTTCCCATTGCAGAACTCAAAACTCCGATCTTGGCTCATATCGACACGGTATTGGTCCTTGAAATAATCGCAATTGGCCAGCTGAGCAAAGATGTGCTCCGCCTCAGCTCAAATTTCAACCTCGGATTTACGGGATGCCTAGGTTCGCCGGAGAAGCATTCCCCTTTTCGCCTGGACTCAATACAATAGCACTCTGCTACTAGTGATCGTCTCCAATGTTTGAGCTCCTGATGCTTCGTGGCGTAAACCAATATGGGGGGACCAACAGCAGAAAACCCGACAAAGGCCGGACGGGCGGCCAGGTACGAAAAGACTAGGGGAGAAGCTGACACACGACGATCAAACTACTTCCTCTGTTAGGGGTTGATGGAGACGGAGACGTGGAGTTCTTGTTGGTCGCAAGGTTGACAGGGTCATTTGACATCGCTACCGACCAACCAGCAACGACAACTCTACTGCACCCTATCCAGCTCGTTGGGCCTTTGATGCGTTCTCAGATCTCATCCAAAGAACGGGCCCCTGCATGAACAAGAGCGACTACTGTAGCTATGTTTGCTTCACAAACAGGCCTGGTTTGTGTTTGTGTGACCCTAACGTCGTTCTGGAAGTCTTCTTTCGGCTCACATGCTAATAACACAAGACGGCCCAGTACCGGTGCATATGCATGAGTCCTTCAGTTATGAGTTGGATTTGGATTCTGCAAACGCCGTTCATGTGCAGATAAGCGACGGAGATGCCCGTAGTCGACAACGATGACCTGTCGTGTAAAGGGACACGGTGGCGTGCCTCATGACTTAATAACCAAGCAGCCAAACCGGTGCTAGCTTGGCCTGCCGCGTTCCGATGCACATAGACCGGCTTTCTTTGCCATGTTTGGACTGACGTGTATTTCACTTGCTCACTGCTCATAGGGAGACACTGACATAGGGGAGCTGAATACAGCTGCCTGGAAGCTTTTACAGGTCAGAGATGATGTGTTCTGCAGTATCGCAATACCATGGTACGTAGGTGCAAATTGCACATATCTCACTTACACCGATCCCTTGCCAAGGTGCTAGATTGTATTGGAAGGTGGACACAACGCAACGGGCTGCCAATTACACCAAGAAAAAGCAAAGAAGCACCTGTAGCACCAACAGTTGTACCTGTACCACCATCTCGGGCCCCTGCTCCAGCTTCCAACGGCGCCGCCTCTTTGATGCAGGCCAGCCAACCAATTTCATTTTGGAGCAGCCGCATCAGCATTCAAAAGATCCCTTGGGAGCTAACGGGCGGATAGGTGCTGAGGTGCACAGAGATGGAGGTGCCTCAACCGTGTTTCAAAGCCTGTAACCTCGGCGGTACTTGCGAAGTTAGGTATGGATGCTATGTCCCAGCCTCTGAACGTCATCACAGTCACAAGGCTGCCGAAGACGTTCGTCTGGTCCCCCTGTCCCTGATACCGTTCCAGATGCCGACCCATGTTTGCTGATCCTCCTATTATTTAACGCCGCAGCCGTTTTCAAAGTCTTTCGTGTTGGTTCAATGAAGTCTTTGTCATGATTGCATAGGTATCAAGTCCAAACCTAGAGATGGAGCAATTTCAAATTCACTGCATGAACACGTCGGAAGCTGATACTCGCTTAGAGCGATAGATAACTCCTACCAAACCTTCAGCAGGGTTGACCCCCGGGCATCTCTCCAACGTCAACTCGAACTGCTTCCTTTTAACTTCCATTACAGTTGATCCCATCACCTCAGCAAACGGACCTCGTTTGATAAACCACGTGTGGCATCGGCTTGCTTGTATCCGTAGTGTTGCTTCTATGAAAACAAAATTGAATTGTTCTAGAACAACGCTCCAAGACGTTAGTGGCTTGGAAAACGCCTCTCGGGCAATGCCGCGGCCGGCCAAGAAGCATTTTATATCGAATATTGGTATAGACAAAGAACCACTTCTCCGATATGATGCCTCTTTTCCGGCTGAATGGCATTTGACATGAGTCTGCTTTCCCCATCAAGGTGCCATTTATCCTATTTGCCGGTGATCTAACAACTGAGGCGCAACGCCGCCTGCCAAGGTCTGCATTTCTCACGACAGTTTGGTGTTTAGTTTGTTGTTTAGTTTGTCTAGTTTCTTCCTTACAAATCCACGATGCGGTTGTTTTCATCAAAATCATACGTTTGTGTTCTAGATTCGGAAGAACAAGGATCCAACTGAATCGCAACTGTCAATTTAAATAGCTTCGGTGCTTGGTGCGTGTAATTGAGCAAGTTGCGCAAGCCTTATTCTAGTGGATATCTCACAATCTTTCTTCTTTTGTATGCCCAGGTATGAATAGTCAATCTGCAGGCCGAAACTCTGAGACAATACAGGAAGATAGTTTGCTTACTGAGTTATATTCGTATTATTTGATCAGAGGAGAAGATCTTTTTTTTCGACTGGCCGGACTAGACGGCGATCTCGTTTCAGTCGATAACTTTATTTCGTTGTTGTTCGCTGTGCAAGCGAAATTCGGCAGTCAACTGACTTCCAATCCCTACGTTATGGATCCTACCTCGACGGCAGTCATGATCGTTCAACTACCGATCAGATGGATATCTCAAATGATAGGGTGCAGGAGACTCGACGTCAACCTCTAACCTCTGCTGTCTGAACAAATCATATCTCATCATGGATAAGGTACCCTGGTTTACCGGAGGGAGTGCTCCAGCCCTGCCAGAAGAATTCCCAACGCCATTACTCCATCAGAATTTTTACTCATAATTAAGTGTCAAATTTCAATCACGAGTATTTAAAAAATCCCCAGTTCTTTCATTATACGATCATCGCCTAGGTATGGTGTAGGTTAGTCTATCTACAAATCATGACGACTGAGATCGCTTAGAGTATGATGCTTGATGACGTAGTTGAAATAACATCACTCCAATTTGAGCTACATTGGAAGCCCAGAACTTGCCATATACACCTTTCAACTGCTTCAGAAGACTACACAGATCACCTATAACATCACCTTAAGCTCAGTTTCTACCAGAAACCCACGTCTATCGTCCATTCATCGTCCGTCGCCATGTCTCTCTTCCGCAATGTCCTCCGTACAACCGCAACCACCATCCGCCCTTTTCACACAACAACACGCTTGCAGATGCCGTATAAGCACGATCAGGACAGAGAATCTCTGCGCCCAGTTGTGAATGAGAACACAAAGTCAGGAACGGACGAGCAAGTTGCCTCTGAGCACGCAGACATTGCCTTTGACCCTAACACGACACGGCCTGAGGAAGCTGCCGACAAGACCAGGGAGAGGACCAAATCTAAGGGTCGAGAGGGAGAAGACGCCCTGAACGCGAGTGGTGCGAACCAAGAGCTTAGCACACCCATGGGTGATGAGAAAACAATTAAGACCAAGGGTGCTGGAGAAGAGATCTCAAAGGGAGGATCCAGCGGAAGTGGAAGTGCGCCCAAGAAGGGAGATCTGCCCAAGGCCAAGTAAGAAGTGGGAAAATGAAGCGAGAGGTCAACAGTGTCTATGAACTGTATCTCGTGTACTCCTTATGATGGCATATGTATTACCTATTCGTTCATCAGAAGAAAAGCTCGGAGGCTTAATTGCATATATAGATAATTGGGGGGGGGGGGGGAAGCCTACAACAACAACCTCAGCGCCTGAAAGACGTGGAATTTTTATTTCAATGAGTGCTCGGAAAATGATTGAATGTGATTGATAGGAGAATAAATCAGCTGCGAAATGCTACGGCACTCCCACCCATGGATATCACGGACAGTCACAACGACTACTTACCTGAGTACCTTAGGTAGTAGACCAGCAACTGCACAAATGTCGAAGGAAGCTCCCAGCTGACAGAACCTCGTCTTGCTTGATTCAGCTATCAAGCCCAAAATGACATCTGTCTTGGGCAATTCGCGTTATTGTTCCGAGTTTGATAATCATTCAATACCACTCGAGTTAAGTTCAATGTTCGTCATCGGTCATCGAAATATCATTCAACAAGTAAACGAACGTCATGGAAACCCTCGAAACATCACAATGTCACATCTCCCTAGGAGATCTGGTAGCCGATGACGAACTTAACGAGTTGCACTTCGGCATAGTCAACACATTCGATCGAGCCTTGAATACTGGAGACGGCATCTCAGATCAAGCCGTTGACCAAAGTGGACCAGATCCTAGTAGAAGTAGGTCGGGAACTGGATCGAACCAATCTACGGAGGGCCAACGGCTTGACGCCGAGGCAGAGAAGCTCGCTGATGAACTGGAAGAGCTATGGTAGGAACATGCGTCTCAAATCCTCAACTCCCAAGCTGGCATATCTTCTTGTTCTTCTTCTAAAATATTCCTGACTGCAGTCTGGAAAGTTTTCCGAGAAGTTCCTCGACGGATTCCGGTTGAGGATGAACGTATGGATCTCCTTGTACGCACGATAGATGTCCTCGGGCAACAGCACACAAAACCATCTGACCCCCAAGGGATTTGTGTCTGGAAAGGCTTACCAGGGCCGCAAAGGCTTTTTCTAGAAGTTTCTAATGGCATGTTCCTGGGCTTCCCCTTCGCCGAAACCTCTTGAGAGTCCCGCTGGCTATTACTTAGTCCCCCCCGACGACACTTGCCTGCGTCGAACGTATAGTGGGTGGGTGTCTTTTCAATTGTTTTATGCTTGTCTCGTTGCCAAAAGTATATTGCGAGGTGACTCACCTTCCTCCAACGTCATGAAACAAGCGCTAGAAGATCCATTACCACTTGGGCCACGGATGTTTGATGCTATATTCTTGGGGCCTGTGAATGGATCATAGCAGCCGGCTCACAGCTATATTTTCGGATTGGGTTTATCGAAACATTGTGGGCAGGGCATTTAGCACAGTGGCCGTTCAGGCAGGGCGCAATTCCCAGAGAAAGATGGGGATCCTGGAAAAAGAGGCTCAAAGTACTGCGGAGAGAACTTGGGTCTGACCAGAGAAGTCTGCAGGACAGACTGTTCGAAGCAGGCCAATACATGTCGTATGAGATAGATCAAAAGCGCCAGGAGTATAAAATCTTTCTAGCATCAATATGGGAAGAGCAAGCAAATGTAGTTAAATGGTTGGGTGGCGTGTAATGCGCCAAGATCCCGGGGAAGTGCAGGATGCATTAGCAAACTGTGGTCACATTCATCATGCCATGAAAACATCAAGCCCATAGTGGCTCAAACTCCCGACGCCAGGCTATGCATATCACTACTAACGCGCCAATGCCTAGGCGTACATCATGTCGCCGTCCTCCTCCTCCTCGTCATCCTGCACGGCAGGGACCTCCTTCTTCTTCCCCAAGTCTTGACGGCACATGGGACATGTACCCTTGCTGCGCAACCAAGGTCCGACGCACTCGAGATCAAATCGATGCCCTCCTTTGCATGGGAGCTCAACAACGAGGCAATATTCGTCTTCTAAATAGGGCACCTTACAGATGGCGCAGTCGTCATCCTTCTTGAGGGTTTTGCGACTGACACGGTCGATTGAGTCGACAAACTCTTGCGACACCCCATGCAGGCGAGTGGGAGGATCGTTGATATCATCTTCGAGATTCATTATCAGAGACTCGAGAAAGTCTCGGTTATCGTCTGTAGGAGCGGTGGTGTGCAGCTGGTGTAGCTGTTCCTGGAGGAGGCGGAAGAGAGCAGCCGTGTCGACGGGGGTGGGCGTGGCGTGTGGGTTGTGATGAGGAGTTTGGTCGCCTGAAGGTTCGGCGATCTGATCGAGGAGGGAGAAGAATGATGACATGTCTACGCGACGGCCTGAACGGCGGCCTTCAGCAAACTTGACATTGTGTTCGACTTTGGAAAGTTAGCTATAAGATCGAATGGAGGGGTTGAGGGGGGGGTTATTTCACGTTACCTTCGTACTGAGTAGCCATTGTGAATCCTGGAAAACTGCGTTTGATTGTTCGTTCGCTGCTGGGGTAAATATTGAGAGAGGAAAGCAAGAATAATGTGTTGGGAGAAGAGAGGGCGCGCTGGCGTCAAGACGTTGTTGTGTAACGGTCAGACGCAGGCAGAGATGCTGTCGCAAGTCGAGAGAGAGCTCTTGAGTTGTGGGGTAAGAAATGAGTGAGTGGAGAACTGGACCCCTGCTTCGAAGTGTGCAGGGGCGCCACAGTTGTGCAGTTAAAGCTGCAGACAGGGCAGGGCAGGGCTGAGGAGGTTGTACGATTAGGTGCTTACAGCTTCACATAAAAGCTTGGCCCTTACTATCGGTTGATAATTTATTCAAGAACAGCCAAGCCAGGTCGATTTGGAGAAGAATTGAGACCTTTGCAATAAAGCAATTGACTTGATTGATCACGATATTATCACATGTCAACTCAGTTTAATGTGGCTGATTACCTACCTATCCCGCTTGGACCATGTCGTCACATCGTTCAGTCCCAAGCTTTCCATCCGACGGTTTAAATACTGTGCTTGCGTCCGTCCTGACTGCCTATCGATCAACTTGGTTCTGAACTGATTGTTATCTTCCGCTTCTCTACCTATCCAAGTATCTTACCTTGCCTAGGTACTATTGTTTTCATCTTGATACCCTCATCTGCTTCTATTCTTACGATTCGACACTTGTATAAACCCTTCACCTACCATAACCACTAATTTACCCTATCGCCATGTCTTTGCCCTCTGCTGCCATCATCGGCTCAACCGGCCTGGTCGGCTCAAACATCCTTTCAACGCTACTTGCCTCCGAAATCTACAACCCTGTGCATACCATCACCCGACGCGCTCCTAAGGCGACATCACCTCATCTCAACGCGATAGTCGATGCCGATACTGCCAAATGGGCAGAGCTTCTCACAGGGCTCACGCCCAAGCCATCTGTAGTTTATTCTGCACTGGGTACCACTCGCGCTCAGGCAGGCGGGATCGCCAATCAGTGGAAGATCGACCATGACCTCAATATCGAACTCGCAAAGTCATCCAAGGCTGCAGGTGTCTCAACCTTCGTTTTTATTTCCAGCGCTGGAACACGGTCCCTCCTCTCCTCGTCTTCGCCTTACGCAAAAATGAAGAACGGAGTTGAAGACGCAATCAAGGAACTCGACTTTGAGCAAGCCGTGATTCTCAAGCCCGGCATGATCCTCGGTCACAGAGAAGCCAGCCGCACAGTGGAGGGTATTGCTCAAGGGGCAGTCAACGGTCTTGGCCATCTCAGCGCTGGTATCAGAGATACTCTTGGTCAGGATGCTGATGTCATTGCGAAGGCGGCCGTGAGGGCTGCGCAGTTGGCCAGCGAGGGAAAGGCACCGAGCAAATACTGGATCCTTGGTGGAAGCGACATTATCAAGTTGGGAAGGACTGAGTGGCCGGGTAGTCAGACTCCCACGGAGACGAAGACCGAGGCTGCTGCGTAGAATATTTGCGAGAGTGACTTGACATAGTCTTTGTGGTGCAGTCAAGACTGTCTCTACCTTTGCACAACGCTTTCGCAGACTGCCAGAATCAATTAGCCATTCAATGACGTGCTTCCTTAAATACTCATTAATAAAAAGCATGAAACCAACAGGGCGTTTTCTAATTCATAGTGCATACTCTCCTCCCTCTGCAACACTCAACGGCTCTTGCGAGAGGATCGCGCAAGATAAGATGGTCTTGAAGCCATCAAGACTCCAGCTGAAAGAGAGGACCCCATAAATGAGAAATAATTCACCATTAAGAGTACATAGTATTCTCAGTCTTTTATCTGCCTTGTACCTTGTATATGAGCTTATGATTTGATATCATTGGTTATGATCAATTGCTCAGTTTCCATCTCGCTAGTTCTTGGCATCAGAGCCCAACCCTGTGTATGATTCTGTACACCTTGTGTTGCGTTTCGCAAAGCCATGAAATGCAGTAATTTCCCCCTGCATGAATATATGTTCACGTTGAAACTGATATATAGTTATCAAAGGCCTTCTACTAGGCAGTAAGCAAGTCTTGATCTTTCCTCCGACCCATCGCACTTCGGCGTTGCTTCTCCCCGCCCCCGCCATTCGTCGGATCTCATCATCAACTCCACTCCTCGACTCTGATAACCACCACCAGCTTCTATCAACTTCTCACTCACTCACTCACTCATTCACTAAGCTTCATCTTTTACTGCCACAACTCAACGTAGATTCACTCAAGTAAGTTTCATTTATGAGAATACCCTGTTAACACACAGTACTCATAATTCATAGCCCAGTGACACATACCCGCTATCGAGCACATCATCGTTTGTGATTGCATGTCATGTCTTCCCGTCCTTCAGTCGTCGGCCCAGACTCCGGCCCCGAGGCCCCCTATCCTCTTCACATGGAAGGCAAAGTGATTTCTGGTTTCGGCCGCGGCTCCAAAGAGGTACGTCTTCTTCCATGCATCACTTATTTTTCTCACACCTCTTAGCTCGGCATCCCAACTGCCAACCTCCCTGTGGACGAAGCTCTCACACCATGGATCGCCAACATCTCCTCCGGAGTCTACTTCGGCTATGCCTCTCTCGCTCTGCCCACAACACACCCGGACATCCCATCGGCTTCATCCAACGGACCTCCCAAGTCTGACACAGAGGATGCTCTCCTCGCTGCCGAGGCCCCTGCTAACCCTCCTTTCCACATCTTTCCCATGGTGATGTCCATTGGGTACAACCCCTTCTACAAGAACACAGTTCGCAGCGCAGAGGTTCATCTGCTGCACAAGTTCACCGCAGACTTCTATGACGTGCCTATGCGTCTCCTCATCCTTGGCTTCATCCGTGAGGAGAAGGACTACAAGAGTCTGGAGGCTCTGATCGAAGATATTAACTTTGATTGTGAGGTTGCAAAGAACAGTCTTGCCCGCGAGGCCTGGGCTCCTGTGAAGGGACGTGTTATTGGCGGTAAAGATCTTGAGGGCAAATTAGATGTCCAGTGGTTACTTCGAGATGTCTAGGATAGATCCGAGAGAAATAGAACATGGTAAAAAGTGGCCGGGAGTTATGGATAGATAGCAACATAGAAGAGATGGGATCTTTTTCAAAAGTCATGGTTGTTTCATTTCACATCTGCTGAACTACCTGGGTATCATGCGAAACCCCCATCTGCCTGACTCAGAGCACTACCAATAAACTATGCAGCATCAAAGCTAATCTTCTATGCAAAAGTGTGTACTCCAGATCTTTCCCTTCTCTTGCAAAGTAGCCCTCCCCTAAAGGCCTGGCTAGTATCTCATTTCGAAGAAAATAACCTCCAACAAAAAGGGAGAATGAACGTATTTCAGTTTTGCCCTCAGTCATAACTAGCTAAACTGCTAGTTGCTGGGGTCCTTGGTCTGGTAAATATCGCGGTAAGAACTGCACTTGAGTTAGCAAGGAAGAAGTCTTAAGGTACGAGATATTAGAACTCACATTCATTATAATCATCATGGGAATGTCAAAGACGTCTCGTTTGATCGTCCAACAGTAAGTGCATTCAACCTTGCCATCCCTCTCGATCCTCGATATACCGTGCTCGCTGTCAATTCGCGTAACTCGGCTACTGAGGATGCTCGGCTGCACGTCCTTCTGAGTAGCATGATCGGGTTTGATGTCCATGCTCTGAGAAGATCGATACTTGTTGAGTCGGCAACTTCTCTGTACCTTGCCGCGACTGTCCTCAAAGGCCAATTCCGCAAAATCTTGGTAAAACTCAACCACACTGTCATCATCCAGCAGCTCACCCAAGAAAACAGGCTGAGGTCGCCCGCCGCTCAAGTCAAGGGTGGCTTTTTGAGGCCGGGGCGTTGGCATGTCTCCCTGAGCATTGTTGTCTGGTGTGTTCGATCCATTGGTCGAACGCCCGCTGTAGGTATTGATATTGAGGTTTGGCTCTTTTCCGAGCAGCACCTCTTTTGTCCATCCTGTCAGCGCGATAAACTCTTTGTTGACAGCAGCGACCTCGCCCGATCTTCGACAGACAATGGTCGGAGCGCAGCAATGCTGTAAAAAGTCATCATATTCTACCAACGTTCTTTGAAAGCACTTCTCCATGAAAATGAGATCCTGCCGGGTCAGATCTTTGGTACAAGATATAAAAGACGGTCGAATCTCTCCAAGGGCTTTGGCGATTCGTAGTAGCTTGTTGCCGGGCAGACGGTTTCGTAGAACAGCCACCATGTTGTGGAATCCGGTTGTGTAAGGATACGGCTCTTTTACACTTTCGTAGATAGCGGCAGAGTCTCTTTGCCGCTTGCCAAGATACGACTTGGGATTCGGCTTAGTACTCTTCGGTCTGTGTCGTTGTGCGCCAGGAACTGTAGGAATTCCAGCAAAATTATGGCCTGGTGAGCCTTCCATGCCTGCAACGGAATGGGGGCTGGCTGTCGCATCTGTACTTGGGCTGGCAAGACTTGTAGGCCCGGCTGCAATAGCATAAGCATGGGGTAGTCCGTGCTGGAGGTTTCCCTGGGCATATAGAGATTGGTTATTTTGGTCCATACCCGAAAAGTCGGCCCCTAACATGGGATGATCAAAGCCGTTTCCGTTGCCATTTGCATTTCCGAAGAGAGCTGCATAAGTGGCCTCGGTGGTTGGAGTCTGCGACAGGGAGTTCTCTCGCGGAGGTGTCTCGGCTCCAAGGGCCATCTTGTTAAGAATGCCAAACTCCCAGCCGGCGTATTGACTCCCGAAATTCAGACCTTCGAGGTCAAAATTGTACAGAGCAGGGTTACTGGGATCGAATAAGGCGTTGAAGTCCATATTACCAGCAGGTATAATATTGTTGATTGGAGCGTGCGCATTGCTGATCGGAGCCTGGAAGGATGTCGGGGACGTTTGAGGGTTGAAAGGTAGACTATCAATGCCTACAGGAGTCTGCGCGCCCGTTGAAAAGACCGGCAGTGTCGTAGTGCTCGCCTGAGAAAAGAAGTTGCTGCCAGTTGCAGACATACTATCTGACTGGCTAGCATTCGAATTCTGGCGCTGAGCGTTGGGCCGTGAGGGAGTAGGGTTGGGACTGGGGTTGGGACTGGGGTTGTAATTTGGGCCAAGAACAGGCCGAAGGGCTTCCGGAGGAGCATCATGAAGGTATTTGGCCTTCTTGCGCACACCATCCTGGCATGCATCAGCGAGGCCACGCTTGATGCACCTTTGGCACGGTCTCTCATCTCCTGGAAAGATGTCAGTTCGAAATCTCTTCTTGGCTGTCAAGCACGACGATCTCAACTATGACTCTTTTCCCACTGAAATGGGTAAAAGAAGCGCGCAAGGCAGTTTAGCAGCGAAAATACCGACAACTGATGGATTAAAGAGCCAAACTTCACATGGAGAAAACGAGCTCAGGTCTTGATGATTGGCAAATTGCCAGCATTCGGTCGTTGCAAGGACACTTACCACAAGTCAGATGAGCTCTTTGACATGCAAAGCAGGCCCTTCGCGCCTTTTTCCTCCTAGGGCGCATAGGATCTTTGGGGTCGTACTTCTTCTTGACCTCGGTGGTGCTCTCGGTAGTGCTCTGGTCAGTCATCTTCTCGTCTTCTTCCTTAAGAAAAGTTTCCGTCTCGTCTTCGTTCTCAGACATAACATCTGAGACCTCAGTGCTATTCTCCTCCATTTCGTGCGGCATGGTGTCTTAGGTTTTATATACAAGACCTGGAGACCGGTACAAGGTCTTGCGATAGCTGGAATATCCTCCTCTCAGCTTATTACAGCCCGAGACTTTGTTTGGGTTACTGCACACAAGGCGGCTCGGATATGCAGGCTCCGATCCCAGAACCCTTTTTTGTTTCTCTCTTTCACCTTGTCCTCCTTTTAGACAGCTTTGCGAAACCACACTTATCCAAGCCGTGGTGGGACAACCAAGCAGGGACAAGTACGCCGTCGAATTGAAGTTACAATCAGTGCTGTTCAGAGTGACAACAACCCCCACGGTGGCGTGGCAATGCGCAGATAATATTTCCCCTGATCTCCCTCGCTGATCGCTAACGCGTGCTGCGTAGGTGATGTATTTAAGATTAGGAACAACCTGAACTGCAATGCCCAGATGCGGCAGGACTATGGTGTTGGGCGCAAACGAGGCCAGAAGGCTGTATGCAGCCGTGAATTTGATGATCACGTCTCTGGGCTAATTGGGAGACCGAAACTGCTCGGTCAAGCTCGTATCGTAGAAGGGGCGTACTCGATAAAAGCCAATAAGTGGATAGGTATGATACGCAAAGCGGCGTCTTCGTGAAACGTATATTGAGTCAATAGTAGGTCGCAGCGGCCGTGAGGCTGTGATTGTTGTCACCGAAGAAGGCGGAGGAGGTGGAGGAGGAGGTAGAATTCCGATTCGAGGAGCTTAGGTGATCGATGATCGCTAGATGCAGGAGAGTCGTCGGTCAGCGGTAGAGGCGGAGCTGTCTAAGGCGACACGGAGGAAAAGCAACGGCGACACGGGAGGTGAGAGATTTGGCGACTGTGAGGATGCGAATGACGACGAGGAAAGAATAGGATGCAGCTACCCGCGGGCCATGAGGAGTGGCTGCACCCAGAACCAGCACCAAAGCCAACCAATTTAAGCAGAAATTGGCCACTACAGCAACAGGAGAAGCTCACACGGCGTCGGCGACCGTAGAAGCAGGCTGTGGTGGCAGCGTGTATGTAGCGTTGTGCAAAGATGAGGCATGCGAGCCAGGCGCGGCGCGGGGGAGAAGTTGAGCGCAGATTGTGCGGAGGAGCCGGATCGCGATATAGATTGGGTTGAAGAGGGGGTATAAGAAAGGATACTGAGTCAACGTTGAGAGTAGAAGTCGAACGAGGCAATTCGCAGAATAAGTTGTAAGCAATGACTGGTCCAATTCAAGGTCAGTGAGAAGAGCCCAGTCAGGTCAGGCGACAGGGTGTTGTAGTGGTGGTAGTAGGTAGCATTGTGGGTTTTGGTGGTTGGTGGATTAGCAGACGCCACAGACAGGGCAGGGCAATTGGAGGATGCAGATGCAGATGCAGGTGTCTTAAGGTTGTTCCTGTGCTGTTTTTGCTTGCTCCAAGGTACCTGACCTTAAGCTAAAAGGTGGTCTACCTTATGCTGTAAGAATCGAGTGCGAATGCGTGCTACCTAGGTAGGGATCGCAGAAGTACCAAGTTTGCTGTGCCAAGTACCTGATGTAGGTACAGTACAACAAAGTGGGTTCATGACAAGCTCTCAGTCAGAGAAAGTGGATTATTTTTAAGGGGATAAGGAATGGATTGGATTGGATATGCATATTGAAATACAGAGTACAATGTGTACATGCAGACAGAGTGACGAATCCTGATTTTACGTCTCAAGGTATAAAGACAGCCAAGGCTCGTTCGTTGTGCATCCATGGCATGTGCAAATGTAGAAACCCGAGGTGATGCTACATGCAATCTCGTGAACAAGCAAGCTACAAACAGGACATTGATTGACAGGCGGATGATCGAATAACCATACAGGTATTAGCTGTAAACCCACACAGGGTGGGTAGCTCTTCATCCTTTCAGTCAATTCCCCTGTCTCTCTGCGTAGCAATGAACGTCAAACCCTTCAACCTGCCTAGACATGGGTATCGTATCTGACAGTCAATCGATTCAACATCGTCACCAACAACATAATCAACACGCTGATCATCATGAAAGATTCTACCTCGAGGAGTCCCAGGTGGATTTGATAGACTAATATGGCTGATATTCTTACTCAGTCGTTTATGCCTCAGCAAACCGAAGGTTCAAGCCTCCCATTTTCACCACCCGCTAGCAGAAACCAATTCGAGCCCAATCAAAGTCAAACTTTTGACTGCGGGGTTTACTAGTGGAGGGAGTAACCCGCTCTGGGGAAACTGGGCGCTGGCTATTGGTCTGACGATGCTTCCATTTGTAGCTGATGAAGCCTTGTAATCAAGATCAGATTTTTTTTTTCTCCAGGTATTCAAGCCAGGGGGATAGTTGACGACTTGACTCAATTCACTTCTAGCGGTCAAGAGAGGCCATGGAAGGAGAATTTCACCTACCGCGCCTCAAGCAATAGTCTCGATCGAGAAGATGAAGCTAACGAGGTCCCGCTGAGCCGCCAAAAACTACTCCATTGATCCATCGAATTTGTATTCCCAGCCACCAGCCACCCAACAACCTCAACCCCTAAACCTGGCCTAGACTGATGCATTGTGAATCGGAGGAGTCTGGGTCCCTGGTTGGATGCTTCTCTGCGCGTACACGTCGACATATCAAACTCTCTTTTGTGTTGGTAATAGCAGAGTCAGCCAGAGTGTGATTCGTACCTCGCCTATGACAAGGGTCTCTAGGTGTCGTGCGACTGCAGCACCGTTGCGACGAGGTGCGCCGTCGGGCTGATGTTGGATAAACTCTGGTGATACTTGGTGCAGAATGCCAATTGCCATCTTGCTGATAGTCTGTCGTATCCGCACACAAACCAACATGCATGTACATGTTTCAAGTCATCTCTTGAGCAACTAACACGCAATTCTAGTCCTGTAATTAGTCTTTACCAAAACCCAGAAGCAAAAAGAAAAGAAAAGACAGGAAAAGAGGACCCTGGTGCTACTAGTACATAAAGAAATCTATTCGCCGGCGCAGTCACTGACTGGCCGGTGTGGAACGGCCGGTAAACGGCGTCTAAGTAAGGTACCCGAAATGAACATATAGAGCACAGAGAAGAGTAAGATAGACAACCTACAGAGTTATACTTGCCACATACAGTGCTACTCTCCTTGACAAATGGAGGCTTCATGAAGCGAAATTTGTTACAGTCATCAGTGTCTACCTCCAAAACTGTAAGAAGCCGGCCAGCCGGAACGCGGGGCTTGATGCCGAGCCCGGATGCCGGAGGTGAGGGGCGGAAGCGGAAGCGCAACGCCGCTGAGGGTAGCCAACGCTCAGCTGTTTACGGTGAAGAATAGAACGATCCAGGTTTGATAGTCAGGGTCCTTTATTGGATATTCAATACCCGCGTTTCGCTAACCGACCGCAACCCGTCGGCGACCGAGGCTTTGGGGTTGCTGTCTTGTACTCTTCAATCATGCCAAGATACAAGGGAACGATCCTCATCAAGCTGCGCAAATAGAACAGTCTGCCCGGGAGCCTGATCTTCAGTACATAGAGACTTGTGCATTGATGGTAGCGCGAAGTTTGCTTTACGATTACCTAAAGTCAGGCAGAAAGGCCCTGTCTCAGATGTAACTATTTGTGACTATCAATGAGACTCAAATCCTGTGGCATCTTTCAGCTTTTGTTTTGCTTTTCCCTTCGTTTCTCCATTGCGGCTGCGCTGCATTGCATGACAGCCGCTCCAAGGCAAGGATTCCCAAGGTAATTAACACGTCCTGCTGAGCCTCTTGTGGGCAATATGCCCCCTAGCCCTTGTTGCTTGCTTTTTATATAAATATTCACAGCGGGTAGAGGCATGCGTGCGTCAATGCGGTTGGAGGATACGACCCATGCTGCTGGCCGAGAACCTGGAGTCGAGTCGAGGCTGCGATAGCCGAGGGCCTGCAGATTGTAAATTTAATGTAGTTAGGGGCTAAAAGGACTGAGACACCCTTGTCAATCTTGAAGATGTTCTTCACACCAAAGTTGTGGTTGGTCTATCTTATGCCGATGTTTGGTGTTTTAGCTCGAGGGTGCGATGTGATATTGATGTTTGGCAAACATGATCAGCTGACTAGGGTCAAAATTTCAAGTATGATAATCAGCAATCTCAATTGGATATTCTGTATGTTCTGTGAAGAAGACCTGATCTGGATCATGGTTGTTGAAGCCTGCAACAGCTGAGCACTTGTATCAAGCCACCATTTATACTCGCCTATTATTGATCATCATCTGCCTGTCCGTCATCCAGATCCCCGCATTCGCCTAGCGGCCCGGGAAGATCTTTACTCAAGATAAACTTAGCTGGCTGCATTAATTCTGGGGGAATCCTGAAATGCCTTTCAGCCGAGGGCGATCTTAACAAGCATTCACAATCAGATCATGCAACCTCATCGATATTCTTGGTATCCCCTCTTTTCAAGCAATAGAGCTAACTTATTACACTTTTAGGTATCTTCGAACACAAATTACAGAAGCGCCAATATTCCAAGCCCTGTGTATATGAGCTAGACCAGCCTTTTTGTACAACCGGCGATCAATCCACTCATTTTCCCGCAAAAGCCACTCTTGACCTAGTAGGACTCTCGGTGTATTAGTTTGAGATGTCCATCTCATAGCTGCAGTGCAGAGGCTTTGGTACCTGGTCTGGTGGCGCGGGTACACGGATGAAGTCAGGACTTGCAGCCCTGATCACATACTCTTCTCATACCCCCAAGTCTAACCTCGATGAACATTCTCTAAGAAGTAGCAAATCGGCTGTTGGCCCTGATTCTCTTCCCATACCGGAAGAACAGATAAGGGAAAGGCATCATGGCAACTGTCAGAAAAGCTAGCAAAGACGAAGCCCAGTGGTTGTTGAGCTTGGTATACATCTGGTTACCAAACAGGGGGAATGCAGCTGCAAGACTCGAGTTAGCAATCATTCATGTAAATGCATGCAGCTGAATCTCAACAACTTTCCGGGCTGGTGCCTCATGCTCTCCAGAATAGGCTATGTCAGGGGAAGTTGATAGCCAGCCGGCGGTGAAGAATCAGACGAGTCCATGGGAGTAGATACTCCCAACGACTTACCAGCAAAGACACAACGCACGAATGCATTAGCAGCAAGGGCACTTGCGGCATACTGTGGATACGCATCCACCTATTTCCATCAAAGTCAGCACAGTCTCTTCCCTGGCACGAGCGCACTCCTGTCACAATAGCTAGCAGAGAACTGTGTAACGTGCGGTGAGCCTGTCACAGACTTGTGGTACAGGCACAAAGCTGGACTTACTAGAAAGGTGAAGACTCCACTGAACACAAGAAGGATCCTATATCAGAGTTGAGCGGTTAGCTGCAGTTTGTCAAGCAGAGGTTCAGGGGATACGAGATCAAGAGGCATGACCAAGCGGTGACCAAGACATGTTTTGCTCTTCTTGTGCGAATGTGATTCCGCGCGTCCGGTTCTTGTCTCAGTCCTGTGTAAAGTTGGACTTGGGTATCACAGTGCTCCCCTTAAGGACGCCTCCTTGAGGCCTGCGAATGGTTTGGTTTGATATGGGATGGATCGTGATTAACTTACCCAGCTCCAAAGATTGCCGATCCAATTATGGGCACAATCCAGTGAACCCGGGGATAACACGACCAAGCAAACATGAATATACCAACTGGAACAAGTATACCTCCCAAAATGGCTGGAGGTAATCTAAACTCAGGCTGGCTGTTTCCTTCAACGCCGGTCTCCTCGCTCAACTTGCGGATGAGTTTGTTCCGAATATTGTGCCACAGGGGATCAAGGCCAGCGGCGAGCAGCATTCCCACGAGGATGCCGAGAAAAGAGCAGCCATTCTGCCAAAGTTTGAAGCCGTAAATATTGCCGAATACAAGGTGAAAAGCCCCAAAGAAGAGATATAGAATGCCGAGGACGATGGCTGTGAAGATGCATAGGTTCAGGCACATAGGCTCGAAGATTAATAGCTGAAATGGTCGTAGAAGCGATCGACCTATCGCGCTGGTGGCTGATTTCTGAACCTTTTCTGTAGGGGCTTTCCATCTTCCATCTCCAGTTTCCTTTCGCATCTGTTTTGCTTTGTTCTTGAGCAGGATCGGATCTTAGTGGAGGTTAGTTGGGACATATTGGCTCTGGATGCTAATTTGGACTCACGATACGTCTCAGGGACAAGAAACACAATGCCCAATAGTAGAACAAATGCCCAGATCAGTAGAGTCCAATGAGTCCACCTCCAGTCAGTGTTATAGTTGATGAAACCCCCAATTAAAGGTCCAATCGACGGACCTACAAAGGGTGCGAGGGAAAACATCAACATAGGCGCTTGCAGCTCATTTGCCGTGAAGAGATCTCCAACAGTGCCCCCTGACACAGCCAGAAATGCGCTACCGGCGAACCCATCGAGAAATCGACTCACAATCACGGTCTCGATATTCTGAGCCACGGCTTGAGGAATGATGAAGATGACATAAAGAGTCCACGATACAACATAGATAAGCCGTCGACCATAGAACTCGCTCAAGGGACCGAGGAACATGGGGCCTAGTCCGATACCTAAAACAAAGAACGAAAGACCAAGGATGGAGACTTCTCGTGAGTTGCCAAATTCATCCTCCATCTGTTCATACGTGGATGTATAGATGGAACTAGCAGCAGTCCTGTGTTCACATAAGTATCCATCTCGGTTGAAGATGCCGAAGAAATACTTACACGCAGAGACTTCCAGACGATACAATGATTATAATGAGCCACTTCTTCATCTTGTGAAAGCTCCGGGGGCATAGACTGTCGTTGTCACCTCCATCCCAACCGACTTCGAAAGGATCCTTCTCAACTTCATCATCCGAAGGCTCGTTGTGGGGGTTACAGCTGTAACCATTCTGAGACTGACAGCGGGATACACTGGCAGATGCTCGTGAGCGAGTTCTAATTGCTTGTGGTGATTGAATGGTCGCAAAAGTCGTGTCGTTCCTCTCAGGGCCGAGTGTCCCTGAATTCGTTGAAGTCTTTTCAATGTCGCGATCCATGTTACTCATAATTCTGACTGTTGGTAACAGTATTGAGGTAGATACGCAATTATGATTCGTAGTGACCTTTTGAGCTCTAGTTCAGAACTCGTAGTAAAGATAACTTGGTATTTCAAAACTATGCCAAGACTCTGGTCCTCCTAGTCTTTATATACACTCTAAACACCATGCTCTCCAACAAAACTCTTCCATTCCTCACCACCACAAAGCTAGAATCTCGACTATCTCGTACCGTGGAAATCACCTCATGTTGTCATCGCTGACCAAAAACATGACTTGCCACCCTGTAAAGATGCGAAATGTTTATTAATACCCAATCAAAGCTGACAAGCTAGGGTCTCGAGAGGAGCGATCGGCCGCCGTGGCTTGCTTATTGAACAGCTTGACTCTAGGAGAAGCAGGGCGCGTATTGCGTATCCCGTATTTACGAAGTCCGCCATGGCTGGTGAAATAAGATTCACGATATTCCCACGAAAATCACTTCTTGAGAAGGACAAGTTGACTATGGGATGCTGATGTGCTGAGACGGGCTATTATTCCCCCTCTCCGTGTTGATCTCGGCGATAGAGTGTTAATAATACATTGCGTATTAAGACCGAAGAGCTCTTGTTTCGGCTTTCGGCGTTTGAGCTTTCTCAAACTGTCTTATTGAATTCTTTCGGCTCTTGAACATGGCAAATATTCCTCACTTCTCATCTGGTTCAGTTTCTCGGGGAAAGGGAGAACAAGAGCTCAACAATAATCTCATGATGTTTAATTGATATTTCCCCGCGTATCGAGACTTATGAGGCTCTCTTTTAAATAGTCACAAGTACAAAACTGAGAGTAATGCTTGGGCTTATTTTTGGGTACCTTGAACTTGATCGAACATCAGTAGCTCCGTATCACGCTAACACTCGTCATCTTCAGGTGGTCGAATGAGAGAGCCTCATGCTCAAGCAATACGACCCTGCAAGAGTTCAAAACCCGGTTATTCTTCACATGCTGATGGAGATATTGTCCGACTCCGTCAATAAGAGCCCCTTAGCTATTTCGAGTTGACGAACCAGGTCTCGAATTACTTGCATATCCCAGACACGGCTCAGCATCCACCAAGCGGGACCAATTATCAAATATCTTGGCACCTCTTCGCGATGTCTGATAGGATGCTCAAGACGACATGCGTACATGTCGTCATCCAGTTTCACTCGTACCACTGCGGGCGCTGGTAGGGTTGTAATGGGGGACATCAGTCACGGCTCGGTCAGCAGAACGGAACGCCAGGAAATATGCCCGTGACTGTGACTGAAAGGAAGACATCGTGTGTTGTAGGGTAAGCAGGTCCCTTCATGCAGACCAGTCGTAGTTAACGAACAAATGCAATTAAAGAGTCATGAGGAGAGGTGGCAAGTAAGGTAGCTAAGATATGCCGCATCTATGCCTTCAAATAGTCAATGGTTGTCAAGACGGTTATCAGCGCTCAAGAGACATGGCAGTCGTACCAATCCCGCTTCTACCATGAGCTTGAATTGCAACTCAGAGACGCGCTTCCAAGGCACACTGCAGCTGCACTGCCCAGTCTGGCAGAAGCGAACGAGGCAAAAGTGCTGCAACTATGCACGTAATTCTCGCAATAGGGCTCACTCATGATGCGCCCGCGACTGGCTGAACTCTTTTCTTTCCCACCATGACCTTGTCTTATTGGATTCTCCAGGGGCCAGTGTTTATTTCCTTGTGATGATTGACCTGTTTTTGGTTACACCTAGTTGTTGCGATCGGGCCAAAGTTTCGTCTCCAGTGGTGTAGTCAAAAGGTGTCAGAAGTCACAAACAGCCTGATCGCAAACACACAAGAAAAAGTCCCCGAAGGAAATAGAAACTTCGGTGAAAAAGAGGACACATGGCTATACTTGGCTCAGCAGAAATTTAATCAATTGGCCCAGTTGGCCAAGAGTTCTCGGCTGATCATAACCGCCAGCGTTGCGTTGCCTTTGGATCCCCTCCAACACTCGCACCATGAACATAAACATGGCGGTTTCTTTTTGACAGCCCCCATTTCTCTGACGAAAACCTATTATTACAACTATTAAAGTGTACAGATTTCTTTCCATCTTTTAGGCGCTTACCTCGGATCGCTTCTTTGGGCCACGCCGAGTCGCAATCATAATCCTGTCCACCAATGGATTCGCATTCAGCAGCACGCTCAAACGTCATTTCGGAACCTCTACGACGCGGGGAGACGAGGGGAAACAAGACGAGACGCGGGGTTTTATTTGTTTGAGCTGGTTATAAAAGGTCGTGGTTTTCTCCTCGAAGTTGCTGAGATTCTAAACCATGGACTCAGCTCTCTCTTCGTCTTCAACACGAACAAGCACTTCATAAACACTCAACTTGAATAACCTGCAATCTTACCCCTACTCATTTAAACCTCTACATAACTCAATCGAACACACTGCACATCTACCCCTATTATAAATACCCCCAATTGACTCAACATCATGTCTTCTCAAACCACTGCCCAATACTTCCCCAAGATCTACTCCCTCACCTCCGCTGATCATGCTCGCTCTGTCTATGATGAGTGGGCAAAGACCTACAATGAGGAAATCACTGGCAAAGGCCAAGACTATGTCGGCCCAGCCATTGCCGCTGCCTATGTCCCTCAAGTTCTAGGCTCACCTACCATCAACCAAGACGTCGAGATTCTTGACGCTGGTTGTGGCACCGGCCTCGTCGGTGTCTTCCTCGCCCGCCTGGGTGCAAAGAAGGTCGACGGTGTCGACATCAGCCCAGGCATGCTCGACGAGGCTCGCGCTACAGACGCATATCGCAACCTGGACGTATGTGACCTGTCGCGACCGTTGTCCGCAAAGAATGACTCTTATGATGTCGTGACCTGTGTGGGCACCCTGACTCAGTCTCACGTTGGTCCCGAGGCTATCAGTGAATTTGTGCGTGTCGTGAAGCCAGGCGGCTACATCGTGGCCACCGTCATCCGTGAGATCTGGCAGACTGGAGGCTATGAGGCACACGTGAAGAGCCTCGCCGAGCAGAACAAGATCAAGGTCCTGTCTGCTGAGTTGCAGGACTACCGAAGGGGTGCTGGAGCCAAGGCCTACTACCTCGTCTTGCAAGTGTCTGCTTGAAGTGATTCGTTGATGGTAACTTCGGTGATGATGATGATGATGATGCTATGCGTTGCCGGATTCCCTTTTCTTTCCCTCTCAACAAACAAACAAGCAAACAAACACAGCACAGCACAGCACAGGAAACCCTCCCCTGCCCCAGGAAAGCTATTGAAGTGGAACATACACATCGACACTTGATATGGTACAGTTGCAATCGCCTCTGGCCCGTGTCCACCAAGGTATTCGCTTTCACAAGTTGATGATGACGATAATGATGGTGATCATATGAGAGACGACAAAGAATGTTCGTGATTGGATTTCGTTTTGACATAGGTGACTCGCCAGTGAGCAACGCGATCGGAATCTCTTACACATTCCTTCAGCAACACATGCAGCATAAATATACAAAAGGCGTACGTGCCCAACTCATGATTGTGATTCTGATTATGAATGTGACATGTCTATCATTTTGTTTTAACTTAGATTGTACGTTAAGGAGTAGTGTCGTTGCTTCCTGGCCTGTCACAAAGCATATATAATTCTTTTCTTCTGTGGAAATTCGGCTTCATTGTAGGAAACGCTATCTAAACTGGTACGAAGTGTTGCTATGGTATACTTATAATCTTATAATCCAAGCATGAACAATTAACTACTTGATCATTTTCGTAGTACATAATTTTCTAAAATGCATATCCAATTGTGGAATAGGCTGGCTAATGCTAGTATCCTGGCTGTATATACGTCGTTACAAAACAAAGGAAACGATAGTAAACAACCTCAGAAGCTCATATCCAATCTGCAATGGAGTTGGTTTCATGGTAACTGGGGTTTATCACACATTCAGAGGCACCATGTTCCATTGCTATTAGCCATTTAATCTGTCAGTTGACTTAAAGTTCCGAGACTCGTTCTTGTCTATGAGTGGCTTGAATCTTGGGGGAGTCTTTGCCTCATCAGGATGTATAAATTTGCTAGGTATCTCGACTATTCACCGAATCATAAAACAGATGACAACAGATTCGTCATGGATCAGCGGCAATCATAACGTCCAATCGGCGGGTCTCGGGCGGCTCATGAAACTAGCTGGCCATGATGATGTCTACCCTCTCGGGGAGTTTTCTGTCTTGTCGGATACTCTGAGGCCTTCCACCGTCCGGGTTGGGGCTTGGGGGCTTGTCCTTGCTCACCGACTCTCGGATACCACTTCCGATCACGGGACAAGACCCTCTAGTAAGTCATCATGACCATCATGACATGTCTCCGAACTGTCTCACATATTCCGAACCATGATACACTTAGGACCGGGTCATGATACTGACGGTTTGAAGCCAGAGAACCAACAGCATCGTAGCAACTCATTTTCCTTATATTGTCATTATACATCTATCTACCCTGGGGCAATGCGTCCCCCATCATAAATACTTTCCATCAGTTCTCATAGAGCACCATATACCAACCATGCATGCATCTTCTATCTCAATTCCAAGCAAACCAAACCCAAACGCCAAAACGCACCTACATGTACTGCCGAAATGATACGGTATATCCGCCAACACAAAACACATCTCTAAAGATACTCCGGCAAACCACTCTTCGCAAAGTCAGGAACATCCTTGTCGCAATTGAAGTCACGATCCCAAGGCTTCTCGGGCAAAACACCCGCCTTGAGGCCAGACTCATAACTCCACTGGTAGTTATTCTCCGTCTTCCATGTCCAGTACCACCACCCCCAGCCCTTCTCGAAACTGTGCATCTGTGCTTCGGCAAACATCTTGAGGAACTTCTTATACTCGTCGCTCCAGTCGCTAGGGTCGGCGTTGGCGCCACGACATGAACACTTATCGTCCTTCGTTGGGCATCGAGGCTCCAAGATGGAAGTGTCCTTGTTTCCGGTATCGTATGTGCCCTCCCAGCGAGTACCCCAGCCTACGCCAGTGAGATACTTCGCGCAGTCTGTATCGGCTTGAGACCACTCGGCAAAGATGGTCGGCCCATAACCTGTCGAGGGATTCATACTGATCTCAGCCTGCTCAGTCCAGCCGTCGCAAGCGTACTCAACCTTCTCCTTGTGGGTAAAGTCGATCTGGTTCTCGTTGAAAATGACATACTGGTGGACATCAAGGACCATATCATCGTAGCCCGTCATCAAGCCTTGCCAGTTCTCAAGTCCCATAAATCCATCCCCAAAAACCACGAGAGCCTTGATGCCGTTCTTACGGACGAGCTTGTATGCATTTTCTGTCCACTGGATAACATCGCTTGTTTTAAGGCTGGTCATTCGGGGTTCATTGGCGAGACCATAGTGGGTGATGATGTTCTTATAGCGAGGTTGAGCAAAGAACTTGGACAAACGGTTGTGAATATCAAGTGCCCGCTCTGCGTTTTTGCTACCGTCTTTTCCGTTGAGCCAGCCAATGGAGCCCCATCGACCGCTATGGTTCCATCCGTTTTGACTTCCCGGAATACCGTGCAAATCTAGATTGACTCGTAAGCCATACTTACGGCACCACTCGATCGCACGGAGAAGATATCTCCAGGATGTTCGGTACACATAAGGATCACCATCGTAGACCTCGACAGCCCAGTAGTTGAAACCAATTCGGACATGATCGAGACCAGCTGCTTGTATGTCCTTAAAGGTTTGTTCTGTAATGAATGAAGCATAATGTTTTTCAAGAGTCTTCGCAGCATCGGAACCCAGCTTCTCGGACAGAGTCCATTCATCAATGATGCCCTCCTTGGTATCATAATTGAAAAGAGATGGGCTGATGAAGGGCTCCAGATAGAGCCATCCTCCAATACATACTCCGCGAGCAGGTTTCTTCGCATAAGATCCCCAGGGTTTGTTGAGAGGTGGTACATTGTCGTTGGCTTGGGCCGAGTCGTCCCAGTCGTCGTAGAGACCCATGACGGGCAAGTCTCCAACCATTTGGTCAGTGAAAGTGAGGTTGAAATCGGTGGTTGACTTCCATGTCCAAGGATCGAGATATGTGTTCTGCCACTTCTCGGGTATCTCTGAATGATCCATCCCGTCCAGGTCAGAAGTATCCTCAGTTGAATCGTCTGAACTATCGCTGCTCCCTCCTCCTCCACCGCCTTTGTTCTTTTTACTGACGACTACTGCCACAATGATAATAATGATGAGGACGACGGCACTCACACCGAGTGCAATCCCTGAGTACAGTCAGCTTCTCAACTACCAATTTCACCACATCACAGCTTACAGAGTTTCTTCTTGCTCTTCTTTGGCGGTTTTGATAAATAAAAGTCCTTCTCTTGTTCCACACTGTCCACACTCCCCCAACCACCTCGAAGATGAGTCTTGGACCGTCCCTCTTCCATAATAGCACCGCTCACGACCCTTTTCTTCTTATGTTTGCCATGAGTTCGCGGCCTATCGGGATCTCGATCCTGATCTTTCTTCCTGTGTTCATCTCGTCGTTCTCGTCTTCGTGATTCATCTCTATAGCCTCGACTCGCCCTTTCGCTCCGTTTCTTCTGTCGCGCATTCTCCCTTTCCAGATCCGCTAGGGCATTTGCTGATAATGTTCTTGAACTTCTGTCCCGGTTGTCTTCAGATCCAGAGACTGGTCGCCGGGAGCTTTGCGATTTCCTCTTCCGCTGACCGTTCTTTCGTCGATCTCTTTCTCTGTCCCTATCGCGGTCTCGAGGTCGGTGTGAGTGAGAGCGCCGCGATGACTCTGGCGGCGGCATCGTGAGACATGTAGCGACGGCGTAATTGGAATGCAATCTCTACAGAAATGGACTTGAGCGAGTGTCAATGGTTTTACGACCAATTACGACGTCAGTCTTGGCCGATCGTGGTTGTCAGGGCAACCAGATATATCCTTGGAATTATCCCAGGCCCAGACCTCGCCGAAACGATAACCCAGAACTTATTCGACACGTTTCGTCATGTTTTCTTTTGCTGCTCCAGTCATTGGGGAGGCCAAATCGGCCCTGTCAGAAGAAGTCGGACTTCCTTTTTCTTCAAATGCGACACTATGTTGATGGTCAAAGCAAATGAAGCATACGTACGCAACGGCAACTCCTTGCCGTCCAGCAAGTATATAGATTCCCAAAAAATAGATGCAATGCCTCTTGGAGTCCGCGGATGCCATCCAAGATTTGCCCAGATATTGGCAACACCATGATCCTTATTACATTGGCTTAGTGCATGGGCTGGTTGACTGGACACTCTGGCCGACGTTGAAGCGCTTGGATTTGATTGAACGGTTGAATGGCTCATGATGGTTTGCGAGAAACCGTCGCAGCTAACCAATTATTATCAAGCAAAGTATAAGTGATGGAACACTTTTTTGTTCTCTAGAATAATTCTGTCAAAGAGTTATCGCTTGCAGTATTCGGGAAAATGAGATCTCAAGACACTTCTACTCTCTCGACGATGATCCTTGGATGCCTTGTCCTTATCAGTATCGTTGGCAGACTATCTTCGTCTCATCTCGTAAAGTCTGCTGCGCAGTGTGAAATAGTCCTTTGCTGAAGTGATCTATACTCTACCGTATAATTCTATTTAGTGTTTCCTGTGTAGTGATCTGTGTTATTAGGAGCTGATTGGGTAACTCTCCGTCTTGTTCGGCATTAGATCATGAGGGCGATAGAAGCCGCCGCCAATCCCGCTGAGCCCGCAGCAAGCCGAGCTTGACATCACCTTCACCGAGGATCAATCAATCAATAAGCCTCCTTCGGCTGGCTTTGGATATCTAAGGTATAATCATTCTGCTACAACTCAGCTGCTATTACTCCTGACATGCCATTCAAATTGAATCTCTAATCCCTATCTCCTGCCATTACCACCTGTGAACATTGCCAATCCATCACCATGAAGCATCGTGTTATTCACCAATTCAAGAGGGCACACGTCGTCAGCAATCCTTCGACTGCACGACTCTCACTTGCGCTTCCTGTAGGACGAAAGTGCTACTCGACACACCCGCCTAATGCCAAACTAAATCTGCCTGTCGACTATGGCACGACTCCTCTCCTCGCACATAACTCACAGGCTGCTTTGAGCCACAAGGAGCTACCTGAAAGCATTCGAAATGGGCCGACCAAGAAGATGAACCTGTTTCAGGCCATCAACGACGCGATGGGAATTGCACTAGCTGAGGATGAGTCTGTTGTCATTTTCGGAGAGGATGTTGCTTTTGGTGGTGTTTTCAGATGTACTATGAACCTTGCCGAAACCCATGGTGCTGAGAGAGTATTCAATACTCCCCTTACAGAACAGGGTATCATGGGATTCGGTATTGGTCTTGCTGCGGAAGGCATGCGACCTATTGCTGAGATTCAATTTGCCGACTACGTCTACCCAGCTTTCGATCAATTAGTCAATGAGGCCGCCAAATTCAGATATCGTGACGGGTCCTGCGGGCGAAGCGTGGGTGGCTTGACCGTACGAATGCCCTGCGGTGGTGTTGGTCACGGAGGTCTCTACCATTCACAATCTCCCGAGAGCTTGTTTACACATATTCCTGGACTGAAGGTCATCATGCCAAGGTCGCCAGCTCAAGCTAAGGGTCTTCTCCTGGCCGCAATTCGCAGCAACGATCCCTGCGTGTTTATGGAACCCAAGATCCTGTACCGCGCCGCCGTCGAGCAAGTTCCTGTTGGTTCATACGAACTCCCGTTATCGAAGGCCGAGATTCTCAAGGAAGGCAAGGATGTCACAATTGTCTCATACGGCCAACCTCTCTACCTATGCCAGAACGCCATCAAGCAGGCAGAGCAGGATCTGGGCATCTCTGTTGAGTTGATCGATCTTCGGACTCTGTATCCATGGGATAAGCAGACCGTACTCCAGAGTGTTCGCAAGACAGGACGAGTCATGGTTGTCCACGAAGCTATGGTGAATGCAGGTATTGGTGCTGAAGTGGCCGCGACCATTCAAGAAGATCATGATACATTCCTGCGATTAGAGGCACCTGTCGCTCGGGTTGCTGGGTGGAGTATTCACTCGCCTTTGTTATATGAGAAGTTTAATGTTCCTGACGTTGCAAGTAAGTAATCGAAAGATCATTGTGATGATGGTCCAAACGCTAACATTGTTTCCCAGGAATTTATGATAATATCAAGAAGTTGTTGAACTACTAGTAGAAGAATAATGGAAGGGAGGTAAAGCGGTTATACCAGAACAGCCAAGATAGCTAGAGCCCTAAAATAGAAATTCGAGACATCGATTCTTTGAGGAGCACAAATGATTTGATATCTTAATGGATGTGTTCCAAGTCATTAGTCTTCCTTGTGGTAGCTGTTAAGCAAATAGAAGTGCCAGTATTAACCCCACTGACACCGTCACCTATGTTCCTGCTCCACCTAAGCTAAGCTCCTCCATCCTGCCCCGCCTCCCCTTGACTGTGGCCCATGCTGTGCCTCAAGAACTCCACGCCCTGAGCCTCAACGCCAACGCCCGTCCTTTTCGCCTTATACCTATAGACGGCGCATTCAATCTCATTAAACAATGTCGGATCTAGAGACTGTTTCTGCCTTTGTCGAGGGAGCTCCTCCGGGAGAGGTAGGTGCTGATATCATCCTCTTGTCCGCGGCGTCATCAGCTAATATGGACTCCTAGCTCGCAGATGTTATCGCAGGTATCACCGGTCGAAATGCGATTGCTGAGCAATGAAAAACACTGACGCGAGTCTGCAGATATCAAGTCCCTCACCCTCGAAACCTCGCCCGATATCATTTCCAACCTCGGTCCCGCATTCGAAAAGTACAATGAGGAGCAGTTTGTTACGGTGAAGCTGCCTGGTAGCAGCCAACCAGTAGGTGACGAACAATTTCGAAAGCAGAGGGATTGGAGCTGATGAGGTGCGCTAGGTGATTATTAGCTCTCACAACTCGCTTGGAGACGGCCGATATTACGATGTTGAGAGCTCTTCCAGCTTTGCTTTCGACCACACTACGCAGGTAAGCTGCGCATGTCTACACAAACGGGTATATGGTTCTGACGGAGGAATAGAAAGCTAGTGCCGTGCAAAGCCATGTTCTGGAAGGAGCTCAAGCGGATCTTGTGTAAGTTGGCTCGAGCCGGTTGGACAGCGTGAAGTGCTAACATACAATCATAGCAAATCCACCCTCAAGAGTATCGGACCCTACGTTGATGAGCACTTCGCCAATGCTGCGCACGGTGTCTACCCAATCGAGTCGGACTCCAAAATTGCGATCGTTATTGTTGGCAACAAATATAGCCCCAACAACTTCTGGTAGGTTTTCTACGCAACAGTCCTGTTCCATGAAGCTAATGTCCCCAGGAACGGACGCTGGCGGTCGCTTTACATTCTTGACCCATCTTCCGGAGCTCTCGAGGGCTCCCTAAAGGTTGACGTGCACTATTACGAAGACGGCAACGTTCGTCTGCTCACCAACAAACCCGTTTCCAGCACCATTTCCTCCGTCAACGGCGCCAGCATCGTCAGAGAGATCTCGACCACAGAGAGAAAGTATCAGGAGGAGCTGAACAAGGGCTTCGTGAGCCTCAGTGAGGGAGCCTTCAAGGGTTTGCGACGACAGCTCCCTGTGACGAGACAGAAAATTGAGTGGGATCGCGTGACGAGCTACAGGCTGGGTCAAGATATTGGTGGTGGAAGCTCGAGGCGATAGAGCATGGTCATTAGTAGCGCACGAATTTGAACGATAGACTGGACGAGGAACAACGTAGAATACATGCCAAGGATCGATGTTCTATCTTGAAGGTGCTAGCCTCTTCTGAGTTGGAGGATTAAGAATGCGAGCATCGATCGAGGATAGTACGGGCTTGGATGCGATTATCTCGATAATCAAACCGTATTATCCAAGCCTTTAATAGCTGCATGATCACTAGTCCACGAATCACTAGATTGGGCATTTGGCATGGAACGCTTCGAAGGCTACTAGTCTCATGCACAACGTGTAGCACATAAACCGAGTTTGTGACTGACGGGAGCTTGACGGATGGCACTCCGGGCATACATGACCGATGATGTAAAGTGGTTGTGAATGTTTATCTTATCGTTATCCGAGAACAGCTTGCAATACTTGATTCAAGGCCCTCCGATATCGTTAATTCATCAATCTCCGGGTGGTTTTACCTAGATGGTCATGAGCTTAAAAGACCCGGAGCAACCAGACAATATGAGACATAAGAGGCTCACGGCAGGCAATGCCGCTGTCATATCTTGCTTATCTTGCATAAATCAACCGCAAGCGGTAAAGGTTAGAGATGTCTTCCTCGGGAATCGGAAATCGGCATCTCCATCGGTACTGGTTTGCGAGTGACCTTCAGCACTTGGAATCACAGCATGTGGCATCAGAGCTGTGATGTTCCTCGGAATTAGGTTGGCTATGGAACACGTCGGCATAATGTCCGGTTATCTTGACTTTTCACCATGAGAGATGTCTCGCCAAACTTGTCTTTAAAGGGTAATTTCCTCCCAGGGCGTGACTTGTGACAATGACATAACCCCGCGGTGGACGGAGGATAGGTCCGTGTTTTAGGTACCGGTATTGTTTACCTTAGTTTTTAAGATGCGGGGGAGATTATAGATGGGTTTGGAGGGGCAGATCTGGTGTTGATATCCGTGTTGTAGCCTATTGCCAATGTGTCCTTCACGGAAGAGATCGGAAGAACTTGAGTAATAACTATCCGATGCCTTTCGGGTTGAATCACTGTAAATTGATCATAGACACAAAGAATCATACCACGTTGGGTATGAAAAGCAATGGAACCCGCCGTTCAAAATGACGGTGAAGTAGTATTGAACCTGGGGCGGGGAGAAATCACCGTATTCGTATGCTCGTACAGCAGGGCAAACAAACGGAATCAAAGAAGGGAATTGTGCTAGCCCACGGTTCTTGGGCCTCATCAGCAGCCGTACAAGTTACTTAGGTTGGTAAGGCTGGGATTGAGAAAAAGCGACGAATCATAGAGTAGAGACGGTAATTTTGATGGCTGCGATTGGCTCAGAAGTATCCTCGGCGATGGGCCTTATAGGGAATGGGTCCGGATGTTGGGACACCGAATCGTACCAGGAACTCCAAGTGGGTGAGGTTGAGGTTTGAATTCATTGCTAGTCGTGGCCTGAATGATAAGGTTGTAGGTAACGAAAAGCACATGTTAATAGAAGAGAAATGTGCCGGAAAGGATCATTAAGAGAGAAGCAATAGGTCATCTAAACGGATACATTGGACCCCAAGAATCCGGTAGTACAGTCGGTCGACTTCCTTTCCGATGACTTTCCGAGGAAACAAGACAGAAACAATAGAAGGTAAGACGCCGCAAAAGGATCAGGATCAGGATCATGTACCGGGTACATAGAATTTGTGTGGGCCAGTACTCTACTCCGTCTACCTATGGGCCCCTGGGAAGAGTGGCCGCCGCCAAATCTCCAGAAGGCCACCTAGAAACAGGGGACCTAAATTAATTTAGCTGTTAACTTGGGTTAGGTTCCGTCCAGTTGCTTGTAACTTTCCATTTCTTCTCTCCTCCTTTCTTCTCTTTCTTCCACTCTCATCCTCTCACAATCCCAATCCCACCACTTGTGCGACGACAGCCCTCGAACAAGACCAGAACCCCCAATTCTCTTCACGACCCGTTACATCAACACCGCAATCATGTCCGCGAAGAAGGAGTTCACCATGCAGGATGTTGCTGAGCACAACACCTCCAGCGACATCTACATGGTTGTTCACGACAAGGTCTACGACTGCACCAAGTTCCTCGACGAGCACCCGTACGTTATCTTGCTATGGTTCTGCGCTACGTGGCGCAATCGTTACTCAGGATACTAACATCGACTTAGCGGTGGTGAGGAGGTCATGCTCGACGTTGCCGGCCAGGATGCCACCGAGGCTTTCGAGGATGTTGGCCACAGTGACGAGGCCCGAGAGGTTCTCGACGGTCTTCTCGTCGGCGAACTCAAGCGTCTGGTGAGTAACCGAACCCTCTATCCTGACGGAGCAAACGCTAATATGTGTCATTACAGCCTGGTGACGAGGGCCCCAAGCGCCAGATCGCCAACTCGAACCAGGGAAGCGGCAAGTCTGATCCCGCCGGCTCCAGCTTGAACACATACGCCATTGTTGTCGCCGTTGGTTTCATCGCCTACATTGCCTACAACTATCTCCAGAAGCAGCAAGAGGCTCAAGGCCAAGCCTCCGCATAAGCGCCTCATGTCAATCGTATCGCATGAATGAGGATAGAGAAAAAGGGTGTTCTTTGGATTTTGCTACGGCATCAATGCAGATGTATGTCTAAGGACCACTATGCATTGGGAGTTTTCTTTGGCCTGAACAGAGGTCGGTGATAGACGGCGGGCGCGCAGCTACTAAATGCAGCTTACCCCGGCTTGGACATGATGAGAACAGTGGGCAGCGGCGAATTCACTAATGTCAAAGCCCATGCCATGTCCCGATTTTCGGGATTCTACTTTTTTTGTTGGGGGTGGACGGAAGAGGGGACCGGGACGTGCAACCGAAACCCGAAAAGAAAGATAAGGATCGCAGCGAAGCGCAGACGAGACCCATTTGCGAGGCGCGACTCATGCGCAATCAGACAGACGATTCGGCCATCTCGTCTCATGGGCCACGGTATTACATGAGCACGGGACATGCATTCAACAATGGAGATGACAATCTTGGAGCAACAAAGTAAAGTAAATATATATATCACACTGTTTTAATCGATGACTGGTTATGACCATTTTTCCCATTTACCTTTTGTGATTTAAACTCAGATACTAGGTTCTCCTCACTGAGTGGTCCTTGTATAGTACTGTAAACTTACGTCAACCTCTTCACCCCTGGGTTTATACAGAGTTGAAAAGTCGAAGTAGTGTGTTTATCTCTTTTCCAAGGGCCTGACTACAATATAAGGATCCATGATTATCGAGAAACAGGTAGAAACTTCTATCGTGAAGAAGCAGATATCGTGTTCCTATCACCTGTGAGCTGCCTAAAGCTTAAGCTTGCGGCCGACAAGTATCTCAATATCTTACCGATGGTGATTGATGCTATGTTTCTCAGTATCAATTGAATTTTTCCCTGTGAATAATAAGAGAGAACAAATCTTCTTAACAGACCTAGTTTTACCATGTAGTATAACAAGAGAGTTTGACATCCGTTACCTATGACTGTACATCCCCTTCAAGCAAATATAAATATACGTTCGATGCCCATGAATTGGCCATCCTTTTTCTCCTCTTGCAATCACACATTCTCTACTCACCTGTTGAGCCTCGTTCTAGATACTGATCGATTGCGGATAGTCAGTGGAGGTTAGTAGCACAACCACATCAGTGCAACCCCCCCTGGTCACTGTTGGTACCTAGCGCCACACTAACATGAACATCAGCCTCGCCGGATCAACGTCAATCCAAACTTCAAGCTTACTTCACTCAACCTCCATCTTCTTTTTTCCTTATTCCTTTGTTCTTCGCTGTCCGCCCTGGCCGTCTCTCCTTGACACCAATCCCCTATAAACAAGCGCGACCTCTCGATCTTCGTCTCCGATCCGCAGAGAATACATTCTTTTTCCTAGATAATCATGTCGTCCTATCTCGAAAGGCAGGCAAATGCTTTCAAGGGCACCCTCTCAGCAGCCGCGACAAAGATCTCAAATCCATCAACAAACAAGGCTTCATCTCTCGCCGTCCCTTCGCTTGCTCCTCCCTCGCCATCTCCTTCAGCAGCCTCCGATCCAAATACTCCTACTGCCAAGCGAAAACGAGATGCAGGTCCTGAGGTGCCCTACTCTCAGCCGCAGCTCACAGGCTATGGTGCTGGGGTCAAGACGCAGATGACCTATGCTGTCGATTACCTGAAAAAGAAGGGCGACGCAAAGACCATCACGGATATTATCGACCATCTGAGTTTGAGGAATTTTGACGATGAGCACAAGCGACAACTTGCGGAAGGTCTACGGGGCCATCCCCGTGTAGAGTGGAAGCCTGATGCGAACCTCAGCGAACAGACCTGGAAGACTGGTACCTATGTCCACCGACCTATCATTCCTGGAGTCAAGGATGCAACCAGCCTTCTCGCTCATCTTCAAGCCAAGACAGACGCCTCAGGCGTGTCAGTAAAGGACCTCAAGGACGGCTGGCCCGACTGCGAAGACACAATATCAGCGCTCGAGCGCGAGCACAGGATCCTAGTAGTGCGCACCAAAAAGGATAACATCCCGCGCTACGTTTGGCCTAATGATCCGTCGCTGCACCACAAGGTCCAGCCAGAGTTCCAGAGCATGTGGCAGCGTGTGCAACTACCACCCCTCGAGGAGATGCACCGGAAGCTTACGAGCGTCGGACAAAAGCCTACAAGCGAAGATCCCCGCAAGGCAAAGGATGGACAGGCCAACAAGCCCAAGGCTCAGAAGCGTCGCAAGGGCAACAGGATCGGCAAGGCAACCAACGTGCACATGGCGCATCTCATGCAAGACTACAGTGGCATGCGACGATAGGGAACGCGTGTATCATAATTGTTTTCATTTCAGGGCGTTAGGGTGATGAGCTTGAGACTCAAGGGACGAATCATTTGATTTGATTTGATTTTTATTTGGCGTTTGGCGATAAAGGAACCCATTGAGATTAAGGTCAAACAAAAAAGACAAAGGGCATTATGAGACGGACATGGTCGGGTAGACGTAGGGAGCAAGGCAGCGGCATGTTTTAAATTATTCAATCAACAACATTGTTCAATATCAAAAACTCCTGTCGCCTTTTGCCGTGTACGTGACAAGCCCTATATCTCAATTGTGTATCCCTCGCTTGCCATGCCCTTTATCCCAAGATTGATTTGTCTTTACCTGTTCTCTCGCCGTACCTTGTCAAACAAGCTCTCAAAGATGTCTGACTCTTGATACCCTCCAACCCGAAACTTCTTCTGAACCGTAACGCAAGGCACGGCTTCCACACCCGCTATGGCTGCAGTTCTGACCTCGTCCTCGAGCGACTTCCCCAGACCCGGCCCCAGAAGCGCGGCTCTCATATCGGAATCTTCGAGTTTGGCCTCTGTTCGGCCTACGTGCATCAACCACGCTTCGTCAGCAATGTCAGCCCCGTTTTCAAAGTGACCACGGAACAGAGCATCAAGAAACGCAGACTGGACATTTGCTCCACGAGTTTGAAGGGTCAAGGCCACAAGTCGGTGGGCAGGCTGTGAAGGCCCTGTCTTCCCAGTCACAGAGAATTCGATGCCGTGACGAGCACCGGCTGTTTGGAGTCGAGAAGTGAAGAGACGAAGCTTCTCTGGGGACATGAGCTTTTCATAGAGGGCACGCTTGTCACCTGTGACGGGTTAGAATAAATAGTGAGAGGTAGAGGGTAGAAGTACTTCTTCGTAGCGTGGGATACAGAAGAAAGGGCTTCCATGTGACATCGAATTCGACTTCTGGGTGGAGTGCTTGATATCGTTCCATGGCTTCCTCGAGGGTCTTTTTCTGGAGAAAACACCACGGACATAGAATGTCTCCATGGATGACGATGTCAATAAGCATGGTCGAAAGTGAAAAGAAGGTGTTAGAAAAGAATACGGAAGAATCTCTGTTCGTAAATCGTTCAGGTCGTGAGGGCGTATAAGTAAAGATGGACGCCAATGCCGAAAGTTAAAAACCGTTGAATACCGTCACAATTTAGCAAGAAAGCCACTGTCGATCTGTAAAGCAAACAACCCCAGATACTTATATATATGAACGGAACACTTCCTCCCCGTCCCGTATTATGAAATCTCACATTTTGCGCTCCAGGGACCAGGGCTTTAACCAAACATCTTCCATCAAGCCCTCTCGTACATGATAAAAGCCCAGCTCAGCCGGTGTCAGGGCTGCCCGATTGGCAAATCCAGGCATCAATGCCGCCCATCGTGGCCTGTCGTTGAATATTGAATATGTCTGCGATGAATAATCAGAAAATCGCCGTTCTGCGGGGGTCTGCACTACCGGGAATTAGGCAGGGGGGAACCTTTCTCGCTTTTTCGCTTTTAATTTTTTTTCTTATTTCAAAATGGCGTGGTTTCAGCTTTTTAGCTGAAATTTATGGTCTTAAAAAAGTCTAGACCGGCCGCTGGGCTTGACAGTCGCGTGCTCGTGGAGGCTTTGTTATACGCGATAGACGTCATGGAGGTTTTTGGGGCTTGACAGGACGGATTTAGACGAGGGGTGGTTTGTTGATCTCTCTGGGCAGTGAAACACCAGATGTTCATCCATGCGGCTCAATTGAGGGGTATATATCAGTTGGCAATAATTGCCGAAGGTCGTCGGCCGTGGCTGACCGATATATCAACCGATAGCTGATGTTCTCGTTCTGGAGCAAGTGTAGGTATGTGTGTCACAGCATAAACTACCTAGTCATAAGCAAGCTGATATTCGTTTTTTGTTGAGTGTAGTAATATATTCATCGCATCAAATAGCAAGTCTATGTCGGTTCCCAGTCCTCAAGTCCAAGTCTACATAATAATACACAAACATGCCAGCGTCTTGTGCTTCCCATAATGCCTGCTGTCTTTGTCTCTGATACGCTCAGAAGAAAAGAAAAAAGCAAGCAAATGTTCCAGTGTAACTCCCTTCCTATGTTTGCGTTATGCAGACAAATGCAATGTCCTGTCCGTCGTTCATCACATTGCCATCCGCCAGTCTATTTGATACTAGAACAAAGGAAATAAAAAAGCATCCATAATGTACGAGAGATGGGGAATCGATAAAACATGAAAACCACGAAACAGTGCAGAAATCAACGTTCAAAGCATGCTCCATCTAGGAGCAAGCCCGCCCATTAGACGGTAGAGTGAAGTGTGTTGTGGGGGGATTGATATTAGACTAAGACATGCGCACAACTTGTCGTCAGCTGTGGCAAGCTTAGGTGAAGGGGTATGAGTATGGGAATCCAGTCCAGAAGGAATTAACGCCGCCGTAATCTTTGTGCCCGAGTCGGGCACAGCTTCAATAATACAGGGTATCGGTGTGCTCACTCCAGATCATCATAAGAAGGACGACCTTGAGCATTGCTCAAGCGTTGGAATCTGGCAATAGGTCTGACTAAGCCATGTGTACCAGTCCAGGTTCAGTGCTCTGGGGTCGGCGCATGTGCGTAGCGGCACTGTAATACATTTGGTTCATGGCTTGGTTGGCAGGATACGCATCCGCAGGGTCAGGATAAACATAGCTGGCGTTGTTCTGCGAGGGCGAGGCCATGTGCGAGGGAGACTGCCAGCCAACGTTGGCCATGTGAGGGCTTCCACCATTGCTGCTGGGCGTACCCTGGCTGTTATCCAGGTTAGGCTCCAGAGTAGGAGGAGGACCATAGCTAGTGGGATGCGAGGTAGGTCGCATCATATTGTAACCGCCAGATGAGGTGGAGGTAGGGCTGCCAACGCGCATGTGCATGGGCAGAGAACCATTCTGTGACAGGTACTGGAAGTCACCAGGGTGACGAGGAATGCTGTTGTTACCAGACAGATCGACACTGGGCGACATAGACATGGTTCGCTGACTAGGAGAAGGAGTCGTCAAGGGCGAGCCGTGGTTAGACATGTGGTCGCTTTCAGACCGAGCCTGTGACAAGCCCTTGGACTTTGACGCAGCAAGAGCAGCAGCGGTCGCGGCGGCAGCCTCCTCGATAGTACCGCTGTGGTGGTTCTGATGACGGGTGAGGGTGGTGCGGCGAGTGAATGTCTTCTGACAATCAGCGTAGGGGCATTTGTAGGGACGCTTCCCAGAATGCGTCCTGCGGTGTCGGGCAAGAGAGCTGCTATCGCTGAAGGGCTGTATTTGGTAAGCGACTGTCACAAAAACCGGAGTTTGGGGTACCAACCTTTGCGCAAGTCTCGCAGTGGTGAGGCTTCTCTCCAGTATGCACGCGCTGATGCACAGTCAAGGCAGATCTTTGAATAAATTGCTTTCCACATTGGGGCCAGTCGCAAACATGGGGTCGAACTCCGCTGTGAATGCGCTCTGGGACTTATTAGCATTGCCAAATAATCTCTCAGCATTTTTTACTTACCATGGCGAGCAAGATCACTTCTTCGAGCGAATCCCTTGCCACAGGTACTGCAAGGATAAGCCTTGATGGGCTGCTGGGGAGGAGGCGGGGGTTGTTGAGGCATCTGTTGCATGTGCATGTGAGGCATGCCTCCCATGTTGGGCATCTCGGGGTAGCCTTGGATTGTCATGGCGGCGGACATAGGATTCGGCATATGCATCGGCGCTTGCATCGTGGATGGCGATGGGTAGGCTCGAGCGATACTGTGAGGGTTGGAGTATTGCGAGTGCTCAGAGCCGTGAGGAGATGCTGATCGCTCCATACCGGGTTCGTGCTTAACGAAGGCGTGTTGGTATTGTTGGTGATCGAGGAGACCGGAAGTAAGTTGTTGCATTTGACCTTTCTTATTGAGCATGTTGGTGATGTCCATAACCTCCGTAGGAGCTGGTGATCGCATGCCGCTCATCTTCAATATGGTGGGAATTGCCAGCTGAAGACGTGGCGCGTTTGGGGAAGGATGTGCGAGGGCGCTCACAAGTGACGGATCACGGCAGGAAGGCGGTCAAGCTGACGTTGGCTGCGAAGATGCATGTTAGTGACTTGGTTTTGACATGGTAGCGGGCCTTGTTTGATGCTCGAGGTGCCAATACAAACAATGCCATCCCGAAGGGACCGGCAGATGGGTAAGCGAATGCAACGGCATGCTTAGGTCCAACCAGTCGCCCAGAGACGGTATCATCGGTATCCAAGATCCGCCGAGTGTCAGGTCCCGAAAAACAACTTATGCGACTCACCTTTCCGCGTTTGTATGCAAGCAAGTGACGTGTATGGTCGCACTGACAAGGTGGACGTGAAATCTTGCAGACCGCTTTTCGGTGCGGGTTCGGTCGAAGCGGGAGGAGAGAGGTCGACCGGCGACAGGATTTCGTTGTCGGATTTTCGGTCTTGGGCGGCGACGAAGTTCTTTGTAGTTGGAGCGTAGGAGGAACGCGCGTGGTGTATGTGTAAGGTGGAAGAACCGAGGACCGCAGGGGTTAGGCAAAAATGGTTAAATTTTTTTCTGTACCCTCCACAAAGTGATGCACTGTCGATCGGGCGGTCGGAGATGAAAAGTCAACAGAACAGAAGACTCTTGCGAGTTTTCAAATTCAATTTACACTATATCAACACACGATAGCTGATGAGATGTAGTCCTTCACAGGCGCGATGCGATGAAAGAAGGGATCAGGAGGTGGTCTGTTCACAGCTGGTGGCCAGTGGTCTAGACACAGGTACCGTTAGAGGGTCAACTGGGGGGATAGATGGTTCTTAATGAGGTGAGGATGTGAAAGATAGCAGAGCGGGATATCAATCGCCAGGACGTATGAGGACCAAAACGCAACGAGAGACGGGAATGGGAGATAGATAATATAGACCAAAGGGGTTGATGCGATGATCGAGGGCCAGGTAGGGGCCAAGTCTTTATGTCAGGTTCCAGGACGGGTCCCTATGGCGGGACGTGACAAGGCGAAGGCAGCTCCGGGATTTGGAAGTGGGAGGGTGAAGGGGAAGTGAAAGTGGATTCCCTATGGGGGGAAATAGTGGAGGGAGGGGTCTGCGAAATAAATTACGGCGCACTCCTGGGCAGGGGTTAGAGGGTGACAGGGGTAGCGGACCTGAATGAGGGCGTGAATAGCGGTAGCGGGAATGAAGTAGACTCAGACTCATTACAGCGGCCAACCCAACCCAACGCTTCAGTTCAGCCAGTTTAAAGCAAAGCGCGTGTAGCGCATCAGATGAGCCAGATAGTAGGGCAGAGACAGGGATTGGGGAAATAAGAATAAAGCATGGCTAAGATACTCTCAGACCTGACCTGAGCTAGAGTAAACAAGAGCCAGAAATAGAGTCAATAGGACAGGATAATGGAAACAGTAGTGCAGGCGTAGACCAGGCACGAGTAAGCAATCATGTCTTTGTAATTGGAGTATCGGGACATTCTAACAAAGAGAGAGAAAAAAGAAGAAGAAAAAGGAAATCGTCTCAACATAATAAGGACTCGATATGGATGCGTACAGTAGGGGTAAACAAACATATGCTTCTCTTTTGGTCTCAATGAAATGACGATCGATCCTTTTGGCTTGGTTCCCGTCCCATCTTTGTTTTTTCTTTTCTTTTTTAGAAAAAAAAGTATTACCCGAAAGCCGTTCGAGGGTTTCGTTTGAACTGGATCTCGCAGGTTTGGTTTGCTCTGTGCGCCAGATCTCGCAAGAGACATGGTGACATGGATCGAAGCACAGGACGGGGGTTGGCAGGACCTCGAGACACGACGCGACGGGAAGAAATCATCGAGGGATCGATGAAGTGTAACAGTGGATGACCTGTAAATTGAGGTTTCATATCATGGGCGAACGCGAGCTGAGAACGCGCAAGGCCGATGAATTAGCACCGAGTACGCTAGACGCTGTTAGATTTTACATTGGTGACCTTGGTCTAGCACAGTAAGGCGAACAGCTGAGACTAGGATTCAGACCATACCTCACGTTTCTAAAAGAAACATGGGATTCTATAGCTGTAAAAAAAGATTTATCACTCTTACAACCCTGGATACAATAACATATATGAAATGGTTTTTTTTTTTTTATAATTCTCTAATGTGTCGAAAAATATAACATAAAGTCCGAACCTTTTCAGGTACTGAGATTTGACCCTCCCATAACTTACACAAGCGGGGATTGGCATGCGACAGACGTCACAAAGAACGAGGGCCAGAACCTCAATTCCGCCCTAGAAACATCCATCAGCCGTGGCGTCATTCTCACTTAACTCAACATGAAACGCCGTTGCGTGTGTAATCCCAAGACGCGGCAAATCAAACCATAAATTTTTATCCTATCCTGTCTTCATTCATAGTAGTGTCCCGAAGATTTGGGAGCGAAGCAAAAAGAAACAAAAACCTCCACTACCAGCATTCAAGCGGACGGGTGCCTAGCCCTCGGAAGAGATGGTTCCCGTCGTGTTGCTGCAACTTTACGATGCACAAATTGGAAATCTCCCGTCCCTGGGCAGTGAACTCCATGTACAGCATACAGTGCATACCTACAGTGCATCCTTACAGGGTATTCCCCGGCCAGCCACAGCGCGCCGCCTCACCCAACCACCAATGCCCATAACAATTCAATAGTCAATCAAGGACTGGCGTGGAAGCGTCCCTAGATAACATCTTGCAACCTCTAGCCGTTGGACGACGCTGATTGGAAAGAGGCTGTGGTCCTCCCTCATCTGTCGTGAATAGTCGGGATCGCTGCTGAGGGAATGGGCATCTCGCAGGCAGGCCAATCCTTGTCAGCTGGAGTGATCCTCAGACGTCGATCGTATCGTTCGTTTCTCTTACTGCATTGTGCCAGTTGGGCCGCCAACATATCATGCCGTGTCTTCGTGAGTTGCGAGTGGACGCCCCATTACCTCCCTTTTCATCTACTCGTATGTCCAGTCCAACAATAGGATATCATGAAAGAAATGAGCTGGGCAAACAGGGCCCGTATAAGCCTCACCCTGCATCAACCACGCTTGTTTGTTTGTACGATGCTAAGCATGTTGCTATTGATTGTTTCTTACCTATGTACGGCCCTGTTTCCCCCTCTCTCGGGATTGTGAACAGGCCTCTCTCTGACCCAGCTCCCGCTGTTTGATGTTCGACCCCAAATCGATTCCCCTGGTCTCAATCAATGTACAGCGCATCACTCTCCCTTGCCCACCCCTACTCACCAGGGCCGACGTCATGAATCTTCCCTGTACCCTGCAGGGTCGACATGGTATGTGCGCCCCTCAAAAATAACCCAGGTCTGTTCCAGGGGAATTCAAACGGATCCCGTCAATTTGGGCGCGGTCTAGCGGGTCAGAGCTGGTGCCCAGAGCTGATGTCGGGCTGTCAGGGCTGGGGGCAGGCAAGGCGGCAGCTGTCCTGAGTGGTAGATCTCGCCGGCTTCCAGAAGAGTTCAATCACCAGTGCCCATGCTCCCCTGACCCATATCTCACTCTCAGGCGGTGTCGAGTTGTCGTCCCCTAGTGTGGCTTGCCTCGTCGAGGGATCCCACATCTCCCTTGGCACTATATTTGATAATGTTTTCCTGCGCCATAGGCGTCAATAAGATCTGGGCTGTTGGTTGAGGCTAATTAATTTCCAGCCATGCGTGTTGTGCATTTCGGTGAAAGCGATCCAGGACCGCTCGACGTTTGTTGAAGCGTTGCCTGAATCCGTGGTACACTTGGCATGATGTAATCTCAATATCTGGTCACCTGGTCTAGTTTAGTAGTTAGCAGCCCTGTCATCGTCTCTTTGTTCTTCGTTAGATGGTCTCAAGCAGTCGAGGCTAGTAGACGAAGCACTCACTCCATCAACCTCTGTAAACAAAGGCTGTCCTTGAATCAGAATTCAACTGCATATTACACCCACTCTCTTTTAATGGTGTACCTAACTGAGGCGGTGTCAATTCTTATTCCGCTCTTTCCCTGTCATATAGTCCGTGGCTTAATTAGCATGTTAATGCATGCAATGCGCATGAGTTTGCTGCCCGTGGATGTGGGATGTTTGTTGCTCCTGGGCTCTAGGTTAAAGGTTGTCCTAGATACGGCTACCCAATCGGATATGAAGCGAGTGGCCTGGATGCTCCCCTCCCAACATTGGAGACGTTAGAGTCAGCAACCCTGTACTATGTGAGATATGTACGTGAAGTAGTGGGCTGAGGCGGGACTGATTCGTCAATACCTGGTAACTTTTAGAAGGCTTCATCATGGCCCGTCTGCCTTCCAGAAGACAGCCCGGTATGATCTTACACCGCTCAGGTTGGTTTAGCTAAGTACTGTGCTGTGGCTGTTCGATACAGTAGCCGCCATGTCTCCAACGACCTAATGAATCAACCACCCCCGCAAGTGCCGTGCGCAAGATGCAGGCGCTGGCGCATATGCCAGCTGATAATTAAAACAGAGATGCCAAAAGGGATAGCCTAATGCAAAATAAAGGACAAGATCCACCATGACGCTCTTGAATGATGACTTCAAAAGTGAGAAAGGGGTGTGTCGTGGACCAACAGCCCAGGAGAGAGAAAAAATGAATGAAGCTGGAATTGGAAGACACTAAGAAACTTGGGAATCAAACTCGACAGGGGTGAGAGGCATATCTTTCAGCTGCTAAGCTCTGGTTGGCTTCTTTTCGAGACTAACAAGGTCTTCAGATGGGTCACTCACATATTCGGAAATGACGCTAGCTCGCCGAGGAAGGTTTCGAGAATTCTTCTGGAACAATGGTAATGCAGAGGCGGATCTAGCGCCGTGTGACAATGCACGTCCGAGCGTAGCGTTGCGCCCACGACACATCCTATCCTTCTACTGAGCTTCTTTCCGTCCTTCGATACCACTTTCTCATTCCGATCCATCACCAAAGAAGCATGCCAGCCTCACCCCTCCTTCCATGGTTCCAAGTTCCAACCTATCCCATATTGGTATCCATGCATGAGATAAACCTTCCTCACCTTGGCAATTCGGCTGTCTACCTTATTCACCTCCGCACTTTCCATTACTGATTGCTGTATGTACCGATCTCTACATGATCCCACTCGCCCACTCACACTCATACATATCTATCGTTTGATCTTATTTGTCTCGTGTCTATCTTATACGTAAGAGTGCTCGGCCGCCCAAGCTTGTCCTGACTAAATCCTTGCCCTGGCCCCATGCTCCCGGGGCCCCATCTGAATCTGCCCCGTGCTGCAGAAGCATGGATCACTTCCATTCGTTCTGGCGTCTTTCCAGAAGTTTTAGAATTGAGTCAGTGAGCGGTTGGTTTGAGGGCTGCAGTCATGGCGCACTATCCGTCCAAAACCTACACTGACACGGGAATGGGGATGAATGGCTGACCAGGTATGCTGTAGGTTGGTCAATGTGCTGGTATTCGGCTGTTCATTAAGAGACTCTAATTAAGGACTAGTGCATATCGGGCACGGAACCTTGGGCCACCGGATATCACTTGAGAATCAAAGAACGGCAACCATACCACGGATCGACAGAGCACTCCAAGACTGGACACCAACGAATGCGAATGGGATGTAGTTCACAATCAAAGACATATGTCAAAGAAAAAGGCAGGTAGTATGGCTTGGGCATCAAGATGTCACAAAGGCTGCGGCTCCGGCTCGGTTCTCACGACCATGACCCTTTCCAGTTTACCTCGATTTACGTTTGGCTTCTTCAACCTTTGAGTCATATTGCAAAAAAAAATGCAGAACTTGGCCTTACTGGGCGGGGAAGTCCTGTCCGTGCCGGCGCGGGGGCTAGGACTGATAGCCTGCTGCATGAACAATCGAGGAGGCCTTTCACAAAATCTTACGACCACCTAGGGAGGCAAATAGTTGACATATCGATCCAACAACCTATGGCTCTCAATGGACCCTTCGGACTTGAGTAATTTAGTCGAAGGGGAGTTATGAAGGTCCCGCGTAGGCTCACCCATCGAATCCTTAGCCAGTGGGTTCCTTAACTATAGGGCAAACCCAACAAAGACTCAAACAAAGAGGATCTCGAGG